ATCAAGGCCGGTGGAAGGAGGCTGAAGAGCTGGAGGTGCAAGTGATGGAGACGAGAAAGAGGGTGCTTGGGGAGGAGCATCCAGACACGCTGACCAGCATGAGCAATCTTGCCTTCACGCTGCAGTCACAAGCTCGTCATAAGGAGGCTTTTGTACTAATGGAAAGATCCTTCCTCCTGCGCCACCAGGTCCTTGGGGAGCAACATCCTGATACACAGTCGTCACTGGACACGCTGGCTAGCTGGCGAGCGGATTGTAGTGACGAGGTGTCGTGACGTCACCTCTATGTGTAATGTAGATCTTAGTGCCTAATGCCATAAATTACATAATTTTAGTAGCTTGTGAATCTCAAAGGTATGTAGTAATGTAGTAGCTACTAGGATATTTTGTGAAGGGTTTTAATCCACTCACTATAGTGACTCTATGCAGAATTACGATGGATCTATGTTAGAAGTGAGTATAAAGCCTGGCTGACTGTAATGTCTGGAAGAACAGCTGCCTATAAGTTGGGAATAAGAGCTGCCTAAGGCGGTGAGCTTAGCTTAGAGCCATAATTCTCAGCCATAGTGTAACTTATAAATATCTTAGCATGCTACTGTAAGCTACTGCGTACTAAAGGCGGCCTAGTAGTATATGGCTGGTTAGATCTGTTTTGATGATGTTGTCGCCAGCGTGGAGAAACTACTAGGATACGCACTCTTCACGTTAAGCTGACCTTTTGAGGCTGCAGTCTTGAACTTCACTATCTTGGTTTCGTTTCTGACCCGACGAATTCCTTACTAATATCTGTCGTCGCCAAGGAACAGGGGGTTAAAAGAGGAGAGTTGGTCGACGGTAGTGACAGAACGAGCGACAGCATAATCAATAACGCGTTTTTCGGCGTCAGAAGCTGATGAGCTGTGAGAGTGCAAGCTACAGAATAGATGCGTATTGCGCTTGTCTGTATCAAAGCCCCCCGGGAAAAATCCGAGCGGCCGGAAGAACAGGTGTCCCGTTACACCGTGCGTCCCGGCACGCTTGGACAGACGTTATTCGAGGAAGATTTACATCATCATTTAGCTTTCATTGCTATGAACATCGGTACGACATTGCATTTACGTGTGGAGGAAAGGGTATTATGGAAGGCCTTACCAGGGGATGTATGCAATGGTTCACTATTACCGATACGAACCACCTCCTTGTCTAGGCAATTTCAATCAGAATCACACTGCTTTGCGAAGTTAATATGAGTGTTCGTGAGAGACCAGCCAGGTTCGCGATATTCAGGTTTTGATGGTTCCAATTAACGTACTTTCCAAGTGAAGCAATGCTCTTCGTCCTAACTTTGATGTTCAAACTGAATTTGGTGAACAATGGACGGCTAACAACGATCCCGCGCCATATAGCTGCAATTTCATGGAACCAGAACTGTGTCAAAGTCTCATGTACTGTACGCCAGCCTGGGTTGTATGGGTATGGTTCGAACGTCATGCATACACGGCAACTCAGCCGGACGAAACAGCCGATGATCCTCCCTGCTTCTAGGTGGTTTGGTTTTACATATGGCAACTCGAGAATTGTTCGCAAAGCGCCGAGACTGACAGTTCCATTGCATTTTGCTGTGCTTTGTGAGGCAATCGCGTTCTTCTTAGTCCCTTTCGTTGTTCCTTGATTTTTTTGATGAAAACATGTTGTCGTACTGATTGATATAAGAGGAGAGACACACTATCATTGTTAATCTACTAGACCAAAAGCAATGAAATTGAACGCATTGTACTATCATGATGTTTAAACATGGTCGGTCGTTTCCATACACACATTGTAGTTTTGGAACCTCAGAGTATGAATGTGCCAGTCACATTATTTACAACTTCACGGTGATTGGATGCTTCCATGCTGACATCGGCAGAAACGGCAAACACGTCGCATACTGAGCAAGAGAAGACTCTAGTAGCATCTCCACTACTTGCGCTAGTTATTGTATGCAGCATCCAAACAATGGTCACGTCGAGATCGTGCGTACAGGCAGAGACCTCTAGTGGAACCTCGCAGTGGTAGCCGCTTCCAGACGAGTCTGCATTGGTAAAAGTTCTTCCACCAACTTAGACGCACAAATGGATAGAGTGCGTCTAGAGCAGAAGCAAATATTTCGTTAGTCCTTCTCTCAACCTTGCAAGCACAACGCTAGGCTAAGTTTATCCGTGCTCTGTTGCTCCTCAGATACTGAAATGGCTCGAAGAACGCAGACTCTTGTCCAGCTATTGTATATTGCTTAACTCATCCACGACTACAGCATATGGCACATTCGCAGTTGCTCCACAGACCTGGCGACTTGCGGGACATTGCTTGTGTACTTATCACAATCATAGGTTCTTGTTTGTTCGGACTGACGGCATTTGTGGCAGTGTGTACTGATTCGCATTGGAAATAACTGGCAAACAAGAGTATGTATTTAGCTGGTCGGGTTCCGCAGAGGATGGACTAAACGAAGAAAATATTTTTCAAAGATACTTATCCCGCCTTGCACGACATTTTTAAATCTTTCTCGCAAGCATGCCGGAAACCCCTCAAGAAGTCGATGCGAACACTCAGCCACGCAGTCGGAAGATGCTACAAGATCTCAAGATGCGTCTAAGCGACGAGAAGTTCGAGTATCTAACAGATGATCTTCCCTCTTACGAACATCTTAAGATTTTCCAGGACGACCAAAAAGACGTTTTGATTCAGTTTGGCAACAAGGAGGAGAGCAGGAAAGAGCCGATTTTCTTTTCTGTCACCGGGAGGACAAATTGGACCGATATCAAGAAGAATAAACATGGGTGGCAGAACGTCATCGAATTCATCAACGAATACGCAGAGGGTGATAAAACACCATTTGACTGGAGCGCATATTTGTACAAGGGATTATTCATTGGACCCCCGGAAATGGAGATCTCTGATGCCGAATCATCCGGGACTGAACATGTAATGCTCGGGCCGAGCCATGCGCTTCTCAACTACTACTTTCTACTGTGGGCAGCTAATTCTCGTCAGGCCAGGAATGTTCGTTTGCCGGAGACCTTTATGTTCGACAGAAACAAGCGTAGATCGTTAGTGAATGCCTTGTCAGAGTTACATTTGACAGGTGGCTTCAAGAACTACCGGCGCAATAAGCAAGAAACCCGATTCATTACTCCTTCCATTGATATCGCTAGCCGACCTGGGAAGACGATTCCTGGGGGCATGCTTATCGGCACTTTAGAGGAGGGATTACAGATACACCCACAACCCCCTCCAAAACGGGTACGATCTGAAACATATGCAGCGTCCAAAGATGCCACCAAGTACTCCTTATATTTCTAGCACCATTCAAAGTCTCAGGAGCTCCATCCCTAATCTGGCGAGTCTGCCTCCCTTGGACAGCATAGAATTGGAGAGTATCTCGGAAGATGATCGAGAGCAGATGCTCCCGCTACGAATATGTCTGGGATACAAAGATAGCCACAAAGTCTGGATGTACATCAATAGGACAAAGAACATTTAAGATCGAAAGCAGCGCTCAAGGACAACGCGGGACAGTTGAAGTCAAGCTGAAAGATAAAAAGGACATGGCAAAACTGAAAATCAGTCTGTCAGAGCCATTTCAGTCAGGAAAGGGAGGGGGTGCCTACATTGGTGCCATGCATAGCATAGGGAAGTACTACTTCTTGCTCGCTTGCGAAGGGAGGGGCCTCGACTTGCAAGACGATGATTGGTTTGCGGATCAAAAATTTGAGCAGTATCTTAGATCTGGAGCGAACGCGTATCACGCGAGGTATTCCCTGAAAAATGCCCAACATATGATGGTAAACGGAGAGGGAAATGGTACGGAGACTGTGGAAGCTGCTCAGGCGACTCTAGGGCTACTTTCCAATATCGGCAATTCATGTACGCCAGAGTCAACGCACCAGACACTGCTATCTCCAGCTTCGCCACCTCCCGACCAGCAAGGTCCCTCTCAAAGGTTGGACATTGAGGGCCAGTCGTCCATAATTACTGAAAGTCTTGATATTAATGGCAGGGACAGGACTTGGAACGAGCTCTTGAGAAGGAAAGAGGAGTTGGACGATCAGATCGAGAAGGCAGAAGTGGACCGAGACCGAATCGTCGCTGCGCTCAGGCAATACAAAGATAGCAAGCAAGCGCACCAAGCCGAGTAACTGCACAGTGGCACACGAAGGCGATAATTGGGGGAGAATATTTCCACCATCTGGCATGTTTTGTGGATTACTGCTCTTTGGTTCTTTCCATAAAAGGCTTTCGTAGTCTTCCTCCATATCATATGATGTGTTTCTTTCCTCTCAAGACGTTTGGAGACGGGTTTTGGAAGGTTTGAGTCCCTCGTTTAGCTGCATGATGTTCTTTAAAGTCTCACCTCCTTTGCAGACACCGCACTTGCCACTGAAATTGGAATCGCCGTGCTGAAACTTGATCCTATACAATTGTGCACCGATTTGTTGATACTTCACTTCACGCCGATACCCTCAAAGCAGCCTGGCATGCATAATTTAACCAGCTTTCTTCCTCTCTATCGCAGAGATCTAGACCTGAGAAGCAAACCCTTTCCCTCTGAACACATATACTGTGTGCTACCCGTGTTCTTCTACAAGACCTACCAGGTGCGCTGCCGGCGTGAAGCTTTACTATACCAGCACTGTAAATAATCATCTCAGAGGCATCTCCTATCTTATCTTACATCTTGAATATTGTGAACGATAGAAAAGGCTCACGCAGACGGGATTTCTAACAATCTATGCAAACCCCTATCAACCTCGACTACGCCCTTATGTCGCACACCGCATTGCTGTCGACCACCGCACATCCACTTCGCCCCGCCCGCCTGAGGCAGGATCTCCAACCTTGCCCCAGTCTACAAAGCGGCCGCAGGTAAGGGGCCAGGTACGCATGCCTCCACACCACACTCTACCCCAACCTAACGCACAGAACCCTAGCCGTCACTCTGCGTACCGTACCTCGTCGAAAGGCTGTCCTTCACACCTTCTCGAACGCCCCGCCGCCGCATAAATCTCCTCACTAGGAGACCGCGCGGCCCCCGACCCAGGACGTCGGACCCCGAAGGCGCCGGGTCAGAAGAACGGCGGATGCACACCTTGCAGACGTGATAGTAAGAGGTATGTATGGCGAGCCGGCGGTGCAGGCCCTGGCTGGGGGGTGTGTCGAGGGTGGTGCTGCGCGCAGGTCCGTCGCGCGAGAGGGCTGCAGACGGGTGCGCGGTTATTGGAGGGATACCTATTTACCGTATGCCTGAAGGGCGGAGTGTGCATGTGCGAAAGGGGAGATGTAAGCGGGACACACCGAATGTGTGGCCGGCCTGGGCCGTGCTATGCTGTGCTGTGATAGCAGGAGAAAAATGATTAAGAGGTGTTGATAATGGTCCTCGGCCTGACCTTGCCACGGCTCGGCGATGACTGTACCGAAAGAGGGGGAATGCGCGGTGGCTGCGGGCCGCGGCGCGTTCTCACCGATGCGTCACGTTACCCTGCAATCCCGCTCCGCGTTCCTTGCTGCACATGCGATCCTTTAGATCTTTCTCCTGCGTCAGCATACGTATGTATGATGGCGCTTCTGGACCTTCCATGCGTTTCGCGAGGCGTTCATTCTCGGTTACGGGGTCAATAGAGCTTTAACCGGCCTATGGGGGCGTCTCGTTTGCTTGAATTAACTGGATTTAATGCTCAACATCTGGCCGTATACGCATGCAGGATCTACAAAGTTTGTCGATATGGGCGGTACCATGCAGAAGGCGTAGCGTGGGTATCTGTTGAGCTCATGGTCGATAAAACGGCTGCTAAGCAGGTATTACGGACGGACACGGCTTGCGATACGCAGAGCGTGGCTGCAAATTGCCCCGGAAAGGACAACGCTCACGGCAGATGTGACGTCCGGGAACGCGGCGTGAAATTGACCGCGTGACTGCACATCCACGGTTGTTGCCTCGTGGCGGCCAAAACGCTGATGCCGGTAGTTGCTGGCTAGGTGGTCCACGTTGCACAAGGTTGGGGGCTTTTGCCCCGTAAGCTAAGCACGAGCATACTATGACCGGGAACTTGGGGAAGTGGGTGAGGAACCGTTGACGGGCCGACACGATGGATGTTCGCCTCGGCCCTCACCGTTCGCCCTGAGATTAGGACGTATGCAGTAAGATTGACGGCCAGGTAAGCATTGTATCGCAGATAAGTGCCATCTTACTAAGAGTAGGAGCATGTGATCGTGGTGATCAGGGATAGGTGAGACGGTGAAGGTCGATGCGCGGAAACAGGGGCTGAAGGCTGGGGAATACTGAGATCATCGCGGATGACCTGGGGTAGTGGGAACGGAGGAGGCGGACTGCTGCCATTATAGGACAAGCTTTAACTAACAGTGCTGATGCGGGACCGCAGAGAATGAGCGTCGCAAGGCTACCAAGGGTCTGGCTAGATGAGACCTCAGGCGCAGGTGGCTACGGGCAGGAGGAAGTTCTTCTCGGCATCAAGTCGTATGTCAAATCGATCATGGGGGTGTGACCTGGCTTGATGATGCTGAGAAAGCGAGAGGTCTGTGAAGGCGTCGGAGACAGGCGCTTTAGGGTTGGAGATGGCTAGGCGATATTTGACCGGCTGAAACGGTTAATAGACCCTGCACGGGGAGGGATCGCATACTTCGGCTCGGCAACGATTGTTCGGTGGTTCGTGAGCCGAATGTTTTGACACTCGGGCCGGGAACGATCAGATGACAGTGCGATTAGGCAGGTAGGTTTGTTGTAGGATCTGGTTGCTGACCCTCGCATTACTATAACTAGTGAACCGGCCTCTATAATGGCAGCGCAGAGCCGCTGACCGCAGTGAACGGTAAGTTCATGGATGGAGGACCAGGTGTTGGGGTCGTTCACCGCACTGCCAGATGGAGCAGCACGCTGTTCGGTTTCACCACTCGAGAAAAGCGAACGGTGAGCAGCAAATGGTGCAGCAATTCGCGTATAATTAGTGTCGATGAAGCAGCTGAGGCTGATCCGACAGTTCGGCACTCCGCAAATATAGCCTATAAGCGTAGGCTGTGCTGGCCGTTGTTCGTCACAGTTAATATCGGAGCACAGCACCAGCCTCAACGCTGACCACCCTACGGACGTGGGAACGAATTGCCGATCTGAAACCCATTGAGAAGACGTGTATCCAAGGAAACACAAGGTAAAGCGCGAAGTGTCCATCTGACTGGTAAGCACACGGTGTTACCGGCGCCAAAAGGAACACGAAAATAGAAAAGAAATTGGCTGTATTGAAAGAATGGGCTACCGACTTTTGACCAATCCATGTGAGTGCAACCGTGAGGGATATTGTGGGCCACCTTCAGCGAGAAGTCGTAGAACACCGGAACGAGAAGGTCCTCTGCCGCGCCGCAGGATCTTCTGGAAGCATTGTCGCATCTCCGCTAATACCGTGGAGGTGTTCGAGCTGCCGAAGCAAGACTAGGTACATGAAGGAATAGGAAGGTAAGGCTGGAGTTGGTGGAGGTCGGCGAAGGATTACCATCCCACGTTCTATCCCCGAGCATTGTTGGTGAAGATTCGAGACGCAAGCCGTGTTGGTGGAGAGCACAGTCGCCCCACCTGCGGTTCATGGAAAAGGTCGCTGCAGCGATAAGCACGTGGGGGACGGATGGGCCGTCGAGATCCTCCACACCGCACAGACATGCGCACATGAGCATACACCCCTGGAATGCAACATGAATCTCGAGTGATGCTGTTGGCTCCTCCGTTTGGCTCTGTGACAAAAGAAAGATATTTGTTAAACTACGGACAAAGAAAATAGAAACGTTCCACGTGGGTAGACCCTATGAAGTCCAGAAGCAGGATGCTATTGCCATCTGCGCTCACATTTATTTTGGCAATCTTCATCAGCAGGTACTGTATTTGATTGCAGGTACGAAATGGACAGGAATTGTGGACTGATTAGACCTGCGATTCATTTGGTTTTCGTCGTGCTTCAGCTGGGTCGTCCCGAGACCATGAAAGCGGATTTGACCTGCTTTGTGCGCGTGCGCAGGGAGGAGCCCGATATGGGCAGCCGACGATCCTTGGCGCCCCTGGCCACGCGAGCAATGGTGGTCGGGCGCCCGAGGCTATGGCATGGGAACGTGCTAATTGCATTGCGTCGGAAGCCCTCCGCGATGCCGCGATGTAAAGTCTTTCAGGCCTTATTCAGGCGAAACGCCTGATTGCGAGAGTCATGGCTCCGAAGTCTCCAACACGAACCGTCGTAAATCAAGGATAGGAAGAGAGACCGCGGAAGTCAGCATCGTCTTCCCCCCGTGCGCTAGAGAGTCAGAAGCTCGGAGCTGGACGTGAATGGAAGAGACCCAATCTTGTTTAGGCAGTCTCATTTGGCAACGGTCGCCTAACACCAGTCGATGTATCCATGAGGTTTCCTCGGTACTGCACCGAGGTCGCTTCGTGCTTCGTGAAACACTCCGCAGCACTGTGATGAGTTTGCATCCGAGAAGCCTTAGATAAGCCATAAGCTGTGAGACGCGTGGTAGAAGAGCCAACGAGGTCGCTGTACGATCAAGCTTCCAATTGATGACTCCATTTCAAGAGCAAGCGCATCGATATACACTTATGGGGAGGGATGTCGGGAATGAAGGGAGCCCCCGCGCAGGATGAGAGAGCACTGCAATCAGCCGTGGACGCATGCCGTATGTCAGTACCGCGATTGGTGATGGGCCCGGGGACGACCGCCACGCGATTCGTGTAGCGGCAGGCTCGCCAGAGACCCGTTCCTAAAACGGTTAAGCAGAACGCCAGGACCGCAGTGCTGGGTCCTCGCCCGGAGCCAAGTGTTGTTGTGGCCAAGGCTGTGTCCGGTGGTGTGGCACACGCTCACGCCGCCTTCCTGGGTGTACCCCCATGTTAGGTGCCAGCTTTGCGGGGTGACATTCAGATTGCTGCTTTGGGGGCGCAGTGTCCCATCCGTTGTGTGCCGCAGCATACTCTGTGCAGGGTCGGAATCTGGAGCGTATACTGTGCGTATCACCAGTGTGTCTCTCTGCGCCAGCATTTGTATGGTGCACATGAACCAAAGCATGCCTGATAGAGCCTCCTTTACACGGCCCGTTGCGTCCAGACTCGTACCGCCCCGGGATCAGTGTTGCTTCCGCTCATTTACGCGCATCCTGTTGCGGATGAGATGAGCACCGAGTTCGTATTCCTTGGGTGAGATTTGTTACAAGCCACGTAGTATCGAACGGAAAAGCAACCACTGCTGACGCCACTCAGCGAGCAAGCTCTTACACTACGGCAATAGCTCTTCGATGAGGTTGTGCAAGTGGTGGAATAGACCACCATCTGCTGCAAGACTCCTGGGCCGGCAAATAAGAGCCGACAAGGAATGTTTGGGATGCACATGGTACTGAGTGAAGGTCATCCTGTGCACTGGTTGCGTGCTTTGTTGCCTGAGTTGCACACAGCGATTTCGCTTGTTCCATTCTTAGTGGCTGTCCTACCTTCGGAGCGGCCTTCTGTAGCTGCAGATGCTGTTCCCTCCCAGTCTTGTTACGTGCTGAAAATTGAGACAAACATGATCTCCAGTGGTAAGGTGGACCGTGGGAGGTAGAACCAGAAAGGCTTCCCATTCCAAGGACATGCTTCATCTTGCATTTATGCGCATCGGCTCCTTTGGAACCGAACGAGGCCTTGTACGAGCTCAGATTGGACCACCGAATATGAGTCCGTGAGATATGACAATGCAGCGCGCTCGTTCAGGATATGTAGGTCAGATGGGGACGAAGATTTTCGAAAATAACAGCCCTACGATGCCATTCGTCATGCAGGCGCCCACAGACTGTCAGAAATTGAGGGGTGAATGTGGCTTGGCCTCCAACAGAACGACAGCGTCTGGGGCTGTGGTAGAAGGTGTCCAGCCGGGTATTTGTGGGATTGTGGGGAAGAGGGCACACGACTGTTGTACCGGATTGTCGGTCCGTGAAACAAGAGACTAGTTTCTGAGTTGTCACGAGCTCTAGTATACAGGAGCCGCGGATTCTAGGACGCCCTCGGCCGCATTGTAGAGTTGAGTGCACAATAAACGTGGCATTGGTGTACATGGAAGGGTTTGTTCAACTCGGAAGGGCATGCAGTGGAGGCCTCCTGTCTAGGGACGTTGAGCCTGGAACACGGTAGCGATCGTCAAGTGCATGGGAGGATCAGGTCGGATGCCACGCTGTACCGCCAGTATTGGCGGCAGGCCGTGTAGTGAATTGTACAACGCATGAAACCGGCCATCACGCCGCATTTAGGGAAGAGCAACGGTTGCACATGATTCTTGTACGGCATGGTGATTCGACGCAAGCACGCAGATGACCTCGAGCGGCCGACTTGTAAATAGTCGACGTAGCACTTTTGCATTGTCGCAAGTAACAAGCTGATGGCAATCAAGCACGAAGGTAACTCTCGATCCGGATCCGTTATGATGGCAAGCAAGGCTTGGCGAAGACAACGCAGCGATCGGTTGTCGCGGTCATGTTCGACTCTGGAACCTGGCCAACAATGGCAAGCTGCCAGCGTCAGGACGGTAGCCTGGGACGAGCAAAAGCGGCTGAGAATGCTCATGCGGAAGACCATGAGGGTGCCATTCGATGCTTGGAGCCGAGGATACATGGCTCTCGGCGCTTCAACCCTGCTCCGAGGGCTCAGAGAGGGCGATACGAAGCCTCCGCTGCTGCGCTGGCCGAGCGGAGTATCTTCTGGTCGAAGGGAGTGGCGAAAACGGCCTTCCCAAAGCGGCGTGTCACCGGCACGCGCAGAGGCTGTTGCTTTTGGCCGGCGGCGGGAGATGTAGAGGCATGTGACGCGTGGAGCCGGAAGCGGAGCGTTTCGTCCAAAACACTACAAGGAAGCGATGCACGGCAATTTGTGAGAGTGAGGCTCGCTCGCGGATGCGGGCAGCGAAAGAGCATGAAGGCGGCACGGCGAGGAGCCGTTTGAGCCCTGACAGGTGCGAGACGCTGTCCAGGGCTCACGATGGCAAGAGGGCCAGGTGTAGCTAGCCGGCATTCTCGAGTACTGCCGACGAGGCGACCTTGGATGACCCATCGGGTTAGCAGACGCAGGGATGGCGGATGAAGCAACGCTGTGAAGAGCGCGGCTGGGCTCGCGCCGCCGAGGTCACATGGAGGCTCTTTGTTTACAGAACGCTGAGTCAGGGTGCCGATACGGCATTAATACCGGTAACGCGCGCCTTGTATGCACGTACGTGATGCTCCCGCCGGGGTCGACTATGGCGTGGTGCTGCCCACGGTCGGATGGTGCCCCAGTGCGCGTCTGGCCGCTTGGTGGGCGGTGAGGGCGCGTCTGGCAGCTTTCGTGGTCGCGACGGCTCTCGAGGCTGCGCAGAGCAGTCAGCAAGCAAGCGCTGCGGCTGGTGCTCGCGGCGACGTCTCAGCGAGTCAGCCCGTGTGCCCCCGGAGGTTCTGGAAAGGATGGCGCTCGGACAGGTGGTTAATCATGTGCTGCGTCTCCCCACGCCCAGGCGTTTGAGAGCCAACAGTCGAACAGGGGTGCGGTGCGCATGGGCAGCCACGCGGAGACGGTCAGAAAGCGGTGGCGAGCGACGGGGATAGGCGTGAGTGTGAGAGTGCCGAAGACGCTGCCCGCGAGCGCCCCAGCACGCACAGGAACGTGGGCACAGCTACAAGGCAAGAAAGAAGCTGCGCATAACTGTCCTTGGCCGTTGCGCGTCGAGCTGGCTGCTGCGGGCTGCTGGCCACGGGCAGGTGGCAGAAGAGGAGAGGCACGGGCGGGCTGGCAGCTAGCGCCACGGCCGTGTGGTCGCAGTGCTAGAGGGCAGTCATCGGGCGCGCTCCGGCCTACAAGGAGCTGGGCCTGGCGGCAGCATGAGGCGTTTATGGCGACAGGGGGGCGCCCGTAGTGACGGGCCACCTCTTTTGGGCCTGTGGGCGGTCCAGGGCATGCCCACCATTTATTATCGCCCCGAGCGCTGCTCGCTTCGTGGGTCCTGCCTTAGACTACTGCGTCCGGATACTATATACACAGCTGCACCGCTCCACCGCGCAGCTGCACCTGCCCTCCGCCGCGCCTTCCCACGCCCACGCACAACACACCGCACATCTACCCTCGCCGCCTCTCTTCTCTATGTGCGTCGCCGCCCGGTAGCAGCAAGGCGCTTGATCGTCGAGCCCGCAGCCGACCGCCCTGACGCAATCACGTCGCCGTCGACGAAAGCGGACGCACCCGCACCCGACCAACACTCCACCTCATACTGCACTTGCACCCCGCCCACCGCCACGGCGCCCCACGCAAACATGCCTCTGCACGCTGCGCGCCCCATTGTGCGCGTCGAGCACGGCTCCATGCACACCATCGAGACGCGCAACGCCGAGAATCTTTTTGGCTTGTGGTCTGGTATGTGCGCTTCTCCCAGCGCCGGAACCTTAAACTGACCCGCTGCTGCAGTCTTCAAACAATGCTCGCCCGCCATGGAAGACGGCAAGCGCTACGAAAACATGGTGAGTCGCCTGCTCGTGCAAGCCGTCCGAGACACGACTGACAGCCACGCAGGCCTGGAGAGTCTGGTCGCGAGAGACCTTCTGCTGCCAGCCCGTCCACTCCGCCCCTTCGACGTGGTCATTTGACTCCAAAAGCGCCGTTACCGACGACGTCCCAGAGCTCTCCTCGAGCATAGCGTCCGACGACTCTGCAGCCGACAGCGCCATTACCGCGACTACTCGCTCCAACTCGTCCTCGCGCCCGGATCTGCGCCGCCACGACTCTATCAACAGCCAGGCCCGCGGCAAGCACATTGCGCCCATCGACCTGGAGAAGGTTGTAAATTCCATCCAAGAGAAAAAGGCCATCGAGCCTCTCTCGCCGCTGCCGCCACAGCTCGCCCCGCCCGTTGCAAAGGAGACGCCGAAAAAGCCCGCCCAGGACACCAACACTACGCCCCGGCCCTCCTCGCCTCCTCCGACTGCCCGCCTCATTCCTGAGTCTTCAGCATCGACAATCGCCACACCAGTGGGCAGCGACCCAATGAGCCCGATGGTTGGTTCCGAGGTCAGCACCTCTACCGACGTTAGCGCTCACAGCGTCGTCCACGGTTTCGACCCAAGCAGGATATCTACTTCTGTTCGATCCAGCACCAACCTCAACCCTACCCCGATTCTCAAGTCCAGCTTCATCTCCAAGCCGCCACCTTCCAGGGCCGAGCCAGTACGAAAGAAGGCACCCATGTTCACCTTAGGCGGGTCGTCCGACGAGGACAACAGCAGCTCGCTCGAAGCCTACTCGCTAGCAAAGCGCAGCTCGCTTTCCGACAACCTCAAGAAGGCCGGCCTCGTCCGCAAAAACCTGTCCTTCAACAATCAAGTCACCACCCGTACGATCCACGACCCCACATCCGAGGAAAGCGAGGGAGCCATCGAAAGCGAATCCGAGGAAGACTCCGACGACAACGCCATCGAGGAGGAGGATTCGGACGAAGAATGGGAGGACGACAACGATGACAGCGCGGTTGCCAGCATAGATGAGAGGCCCATGTTTCAACGTGTCGACTCGCAAGCCAACCTCGTTTCCCGTCGATCTTTACTCACTACTATGATGCACCAGGGAGACCGCGCTCAAGCACTCCAGAATGCTGCATCTCGCTCGACTCCGGCAATTCGACGCTCTCGCACCTCTACTCCCAATGGCCCATCTACTGGAAACTCACCCCAGGAAGACGCAGGCCTCATGATGCGGCAGCAGGCCACCCGGTCAAAGCCCATCATCATGACTACCTCCAACGTACATCCCCCAGCACTCTCTCCACGCACTACTCGTCGCAACATGCTCCAAACGGAGCTGACAGCATCATTGCGTTCAAACCTCCTGTGGGAGAGACAGCAAAAGAACGCCACCACCAACGCAGTGAACAAGCGAGCTCAGAGCGCAGTGTCTATGCCTGCAATGCGCCGAGCCGCGACGACTAGCGACGTGAAGGGATTGCAAGCTCACGCGCAACAAACCAACAATTTGATCAAGGCTGCTACCCACCGGGAAGCGGCTAAAAACAACTCATATAACGATTATTTCGACCAGGGCCTCCAAGAGTACCACCAGAAAGGATGGTAGACTAGGCCTTTTTTTCACCAACTGCACATTCAGCGGCATTCATCGAGCAGCATTCGGGCACAGGCGTTTTTTTTTTCCTTCTTCTTTTTGGAATTTCTACATGGCGCGCCGTTCGCCAGGCTTTCCGTATGGGCCACTCGTGGGTAATGTTTCCCAAAATCTTTTGATACCATAGGGCATTGAGTATGCCTACGAGGCTACGAGTTTCCTTCCTTCTCTTCATCACGTCGGACAACGGGCGGTCCTTTCGGCTACAAGATATGGCAAGGCTCACGCCTGGGTGGTCTGGGTCTGGCTTCTGGGTCGGCCTTTACTGCATGCACTTGTCTGTACTATTACCTGCATTGTACTTTTATCATTGGCCCAGTGGGGTTCCAGTTCGCCCTTACTGTACTGGGTGCAGACGACGATAGCATTACCTCATGGGATGGAGGGCAGGTAATGGATGGGCTTAGCTACCTAACCCCGTAAAAGCGGATACTTTACACATGATTGCGCACATGCTTCCTTTGTGCCCATCGCAGTGACTGTGATGGTGATTCGACGATGCCCATTTGATACTCGCTCCGACTACTGCCGGCGAGAGGACGTGAGGATGCACGACCCCCACCGACCTTCTCTTCTAGATGACAGCACCCGGGACTCGTCTCCCAACAAACGCAAGGGTGATTGGGGCATGCTCCTTGTTTGGCAGGGCTCTTACCGCTCTTCTGAAGCGTGTCTCAAAAGGGGTGTGCGAGAGGCGCTTATGCATGTTGTGCTGTAGCTCGACCCACTGGCGCTGCACATGTAGCTTGCTGAGCAGAGCAGCGCAGGCCACGCTCGACGCAGACGCAGAGTGCCGGCTTCAGCACCGCGGTGTTTCCGCATCTGCCGCAGCCTTTACTCGTTCTTGTGTCACTGTGTCGTGGCTCTAGCTCTAGGACTGTCTCGGTTTATTGCTGACCCGGGTCGGCACTTTCGAGCGTGGATGGATGGAGCCGATGGCATATCATACCATATCATCTGAGATTCGCGCGCAGCGGTCAGTCGCTGGGCACGATCCCTCGGGCCGGCTTCCTGTGCGCCGTTGCCTGTGCTGTGCTGAGCGTGCCTGGGATATGTCACGTCTCGACGCCGGCGCTGCCCTCGTGAGTGTGTTTCGTATTGCGCAGTGCTCCGTGCCCATGCTGTGATCGCCGCTCGAGACTCGAGAGGTGCAGCGCGCTCAGCCTTATGAGTCAGGCGCTTGCAAGTCTTGGACCTGGGGCATTGGGCCTCGCAGCACGCGGGGAGGCGACGGCGAGCGCGAGTAAGAAGTCGCTGGATGAACATCGCCAGACACACAGTGACGAGATACGGCACGCCTGGCGGGAGGCGCCTTGCCTTCCTCTCGTCGCCCAGTCGAGTCCCGCCGTCCGTTGCCGGCTCCAGGTTTCTGCGCGCACCTGACCGACCACGGATCCGCGCCGCTCTTCCCCATTGCGCTGCGTCGCCTTACCCCGGACTCGGCCCAGCCCCCATATCCTGTCATTGCTTTCGTCTCTCCTCCTCTGTCCGCCCCTGCCCTCATGTCACACGCCGCCCTCCACGACCTCATCCCTGGCCGCCCTGGCGGGTGCCTGGACAGCAGCGGTGATATCGCGGTGATGCGCTGGCACTGCTAGCGGGCTGCGTGAGTGCAGATGACCTTTGTCCCTCTCTCCACGCCGGGCCGCGCGCGTCCTCAGCCTCACCTCTCCCCGCTCCGCCACCTTAGCTCGATACCGCGGTACTGTACCTGCCCCAAGACGCGAGATCTTCCCGACCACGCAGCAACGCAGTGATTTCACGGGTGGCTCGCGGGGGCGAGGGCCTGCAGCGGCTTTGTCTGTGCCGCGCACCCCGCCGCCGTGGGGGTCGCGTCGTGTCACGAGGTGCGCTGGATTTTTGTTTTGATACGATGTGATATGATATGGTATAATGGGACTGGGCACTTGCTAGTCTGGGTAGTTTGTTCGACGCGCCGGCAGCGCTTGAAACACTACGAGACAGAGCACTCAACGGACCCTTTGTCGTGCTCGCTTGCTGATCTATCGCCTGCAAGGGGCCTGTACAGCGCAGCAGAGCTGGCCGAGGTGGCGTGCAGCAGGGGCGCGGTAGAGCTTCCCATTGAGCACCCGAGAATTGACGTGCTTTTCCAATACTTCCACTGCGTGGTGGTGATGCAGGGGGTGCGGTAGGGCTATGCTGACCGGATTCGCATCACTTGACTGATGGTCTTCGTGGAGTAGAGGGGGCAAGGCTGATGCGCTGGCTACGCTGTCCTACTCCAGGGGTCTGGGGTTTCGTCGAGTTCATGGTCGAGGGTGGTGAACTGATGGATACTGGCGTCCTCATTGCGCCATATCCAATGCGATGTCGAGAAGTCTCTCCCCTGTCAGGGATGCCACGGGCCTTCTGGTATTGGATGGAGGCTGGACGTTGAACCGAGATATGTTCATTCTTACATCTTGTTCATCGTCTGTGGTTGTTCAACAACATGAGCACTAACGTCCACAGCTCAGGCTGAGTCCTTGCGGTAGCCATTGAGAGGCTGCGATTACACTACTCAGATGTGATTCATCCACCAAGCGCCGATGAATTCCCGTTATACCAGAGTCCAATGCGAAGAAAATGGTACAGCTGTGGCCATGACGAGCATCTTGAGCATCGCTGGGCCAACGGATGGGCGGGAAGCAGTGTGGTCCCTATCCAAGAGAAACTCTGGGGTATTCGAGCGAATTCGAGCCTACTGCAAGAGCTATTCGAGAGGATCAACAACGTTAGTGTAGACGAAGAAGGTTCTGCGCAGACAGTAGCTTTGCAGACGGCTCCGGCTCCACTGAAGCAACGGGCATCTACGGGATGTTGACCCGACGTCGCCTCTGAATTGGCAGACGTAACAAATCGCCCAGAGAAGGGTTCGCGGGATGACGCTGTCCCTACAACCTGGAGTCGGGAGAACCGCACCTAGATGGTAGTGGACCAAGCAACATCCTTCACACGCTGGTAATGGTTCATCTACATCATGCGGCTGCCACGTTTTGCTCTCCACCTTAGGCCCAGCCCCAGATGTCCTAGCGTACCAGCTTTTCTCCAGCGCTACTAGAACAGCTGGGGAAGCTCCTTCCAAACCGGCTCTCTTTCTAACAGTATCATCTCTACTGGAACGAACAACAGTGGCTATCGACCAATACTCGGCGACACTTGGACAGACGTCTGGCCGTTGAGATGCCGGCTCATGTATGCCGTACCGCAAAAATTTCTCCGGCTGCCAGGCCATCTCCCCTCAAGGGTGGGGTTGCAATTGCCCCGAGAGAGGTGCGCAACAGCTCGGTCAATAACCATACCCGCCGCTAGAGCCTCTGCGCCGGAGACGATTCCATGGTCACCTGGGAGGCTGACGTCGTAGCCTCGGGCGCTTGATCAGCAGCCCGCGGGCGGTATTCAGTACCTTTTGTTACAAACGGTTCTATATCCACGTGGCACTCAGCTGCAGACACCGAGAATTGCAGCGATAGGGCTGCGCGATCGTCAGATGCATGTAGGCACAAGTGCCATCGTTCTTTAGTGTTGGCGGACGTTTACCCCGCAAAGTACAAAACAAGCGCCGTGGAGAGAAGGCGGCATGTGTATCCTTGTATGCTCTGCGCGGTAGAGATTTGACGGGATGTTGGTCTCGGTGCGGTTGTGCAGCGCGGCACTTACACGATCAGATGCACGCTCGGTAATCTCACTTCACATGTATCCAAACAGTACGCTGTCTGGTGCAGCTATGCAGCGACCACATGTTCAACGAACAGCCTCGGACATGTGATAGCCTACCTTCAATACCGCTGCGCGGAAGTTATTCCAGGCAATTCGCCAAAGCATGCAAGAATGTTGGCACGTTCCGCCGCTATGATATCATCCATCAACAACCCCCGCTACAGACAGACCACGGAAGGCCGTACTTCCACAAATCGCTTGACCACGCAGTCGTGATCATGCGGCGGCTACTTTTGTGCGGGCCGATGTCAGAAGCAAGCTCTGCATCCAGGCCGCTTCCCCGGCGTAGCGCGAGCATCACCACATGGTGCCAGAGCGTCCAAAACCGTGATCAACCCGCGACTCGACAACGGCGATTCAAGGTTCAGCTCATGCACCTGAGTTCAATTAGAGAGTTGGTATCGACGGTGCGATTCAGAACAGGTTGCTTACATTCGGAACAGGAGAAGCATGCAGTGTTGTCCGCTCCGTGGTCTGCACAAGGGACGTCCCTACACAGGATGCTGCAGGCAGGTGCTCGTGTCAAGCGCGACCTTCCCCAGATAGCCCCAGATCAGCGCGCGGCAAGCAGCCGTAGGGCTGACCCTTTCAATCCTCGACACGAGGTCGAAAGATCGACAATTGCCCGTTACAGCACGTGTCTCAAAGCAGCATGCCGTTCTTAATGTACGCAAGTCGCGCGATCCAACTACAGACACCAGCACGCACAGCATGGCCAGAGTTGGATGCGTGTGAGAAATGTGCCGTCACAATCCGGGGTGCCAGGACAGCAGCACCCAACCTCAGCGTGACCGATGATTGGCGGCTGCAGCGATCGGCGCCCTCGATATGCAGGTACCATTCGCATGTGCTCGAACAGGAAAACCGGAGCACCACCGTCAAACAATAGTCTCGTGGAATCGGCTGAGAACGCACAACCATGTTGCTCGCGAACTTCTGATGGCCCCGGGTCACTTCGCCAGCCCCTCGCAGGTACCACACGTCATGCAAGCGCGCAGCTGAGGCGGCGGTGGATTCGCGTTGCGGAAGAGGGTTGCATGTGATCCTTGCGGGTGGACCTGTTGAGCAGAGCCTCACGCCGCCCGTGAAAGACGTCGTCGACGCCTCTGCAACGCGCAACAACGTGCGCGCCCGGCTGCACCTCGATCGACCCTAGCTTCCGCAGCGCGGGCCACCGTCCCAGCCCTCCTCTCTCTCCAACATCTGGTTCGCTCGCCCTCCAGACACCCCACCCAGCGCGCATTTTTTCTGCACCCTTCCGCACGCCTCTCGGCCGGCTACAGCGCTGGTCGCCCAGGCTCGGGACAAAGAAGTTTTCTAGAAGGCTTTTATTCCGGCCGTTTGGGCCGCTTGGGCGCGAAGCGTCCCTGCGCTGGGCCATGAGTGGACGGGCTCGGAGATCCGGCTCGACGCGCGGATGTGAGGCGTGCGCTTTCCGTTTTCACGTGTCGGAACGCCCGCCTGGCGTGCATGCAAGCATGTTGCTCGAGCTTGGTCGCGGGCACCGTGGTGTGGTGACGGCAAGCGTATTGCTTTCGAGATCAGTCGTCAAGCCACGCCGCGTCCGCGTGGTGCATGCAGACATTGCAGAGCTAGACGTCGACCTACTGCTGATGTGGCCACCTGTGACGCCATTGATCACGCGTCACGAGTCGAGTCGGGTTGAGTCGACTTGAGCAGAGGCCACAGCAACATCAACACCACGCAAATCACACCTTCACCCTCCGTATCTCCACTTCCCCTCTTCACCGGACGGTCCAGTCCACCCCTGCGTACCGCCGAGCACCCGCCGAACACCTCCTGTAATACCCACTTCTCCTTACAGTGCATCTGACTCCCTCCCCTTCTGCTCCGACTCCCTCCGCTAGCCTGCAAGAAAAAATCCTACACCCTCCGACGCTGCAGGCCCATAATACCAGCCCCGCCGCCAGCACCGCACGTGAAACCCGCGTTGTGGCGGTGAAAGCGCCTGGAAGGCGGGCTGTGGCTCGATAGCTGGCACTTGTGACTTCGCGCGGTAGGCCGCATGGGGAGGGTGGTATTTGCAGCGACGCGACTCGCACATGGTTTGCAGACGTCCCTGCGCTGTCTGTACTGTACAGTATACGCTCGTTGCCAGGCCTATCTCTTCTCTTCAATCAATCGGTAATCTATGTAATGCATTTCTCCGTCCAAACCACAGCGCCATCATGCCATGCACCAACGCCCCGTTCTCGCGCGAACTACTTCCCATCTACTCCAGTTGCACCCATGGAAGCCCGGACCCTGCATCTCGCGTCTGCGTCCGCGTCCGCGTCCGCGCGCAGGCATTTTCTTTGTCGCGCAGAAGAAGATTTCTAGTGTAGTGTTTCAGGTGGTGCTAACGGTCTGCATGTGCGGTGCCGTTGGGCACCGACGCAGGGACGCAGAGCCGCAATTTCCTGATCGGGTTGCGGGCCGAGAGGCGAGTGGGGCGCGCTGCTGCGTGGGTTTCGATACACACTATACATATGCAGAGCAGTATTGTGTATTGTAACGATACGGAAGTGGGTTGGGGGTTGCCACTGTGGGTAGGAGGGTGATGGGTCGCGTAGGGCAGGGGAAAGGGTAGCAGGATTGCAGAGGAGAAACGAGTGTGGTAGATGGACGGTGCTCCGCGCCAGGCGCGAACCAACGGGGTCCCACCGGCGATATGGAGTCTGAAAATGGTAGTGAGCATCATCTAGCACTCGTCATCGCATGGAGGTGTTGCTGTGGATGGTCGTCGCGAAGTGATGTACCGCTCTAGGCTGGTAGATCAAGGGACGGCGGAAACAAGATATGACCTTCCCCGCAGAACACCACAGACCTGTTCAGGTTAAGATTCACGTTCGTAGGCTGATCGGAATCGGGAACCCGAGCAGCGAGGAGCCAAGACAAGATGGTGATATTCGAGCTGTAATAGCTACTACTAGAAAAGTCAAATCCATATTCGTAACACAATCCGTGTGGCAAGTTTCTCCGCAATAGAAACGACGGCCCTGTTATGATACCAGACAAATTCATCATGATATCAACCAGACATGGTGATAGAAAGCCCTCCAAGACCAAAACACCCCACCGAGCTTCCGGTATCCTTTATCCCTCCAAGTGACCACAACTCATCGATCCCCTTCCAAGTCTTGGGATCACCACCTTGCTCTCCTACTTCACACCGCTCGTCTCTTCACTCTCATCCCTTCGCCATCCCAAGTCCCAACAGCCCTCCTCCAATTCACTGACCCACCTCCTCCAACCCCACCTCACACACCTCCCCCTACACGGCCTCAGCACCGTTCCCATCGATCATCGCCAACACTCGGTCTTCTCCAGCCTCCATGCCAATTTAATCACGCCTACAATCAAACTATTAGGACGGCTAGATCAAACAAACCTGATCGATGCAGCTACAATCCTGCTCCCACCCGCGCCTTACACGACACCCAGACCCACAATCCCGCAGCCGCTCGACTACCACACTCTCCCACCTACCAATCTTTCTCCCTTCACCCCAACCCCACTTCAATCCAAGTACCCCTCCAGCACCGCAGCGAGTATAGCAAACCCCACAGAACCCGAACCTCGTCTCTCATCGCCCACCCACAAGGAAGTCCATGCGCGTGCGGAGTATCCACGGGGCCTGACACGAGCGTGATGCCAGGTAAGAGTACTAGGGAAGCCATGCCTGAGAGGGCTGACGTCCACATGCACGCAGCGCCGCGGAGAGATGCAATGCCCAGGCAGCAGGGCCGATGAGTACGAGTTGGAGCGGTAGATAGATAGATAGATACCAGTCCCTCTCGCTGCGCTTTGTACGATGTGAATACGTTCCGTCTCCGACGCCGACGCCACTGCCACTGCCACTGCCACTGCCACTGCCACTGCCACTGCCACTGCCGTGACACAGCTATTGATCTGCGTAGCCCTCCCACCAACGCAATGTCTAGACGCGGCGTCAAACCCACTCAACCTCACGGCACTGGCCCTAGTCTAGCACGCATCCCCGTATAGCAGCGTAGGAAGACCGCAGCAGCCCAGGCAAGGAACCGAGATCACACAGACCCTGACGCGCTTGGAATGCCCCAGGCTCAAGAGTGACACAAGCCCTCCGTGCCTTGCAGAGCCGAAGCATCCCGTGTCGTACAGACATAAGGATTACACAGGCAGCAGAAAGATTGCCGTGCCATCGACATCCGCCCCACCAATCCCGTTACTCGCTCGATGCGACGCGTCACTGGCATACAGAGGGGGAGCACGCGTGCCTTGACATTTCTTTTCAATTACTGTGGCCGTCTATATGGTATAGGGCGTTATACAATCGGCGGAGCGCTTGTGCCGCGCCTACGTCCTTCGTCCCCCTCCCACGTGGCCCTGCGTCCCTCGACCGCCGCAGCCGCGCGTCTAGAACTCTTGGTCGTCGCTGCCCGCGATGATCACATTATTGACCTGCATGCTAGTCAGCGAAGTCCAACGAGTCATGATGAGGGGCACGGCAAAGCGAGCCGGAGATGGACGCAAGCAAGGACGGCCTGGGATGCAGAGAATGGGCAGAAAGTGGACACGATCGGAACGTGGTGTGACCACGGCCACCCCCAGCCGTGCGGCTCATGGGCAGAGCGAAAGACACGTCTTGCATGGTACGACCGTGACTTGCATGCGGGCCCGCTTCCCCGTCCCCCGCAATGGAATGTGCACCGTGCAAGGGATAGTTGGCGGAGAGCAGGGTGATGTGCAGTGACGCTGTCGTGACACGCTGCGACACCATGCCCCTCGTAAAGAAACAGGTACGACTGTAATGAATTACAGGTAGGGTAAGCGACGTACCTTGAGTACCATCCTGCACAGTTGTGTTGCGAGGAGTAACTGTTGCCTCTTGGAGATCAGAGGATCGATCACAAAATGCTCCTTCATGTCTGTATATCGGCCCGAGTTAGCACAGCTCATTTCAAAGTGCATGTTGACGGTGCATAGTAAAGGATTGTGTGCATTCCAAGCCCGAGCCGTCCACACACGCGACCAGGTCGAGACCAGAGGAACAATATGTGGAGACATTGTACGGGAAATGTGAGCCTGTCGATCTAACCACGGGAATACGGGTTGAGCCGTTGTACGTGCATGGTGGAACACGGAGTGACCATACAGGTGCAATACAGATGTTGGTTCGATAGACTGGTGTTGTGAAGGATCGTAACGGCATAAGCCGTTTGTCGCACCCGGAAATTGACCCACGAAGGAAAGAAGATAGGTAGTACTTACCGTTGCTTCCGGTTTGCATACAGTCAACACCTAACCTAGAGTTGTTCTCCTTGGCTTGGCGCGACTTGATGTTTGCAAGTGTTTCGATCGGACTGAGACCAGAGTTCTCGGCCAGTGCCATGGGTACACAATCGAGCGCATCGGCAAACGCGCGCATTGCGTATTGCTCGAGACCGGGGCTCTGTAATGGCGGTCAGAATTTGCTGCATCATCCCGGCAAGGGTGTGGGTACCTTGACGGCAGCATCCTCCACAGCGAGCGAACAGGCAATCTCGGCCGCACCGCCACCATATACGATACGGCTATCTCTGACTAGGTTTCGGACAACACAGAGAGCGTCGTGCAATGATCGTTTCGCTTCATCAATGATCTGCTAATTGTTAGCGCGCTGGTACGGGCTTGAGGTTCCTCGCTGTCTGGAAACTCGTGAGAGCATTCCCAATCGAGCGTCGATTTGCAGCTACGCACCATCTTATTGCTACCACGGACAAAGACTGTCACCGCACGAGTGTTTGCACATTCTTCGATGACCAACATCTTGTCGCGGGTCGTTCCGAACGTTAGTTCCCGGACAACACCCGCTTTGCCCAGCTTCTCCGCGCTCAGGTCCTCAAACCTGGGCACTATTCGGCCGTTTGTAGCGATTGCGATCAGCTCAATCTCAGGGCCTCCTACCCACCGGACAGCGGGTAGTTTGTTGGTAAGGAGCAAGTGGTTGGCCTCGTCGTCGAATCCCCATTGGCAAATGACCACGTTGGCGCCGGTATCTTTGATCTGCTTTATCATTTCGGTGAACTTGTCGGATTCGTACGTCTGTAGCTTCTTGAACTCCTCGACGGACGTGATGTCCAGCTTGTGCTTCGTCTTGGGCTTCGGGGGCTCGAAAGCGCATGTGAGGATGGCAAGCTTCGCGTCCTTGACCTCGTCCGGCATTTGCGGGTGGGAGAAGTCCTTGTCTATTATGACACCCTGGACAAGTAGTGTGTCCTCCAGCGCTCCTCCGACTTTACCGTCGACCTTGATGAGCTCGAAATCAACGTCCTTCCGGGACAAATCCGCGACAGACAACACGGCATCAACGGCAATCTTGGCGAAGTGGTCGTGTGCTTTTGACACAATCTTGCTGCCCAGACTCGTCTTGGCGACCTTGAACAACTCCTCTGTGTTTTCCTTGGAGAACTTGATCTCGTCACTGATCTCGTCGAGCTTTGCAACGGCGACCTCGCAGGCCTGGTCGTAGCCATCCGCTATCCGAATCGGGTGGATGCCCTTGTCAATGAGGTCCGCCGCTTGCTCCAGGAGCGCGCCTGCAAGCACCACTACACCCGTCGTACCGTCGCCGATCTCGTCATCTTGTGATTTTGAGAGCTCAACGAGCAGCTTCGCGACGTGGTTGGAGATTTCCATCTGCGACAGAATGGTGGCGCCGTCGTTGGTCACGGTGATGTCGCCGTCGGGCGAAATCAAGATCTTGTCCAGTCCTCGGGGTCCCTATCTATATGAGCTCATGTCACATTTCCGCAGTCCATTATTCGTACCAAAGATGTCTTCACAATGTTGGCTACAGTCCGCGCGGCCAGGATATGTGACTTGACCGCTTCGTTGCCGTGTTGCCTCTTCTTCTTGCCTTGGCTGTGGTCCGTCAGCTTCCCCTGCTCTTCTCATGTCCTTCTGCGTACTTCAGAGCTTTACGTACTCTCTCACAATAATAAACGGCCGTCCCGACTCATCCTTCATCACCTGGGCTATACGTGCGCATTAGTCGTCGGTCGCAATGGGAGGGGCGGCTTTGGCGGATTTCGAGCGAGGCATACCATTCGACATGTCCAGTTCTGCATAGCCTATCAGTCAGCATGCGAATTCTCAGGTGTTTATGTTGGGTTTGATATAGTGGGGTGGGGAGCTGGTTGCAGCCTGCAGCACTTACGCATCGCCATCTTGACAGAGCTCCGGACGAAAGTCCTTTTCCGCTAGGGTGTGTAGTTTTCAAGTTCCTAGAGTATGAGAAACAAAAGAGGGGCGGTGAACGGACGTCTTGGTGGGGTAACGCCGTGTGTTGACAGCGTCTCTAACTTTTCGAAATTCTGGCAGGTGCCCCAGCCTTGGCGCACTTGGCGAGGAAGCTCTGACCCCGACCTCGACGCGCCGACGTGACCAGCTATTTCAAGATCGCACACGCGCCACTGTGTCTCTTGCCGCCGTTCATTTCACATCTCAATCGCACTCAGCAGGACTGTGCTGAGCTTCTCGCAGCTACCAATCGCCTCACTTCGGCTGGCGGGCCGACTCGCGACAGCTGCCTACCCATGCCGCGTGAGCGCGTCCCCACCCGCGCAAGATACTGCTCGCTGACTTGCGCATAGCTGCTTTGAGCGACGAGGAGATCAGCCAATCCTCTGGCGACGAAGAGATTCCCGCGAAGGAGGTGAAGAAGTCGAAGCCGGCACCTGTTGAAGAGGAAGAGGAGGAAAGTAACGAGGAAGAAGAGTATGCGCTTGCAGTTTGGAACGAATTGGAATTGCGCTGATTGGCTGGCAGATATGTCGTAGAAGGGATTGTGGCCCATAAAACAGTCAAAGTACGAGGTTGCTGCAAGCCTTTGGTGTATGGACTGACCTTCGCGATCAGGGCAAAGTACTCTACCACGTGAAATGGCAAGGATACGACGATCCCGCGGACATGACATGGGAAGGCGAAGACAACCTGTAAGCCCTGGACCTGAACTATACGCAGAGAGTCACATGCTGACCTGTTCCAGCGAGGGCGTGGAAGCGCTCGACGAATACCACACGTTGATCGGGGGCAGACCAGTGCCTGGCAAGAAGCGCAAAGGGAGAAAGTCCGGCGTCGAGACTGAGAGCAGCACACCCGTAGCGGCGAAGCGAATGAAGAAGGAGAAGGAATGGGCCCCGCCACCAGGCTCGTGGGAGGACGAGGTGGATCACGTTGACACCGTGGAACAGCGGGTGAACCCCAAGACCGGAGAGAACGAGAAATTCGGCTATCTAGTCTGGAGCAACCAGATCAAGACGCAGCATCCGCTCCCACTCATCTTCAAGAAATGCCCACAGCGAGTAGGTGTAGCGCACTTTCTGTTACATATCAAAGCCGCTGACATGCCGTAGATGCTTACCTATTTCGAACAGCACCTTGTCTTTAACCAGGCAGATACGGAGGAGACGAACGGCAACGCCAGCATGACGGGCATCGACGACGACGACTTATGAAGGCAAAGATCACCGTGAAGCAGCAACGCGCAAGCTTGGATCTTAAGCATATGTTGACATGGAGCGAGACAAAATCACTCCCACTGAGTTGGTTCATTGTCAACCAGTTCGCTTCTCAGTCTCTCACGGTGTACTGGGGGAATGCTTTCTAGCATGGCGTCCGTGGTCATATCCATTTTACAGCTACCATCAGGAGGTCACCGCATTCAGCTGAAAAGAATCTGCAATGTGGAAAGGTGAAGGCGCCTCTACCCACCCGAGCGATTTTCGATGTTTCTAGTCTGTTGGCACCCTTAAACAATCTTGGTTACAACTACAGCCCTTGCTGTTCCACCACCGGGGCGCAATCCCCCTCATTTCAACGGATAAACGCCTCTTCTACGTACGTTGAAAATAGGACTGCGAAACAGCAGGCCCAACTACTTCCACCAATCCTATAGCCATCGGCGTCTGCCTTGCAATCTCACTATGTTTGCGCACCGGACTAACAAACTTGCAAACCTCAACAACTTCACGATCCGATCCCGGGTCTGCCGCGAATGCAGCCTCAAATCTCGCAAGTTTCGTCCAACTATCATGCAGCTTCCCGCACTACAAGCTCGAGTAGACCAGGAATAGCGATATGGTGTCAATAATGCCATTCGTTCTCATCTTCGCAGATATATACACATCTCGTTGCCCTCGCATCTCGATCCGGGTATCCAGCATAGCAATAAAGTGCTCATTAAACCATCCATCCATGCACAATCTTCGTCTCAACAACTCTCAACGAACAATGCAAAGACTCATGCCAAAGTCCCTCCCGTTTCCCAAATTCAGATTTCAAATCCCATCAACGCCATACCAAACCATGCCTTGCGCTGTTCTTTTACATGTACATAAGTGACGCTGCTGTCGTTGATCGTCGTAATAATTGTTGCGGTGGCCAAACCAAAAGAGAGAAGAAGTAGACATGACGGGAACGGCGTCTATGCCTCCGTCATGTCGCTCACGCTGCTCCCTGAGTTGCCGACCGCCATCCGCGTCTGCAGGTAGTAGATTGCGTATGCGATGAGCGCGATGAGGATGAAGAGAATGAGGATGATGAGGAAGATGACGATGTTGCGCTTCATTTTGAGGGTGGAGAGTTTGCGTTGAACTGGGTTGGGTCTAGGCGAGCTCGTGGGGGTAAGGCGCGCAATAGAGTGGTGCTGTAGGCGGGATGTTCTGCGAGATTGTTAGGACAGTGTTATGCGGTGTGGACGCGGAGGTAGAACATACCTTTCACTTTGAGGAAACGCGAATCGAGTCTTCGGTCCCGGAGCGGTGCGCTTTTCTTCACAATCGTCTCTTTCTCCAGCAACGTGTACAGGTCCGAGCGCAAGTTGTCGCGGCAACAGTTAATCAACCAACAACACTGCGTGACGTGTCTGCGATATGCAAGAACGGCTTGTGGACGCGAAAATCTTCTCGAAGTAGCAATATGCAAGTGTAAGTACTTTCTGTGGAATGCACGCGCTGGGCGCACTTTTGTAGAGATGCGATGGGGTGCGTGCGCGGGGGTGGTTGGGCGCTTTGGAGGTTGGTGTGGCTGGGCGAGATCATCGGGTGGCTGGCAGGGGTAAGGTGCGACGCGGCATATGGCAAGGTTAGGGAGTGAAGAATGATGTAGTTGTTTTAGAATGTTTGTTTTCCTGCATATGTATCTGTGAGGCTGTTATTATTGAGTTGGAGGAGCTTCGTAGATGGTTGTGGGTGCAAGTCGAGATGCAGGGGTGCGGGCACTACCGGCGCTAGAGGGTATCCTGCGCGGCGATCGCACCACCACTCACGGCGGCGGCAGCATCACAAGACATCGCATATTGATCGCCAAATCGATCTCCGAAATGTTTGTTTCAGCTATGGTGCGAAGGCCGATATCCAATGTCGCAATTCGGCGCGCTCTGGGGCACCATTGGGCAGACGGCGAATAATACTCGTGACAGTTTCCACTATTTCGACATTCATACACTCTATCACCGCTGAGAAGTTGTTCACTGAGGACTGCCAGACGTATCAGGTCCTTCTTCATAATTGTCGTACGAAGAACGCCATGTGGATGTTGAGTATGCCACGCGTAGGGCGTGGACAATTTCCGACTGATGACGATCATGATTGCCGACGGCAGATCGAGACTGAGCACACAGTCGAGAGTTTATTATAGGTACGGCTTTGCAATCTCCTCGCACCAAGCCCAAAATCTCTCTGCTGCACCTTTCTCAATCGCCTCATGGATATCCGCCCTGGGACTCTTCCCTTTCCTTCCCCACGGCCAGACATATTCCCCATTCATGACCTCTTCACTCAACCCAGCATATGCCATGGTATACGCCCCATACTTTGTTTCATACAAGAGAAAAGTCTGTAGAAACTTACGCATTATCCCTGGTACATACCGGTAGGCTTCCGTATTCAGATTGCCCGGATTCTGCACCACAGAGGAGATACCGTACGGTTCCCAAGCTTTCGCAGCTTCATGGCTCAAAAACCAGTTTCCGACCTTGCTGACGGCGTAGTCAATGTTGGAATCTGTTGTTTTGCCAGCCTCTATGGTTTTGAAGTCGATACCATTGGTTGGTGAGAAGGTATCTACCATTAACGAGCTGGTCCAGACCACGCGCACGCTTCCCTTTGGCGCGGATGTTGCCGCCTCTCGTAGAAGCGGGAGAAGAAGCTGTGTAAATAGCAAGGGTGCAACGCAATTCGTGCCGATGTGGCCTTCGATGTTCTGAGCTGTCGTCGTCCCGAGCGGTGCGCCGCCGATTCCAGCGTTGTTCCATAAGACATCGAGTTTTGCTTCCTGTGCAGCAAACTCGATAGCAGCGCGCTTCACGCTTGCTAGATCTGCCATATCTACATGCAAAAACTTGAGCGTTCCTGGTGTGGCAGCCTCAGGGTGGGCTTCCTGGATTTTGTGGATTGCCTGTGAGGTGCGCTCTTCGGAACGGCTGGCCATGTATACTGTTGCGCCTGTCGGGTACAGTAGTTTTGCAAGTTCATATCCGAGTCCTTGGTTTGCCCCTGTTATCAAGAATGTCTTCCCTTTCTGCGGAGCGATATTCTTCTCTGTGAAGGTGGGTGCTGGCGGAAAATGTTGGGTCCAGACCGCTTTCACGAAGTCGAGGGATGGCATTTTGATTTGTCGTGGTCCCCTGGAAGATGTTGCGAGGAAACAGGAGTGTAAATTGCGGCGTTGCGTTGGAAAGATAGCGGGCATTATATGGGTAAGTAAGGAAGTGGCGTAGCACCTGCCGGAAGAAGTTAGCACTGCCGTTTAGGTCTTAGTGCTCACGGGGCAGGCCATATTTTCCCAAAAGGACAAACGAATTGCTTCACTTGCAAGATCATTCGATACCGTGCCTCATTCATGGAAGATTATGGCATTCCACCGCCCCTCAACAAGTCAACCTTTGCGACAGAGCCCATCTACGGACCCCCTTTGGCCACAATCTCCTCCTCGACCCTCCCATCGCCGCTAAGCACAGTTCGTACCTTGACCTTCTTCTTCTCGGTGCTGGCCTTGCGCGGGTTCTTTGCTTCGAAGATGTAGTCCATTTCCTCAAGGGTTAGACCCTTAGTTTCGACAAAGAAGAAGTACATGAACGCAAACTCGAACATGTCCCAGAAGACAAAGAAGACGTAAAACCAGTATCCGATCTGCAAAGCGTCAGCAAGAGTATTGGTTGAGGGGGAATGTAATAGCTTACGTTTGAGAGAGCGATCGGCGCCGCAAAGGTATTGATAAAGCCAGCAGCACCACCAACTATCTTGTATGTTCCCATGCCCTTCGCACGCATGTCGTTTGACATCACTTCAGCCGGGTAAATCGGCTGCATTGCGGTGAAACCAAAGGCGAAAATTGCCCCGAAGACAAAAATGAAGCCGATTGAAGCTTTAGAGCTCGTTTCCGATCCTGTGTTCACATATCCTGCTGCTGTGCCAGCAGCAATGGAAAGTGAAATAATCAAACCTGCTGTGGCACCCAAGAGCATCTTGCGACGACCAAAGACATCGTGTAGACGTGCTCCTGCCGTGGCGAAGATGTACCCCTCGACAGCGTACATGATGTTGAGAAGGAGCTTAGTGTCCGTAGATGTGATGCCGACGTTTGCTGCAAGCAGCGGGAGATAATACGAGACAACGCTGGATTCCATTAGCGAGACACTCAGCGATGGAGCTCGTGATCTTGACTTACTTGTTGCCAGAGAACTGACCAAACCACGCAAACGTCATGTTCAACATCGTCCTGTATCGCCTCGCTCTAGTCTTGAAGAGCACTCGCAGATCAAAGAAGTTCCGCCAATTTGCTACCGGGTCTTTTTGTAGAGAATCTTGCATTTCATACATCTCGAGTGCGACAAGTGGGTGATCGGCGTCGCCATTAGCGTGATGTTTGATCAGAAAAGCGCGTGCCTCTTCATGTCGGTCTTTACCGATCAACCAACGAGGACTCTCCGGGAAGAAGAGGATAACGCAGCAGACAAGTCCAGGACACACCATCTGTAGCCAGAGTGGAAGGCGCCAATCCATATTGGAATCGGAAAGATGCTTGTGCGCTCCGTATACGGACGACGTTGCGAGAATAGAGCCCTTCGTGACCGGTCAGTCCAGGCTGAATGTAGGACGCGGCTCTGCAGACCACGAAATGCAACTACGACTTACCATATAGTAGAATGTATTGTACATGCCAGCCAAGGTTCCTCGATACTGTGGCGGCGCCACCTCTACTAGGTACAGCGGACTAGCCGAGCATGCCAATTGCGCAAAGAAGCTTAGCAAGAACCTCCCGCCGATAAACGTTGGAAGCGTTTTTGCAGTTGAAGTTACAACGGTTCCGACGATAACACCAGCAGTCCCAATGAAGATTAGCCAGCGACGACCGAGCCAGTCTGCTACCCAGACGAACAGGGCAGCGCACATCTGTCCAACCTGGAAGATGGCGAATATGATACCAGTGGATGCTGTCCCTGTAGTTGGAAGGTTGTAGTACTTGGTGTAGTTGGGCAATGCGTTGATGCTGCCCATGAGACTTCCATCAAAACCTTGTCTGATCAGTTGAGGCTTCTTCTTCAATCGGAGCGTGAAGCCACTTACCACTCATGGTCGAGTTTAGAAAACAAACAGCTGCCAATGCGTATAGCTGCAAATGACCCTTTCCCCATGGATTTGGCTTGTGTTTCGCCATGATGGTCGCAAACGAAGCGTTCACGGCCTCTATCTCCATTTCCTCCACGATCTTCCTGCCATCCTCTGTCAAGTTTTTCTCCCCATAGTACTCTGACGCATTCGGTTCTTTGTCTGCCATTCTGATTGTGCAGTTGCGCGTAAAGTGAAGTCGCAAGAAGATGCGGGGTTATATCGCTCACAATCATTCCATGTCTCCCGGCTGCCCGGCCGTTCGGTCCCCTCACTCTTGATAACCAATCACTAGCCATGTCACGTCGCATTCTGTCGTTGCACGGGTGTTCCATCGCTTACACGAGTATCAGGGAAGCCGGTAGCTCATCGCCCGAGCAAGTCGTAATAGCGGGCGATAGCAATTAGGCTCTCGTGGATCGTTACCATGTTGAGACAGGCGTTGGATCCCCCGCACTAGGCGTCCACCAAGCCGATGCAAGCCTCGGAAAATAACCGAACGAGACTCCTTGGCGATGATTCAGCGCGGCATACCCTTTTCGCTCGCAGCACGAACCGTACTTCATTATTCTTGGGTAGAGACTTGTGCGTAGACAGTATGGCTGTGTCGCGCTTCCAGTTGAAGTCCGGTTGGGCGTTTAAGAAGGGATGTCGCAACTCCGACGCAGAGTACCTCCCCGCGAACGATCTCCCCACCGAAGTACATTTGGACCTACTTACGAACGAGAAGATTGCCGATCCCTTCAAAGACCTTAATGAACTCTCTGTCCGCTGGATTGGCGAAGAAACATGGACCTATCGAACGACGTTTACCGCTCCTCCGGATTATGGGAAGCGCGGCATTACCACAATCCTGAGGTTTGGCGGCTTGGATACCTTCGCGCACGTCTTTATCAACGGAAAGCCTCTCTTTGATTCAGACAACATGTTCATAGAACATGTCGTCGATGTGACCGGCAGTCTGGATATCGACAACGGTGCGGAACAGATTCTCGAGATTACATTTGATTCAGCGAGGCAGAAGGGTCTCGAGCTTGTCAAGGAGCATAAGGAGCACAGGTTCATCGTGCATCAGACAGAAATCTCGAGAGGCCCTGTCAGAAAAGCACAGTATGATTGGGGCTGGGATTGGGGTCCAATACTCATGACTGCTGGGCCCTGGAAACCGATTGTACTCGAAACCTTTGAATCGAGGATTGTCGATGTATGGGTTGAGTATGAGATTGATGAGGACCTGAAGCAAGTGGAAGGCAGAGTCTTTGTCGAGATGGAGGGGTCGGGAAAACTTGATGCGGACATCTCCAAAGACAGGCAATCGTTGGAGAAGCTTGATGATTTCAAGCCGACGACGAAACCTGGTGTGGTGAGCGCTGACTTCGAGCTTCCGGATGCCTCTCTCTGGTGGCCGCGTGGGTATGGCTCACAGCCTCTATATGTCATTTCCGTCACGCTGCGTTCGGCTTCAGCATCCACCAAAGCAGACACAGTTCTCGATGAAGCAGACAAGACTATAGGTTTCCGAAAAGTTGAGTTGGTGCAGGAAGATGACAGTCATGGCACATCTTTCTATTTCCGCATCAACGATGTCGACATATTCTGCGGCGGCAGTTGTTGGATTCCGGCTGACTCATTCCTTACGCGTACGACCTCTTCATTCTATCGAGCCTGGATGAAGCAAGCAGCTGAGGGCAACCAAGCTATGGTCCGGATATGGGGAGGTGGAATCTACGAACAAGACTCCCTTTTCGAGGCGGCAGACGAGTTTGGTGTGCTCATATGGCAAGACTTTGCTTTCGCTTGCGCAAATTATCCTGCTCATCGTTCCTATCTCGCTTCCGTGGAGGTCGAAGCGCGACAAAACGTGCGAAGACTACGTAACCATCCCAGTCTCATCATATGGGCGGGCAACAACGAAGATTACCAAATCGTCGAGCGTTATGGCTTGGAGTACAACTACACCACCGACAAAGATCCGGAGTCGTGGCTCAAGACTAATTTTCCGGCTCGCTACATATACGAATACTTGCTCCCCAAGGTCATCCGTGAAGAAACGAAAGGCGTTCCATATCATCCATCTTCCCCCTTCGGAAACGGCACTTCCACGACGCTTAAGGTTGATCCGACTGTTGGGGATATACATCAGTGGAATGTCTGGCACGGGACTATGGAACCCTACCAACGCCTGCCGCGAATGGCTGGCCGCTTTGTATCCGAATTTGGCATGGAAGCCTATCCTCACGTGTCTACATTGGAAAAAGCTATTACCGATCCTGATGAGCGTTACCCAGGCTCTATGGCCATGGACTTTCGCAACAAAGCAATTGGACACGAGCGGCGTCTGGTGTCATACGTCGCTGAAAATTTCCGCATTCGATATGATCTTGAGGGGTTCACACACCTGACACAGATCATGCAAGCGGACGCGCTGACGTGGGCATACCGCTCTTGGCGTCGTGACTGGAAACAGCACGGCAACAGGAAAGTTGGCGGCGTATTGGTGTGGCAACTGAACGACTGTTGGCCAACGATGAGCTGGGCAGTTATAGACTACTATGGTGTACCCAAGCCCGCCTATTATGCCATCAAGCGCACCTTGGAGCCGCTGGTCGTTGGTGTACAGAGAAAGGTGAACGATTGGACTGTGCGACTTGCCGATGAGCTTTGGCAGCGCGACACAAGCCACATCGATATGCGTAAGATATGGGAGGATGTACAATTTGACATCTGGGTGGCGAGCAATATGCGCGAGAGCATCAACGGAAATATAACGGTTCAATTCATATCCGTCAGAACCGGTAAAGAGATCCTTAATCCGCTGGAGAGAGCAGTCCGAATTGAAACGAATGGCACCACGGAAGTTTTTGAGAATGAAAAGGTCAATGTGCCCAACGCGCAAGATCCAGACAAGCCTTTCGATACCTCTAATGCGGATCCATTCATCATATACACCACACTCACAATCCATGATAAGCAGGTAGCCAGCGACGTTTCATGGCCCGAGCCAATTAAGTATCTTAGTTTCCCGGATCGTGGAGTAACGGTTGAATATTCGGACGACAAGAAAAAAGTCTTCGTGTCTGCTGAAAAACCTGTCAAGGGCTTTGTATTTGCTGAGAAGGAAGGTCTGAAGCTGTCCGATAATGGGTTCGACTTGGTTCCGGGAAGAAGGACAGAAGTGCATGTGCAAGGAAGCGCGGCCGATGGATTACAGTGGAGATACGTCGGTAGCTCTTAGTCTTCGATGGTCGCGTCACCGATGGATACTTCTTCTCATCGTCCACACACGTGAATTTTCTTTATTCTTGACTTTTCACCAGCGAAGGCGGAGTCCGCAGCCACCACCTAATAGCTATGAATTGTACACTCATAGAAACATGCAGCCCGGCCGTGAAGGAGCCATGGCAAGTTCATCAGTTTACGTGGATTCCAGATCACGATATCTTCGCGTACATTGCGACATGCTTGGCGCGTGTCATTCTCGAGCGACTTTGAAGCTTCTCCTCGGCAGTACACCTCTAGATAGCACCTCTGTATAGCGTGCTTTATGCTAATCATGATAAATCGCGAAAACTGTTATAACAGTCCACTTGATCGGCGCATGCTAGGGTGCCGTGAACCGCCACTGTAGTCCACTGGCAGGGTTCCCGCAGAACTGCATGGTTTGCGATGTGACATATCAGCGTGGATGTGGCTGGAACAAGTAGTTGGCTGTTCATAAGGTTGCCGTTTCGCCGAGTAAACGCGAAGACGACAGATCCAATCTTTTGAGAGTCCGTCGAAGGTGCAATCATGCCTGACCAGCACCCTGATGATACATTGTCCGGTGCAAAGCGCACACCATCTTCCGAGGGCGGCGGCTCAATCACTGGTATCGACGACAAGAGACCTATCAAGGAACCCGTCACAGTCACCAACCTAGCGACAGTGGAAACACAGCGAACGGAGTCGGTGCTTGGGAATTGGTTACTGCGCGTGCTGCGGATTCGAAAAGGTCCAAATAATGAAATCTACGACCTTGATGCCGTCGCCACGCAGCCTAGTATCTGGGACTCGGACAATGTCGAAGAGTACAAGGAACGCTACATCCACAAAGAATGGGAAAATTGGTCTGCTTTCGATCCTAGCTTCCGATGGACATGGAGGGAAGAAAGGGCTGTGCGACGAAAGGTAGACTGGAAGATCATGGTAAGCTCCCAAACCATTCTAGATTTCATTAGATACGCTGACACCACAGGTCTGGGTGTGTGTAATGTTCGCAGCCCTCAACATCGACCGCAATAACATTTCAAACGCTGTTTCCGACAACATGCTCGACGATCTCGGCATTACCCGCGCGGATTACAACATCGGACAGACCATATCACGAGTCGGATTTCTGGTCGCTGAGCTTCCTTCGCAGTTGATCTCCAAGCGTATTGGCCCTGATTTATGGATCCCCATTCAGATCTGCTCCTTTAGTCTGATCTCGGCAATGCAGTTCTTCTTAAAGGGCAGAGCATCCTTTCTAGCGACAAGGTACCTCATTGCTACCATGCAAGGAGGATTCATCCCTGATACGATTTTGTATCTCAGTTATTGGTATACGGGCCATGCTTTACCCATTCGTCTAGCCTGGTTTTGGATGTCGTCACAATTGGTCGATATTGGCGTTGGTTTCGCTGCCGTAGGTCTCTTGTCAATGCGCGGTATTTTGGGATATGAAGGCTGGCGGTGGATGTTCCTCATAGAGGGTATCTTCACGTTCCTGGTGGGACTTCTCTCTTTCTTCCTGATGCCGCAGTGTCCGGCGCGGACAAAGAGTTGGTGGAACCCGAAAGGGTACTTTGACGAGAAGGAAGAGAAGATTATTGTCAACTCTGGTGAGGCGCCTGGAAATCCTCTGAGAAAGTATGCTGATAGTACTGACAGTCATCCGCGATGATCCGCAGAAAGGAGGCATGTTCAATCGTCAAGGTCTCTCCGTCCGACAAATCTGGGAATGTTCAAAAGACTATGATATGTGGCCTTTATATGCTCTGGGTCTTCTTTTCGGCATTCCCAAATACCCCGTGGACCAATACTTGACGCTTTCATTCCGCGGGCTCGGGTTCAACGTCATCCATTCCAACCTACTGTCGATCCCAAAGACAGTTGGGTCCAGTATTACTATGCTACTCATTACTGCATTCAGCGAGCTGGTCAACAACCGAAGCTTTGTCTCGATGGCAGAGGATGCTTGGTTGCTGCCGTGTTTTGCGGCTCTGCTTGCGTTGGAGGACCCGATCAGCGCATGGGCGTATTTTGCGATTGCCACGGTACTGCTTTCTTTCCCCTAGTAAGCATTCACAAGATCGGATGCGTGATACGAAGCTAAAAATGCTAGTACGCATCCTATCCAAGTTGCATGGACCAGCAGAAACGCTGGTTCTGTGCAGAATCGAACGGTTTCAGCCTCGCTATACAACATGTTTGTCCAGGTTAGCGGGATGATTGGAGCGAACAGTAAGAATACACGCAGCCGTTCTCGAGCAATTTTGATTCGCGTTAGTTTATCAACCGGCCGATGCGCCACGATACTTCAAAGCGAACAAGGGCCTCTTAGTGATCTGTGTCTGGATGTGTGTACGTATCGCCCCGTTGAGATGTGATCCTGAGTCCCTAGCTACAACACCACACCGTGGCTAATTGTGCCCTGTATGTAAGCTCATTTGTTGCGTAGGTGATTCAATATCCCGGAACATTCTTCTATTATCGTTGGAGAAACGACCAGAAGGCCAAGAAATGGGACGCAATGACACTGGAAGAACAGGAGATGTATAGGACGACCACGACCGATGCAGGGAACAAGCGGTGAGTGTCCTGGTATTCGAAACAGGGTCGTTCAACTAATGATTGGGGTAGCCTTGACTTTCGTTTTGCAACTTGATAGGTTCACCGCTTCGTAAACGTCTAAGATGCTGGACGCGGTGCTGCATGTAGGTCTGCATAATGTTCGAGAAAGTCGCATTTCCAGCTGTGTCAAGGCGCACGGCATGAGACGCCTGAGTTATGGTGAGACGGAAGTGCATGTACGGCACGGAACGGGACGCCCCCAATGTTTGTAGAGTCAGCTTGATGCAGAAGTGGAGCTGAAAACACATCGACTTCACCCGGGATCTACAGGCCACGAGAAGCTCATTTCGCGAGCTACCGCAAAGTGTATGTGTTGTGATCGCCGTTGTTTATGGAGGCTGGCACTGTCAGGCGGCTGTTTGTTTTCCATCACGTACCGCCCACCCAACCCCTCAATTTGGTCTATTCAATAGGTACCAGCCATTGCGCCTAAAGTTAACCGTTGTGTGTTATAGCATACCTTGGAGGTAAAGAGGGTTCGTGCACCCCAATTCGTCAATCATTCCCGAGTGGCGTTTCGAACCCAGGCTTGGGAATCCTACGAACCTAATCCGCCCCATAAGACACACGATAGCTCGATTATCGTCAAGCCCCAAATGGGCGGTCGCGATGCGGTGTGCGAAGATTCTCTATGCGATGATCCGTCGTGACGAAAATGCGCCAGCACTGGTGGTTCGCAAGCTTGCATGTGAGATGGTCCTCCTGCAGTTCGATCGTACGTAAGCAAACGTGACCGAAATAGCCCCTAACGCAGCCCGCACCATCCAACTCACTCCACACAGGCCAAGGATCCATGTCTTACAACGCAAATGCACGCGATTGGGGTTTTCTAACACCTCCGTCTTACCAAGCCCGTCATACGCCTTTTTGCAGTAGCATTCATCGTGCTCCAAACCTCAAATGCGGGGAAATCCAGCCAACGCGAATGCGAAAGGGTTAAGCGATGTTCTTTGGGCCTTCCGCGTCTAATTCATCCGGCCAAACGGGGCCTAGCAGCTGAGTTCCATGTGCGCACGCGAGCGAACCGGAATTCTGGATGCCTTGGCTGCCTGCTTCAATGCGGGATGGTGTATCCTGGGGTATTTTTATATGTCATATTATGGCGAGGTTTCGGTTTAGGAGGTCGAAGGATCTGGGGGGCTGACTTGATTGGGTAGCGGCATTCACCCTGGTTGTCGCTCGGATCGCCGACTTGGATCCTGCCAGCACTGCCGGAGGACTTGCGAGTCGAGGGAACAGCAACAACAGCATCAAGACGAGTCGCGTTCAAAATTTCGGATCCACTATACCAAAGGAGGTCGTATGAGGCACAGCTTCTCGACGCAGCCGTTGCGGCAGGATGTAATTGCATCGACCACGCCGCCACAGCCCGCAGGTTCGAACCAAGAACTCAGCGCGGCGTAGCTATAGGACGGTACAGTTCGTTCATTAAGTTCTGCTCTTTACCCGCATACGGCCCGTGTCGGGTTCTCCGATCCGGTCATTGGCCAATACGCGCCGTATATGCATATTACGCTTACTCGACATGGTCCAGCGACAACTCTCGCAGATGACCGTCCAGCGTGCACTTCCCGGCGTAGATCCTGCGCGCCCCAGATGGGCGCATTGATTGCGCCAGCCCACCGGTGATGGGGAACTTATTAAGATGTAGTAGATCCCCCGCTCACGCGTTGCTGACCTCCACCTTTCCTGTACCATCTTATAGGCCTGGAAAGAGGTGCTGGAGGCCTGTGATGCCTCGACGTGTCGAGGTCGCCTACGACAACGAACCTGAATTGAAGAAGTGAAGAGTGCGACTGAAGGTCGAAGAGATGGCGCCGCAGATCGGCAACGCGGCAGACCCAGTATTGACGCGAATCGTGCAGCAAGATCGCACACCATGGTATCAGAAGAGGAACTTGAGGGTGTTGTACGCGTTGTTGTTGCCCTGTTGCATTGGCATCGAGATGACCAGTGGGTTTGACTCACAGATGATCAACACTGTTCAGATCTCACCAGCATGGCAAACCTGTGAGATAACCCAGCACTACAGATTTTGTGGAAATACTGACACCAAGCAGACTTTCATCATCCAGAGGGAGCGCTATTGGGCATCATCTCGGCCGCGTACAACCTGGGCGCGATTTGCGCGCTACCATTCGTACCCTACGTCAACGATTCATACGGAAGGCGATGGGCCATCTTTTTGGGTAGTTGGATCATGGTGGTCGGCGCCCTCGTGCAGGCTTTCTCCATCGGTCCTGCCATGTACGTGGCGGCTCGCTGGATCCTCGGCTTCGGCATCCCGTTCTGCATCATCGCCGGATCTTCGCTTATGGGAGAGCTCGCATACCCCAAAGAACGCCCTATCATGACCTCCCTATTCAATGCCCTCTACTTTGTTGGTGCACTCGTTGCCGCGGGCGTATCGTTTGGCACACAGCATCTGAACTCAGACTGGGCGTGGCGAATACCCTCGCTCCTACAAGCTGGTCCGTCTATGCTCCAAATCATCTTCATATTGTAGGTCACCCTCGAGTCTTGCCGCTACGTATCTGTTCGAGTCACAGAAAGCTGACACGCAACAGCTTTATACCCGAATCTCCTCGTTATCTAATTTCCAAGGATAAGCGCGATGAGGCTTATCAAATACTGGTCCACTACCACGCAGAAGGAAACTCGCAATCCGACTTCGCCCTCGCAGAAATGGCCCAGATCGAATCGACAATCCGGCTTGAACTCCAATATTCGCAGAGCTCTTGGTTCGATATGATATCTACTCCCGGTATGCGCAAGCGCGTCCTCGTTGGCTCCTTTCTTGGTCTGTTCACACAGTGGAGTGGGAACACGCTCATTTCGTACTACCTCTCCGACCTGCTCAAGCTCATTGGGTATGACGACCCGAACTTTAAGGGTAAGCTAAACGTCGGGCTGAACAGTTGGAATTTGGTCAACGCAGTGGCGATCAGTCTGTTGGTGCGGCGATTCCCAAGACGAGTTATGTACCTGACATGTGCGACGGCACTGTTGTGTTGTTATGTCGGGTGGACAGTAGCAATGCAGCAGTTCTTGGACAGACACACCCAGGTGGCAGCGAAAATCACTATCTTCTTCATCTTCGCGTACCAGCCGTGCTACAACATCGGCTACAACGCTTTGACATACAGTAAGTCTCACAACATCATAACTCGAACGTGGCTAACCTCATGCAGCATTCCTCGTCGAATTGTTTCCCTTCGCTCAACGCGCCCGCGGTATAACAATCTTCCAATTCTTCGGCCGCGGCGCCGGCTTCTTCACCACCTTTGTCAACCCCATCGGCCTCAGGGAAGTCAGCTGGCGCTGGTTAATAACCTACTGCTGCTGGCTCACATTCGAAATCATCTTCATCGTAGAGCTCCCCCTCCGTTCCAGCTCCACCCCAACCCACTAACATTTTGCAGTACTTTTTGTTCCCCGAGACCTACGGGCGCACACTGGAAGAGCTTGCATTTCTCTTTGAAACAGACGCGCGTGCGGAGGAAGTCCGGCAGCGCGTGGAGAAGCAACTGCAGCGTGAGCTGGGCGAGTTCGACTTCGACTTCGACAAGGCGAGCGTCAACAGGCGGAGCGATACCCCGCTTATGCCGCGAGTGCATTCGCGGACGACGGTCACAGCGGGTGGGCGGGACAGGGTGATTGACGAGCGGTGGGAGTCGGGCGGCTGGGCCGGCGACGACCATAGTCGCTGGCCATGACCTGGACACGAAGTGACGCACGCAACTTGCCTATAGTAATATGTTTCTTAGTTATCAAATGATACCCCCGACGTTATCGCGACTGAATTTCACTCGCACTGCACCTCAGGCGTCCGCCTTGCGATGGACATTATGCGACTGTAGGCCAGAAATTCGCGTGCCATGCAATCTATTCCCATACCTACGTGCAGCGCGATCGCATTCCGTCCCGGGGTTCCCCGCACTCAGGGTGTCATGCAGATGACGGACCCCGGTCGGTTTATAGATTGCGCTGCATCGGTACTTGGGCCGGTGCCGATGAGGAAGTGCCGGTCGGTAGCTATGCGACGAGCCCGAGAAGCGCGCTTGGGGCGAGTATAACGGTATTTGCTTAGGCGGTAGTCTTGTGGATATGTGCGGATGGAAGGGTGCGGTGGTGGTGTTGTGCGTGCGCAAAAATACCGAGGTGCGTGGTGCACTCCATCCACATCACCAACTTTTAGCTACCAGTGGTCGGCGACAGCCTGCTCCAGGCTTCCTACGAGCGCTTAGTTCTCCCCTCAACATTCTACCAGAAAATATCAACCTTCATGACTACCGCTTCCCATTTATTTCACCATCTATATCACCTGATTGTTTTACATCAAGTGCATTCACACCGGCGCTAGCAGATCTGCGAACCCATTGCGGTGTACATCGTACGCTAAGGATAGGGTGCTGCTGATAAGTTATCGAGATGCTCGATTGGAAGCGCTGACAGGCCACAGCAACTACACGCTGAGATCAGCATCGTAATCCCATTCCAGGCGTTCGAGGCCCAGTGATATCAGTCGGGCATGAAGTCGTGCCACGCACGTAGGTGTGGCCTTGTCATATACTCCTTCGACGTTCGCGAATACTTCACGAATTTAACTAGCTATATTGGGCAGCAATTGATGGATAAGTCTTATACATCCATTCATCTAGACAGCGAAGAAAGCACTAGTGAATAGAGTGTAGTCCCTAGCCCATACGATCATTATACGAACACTCCCTCAATTTCCCCAGGAATACTTGACCATCTGCGGACATCTCAACAGCCCATATCCCATTCCCTTTCCTGCCCAGTCACTGAGATCAATATCAGTGCTATCCACGGTCTCCCAGCCCATCTTCTGGTAGAATTTCTCGGCCGAAGCGGTGGTTTGCACGATCACCATGTTGTTCTTTAGCCCGTACTCACGGTACATATAATCCACCATCATCCTTCCGATTCCTTGCCCTTGCCACGCAATCTTGACGTTCATAGCCCCAATGGCTGATTTATAGCATAAGATATCAGTCTGCTCGTCAAACGGACTGGCGCTGGAGAAGAACTACTCACTGACATGGGGCTTGCCGCCCGTGATTTCTCGCCATTTGGCGATCACGTGCCTCGACCAGTATCGCCCAAAACTTCCTGGATTAGTAGGTCCTACCTCCTCATCAGGAGCGACCGCCTGAGCACTCGACGGTGCCCCGGCATTTACCCAGCTGCCATCCTCCCACTTCACCAGACCCCATCCCACCGTTTCTTCATTCCGTGAATCGACGGCTTTGATCAGGTGGAACTTCTGCCCATCAGGATCAGTAAAGCGTTTGGACAGTCGTGTGACGAGGGCATCGGATTCTTTCTCTGCGGCGATGTTGTGGTAGGGGCTGAATTGGAAATGAGTTAGAAGAGAGCTCTCCGCGGCTTCTGTGCGGATGGCCGCGAGGGTGGGGATGTCGGGGAGGGTGGCCGGGTGGATGGAGATGCAGTCTGTCATTCTTGTCATGAAATACAAGTACGAGATATGTCTTGATATGAGAGGTTGGTTTGATCTTTGTTTCGTTTAGGACAGAATGTTGTGTGCTCTGCCATTATCAACGAGGCCTGACGGTGTCGTACAAGATAGACAAAATCATGCTGCATTACCTCCTGCCATAATTGGCACAGTGCGTGTCATTAAAAATGAGACTACCCCGGCGTGGCACTAGCGCGGCGGGAGTGTCAGTGTGGCGTAGTGCTTAGCTACACTGCAATTCACTACAACAGAGATGACTGAGCTTTCAAGAACAGGTCTCCCCGGCCGAAGTATATGTAAACATTACCGGGAGGACAACTTGATAGTAGTCTAAGTCTTTGAATAACCTTTTAGGTCAAACCTAACTACACTCTTAGTAGATTCAACACAAATCACTTCGGCAAATCGACTTCGTCAAATAATTACACTTCCCACAGCGATTTCTGGATGTTACTGCCTATTTCACGCGAATAACAAGTCAGAGATAAGGTGTTGAGCACAAATGCGGCCTTACTAGAACACTGTAAGCTCTTGTAACGTACAAGGTGTCACTACGGGCGCTATAGTTGTGGAGAGGAGAACAAGTAAAAGGTCGGACCAAGGACTATAAATGTTGCGGTTGAGGATAAACCGCACCTTGGGCAGAAGAAATTGTTAGGCACTGAAGATTGATTGAATACTAGCTATTGTGGTATATATATGTGTGCGTGAAGCGATGTAGTACAGAGCATGGGTAAGCGATGCTGGACCGAGCCATGGTGTTGAGGTTAACAGGGTAAACCGCGACAATAAAAGAACACTAAACGTTCAACCAAACTCTCCACACTCTTCGCGTGCGTCCAGAGAAGCAACGCCGTTGGATTCGATGCGCAGATAAGCATATCTGGGCGATAGAATTTCTTGGAGATGGCATCCCGATCGATAAAATCCAGTACGGCGCCATGCATGTAGGCGGTCAGTGATACTCAGTACTGGGATGTTGAGATTTTGCGCTATGAAAGAGTGACCTGCCTGTTTTATCCTCTGACTGCAGATATGGCTGATCGTAACGGTGATGACAGCATAAAGCACTGGCCTGAACGAGTGAACCCCACTCCATCTTTGCACAATGCTTGCAGATCAATGCTAGATTGGCCGGCGAAGCTCTTTGTTGCCCTCATGTGCTACCTTGCTGGTGGTCAAAGGTTGTTGTGCTTCATACTCGGTTGCATCATCCAGGAGCCTTGGGGATCGAGTCACCAATTCGCGGTGGCCGGCGACGTAGCTATAAAGGAAGCAGTGAAGCATCCTTCGTCGTTGAATCACTCACCAACCTTTCCCTGCCTACTTGACCACTTTCACCCCAGAACATCAACTCTTACCTCTCCAGCCATCATTTGTGGCAAACTCTTCATCACTGCAGCAATGGTGATACTTGTTACAGCCGCAGAGACGAACAGCACCTCGGACGGCCTGGCCACTCAATCCACCAGGGTCGCAGACTTGACGAGGATCCCCTAAATCCCGAACCGCGATGTCGTCTCAGGTAACGACAGCCCTTCTGTTCGGCGTGTGACAGCTGCCATGCTCGACGCAATCGCCAACCAAGCACTCGTGGCCTAGGACTCGAATCTCTCCCCCACGAGCAAACGTGCTGCGTACACGGAGGAGGAACAGTCCCAGATCACGGATGCTTGTGCTGACGCAAGTCAAAGAATCTCTTTACATTCGGGAACGCTAGGACGTAGCTCACGGAATGCCATCATCCATAGCATCACCAACTCGATGCTCGGCGCTGCCGTTGAGAAACATTCTGCAGTCGTCTCGCACAATGCCGGGCACACCGAAGGCGCCGCCATAAAATACAGCGTGTTTGCTGCAAAAAGCTGACGGGAGGCAGTGCTTGCGAGCATCCCGGCACAGAAGTCGGCTGTGACTGTGCAGAAGGCGGGGCACAATGATACTTGTCAGATGACTGTTGATATTTACTTGCATGGGCCGAGCGGTCTGATAGATTCTGCTTGAGGACGGAGCTAGAACCTTGCTTTGCAAGAGAGCTAGAGCAGTGATTTGAGACAAATCAGAAGAATGTGTCGATTGACTGTCATTCGTTAGATGAGCCATCCAACTATCAGATTAAAGCCGTTCTTCCACAGCTTTGCTGCAGTCGTTGCACCAGCTGTGGTAGTGTACAAATGACCGTCTTACGCCTCCCCAGATAGAGCGTGCAAGTAGAGTCTTCACCCGCATGTCATCCTGACTCCGTGCTCCAGGACAGCCCTCCAGTCTACGTTGCTTGTGTCTTTTTCCTCTTCAAAAACCAACCCCCTACGCTAGAAGAAGACTTATCTCCAACATGTTCGCCATCAGAGTCGCAGCACCACTTAGGACCAAGCTGCCCCCCTGTCTGTCGACAACAAACGATCCTGCAATATATCCCAATAAGCCGTACTTTCTTTACATTGCCATCCTTCAAGCTACTTGCCTTCTGCCTGATTGTGAGATGCCACTCTTTCCAGATAATAGTGGGCTGACTCGTATGAACTCAAGGCCCAACATGAACCCAGATGCGATGTCTCCAAATATGTAACGCCACGTGGGCTTCTGAGCATGCCACTCGTTTATGTGCTAGTGTTGATGGCGTCGTCAACGCCAGAGGCTTCGTATCGCAGCAGGATGGTTGCGTGGTGGGAAGTAGAATTATATATCGAAATCGAGAAAAGAGAGTCCAAGTCCCACACCACTTAATCGCGTGATCCACTGTCAACCTTTACGCACATGTAACATGAATAGGGCGTGTACTATATCTAGCAACTCTTTAGATGGAAAGTGCTAAAGTATTCGAATTATGTGTTCATTGGGATGCCTAATATCATGTTGGCCATTATCAGTGGACGGAAGTCGGCTTTCATTGTGGTGCTGATAGATTTTGAAGTCGAGGTGAAGAGCAAGCCGCGGATCAGGGGGTGGGTTTCGGCGCATTTGAGGGTGTAGAGGGTGTAATTTAGGCCGAGGAGTTAGGGGAGAGTAGTTTAGAGACGACGCGAGGCGATTGACGTTGAGAAAGCATGCCGCTTCATTGATTGATAATGGAGAAATATTAGCACCTGCTTTTCGTTTCCAGTTTCCAGTTCCTAGCGAGACGTCGGGAATAAGAGCTGCAAGACCATCTCGTACCCAAGGAGGCAGTACTCCACGTAACATAATGTACAAAGTATTAGTCCGCCCCTCGATTTTCCCCCGCTGTGCCTTGACCTTCTGATGCTGCCTCTCTTCGCCGGTCGTCGAGTACCGTTGCCTTCCAGTGCACGCACATTTTCGGAACTCCACCTATACGGATTTAACATCATATTGTACATCAGCTATGGCCACCAAGCAGCGGCTGATTCTCTCCGTTCCCACCTGCACCACCCTTCTTCTTCTTACCTCGCTTCTTGCGCTTTTTCTTGCTATTGCCTGCACCGTGCGAGTCGTTCTGGGTGCTCTCTGTGTCGGTGTTTGTGTTCTCCTTCTGATCTTGAGCACCGTCAGTCTGTGCAAGGACAGTCTCAGAGTCACTCGAACTCGTGGTCTCCAATACAATCTTCCTCACGCCGTTGGCTTCCACGATGTTCTCAGAGATACTACCACTGCGAGCCGTGTGTCGCTTCTTCGGAGGACTGCGCGAGGGGGACGGTGATCGGCGGAGCGATGCTACCGTGCTAACGGACTGCGATCGCTGTTTGGAGCGGCTACGGTTCTCCTCGGGAGATCCGTTGCTGCCCACAGCAACCTTCGAATTCCCATTCGCCTGGTGGGATTTCGGCGAGGTTGGTGGCTCGTCATCGGCTGGATTTGATCTGTGCTGATCGTCCTTCCAAGACAGACGTTCAGCGGCCATGGTTCCGTAACCCACGGCAAGGCTGTGTACTCCGTCGCTGGCTTCTCGTCCTGTAGTTTCCTGTCAGCTTGTTCCAGCATCCAACGGCGATTGCTGCAACATACCTGCCGATTCCAACAATCCCTCTCCAACGCCTCCTTGAGGCGCATGCGCAGATTTCACACTGATTACCGGACTGGTAGGCCTATGGTGCTCAGGTATAGTATTGGGAATGCCATTATTGACAGCCTGCTTGATCTTGACTGTGCCAATGCGGGTTGCCTTGGGACGACTGGCAACGTTCGAAGGGCCGAGATGCTTGAGATGCTGTCGAATGTCGGGGTCGTCGCTACGGATGCCTCGAGTTGTCGCTCGGTCTAAAGATTGACTAGCTGCCTCACTGCTCCTGCGGCGCAGAAGGAAAGTCGTAGCCTTGGGAGCGGTGCTCTCCTGGAGAGATAACCTCTTCGCCGAGCCACCATCGGGCTGTTCTACTTGGAGCTCTCCGTCCTTGACCGCCTCAGTATGCTTTTGAGAAGGATCGGCGAGAATTTCGCCTTTTGGCACGCGCGTGCGGGGAGCGGGGTGGATCCGACGAATGGCCTACAGGTAATTAGTGGTTGGCTCGAGCATTCAACAAACTGCCTCCGGTAACGCACCTTATGAACATCGACGAAGACATCCGACTCGTCGATAATCTCTTCACCGATGAGCTCCTCGATGACGTCTTCGAGTGTTACCACACCAACAGCGCCATAGGAGTCGCCAGGGAAGTCAGAGACCAAGACCATGTGGGATTTACCTTCCTGAAAGAAGTTGATGATGTCCAAGCAGCTAGTCTCCGGGCGGGTTTCAGGGAGGGTAGCCAAAGCAAAATCGCGTACGCGTAGGGCGTCCTCGGGATCGTACGTGATGAGCATCTTGACAAGAAGCATGCCCACGAAGTTATCTGGGTTCTCGGGCGTGTGGATCGGAATGCGCGAGTAGCCAGCGGACAGTATGTTCTCCATCATTTTCTCGTCGAGCACGGTATCAGACGACATGGTGAAAACATCATCCATGGGCGTCATAATGCTTCCAACAGCCTTGGCCTTCAGATCCAACACGGCAGAAATGATGGTGACCTCATCTTCGTTGAGGCGATCGTCCGGACTGGTACCGAGCGTCTTGTGGAGCGTGACAAGCGTCTTCAGACCAGCTTTCTTGTACGTGGTCCCATGATCTTCTCCGAGAAGATAGTCTAGGAGTTTCGCTGTGGGCCAAGCAACAGGTGCCATGACGTACATGAGAGCGAGGACAACGGGCGCCATCCAGGCGCCAATGGGCAAGCCATAGCGGACGCAGATGGACTGGGGAACGACCTCTCCGAAGATGACTATACGCGGTCAGATGTTGAAGGTGTGAACTTGGGAAGGGTGCTTACCGATCAAGACGGTAGAGCTCAGGACGGCAGGCCAGCCTCCACCGAGCGACCTATCGAGCACGATGGGCAGCGTTTCGTTGGTGATGACGTTGCTCAACAGCAGTGTCACCAGAACCCAGTGTTTTCCTCTCTTGAGCAGGCGCAACACCCTGGCTGCGTTCTTTCGCTCCGAGCCTTCGCCGGACGACGCGATGACTTGGAGGTAGATCTCATCCTGGCCCATCAAGCTGTGGGTGCATTGGTCAGCTATTGCGCATGGCTTGATACGGCCACCGAGGTACTTACGCGATGGTCAGGCCGGCGAACACACCTCCGCCGAAGACGAGGGCAATGGCGATGCCCAGGTACAGCCACAGGCTCGCGTCGGCGGGCGATTTGGGCGCGTCCTCATCGGCGAGGGTGTGAATGGCGCCTTTGTGGAAGAGGGGGATGGCCTTCACCACAGGCGCGAGGCCGTAGATGAGGGCGAGCCGGGCGATGTTGATGGGGCCATGGCGCGCCCACGGTCGAACATCAGCAGAGCCTCTTGAGCGAACAGAGCTCATGGCCGATGCCACAGCTTCTCAGGCGTGTTGAGAACGCGGGATTGAGAGAGGGAGGAGGCAATGGGCGGCGCGTTGGGGAAGCAGGTCGAGCGTCGCCGCAAAGATGAGGATGTCGCGAGAAAAGCGGGCCCGTGCGTTCTGGGTGCGGGACGGCAAGCCGTTCAGTCGCAGCACAAGCGGACAGAACAGGCGCACCATCAAGCCAAGTCCTGGGCGGCTAGGGACCCAATGCGATCCTCGTCGACGGTGCGTCATTGCGCGCCCAGCGTGGGTGCGCATTCTGCCTGACATTGAGTGCACCGCACCGCAGCATCGCGGGCTTCGCGAGACCGACAGCAGCCTTCGTCATCGTGCCTTGCCGAGCCTCTCGAACCACAGCCCAACGGCCAGAGCCCGTCACGTGCCGCCCCGGGGATACCCCCGCTGGGCTGTGCTATCTCCGGCCGGCGCGCTGGGCGGCGGTAACCCGCAAGTAGCCGTTGGAGGACTGTTTGTTCGGCAATGCCACAACTCTGCTCGTCCCGCCGGCCGCACAGCTGCCCTGGACTTCTGCTTTCCTCCAGAACATGTAACTGCGAGCATTAGACAATGGCCGCAAGAAGCCCCTCTACCCGCACCCTCTCAAGGTATTTCTTGCGCCCGCAAGCCTCCCTGCACCCTGCATGTCGCCAACAATACCGTCCGCAGCGGTACTCTTCTGCAGTAGCTGGAGCACGCCTCAACGGCCCTATTGAATATGACACCACGCCGCTGCTCCACCACACTTCCAAGGCCGCTCTCACCAACCCGGAACTGCCCGATGAGGTACGCAAGGGCCAGACCAAGCGCATCAATCTGTACCAAGCCGTGAACGAGGCTCTCCGCCATGCTCTGCAATCAGACGAAAGAGTAATCGTATTTGGCGAGGATGTGCAGTTTGGCGGCGTCTTTAGAGCCACCATGAATCTCGCGAGCGACTTTGGGACGGAACGCGTCTTCAACACGCCGCTGAGCGAGCAGGGCCTCGTTGGCTTTGCCATCGGTGCTGCCAGCGAGGGTATGAAGCCCGTCGCTGAGATTCAGTTTGCCGACTACGTCTACCCTGCCTTTGACCAGATTGTCAACGAGGCGGCCAAGTACAGATACATGTCGGGAGCGAACCAAGTGCATTGCGGAGGCCTGGTCGTTCGCATGCCGACCGGTGTAGTAGGACACGGTGGCCTGTGGGTACCTCGACAATCAGCATGACACCTGTAGATGCTAACGAAGACCGTAGCTACCACTCTCAGTCCCCCGAAGCACTCTTCACCCACATACCCGGCCTCCACGTTGTCATCCCTCGCTCACCCACCCAAGCTAAAGGCCTCCTCCTCTCCGCCATTCGCACAAACGACCCGGTCGTCTTCATGGAGCCCAAGATTCTCTATCGCGCATCCATCGAACAAGTCCCCGTCGATCCGTTCTACCTCCCTCTCGACAAGGCAGAAATCCTAAAACCTGGCAAGGACATCACCATTGTCTCATACGGCCAGCCATTGTACACGTGTTCAGCAGCGATAACGGCAGCAGAAAAGGACTTTGGGTGCAGCGTTGAGCTGATTGACCTGCGGACGGTGTATCCCTGGGACCGCGAGACGGTCCTTGAAAGTGTGAAGAAAACAGGGAGGGCGATTGTAGTCCACGAGAGCATGCAGAACGCGGGCGTTGGTGCTGAGGTGGCGGCGACGATTCAGGAGAAGGCGTTCCTGAGGTTAGAGGCACCAGTGAAGCGGGTAACGGGTTGGGCGACATTCACAGGCTTGATGTTCGAGCCACTGATAGTACCGGACGTCACGAGTGAGTTCTTCCCCAATGCGTGTCTTGCTGGATTGCTAACAGAGCGCAGGAGTATACGACGCCATCAAAAAGACATTAGATTACTAGTTACAAAGAATGATTTCAAAAAGCGATGAATAATCCCCAACCCGCTCACCACGTCCGCACCACTTCCGCCAACCAACTCCGTGAACTTTCACGTGGTAGCCCAATCATCCTCCGCCTGAAGACCGAAACTAACAGGACGTCCAACCCTGGCCCCAGGTCTCCCCGATGGCCACGCTAGACCCCACAGCTCGGCACGAAGCGACGTCCCCACCGCACACCCTAACATCCTTCCCCTCGCCACGCATGAAATCTCATCAACAACTCTTTCCCTCCAATAAAAATACAATTTGAAAAGCTGTCGCTTCTGTGGATCGAACACAGTACCTCCAGATGTACATTCGAATTGAACCGAAGTTTGCCGCCGGGGCGGATTGCTTCAGTCTGGCGCTCTCCCAAGTGAGCTAAAGCGACTGTTGCTTGATATCAAATTGCAAAAATTGAGCTATTATATACCAGGTGAATTGCTATTTGCTTCGACCGCGGCACACATATCATGGTGAAGGCGGGTGGGTCCGAGATAAACGGACTGGCTGGACTGGGCCAAGTAGGGCACCAAAGTGCGCTCTGTACAAAGCAAGAGTCGCGTTGATGCAGGACCACGAGTCTATACGACCTACATACCGCCGCTCAACACACTCGTCCCTCTCTACTGTCACCATAGAATACATATCGCGCCGCCCATTTGCCTTGTCCATCTTACCACGCAACTGACCGCCTCAACGACCCACTTCTCTCCCCTACTCCGCTCCCTTCCCCGGAACGTTCCTTGCGCCTCAAGACGCGTATATAATCGCCTACTCCTTGCGCCTGCCTTCATGGAAGCGCATCCGGCTCAATGGTCTAGTGGTATGATTGTCGCTTCGGGATTTTACGCCTGGATCCGTTGGATCTAAATGTGACAGGCCCCGCGTTCGAATCGCGGTTGAGCCCTTCGCTTTTTTGGGAGTGCATGGGGGTGATAGGGGATGGGAGTATTTTTGCTGTGTGAGGGCAGTTGTTCGTCTCTTAACAGAAAGTGACTACAGCGTGAGATGGCAATACTCGTACGATCACGGAGTTTGACTTGACCTGTTTGCACTTGCAAATTGCTTCACCAGGCGATCTTTGAATGGGTGCGATTGCATACGAATGATCTTAGACTGGTGAGCACCATCTCATCCACCCAGCTTCCTCCGCGCCTCTTCTTCTCGGGCCAGTGTCTGGGGGCACAAATACGTAACCACCCGCAGCTGGTCCTTTGCCAGGGCACAGCTAACGTAGAAATGGATATCCCCAGTGCTCTCGAGGAACTCCTCTCCACTAAATCAAAGTCAGTGTGCTGCTTAGACCGTAAAGCGCGAGCTAACTTACTAAATTTTTCTCAACGCTTCCTCATAGTTGTCCATCTGCGGCAGCATCTTATCTGCGTTCCTCCTCGTGGCAAAGTACCTGCGCAGTCGCTGCAGAACCTCCGCGTCGTTCTTACAAAACGATGCAGGTGAGATGTACACCTTGGGCGTCGTCGGCTTACCCGCCTTGACAGTGAAGTAGAATCCCGGACCCGCGCGCTCGACCTCGGATGGCAATTCCGCCGGTGCATCTCCAATGAAGATGCGCCAGAAGTCTTTCACGTCTGCGATCGCCTCCGCACTGTACATCCCCATATCGTATCTCCCTCCCAACGTGAGTGCATCCATGAGATACTCAACAGACGTGTTCGGCGCACGTGTATATATCTTGATGCGCGACTGCTGCGGGGAAATCAAATCGAATGAGAAGATGCCGACATCCATCTTCCACTTTGCCGCCGCCTCATGGAGATACTCCAGCATAGGCTCGCACCTCAGCGACGCGTATTGCTCCTCTGGCAGCGCCCGAATCGCGCCCACCACAACCTCAAGATTCGACACGCCCATCTCCTGCGCCCGCAGCCCAGGGAAGATGTACAGCTTGATAATCGGCCCAGTCCGGTCGATGTCCCTCGTGACAAACGTCCCCGCAACAGGCGCAAGCTCAAAGTTCAGTTTCTCCGTCATCTTCACGCGGCCCAGCTCGCTCGGCAGCACAGCAGCCATGAAGTGATTGTACCACTCCAGATCCAGACCCGTCACCAGACCCTGGCTGTCCAGGTGCTTGATCCACGCATCTGTCTCGTATCGGTTGAACGGATCCGCTTCCGTGCCCGCCAAAGGCCCGATCGGCTCGAACGACGTCCGGACCACGCCCTTGCCCTCGAGACCCCACTCCCATGACAGGTCGAGCGGTGTACCGTCCGGTGTCTGCGGGCTTTTCCAGCGCAGATGGCCATTTGAGTCGGGCGTGGGGCCCAGCTCGGGGACAATGTGGATGGCGTAGAAGAGGAGCTCGGTGTACTGTTCTGCTTTGGAGTAGCCGGCGTAGTTGAGCAACAAGGCGAGTTGGCTGCCGGTTTTATCCCACCAGAATTGATGTTCGGGTTTGCGGAATTGGATGGTGCTGCTTATGATGTCGAAGGGCTGCTTGGTCTCGACGCGGGTGGTGTTTGAGATGTCTTGTGAGGCAAAGACTTTTCGCTTGAGGGCGTTGATGGCATCGTTGCTGAGTGTGCTACCAGCGCGCTCGATTTGTGACTCGACTGGAATCGCGCTTGGTGCCATCGTAGCGGCAAGCTGAGAGGTGATGAGTTCCGCCGCTGTGTTGTCACTGGATATGAGCTTGTCAAAGGAAGCGAAATTGACGCAGATTAGATTGATTTACGGAGCTACGCAGTCGAATGCGAGAAGGAAGTTAGAACCCCACCAGAAGACGGTCCTCATTATATTTGCTCACTCGAGTGAGCGTCCGGCAAACGATCCCTACAATCACGCCATCTGATCACTAGCAATGCTCCGTTCGTACTGTTGCCGCGTACGCTACAGCTTGGAACGTTGTACCAATCAATCTTGTAACACTAGGATGATTTACACGCCCGGTAAGCACGGATTCATTGGTTCTTGAGCGTCGCCTTACGTGTAGGATGAGATCCTACAAGTATGGTCGATCCTACACTTTGTGTACCTGCCGTTTCAGACATGATTTTGTATATTCTACACTGCATACGCCGAGTGGTTCGGTCGCTTAGGCTCTTTATGTGGAGCTGTTCGCTAAGTTGATTCTAGAATACGGGATCACGGAGAGGATCAGATTCAATCCATCTCGCGTATCATCTGGGGTCGAGTCTAAACTTGTCGCTGTAGGGTACAGCAAGGTAATTCTGCTGTGCATGCAACCGATTTTGGCACGGTGCTCTTTGCTATGAAAAGGTAGAAGGAAGCAGAGGACTTGACACGTACATGAAGGATTCCTCAACGCTCCATGCATCCCTCGTAAGACCCTAGACCAGTTCCACCCGAGAACCTCCGCATTGGGATGTACGGCGCCCACAGGGTAAGCTCGCTAGCCTATTTAGCGTCCCTGCAGCAGCGTAATATAAGCATGTGAGCTCTCTGCGACCAGGCATGTCTGTAACAACTATAGACAGATTGCGAAGGAGGCGTAGCGCATATGGCTGTCCGCAATGAAATTCCTAATTCCTTCCGGGTATTCAGATGTTTCTCGGCTAGGACTAGGGGCCGCGTTAGACCACCGGAAGATTCCTGAGCGCCTAGGTAGGAAGCTGCCAAACGGTCAGGAACCTGATAATTGTAGAACATCTCGCTTCGCTCTTCTAGAAGTGAACCCTCCAAAAGAAAACCAGAAAGCTTTTGAATACCACCGAACCACACACAGTCCAACAACTGCGACATGCGTAGTTTTTCACTCCAAACTTCCGGCCGTAACCACGAAACCCACCCGCATGCACGTTATACTATACCACGGACCATGCATATAGTGCGGTCAATGTAAGCAAGGACGCCTGATGGGCAAGACTCACCCAAGCGTTGCTTAGCAGTATCTTGCCGTCTTGCGTCTAGTTCGGGGGCCATTGGGACGTCTCTACTAAGCGATGCCCCACAGTGTTGGATGTAGTGCATCCTGAGCGGCAACCGAGAAACGAAGCACAGTGTTCATTAACATAGCACAATGACTAGCCGTGCGACTAGCGTCAGTGTGCGATCATATCTTGGTATCTTTTTGCCAAAGATTTCTGTTCTTTTGGGCTTCGCGATGGACACCGAGTATTTTCAAATTGATGTCTCTTACATGTCGCGAAGTAGTGAAATTGAGGCTTACTGCATCCCGGCGCGGCTCGCGGGAGGTACCGTTGTCGAGACGGTCCGCCTTCCTTTCGTGGATGATTTCATGCCTCCTGGTGGCGCAGTTCGTCGCCACGACCCAACAAAATGCCATGCAGAGACCAAGCCGCTTGCTTGAAAACAGGCAATTCACGAGTATGACGAGATGGGCCCCTGCAGATGCCGTTATATCTTTGTTCAGACGAGGACCATACTGACGTCCAGGTTCTGGCCGGAAGAGCACAGTGGCAACCTGAAGAACCTGGGATGTATTGTCGAGTTCAGGTCGCAGTCATATCAATTCTGGTAGTTCAACCTCACACCGAGGTTTTTACTTATGCCGTTACACGTGCACTGGGCATTCGAAATTTCGGACGTTTATGCGGCCTCACGAGTGAAGAGGGGGCGCAGTTGATGGGTAGCGACAGTCATCGTACCGGAAGGGTGATATATAGATCTTAGTGGGACGTATCACCGGCCAAGACCAGCAAACCTGATCTTGTCTGTCACGTGAGTGATTGTTCACCGCTGTACCAAGCTCCCAGATCCAGACTGTTGAATAACCGCTCTAACCACATGTCGTAGTTACACTCTTTAAGACGCCAGTAAGTAAGCTAAACATTCTCTGGCAAAACCGGCCGTTCAAATAAAAAACCTCAGCCCATCTGCCACGAGCGTACTGTGCACGATGTAGAGGCAAAGGTACGATACAACGTAATTTGATTGAGTGCGTAAATGAGTTTAGATATCCTATGTAGCTCTCAGGGCCTATATCGAACTCCACGGTATTCATTGCCTTTGCTTAACTATCAACTTACTGCGCTTGGCAGTCGTGCTGGTTGACATTCTAATTTGACCGATTGTAGATGGACCTGTGACTGGAACTGCGAGTAGCTACAATCCAAGTTCGCCTATGTGAGATTTCTCAAGCAGTTTTGAGGCCCTCATAAATGCTGGACATTGCGGTCAGTTTGCAGACGTAGCTGTTATTTCCGCGATCCCACGCAGACATCAAACCATACAAACATTTGATGGCAAGTAGATCTGGGAGGCCATTCGTTTGTGTGACGATTTTAGGACCGTAGGTATCGTGCAATGGAAAATATTGAAGGTTCACTGAAGTTGTATTACTGTGATTCTAACTGAACTATATAGCCATAGTGAGGCGATCGTCAGGGGAGTTAGCCTATTCGGAGTTTCCTGATTCAGTAGCTGAATTATAACGATTGTCGCGATCCTCAGGAGTCCATGAGGACTCGGTCCGAATAGGATCGATAGTAATGTAGATTGAACTGCGACAGTTTGACAATGTTAACAATAACGAGAAGTGGTAAGATCTTGCTATGACCAAAGCCAGGATGCAACTCCCCGCCTTGACCTCTATACGTGTTCCCTTGCACCATATGAGCCCTTCGGAGCGGTTCGGCGCCAGTGGATAACTTTCAACAAACTGCACCCCGTCGTGGTCTCGGGCTGTGCGTATAAAGCCCATTACACCACGAGTATATAGATAAAGCCCTGGACTCACCACTCCCCTCAGACTCTCTTCCGATCTGACCCTCGTCACAACCAACATAGCGGATCTACTTTTGGCAAAATCTCGTGTTTGCCTTCAGCGAAAGCTGCACCTCACCCGAGAGATCGCTCGCCTCAATTGCCTCGTCCACTCCCAAACCTTGAAGCCAATTTCCGGACATAAAAATGAGCATCCATGCTTGGAAGCGCGGCATAATTGTCAGGAAAGGTCCCCCAACTCCCATCAGTCGCCCAACGACAGCACGAAAACTCACATTCTTGGATCTACCCTCCGGCAATCCGCAACCAGATCTACGAGTACTGCATCCTCGATTCGGAGCTCGAGATTGTCTCGAGGGCCCGGACGTCAGCCAAACCGTTCGGAGATGTTGCTTCCCTTCCGCGCCCCGAGGCACGCCCGCATGGGACGTCATTCGCTGAGTATTGGCAACAAATACCCATCGATGAGTCGCCTTTCCAACACAGCTCATGGAAGATAGAGCCTATGGAGCTCTACCGCAAGTTCGTCGTCAACGACACCGGCAATTCATACATTGGTCCTACTATGTCTAGCAAGCGTCCTCGCGGGAGATTCCGCGCCTTCGAAGCTTCGTATGCGAAGGGCGGCCAAGTGCAATCTCTGGTCATCAATCTGTTTCTCGTCAACAAACAGATCTGCTCGGAAGCATCGATTAGTGCTCACCAGAGGACATGGCGCATATTAAGCATACTATGAGCGAGTTGCAGTCATATCCTTGTAAAATCCACTGTGGCATATGTCCGCCAGTAATGAGCCTTTGCTGACAACTGCATTGGGTCGTAAGGACGATGTTGATCTGGTTATTGCTGGCGTTTGCGTTTATTGTTGCTGCGAAGATATCTACCAAACGAAGTTTTGTGTTACCGTGGAGTTTTGATGTGAGTAATGCGGAAGCAGCAATTAATCCTTCGCGTTCATCACGTTGCGTAGCACGTGATGCTGCCTACTGACCATACCGAATGTGTCAAGCGCGATTTGGAAAATGGATCAACACACGCTCCTCGACATCTTCCATCCCTTTCTTGGCCCACCTCGCATCACGCATCTCAGCGCTTACGCCTTACCAATGAATGCTTTCTTTTCAAGCGATAATCTGGGGCTTGATCTTCTTCCTGCTGAAGTCCTTCATCGCGTCGCTTCTTTCCTGCCGTTTTCCTCAATCTTAGCTCTCTGTTTTGTGAATCGCCGGCTCTACACAGTGTGCTACGATAGGGTCGTGTTCAAGCATAGCGCCATTCATGCTCTTCATGAGGATCGATATACCAGTCTCGTCGAGCTACAGAAATGCGACTGTCAGGGATGCGTTTGGCGACAAATTGAAGCTTTAGACCAGGAATCCTTATGTTCCAGGACAACTACGGAAGTAGGTAGCGAGGACGAATGGTACCCAGAGCCAGAAGAGGAGCTGGAACAAGAAGACGAGTGGGATTTTGATGACTGGGGTCCTGATATCATTCAACTCAGAGCCAGGCCGTCTCAAGAGTGGTTGAAGAGTTGGCCGAGATCTGATGTCTTCAATCACCTTTCAGCATCCGATAGTTCCCGCATTGCATGTGCGGTAGAGCGAGCACAGCAATGTTTCAATGTCAGTCTTACACATCAGTCAAGGGATTTGTCGCAACATTGGACTAGGGGACGTTGGATCGAATGTAAGTTTCTTTCAACATGTGGAACCATCTTGCATGGTCCCAATGCCTGACAACGATCTCTATCGCCGTTTTATGCTTGCCCCATCTCCCCATCGCGCAAGCCACGTCTCGGACTCAAATCACCAACACATCCTAGGGCTTCCACACCTAATTGCGCTCGGTCATAGTTCCAGCCTTGAGCTAAAGCCATGGACACTCCAACGCTTGCTTTTCGCCCCGGACACATCATGGGGCGATGGCGATCAAGCAAAGAAAAACCCGTGCTCCTCGGAATATATAGCTGCTGGATTTTGTATGCTCACGTCAATGCTGATGTGGGTGGAAACCAAACATAGTATATCGGATGATTCTACGCGTGAGCAAGAGAATATTGGTGAGCAGTTCTGCTTGCCGGAGCCGAATGATTACTACGTGTGGGATCAAATGGAATGGCTGCTCGAGGAGGCGTGGGAGATCCGGGACTTTGACCTTGACGATCGGTACTCCGTCGTTCTACGGCTGATGTTTCAGATTTGGTTTTACCATCGCTCACATCATACCCCTTTTCCGTCGGTACATCTCCTCCCTTTTGCTGCTGTTGTAGGTTCTCCAATTCCGTTCCGGACGCCCGATAATTTCCTGACCAGGCACTGCATCCCAAGAGCACAACTTGATGCTTATCTGTCAGGGGAATGGCTAGGATGGTGTAGCAGTTTCGGCGGGCCCGATTTTCCCAAGATACAGCCACGTTTGCAAGGTATCCATTTTGTTATTAGCGAGTCGCATCCTCCATATGCAGCAGACATCGTTGCTTTGATCTCCAGTTCCAGTGGGAAAGACAGATGGGGATCGTTCATCTTAGAGGGCACAGTGTCGATAGACGGCGAGGTGTGGTTCAGACAGCGATATGCGGAATCTTTGCGTGGAGATATCTACTCGCGTCCTGCAGCAATCTGGAGATACAGAGGAGTTATAACGCCGTTTGGAATTGCCGGACCTCATGAACAGGATAACAGTCATCGATTTGCTAGCGGCCGATCAGCACGAAGTCGGGATGGTTTTTTCTGGCTTTGGAAAAAAGATTGGACCCACGATTGGCCATCTGCTGTACCTAAGGGATAGCAACAGATGCCTGTGCATAGCACATATAGACATGGTATCCATCAAGCGCGCTTGCAGTTCATTGCATCTGGACGTTCCCTTGAACAAGCAACACTGGAGAGCTCATTCTATTCTGGTCCTTCCATACAATTTGTCACCTTCCCATGACTTTGCTCGATGAACTGGGAGAAGCAGACAAGATCAAATTCGTTTGCATCCTGTAGAAAGTGCAATGTGCATATGTGATTGAGGTTCTGCCCTTACAGCGCAAGCCTTGAGACTTGAGCCTTGCGCCCAGTTCACGTCCCCTCATCATCAGCATCAACACATCTTCAGCGGAGCTCAGCGGAGTCGAAGTGGGCTTAGCCTTCACCGGTGACTTTCACTTTCGTAGAGCCTGTCTCTCCCTTGTCTGATCTGGGCATGTAACTCGAAGGCTCCATAGAATGGTCAAGGTCTTCAGCCAGATCCGACGGGTATTATGCGGCCCGCGAACGCTTGAAAAACGATAAGCATGTCACTAGAGGGCCCGACAGTTTCGATACGTGACTTCCAAATACACATTTAGGACGCTGGATTGCGTTGCGGTACATAAGGCGTCGAGATACAACGGATAGTTCTGAGTCTCTTGAAGAGGTTAACTTTCTTCCCTCAAGGGTTCGGTAATAGATGCATTGAGAACACTGTAACTATTTCATTCTCATTCTATACTGCACTACCCGTTGTTGAAATATTTCTAATATCTAATCTTCGTCATGAACGCTTCCGCAACAATACGCAGTGCGTACGTCCGCGCATCAATGATGCTTGAATTCCAAGCTAGGCTGATCGTTCTCTTTAGTAGCGCGATCTTTATGTTCGCAGGCATCGTCGACTTTCCTAGGATCATATCCAAGGAATCGCCACTGTTCGCGTCCATAGTATTCGGGCCCCAGGTCATTCATGGCTTTTTGTTCCTTTTCGCAAATGCCATGCTTGCTATAAGTGAGCAACACAAGTGGTACATCCCAAAGATCAGCGATCCGGACTGGCTGGGGGCGTTCCTCAACGCCACAGGTGGCTTCTGGTTCATGATGGCTGGGTTCTTCTTCTTTCAGAAAGACGAGCTGGCCGCAGCCGCAGCCGCTATGGTGGGAAGTTGGGCGTTTCTGGTGAGGAGTCTAGTGAGGTGGTATGTGGTAATGGAATTTTGTTGAGACTTGGAGATAGCTATAGAGCTCTATAGAAGTTGTCATTTGATACGCGTGGAAAGTCTGTTTCCACGAGACATATATTAGATTCGCTTTAATACATGCCATTAAGCAAGATAATATACAGTTTTACTTCTCCCATTGCAGGAATATTACCAACTTACCTTTTTACGACCGAAACTTAGTTGAGCTAGGTGCGTCACCAACCTTTCATCCGGAACCGACTTTTGTCTATCTAGGTATCCCTCCCGACGCAGGATCTAGCCAAGCGACGCCGCTTCCCATCTCCCGCAGGTTTTCACAACCTCAGGTGAAGATCTTCTATTCGGTCAGATGTTCATCCGGATGCCAAATGCGATCATGTGTGTCATGTAAAGTCCTAATCAGGAACACGAACAATTAAAGTTCACACCTGAGTTCGGGTAATCAATCCCCGAACCCCAGATTCCCCACACTCCGCTCCCACTACTCAAAATGTAGATATATTGCAGGTATATATCATACCGTAGCCCTGATGAGCTACAAAACTTGTCTTGGAGTTACTTTTGACAATGCGGTTCTCGCTACTCGTTGCAATTCCTTTTTTTTCAGTGACGAGTGCCGCATCAGCTGGAGGCAAGCACAAACTATGCAAAGTCCGTGCCAGTGGTACGAACGAAACTGACGATGCTCCGGCGATTCGATCTGCGTTTTCTAAATGCAACCGCGGCGGAACGGTAGAGCTCAGCGCCCCTACGTACTACGTCAACTCGGTATTGAACATCACCGACCTTGAGAATATACAAGTGGATATCAAAGGGAAGCTATTGGTATGGATCAGCGTGTTTCTTCATGGTCTCCCATTGATCCTAATCACAGTGGAGTACGGATATCCCATATTGGCTGAATCATTCACTACCTGTCGGGTACCAGAACCAGTCGACCGCATTAGTGCTCTCTGGTAACAATGTGCGCATCAACGGCCACGGGCTCGGAAACTTTGACGGCAACGGGGACTATTGGTATCAATGGATTAAGAAACAACCGAACACGTCTAACTATCCAGGCCGTCCGCATCAAATTACGTTCAACGGCCTGACCAACTCTGTCATCACAGGTCTTAGTTTCTTTCGGAGCCAGATGTGGACAATGTCGATCATTAACTCTCACAATAACGTTCTGGAAGACATCCTCGTAAACAATACTGGAAATGTGGTATCGAGCTGTAAGTCTTCTGTTGGCGGCTTTCTCCATCCTCGTTGACATGGTTCGAAGCGAACACGGACGGCGCGAACACCATGTTTTCCTCTAACATAACGATGAGAAACTGGACCGTTTACAACGGCGATGACAGCATTGCCATTAAAGCAAACAGCACGAACATCTCGATTCTCGACAGCAAATTCTACAACGGTCTGGGTATCGCGATTGGTTCCATCGGCCAATATTTCGGTCATTTTGAGACCATTGAGAACGTTCGTGCGACAAACATCCAATACAAGAACACACTGCACGCCTTCTACATGAAGACATGGACCGCTGACCAAAATGGTTACCCACCGAACGGAGGAGGCGGCGGCGTCGGTTTTGCTGAGAACCTGCACTTGAAGAACCTGACCGTGTCGGGACTGAGAGGCGCTGCATTCGCCATAAGTCAATGTACGCGATTTAGCGGAGCACCTGGGGTTGGTAACTGCACGAATTCGCAGTTCCAACTTAGAAACATCGGAATCGATGGGATGGTGGGCGATAGCAAATCGAACAGGGTCGCGAGCTTGCAATGCAGCGCGGAGAAGCCGTGTACAGATATCACATTACAGAATATTGACCTGAGACTGTCGAATGGAACGGCTGCGGACAGTTACCTTTGCGGTAATGTGGTAGATACGAGGGGCTGGGCGTGCACTGGCAAGGTGTGCGAAGGTGGGAGTGCGACTGGAGAATGTTAGGCATATAAGAGCTGTTTGGGTAGATGCTGTCTGGAAGAAACACGAGTAGGAGCAATTGAACAATGGTGGTAGCTCGCGGACCGTGGACAGAATACTGACGTCATCATACACTTGCATCACTTGCTCTCTAAACTCTAGGTTCTCTCCGGCTTACGGTAATTGGCATAGCTAGGCAGAGCTCAATTCTAGACCAACCATGTGTAATTAGTTCTGAAAGTCAACCTCGACCGCAATTTACGACCATATCTCTCCGACTGTACTCACACACTATCTCGCAGCAATCCCGCAACACCCCTTAATCTGGTTGATACACTGTCTTGTTTTACAGGTGCTAAACTTGGAACCAAATCATTTACCATTCAACACGATATGCCCGAAACATACGATCACAATAAGAAAACCGTCACACATGGCCTGGCGCGCGTGAACGGTATCCGCCTGCACTACATCACAGCAGGCTCCGGTCCAGCCCTACTCCTTCTCCATGGCACGCCAAAAACCCACTACTACTGGTACAAGATCCTGCCCTACCTGACACCGCACTTCACCATCGTAGCCCCCGACCTCCGCGGCTTTGGCGCAACCGACAAACCCCCAGCCTCAGATGGCTACGACGGCGCGACCAACGCCAAAGACATGATCTCCCTCATGGACCAGCTCGGGCACTCAAAATTCGCAATCCACAGCGAGGACCGCGGCGCAACGTTCGGCTTCTGTCTCGCAGGCTTGTATCCGTCGCATGTCACGCATCTCAGCTTCTGCGAGATGGTGCTGAGCGAGCGCCTTACCGAGCAGTCCTTCTTCACGCGGGAGAACATTGCGGGGCAGTACAACCAGACGGGGGTGTGGAACTGGCATATCCCATTTCTCTGGATGCCGCATGTGCCGGAGATGCTGATTCAAGGCCGCGAAGAAGAGTTCTGGACGCATTTCATGAAGGCGGAGTGTTATAATCCGAATTGTCTGGAGCAGGAGGCGGTGGATGAGTGGGTGAGGTGTTCGAGGGCGCCCGGGGGGTTGAGGGGGATCCTGGAGACGTACAGGGCGCATTGGGCGAATGTGGATGTTGAGGAGGAGATTATCAGGAAGGGGAAGTTGAAGTGCCCAGTGATGACTGTGGGGGCACCTGAGTAAGTGCAAGTTCACTTTCCCTGCGTATTCCTCGCTAGGGAAGTACTCGAAGCCATCCGGGAAAGCACATGGCTGATCAAATCGCAAGGTTCTTCGGACCGATCGTGAAAGAGCAGATGGAGATGGTATCCGACAACATTGTGGTGTCGGAGATTTTCAATGGCTGCGGGCATAGCTTGGCGCTGGAACAGCCCGAGAAGCTGGCTAGCTGTTTGAAAAAGCTCATTCTCTCGCAGTGACCTTTATCGGTCGACATATGCATGGAATAGTGCGATCTGATCATTTGGGTTTCTTTGATACGTATATGTTGCTATCTCGTAGGTAGAGAGAACAGCTAACACTATACGCTAGGGTACGAGGCTGGACGAGCACGACAAGGATTTGGAACAGTAATGTTGATATGGTCTCGGCACATTGCGATATCTAAATTCGTATCTAATATCTTTCAGTAACCACAATCTGCCAGTTTCCTCCCTCGAGGGAGAACGCCACGCGATTGTGGTCCTCTAAACGGGCGGCTCTTGGTTTTGTGCCATTGATCTTTACATCCGGAATTTTTCCCTTGACGAATACAGGCAGGCTGACCTCACCAGTTGTCCCACTCGGAGTGTTGACAGTGACCCGATAACCGCTCGCATATCGTGATCGCTTGGCGACGAACTTGCCCAAGTCTGTAACAAACCCAGCTTCAGCATTCTTGACATCACCGAACTGGGGTCTTAAGGTCCAGGTGCTCCCTGCAGGACTGGTAACTGCGAGACCCACAAGGTACTCCGTCAATGCGCTTGTAGGTCCAGCGCTCCAACCATGAGCGTGTGATACGTAGGACGCATCATAGCCGTAACCGCGGCTGGATCGATATCCAAACGTGCCGTTTACCAAATAACCCTCGATGACAGTGGAACCAGTCCCGTTTGGGTGATTTGCGTACCATCCCCAGCTTCGGCGGATGAGTTCAAGAGCTCGGTTTGTCTCATCGATAGTAAAATGAGCTTGGATTTCGAAGCTAGAGATGAACGGCGATATGTTCTCTGGCAACTCAGGAGCCACAGCCCCAATGTCTGACCAATTTTCCGTCAGCCTAGAAGAGATGCTGGATGCGGTAGAAGACGAGGCATTGACTACGCCGAAGAGTATAGCCATGCTGTTTGCATCTTGTGGGTGGAGTTTTGTGGCCGTAGCATTGTCCTTGAAAGCGCCGTATGCATCGTCGAAGCAATGAGCTTGAATGTTCGCTCGTAGACTCTGAGCTTGCTGCAACCACTTCGAGCTCAGTCCGGTTGTGTCTTTCATCCAAGTAGCCAGCGATGCTCCGGTTCGCAGGGTGTGGTACAGGATTACATTAGCTTCTGTGAGGTTACCGCCGGTTTGCCAGCGAGCCCAATCGCGTGTTCCTGTGGAGTTCAAGAGACCACTGGGTTGGACCTTGCTGTAAATGTATGTCATTGCCTTCAGGTATTTGTCCCAGTTCTGCTGTACAAAGGCCGTATCATTCTTGTAGAGCATGTAGTTGTACGTGCCTATCATGGTCCACATATGGTAAGTGTCGCTGTTTTGTTGCAGAAGAGGAGGCCCTGCTTCGGGGAAAGAACCGTCTTTGTTCTGATGACCGTTAGAGGAATAGTGTTGATGAGAGAATCGACCTTACTTGGTAATTGTACATGACCTGCAGCGCATTTTTGACGCTATCCAAATCCCCGATGCTCACGAATCCAGAAGGAACGGCAATTCCCATGTCGCCTGGCCATACAGCGCGGTCTCTTTTAGCGCCATCTACAATGATTGTGTCCCCTGGACCCAAGGTACCGTTGTTTGCCCAACCATTGGCCAGCATCGGAACCCAACGTCCGGTGTTGACCGGCACAGAGTTAGTCTGCAAGGTATATGCACCTGCATACCAAATTCGATTCAACAGCTCGTCGTCGCTGTGGAAATAACCTTGGTAAGCTCGGAGGTTGGCCCAAGTAGGCTGAAAGCTGATTTCCAGTTGCACGTCGGATAGACTGACAGTGGTGGTGGTGTTTGATATTAGGAAAACAGTCAGGTAGCGGAAACCACCCCGCATGACTTTGTCCGGCATAACGTATGTACCATTTCCGGCTCTAGAGAAATTTGCGTACAGCGCTCCGTCTCTGCCAGCGAATTTCCCATTGGATGCATCGGACCACTCGCCGATCCATGTGCTGGCTTCGGTGAATGCCATACCTAGACTGCCGGAACCAGAGGAAGAATAGGACAACGACACGATTCCGCCTACTTCTCGTCCAAAGTCCAGGACCACATTCGAGCCGTTGCCAGATAGGCTGGCAGAGCCTGTCCATGGACGAGATTTTCTATCCCGAGTTGTGAAGACATGTTCTGGAGCGACTGTCCGGGAAGATGGTGCGTAAATACTCCTCTCCCACTCCCCTAGCACTCGTTAGTATGTCAAGGTAGGTGAATTGCTACTTCAATACCTGGAAAAGCAGTCTTGTCGGGACCGCTGCAAGGTGTTTGTCGCCAGCACTGCGCTGCTTGTGTCGCAAGACAATGTGCGGCGAACAGTCCGAAATATGCGCACTTGATCTTCATTGCGAAAGATGAACGACTTCTAAAAGACGAACTTCATAAGACACTGATAGGGAACCACAACATTGGAGACGCCGAGAAATCATGGCACCCATATTCGAAAAACGGGGGCAAATGAGGCTCGGTTCGGATTCAACCGAGATAGAGTTTCTCCGGATGTACATGGAGGCTAAAGATTAGTGCGACTCCATATTGATCGACAATGCGGGGAACACATTAGTTTGTCGTCATTGTCGCCTACTTTTTGCAGCTTGGTAGGGCACTGTCGAGCTTGCTTCGTACACTATAGCAGTGTGAGCACAAGTAGTTCTTGAGCAGACTTTGCGGGTGATGTAGGAGCGAGTTGAGAGGATGCAATGGACTACCGCACTATCATTCTCAAACTTGGACCAAGCTGAGCCCTAGATCGAATCAGCAGGTATACGGCAGGTCCCTGGGAGCCAGGTACAAGGTTCCGCGGAGGAGGAAAGGTTAGAAAGTGCGGAGAGGTGCGCTAGCTGATTCCAGTAGCGGCAGACCCTTTCGCCGCCACGTGGCGCAGCTTCCTCAACGGGTTTGTTCCTCTCTGTTGAAGTCGCAACACCATGGTTCACCTTGGTGGGCCCGCTTCAAGCTCTGTTGGCACAGTCAACTCGAGGCACTTTTCTAAGATGTGTCATATCTGTGTCATATCTCTCGCTCTGCCCTGCCCATATGCGCCGTTATGGCTGCCTTCAGTAACGTCCTCATGACTCAACCCGACCCGTGGCTCACCGAAAAGACGAGGCTGTGTGACCTGCCTTGATTGCCAACAGTTGTCAAAGTTCCATGCCAAAGGCACCAGGAATTTCACCTTCACGATATTATAGCGGCCAATAGCGACTGTGCATGCGCTATTAGACCACAGTAAGGCTTCCGCTATTGTTCACTCACGTTTGCTGCCAAAGAAGCGCCAAGATTGTCCATTCTACGGCGAGGCGAACAATGGGCGAACGCGTAACGCGTCAATAGGGCTTCAGTCGTGTCACGTGTAGATACTTCGCCCTGTCTGCGTGACAGCATTCTTGCTACGGCTCCAGCATTTCCGTACCTTGCACTTCACATAGCACTCACACAGCGCTCTCTCACTCAGCACAGCCAGCCCGCTGAGCTTTCGCGACATTCGCCACCAAAATCGGGAATCTCGGAATTCACACTCACCTATCAAAAGAAGCTGTTTCCTCGCAACCATTCTGACTTTGTTCAACGCTGCCCTTCGAAATAGTCTGGATGCGTGGAGCGTCATTGGAGGAGATTTGATAAGAGTCAGACAGTCTTCACCTCCTGACCGAAATGGCGCTGCCTAAATCTGGCTTGCTTAGCCTCCCGGCCGAAATTCGAAATACTATATACGACCAAACCTTCAATGGAGATATGTCCAACGCCGATATGCTCGCACTCATGAACACATCGAAGCAGCTGCACCTCGAAGCAGGGTCCCGCTTCTACGCCAACAACCCTTTCATAGTCAGGGTCCCGGCTCCGTCGGTCCCGGGCGCGACAGTCTTACCGCCTGTCAATGACCGCTACCTTCCGTTCCTCAAAGACCTTGGGGTTGAGATCAGTGCAGGCTGTGCGACTCGCCCTCGAGTGCAAGAGATAGCCGCTGCGATAACGCGGCTCACAACAATCGGTGCGGAATTCGATAGAGTATCGTTTTTGATCCAATTTCCGCCTGAGCTATCGTTCTTCCTCCAGGATAGGTATGATGATCCGATACTGGACAAGTCTCATCCGATAACTACTGCTCTACATAATCTTCTCGACTCAGGCGTCTCCAAGGTGGTCCACATCTGGATGAATGGAGCATGGTTTGCTCCAGGGCTGGCGACTTCGATGAAAGCCCGTTATTGCTCCGGCCTCAAGTTCATGCTCATCAATGAGGAGCACAAAATCATTGAACTTGGCGACCCCTTCGTGTACGAAAGGGCCCCAACCGGTCTGTGTTCTTGCACTCCTATCAAGATATTCGGCATGATCGAGGATAGCGGCGACGACTTGAATACGGTGGTTGGACTCGATCTCGACATGGGAGAGCATACCCTGGAGCTACATAGGACCGACCACGAACCATTCCTGGGGGTAGACGAAGATATAAACACCAAGGCTGAGGAAGACCTGACTGACGAAGACGACATCGACATGGAAGATCTGATAGCCTTCGACCCCGCAGATGTCGATGCGATCGAAGAGAATTGGAACCAGACCTTTAGTCTCCTCGACCATGAGGAGATGATGACAAAGGAGATCGAGTTTCTCGTAGTGATGGCGCCTCATATGCTACTTCCATCGTCAGAGGCGGCTGGCATAGTCACAGCCCCTCAACCGGCGATTGCTATGACTAGACCTTGAAGGAGTCAAAAAACGCACATCACCACACCAACGCAATGCTACATCGTAACACGAACCGGCATACGAATAGAAGCTAAGACCTGACCTGCATTGCACGCATAATCTTCACTTTTCCTTGTATCCGAGTACCGCATACTTCAGCGCTGATTTTACGTCTATGGTGCCCCATGCCGTCTTGTTGCCAGGAAAGCTGCAAGAGCTACTGGATGCGATAAATCATGTCGCCCGCGAAGACCCGAACCTAAAGACCGGAGACCTGGAAGCATGTTCGGAGCTTTGGCAATCAAGCCCACGCATCTATTATCGACGCCCACGATCTCGGAAGGAGCTTGACACCCGCGAAGAAGGCAATGACAGCGACGACGACGACGACGACGACGACGACTATGAAGAACGCAAGGGCGCATATTCATTGCCGCTTCCGACACCGCTCTTCACTGCCTCACGTCCACCCCATACCCTGCCTTTCCGATATAAACCCGACACCCAAGCCGTTCCTTCCACCCCTACCACCATTACCAGCCCAGTCCCATTCCTCCTCCTTACAGGCAGTGACGGCCTACGCGACACACGCGCCCCCATCCTCTTCAGCGGCGCCCCCCTCTCCGACATCCAAACCGCCATCCACGCCGCGATACCCGCCCACACAGCCCTCTGCGAAGCCCGTATCAACCACAACCGCGACAACCCCAAAAGCCACTCATGCCCTACAACGCCGAGCAGTAGCGGCAGCCCCAGGCACAGGCACAGGCCTACAACGCCAACACCAACGAATGAGCAATTGGAAGAAGCGACCCGTGCAGCCCTCTCACGCGCCCGCACAGCATCCTTACCACGCCCTACTCGCCTCCCCGTCCACACCCGCAGCGAGACTCCCGCCTGCTCGCGAAGTCGCCCGAGGAAACAGCGTCGCACCGCGCCCACCGGCCCTGCTCCATACCAACCTGACTCCGACGATGGAGACAGAGGCCGCTCGCGCACGCGGCCCGTGATTTCTCGGCCGATGCTGCAGCATCCGATTGCCGTGGCTGGGGTCGAAGTCGGCGAGGGGCGTCCGGGGGGTTCGGGTAGCTCGCTTCACGATCCTGCGAAGGGGGACATTGGGGGTGTGCTGGAGGCTGGGCGGACGGCGGCACGGCGGCGGGGGAGGGCGCGCGACTTGTCGAGAGAGGGGCGTGCGAGGGACGCGGTGCTGCGGGGCGCGTGTAGGTAGTCGTACAAGGCGGGACAGTGCAATACATTCAGATGCCCAGTTCGCCGTCATGTGTCGATCTTGCGGTACCTTACCTGCGTGCGTGTGCACAGCCGATACATCGACCTGGGAGGGTCTCGCCCTCCCCAGCGAATCCCAGCCCCGTGGCACCGCTGCACAGCATGTCTTCTGTACCACCGCTGAATCAGATCAGGCGAGCAGCTGACTGGGCAGGACGGGCGCTGTGTTTCAGGCTGGGGCGCAGCCAACATCTGGAGTTATTTTTATAGGTTGAGGCGGGCTGTGGCGGTGCGGGGGTGAAGTGAGGGAGTGCGGGGGCGAAAGCGAAGGCGAGGTGTCACGCGACTGGTTGGGGGCAGGAAAGGAGCTTCTGGACACGGTTCTCGAGGTCTCGTGCGGATGTTTCGGTGGTGCGTATGTTCGAGGGAATATGGTCGCCGCTAGCCCTCCAAGATACATCATCCAAGAAAGGGAAACATTAAAACGTACGATTGACCAACAAACAGGTCTCTGTAGATGCAAGTTGATTATTTCTTTCCTGGTTTTTATGTACAGCCGTCTCTATCTCGTTTCTCTACGCCGTGAGTATGTTCCCGGCCCAGAGAGCCCCGTCGTCGTCCTAGTCTCATAGATAATGTCGGATTTGTGTGGAGGGGGTATCATCTCGTATGAAGGTGGTCCGCTCCAAGGCAAGTACAGGTAAGGTGAAGCTCCGCGTCCCAGGCCCAACGGCCTCAAGCAAGTATAGCAACAAGTGAGTAGCAATAACGTCGTCTCCCCGTGGCATACCCCACTCCGCGCGGGGAAAAAGTGTAAAATGTAATGCGAAATAGAATCAATGTCCCGTCCCTCTTGGTGAACGCCGTACAATGCAACGCTATGCGTAAAATGTCATGCTGAAACCTAACCTCCTCTTGCAGGCATGCGGTCCTGGCCCCAGGCTGATTAAATATCGTACTCGTACGCGATAGTATACTACAATTACTCCTTCTCTTTTTGCTCGTCAAAAAAGTGCAGCGAATCGAAACAAGGCGGTGCGAAGCGAAAACGGCGCCAGCGATCAATTGGGAAGCACGTTCTCCTTCTGCTCGGTGATGATGCCGCCGATGTTCTCGGCGAAGATGCGTTGTATGGGAAGCGTGATGGCGTTCATCATATTCTGCTGAAGATCCTCTTTGATCTTTTGCTTCTCGAACCAGTAGTGGCGCACGTATTTGCCCTGACAGTTGGAGACCTCGACACCCGGGAAGCCGTTGGCCTCGGCACACTGCAGCTCCTTGACGTAGTCTGCGTAGTCGTAGCGGATGTACTCGCCGAACGCCGACTGCTCGTGAAACTTGGGCATCTTCCACTCGGAGCAGCCCTTGTAGCGCGTGTCGTCGGGGCACTCGTGCCAGTCTTTGAGGATCTGCATCGTGTGGGCGTTGTTCTGGACGACCATGAAGCCGGTGTTGGTGTAGGTGCGGTTGAAGCGGTCGGAGTTGTACTGGGGCGCTTCGGGGTCCCAGGGATCGAGAGCCATGGTGAAACTGTGTTCTGGCTTGATCTGCCAGTAGTTGAACATCCACTCGAGGGGGAGGTGCTGGAAGCGAAACGTCGCATCGGCGTCGAGGAAAACAATAAACTTGTAGTTCTTGATGTGCTGGGCGAGTGCCGAGGGCTTGATCCAGGTGGCGTGGCGATCTTCGAATTCGTGCGCGTGGACGAACTTGTAGTCGTAGCCGTGGATCAGCGAGTAGATGTAGTGGCTGAAGACGCCGCCCGACACGTGGTTGAGCTTGCGCCAGTCAAAGAGGCCGTGGTTGAAGGCCTCGGTCGACTCGAGGGGGCGCGTCTCCAGGTCCAGGATCAAGACGTCCTTGCCCATCTGCTTCGTGTAGCGCGGATCCCGCGGCAGGGTGAGCGAGGTCAGGTTGAGGTCCTCGCCAATGAAGGAGAAGCTGGACTCGTCGGGGGCGATCTTGAGCGGCTGGTAGAGCTGGCGGATGATTTCGTGGATGCCGAGCTTGGCGGTGCCTTCGTTGGTGACGGTCCTGCAGAGGGTCAGCCTCCCAACAGCGCCTGTGCGCGGGCGGGGAAAACACACATCTCGACGTGGGTGGTGCTCTTGGGCAGCTGCGGCAGCTGCGGCGGGCTCTGCCAGGCCAGGAAGCCAAAGACGAAGAGCAGCACGAAGCCGGCGGAGACGGCGAGGCCAAACAGGGGCCCCCGCGGGCCGGTCGTGGGCAGCATCGTGTCGGCCGGCGCGCGTAGGAGTCGAGGCAGCTGTAGAGGGACGTGACGGGAGGCGGCGGGCGTCGTCCAGGAGGCACGGCGGCTTCGCGTGCTTTAAAGCGAGCAGCCAGCGAGAGATTAGGCTTGGCATCTCACGCTGCCTCAGCCCCTGCGACGCCGTTGCTTAGCGGCATCAAGGCGGCGGCGAGGCGAATCACCCGCCGGCATCCCGCCAAGCTGCGCCCGCCGGCCTGGGCGCTGCAAAAAGCACGCCCGGTGTGGCGCCCGCTGCGGAACCCGGCACCGGCCACCTGCCCCCCTCCGCTGTCGCTGTGCTGCACCTAGGGCCCACGACGCAGTGCTTGCACGCCGTCGCGCCGTGGCAGCGATGCTTTGACAGGCCCCAGAGTCCATCCAGCAGCGGCCAGCGAGCCTCACCCACAAAACCACTCCGCGCTGCCCCACCAGCCCTCCCTCCCGCCCGCGCACATGCCTTCACACACCAGCGAGAGCGAGGTCCACCACGCGGCCTCGCGCTCAGCCTGTACCCCGCGTTCGCTGACTACTTCCCAACCATGGCCGTTCATCGCTCTTTTTGATTCGCCGCTCCTACTCCGCCTGGGTTGCCAACCTGCTGGACTGATGTCGCACGATGCTGTACTCGGCCCCAAGGCATCTTTGGTGGCTTTCGGCCGTAGACGCTGTGGAACCGAACACGACCATGGACCATCTCGCACCGTTGCTCGCGGGCGGGAAACGTGTGGTGCTGTCGGTGCGTGAGACCTCTATGGCTCTGAGACAGCCACCGTACCAATGGGCCCAAGCCTTAATGGGACGTCAGGCCTCAGAGAGGACGGCCTGCGAGAAGGTGTTCGACAGTGGCGTTGTGACGGCATACATCAACTGTCCCTTGCGTATCGTGATATCCTGCAAGAAGTGATGCTGACACTTTGCATGCTGCATGCCACAGCCACCTTTCCCAGGCTTTGGTACCAAGCACCGCACGCAAATCCCATATCGACTCCGGAATTCAGGCAGACGCGAGGCAGCATTTGCCGTCACCTGTATGCCATTTAACGGCCGTAGTAACTATGCCGTTCGTCATCTAGCCATGTAAATCGGCTCCTACCCCAAGTGGAACTCTCCAGGTACGGCATGGCCATTTCGATATTGGTCATCGAAATGAGCAGGACCCAGGAATTGGACTGCAAATGTTCCTTCGGAATTCGGGGGAAGTGGTTGCCGCCGTCGACAAGAATCGCGGGCCGGAAGCGCTGCCATTGCCACTGCCTCCTTTATTCGTCGCACCTGCCCCTTCCCCATTTGGTGATCAATGGAAGAATTGCACAGCCGACAGGCCTTGCGTTCAATTTTGACCATCTCAGATTATGCCCTGTCAGTACAAGCTGCAGCAGAGTGTGGATGCATCCTATGATAGTATGGAAGGGATGGTGTAGATGATCGGTGATGGATTCTACTGCAATTTTCAGTCGTTGCTTTCGTGCCTCGCGGATGAACCCTTGGAGTCCTTCGTTTTGACTTGCAATCATCTGCTCGCCTATGTCCTGTACACAGACGCCTACGCAGACGCATTCTAGACACATCGGAAACTGCAACAGCAGCCCAAAACATGGGATTGCAAACACTCATCGCTCATTAGACCGCAACCGCGTATACGTCGTGACTTCGGCACCTTGCCTTCACTCTTTCCGTTCCTGCCCCTTTGTCTTCCCGTAAGCCCCACCAGCCAGCTTCCTCATCTCCAGCGCACGCTTGTATGGCGGTGCCGTCGGCGGCTGTACTGGGTCCAAGCTGACTCTGTCCTTTGGCAGTGCGTACGTCGCATCTGAATCATACGCCGACAAGTCTCCGCAAGCCAGGAACGGTGCTATCCATCTTGCGCCGCCTTCCTCGATACCCGCCTCATCGCTCTCGTCACCGAGATCAATCTCGACCACACCGTCTGGCCGAACCGTCCGCGAGGGCTTCGTAGCGTCTGGCTTCTCGTCGGGAATGGGCAGTGTGGTCCCGGCACCCAGCGGCTTCTCAAGCGACGGCTGGAACCCCTCTGGCGGACAGAACCCCTCGCAGACTACAAAGGCCTCAATGCTAGAGGCGCGGGAGCTCCTCGGTTTTGCAACTCGTACGCGTGAGAAGACGAGCTTCAGCTGCGCAAACAGCAAATCGACGTCTTTCCCGCGGAAGATTTTGGCCACGAACTTGCCGCCGGGCTTGAGCACGCACAGCGCGAGGTTCAGCGCCGCCCACAGCAGCTGCGACTGCACGTAGATGTCGAGGTCGTGCAGGCCGGTGACGTCGGGCGCGCCATCGGAGATGACGAGGTCGACGGGCGCGGACGGGGAGGACGTCGTCGAGGCGGGGTCGTAGGTGTCTGGGTCGAGGGCTCTGAGCATGAGGGGGATGGTCGAGGGGTGTGTTATGTCTGCGCGGAGCGTCGTGACGCCTTCTAGTGGGCTCATGGGCTGGAGGTCAATGGCAACGATGCGGACGCCTTGCCTCTTCTCAGGCTGCTGGACGTCTTGCACGGCGCCTCCATCTTCGCTGGATGGTGCAACGTCTTCTGCTGTATTGCTCTTGCTGCGGCCTAACACGTACTCCCGCGTTTCTTTCTGCTTCTGCTCCCAGCCCGCCCGTCCGAACTTCTCGCCTTTGATCAGGACCCGTGATAGGACTTGACTCCAGCTTCCGGGTGCGGCGCACAGATCCACGACCCGCGTGACGTTTTCGAAGAGGTTGAATTCTTCGTCCAACTGCAGAAGTTTGTAGGCCGAGCGGGCGCGCCAGCCTTCTTCCTTCGCCAGGCGATAGTAGGCGTCGCGTTTGTCCTTGGAAGATTTCCCCATCTCTTGAGAAAGTGGATATCGATTTCAAGAATGTGCAGATGTGGTGCTCCCGATCAGGTGCCACGAGGCTGGCCAGCTGTTTGCCTGCCTGCTTAGGTTTACACTTCTATCTCTTTCAGGATGTACCAAGTCGAAATGTCTTATCCAAAAACGGCTGCAAAGTGATCAAGTAAATCTAATCGAGTCGCCGTGAATTCTCTCGCTTCCCCCACAACGGCAATTTTACGCGACGCGCGCGGAGCAGCCCTACCCGACCGCCGACCTCTCCCCCAAAAATTTCCACAGCTTTCCTACACAACGCGACGTGCAGTCGCACCCTTGCAATTGCACATCATGAAGCGCCCACACGCCGCGCCCAAGCCAGCGCACCCCACGCACAAGCGCCAGAAGCTCGAGAAGCCATCCGCGCCCGCAAAACCACCTGCGCCGCGCCGCAAAATCCGCCTCGACGACCTCTCATGGAAGGCCGTCTCCATGCCCGACCGGCTGGAGGACTTCGAGGGCTTCTATGGACTCGAGGAAATTGACGATGTCGAGGTAGTGCGGGAGGGTGCGACGCTGAGCTTTGGGACGAGGAAGAGCGAGGAGCAGCTTGAGCGGGAGAGGGAGGAGGGGAGGAAGAGGGAAGAGGACGAGAAGAGGAGGTTTGAGGAGATGAAGGATAGGCAGGGGGAGGTGGACTTGGATGTCGGTGTGGAGGATGAGGCGGTGGAGAGTGAGTGGGAGGGGTTTAGTGATGGGCAGGGTGACGAAGAGGATGCAGTCGGGGACGGTGAGGCGGGGGTGGAAGAAGAGCCCAAGCCAATGTCGAAGAAGGAAAAGAAAAAGCAAAAGGAGAAGGAAATCAAGGAACGAAAGGAAAACCAGAAGAAGGAGAAGGCTGCAAAGAAAGAGGCTGCAGATCCCAAACCTGCGAACCAAGCCAAGGACAGCAAGGACCAGGAGCAGCAGAAGAGCAACGAAAAACAGGCAATAGGCAATGGGGCCTTTGACCTTCTGGCCGATAAATCTGAGGACGAAGACGAAGGCGATGTCGACGTCTCGGCGTGGGAAGACCTTGGCCTGTCCAAGCAAACGCTTGCCTCGCTGGCCAGACTGAAGTTCTCCGAGCCAACGACCATCCAGTCTTTGGCCGTCCCAGAGGTCCTTGCGGGCCGCGACGTGATCGGAAAAGCTTCTACCGGCTCCGGAAAGACTCTCGCCTTCGGTATACCCATCCTGGAATCGTACCTCAAGTCGCCGCCCAACGCGAAGAACCACACTCCCATCGCTCTAATCATCTCGCCCACGCGTGAGCTTGCGCACCAGCTTGCGGCACATCTAACCGCTCTATGCGCCGACGGTGACTTCAAGGCGCCGTCGATAGCGACTGTCACTGGTGGATTGGCCGTACAGAAACAACGCCGACAGCTGGAGCATGCAGATGTCATTATCGGAACCCCAGGTCGCTTGTGGGAGGTCATCAGCAGCGGTCAAGGACTCTTGGCGTCTATCAAGAAGATCCGCTTCCTTGTGGTAGACGAGGCTGATCGCCTTCTGAGCCAAGGGTCTTACAAAGAGCTCGGTGAAATCCTCAAGATTCTTGACCATGACGATAACACAGAAGAGGGGGTCGAGCCTGATCCAGCTGCGGAGGTTCAGCGCCAGACTCTCGTCTTCTCCGCCACGTTCCACAAGGGCCTTCAACAGAAGCTCGCTGGCAAAGGCCCCAAAGGCGGCGGCGACTTGATGAACAAGCAAGAATCCATGGAGTACCTCCTCAAAAAGCTCAACTTCCGGGAAGAAAAGCCTAAGTTCATCGACGCAAACCCCACCTCGCAGATGGCCACGGGCCTTAAAGAAGGCCTCATCGAATGCGCCGGCACAGAAAAGGACCTCTTTCTCTACTCCCTGCTCCTCTATCACCCCAAAAAGCGCGCCCTCATCTTTACAAACTCTGTCTCAGCTGTCCGCCGCGTCACCCCCTACCTCCAGCACCTCGACCTCCCCGCGCTGCCCCTCCACTCGGGCATGATACAAAAAGCCCGCCTCCGGTCCATCGAGCGCTTCACCCAGCGCCCCGGCTCCATCCTCGTCGCCACCGATGTCGCTGCCCGCGGCCTTGACATACCCGGCGTCGAACTCATCGTGCACTACCACCTCCCCCGCGCGGCCGACACCTACGTGCACCGCTCGGGCCGCACGGCGCGCGGGTCCGCCTCGGGCGCCAGCATCCTCATCTGCGCGCCGGAAGAAGTTGCAGGCGTCCGGCGCTTGGTTGCCAAGGTGCACGCGCGCAATGAAGCCGCGCCCGGCAAGAGGAAGTCCGCGTACTTCATCCGTACGCTCGACATCGACCGGCGCATAGTCGCGCGGCTGAAGCCCCGCGCTGTGCTGGCGAAGCGCATCGCCGACGCGACTATCGCGAAAGAGAAGACGCACTCCGAAGACAACTGGATGCGCGAGGCGGCAGAAGAACTCGGGGTGGACTACGACAGCGAGAGCTTTGAGAAAGAGGCGAAGGGACGCAAGGGTCGGGGCGCGGGACGCAAGAAGAAGGAGAAAGAGGCGAGTCGGTTGACGAAGGGGGAGATGGGGGCGTTGCGGGCGGAGCTCAAGGGGTTGCTTGGGCAGAGGGTGAACGTGGGTGTTAGCGAGCGGTACTTGACGAGTGGAGGAATTGATGTCGAGGCCTTGATGAGAGGGGAGGGGAATCTGGAGTTTTTGGGCGACGCGGGGGCGCTGGGCTTTGAGGATTGATGAGGAGAGGGTTGGGGGTGTAGAGAATCTTGCTCGAGTAGAGCAGTATGCTATGATGTTGTGTGTTGTAGGCTGATACCCGCTTGCAGATGTGGGACTTCGCAGCGGGAAAATATAAAATTTCGACTGTGCTACTTTCCAGTGTGTGAACAGGGATACCTCGTTTCTGAAATCTTTTTGGCAGTGACATTTATTAGGTTTTCCCCAGGCGGACTGGTTGTTCTGAGGCTCATTGGTTCTACGCTCAATCACCGGATATCTCCCATAGTCATCTAAAGCTAGTGATTTGAGATATGCCGGAGCTGAGAAGACAAGTACGAATGGGGTAGCGTCTACATTTGAACATGTTCATCTTGAAGGGCGCAGTTGAAATCCATGTCTGACCGAGAGCAGGAGCGTTGCTTTTGGGCGCGGCGAACGATGTGCAGGGGAGTCCGCGGTGACTAGAGATGCAAAACTGCTTCCAGTGCGCGAGTGGCCGTTGGGGTGTGTAGGTATGTGATTCTTGTTTTCTGACTACTGTGTGCCTGCGCGGACACAATGTGACAGCTTTGAACGAGCCGGTAACACAGATCTGGAGTTGGAAGAACGACTTCTGGGCGTCAGCGCGGCTCAGTCGTCCTAGATACATGCCTCAACATTTGGACAGGAAGAGTTTCTACGCTTGCGTCACTACTCCGGTTGTGCGGTAGAGTGGAAAATTGACATCACGTCCAATTGAGAAAGTTTCACTCGTCTCATGAAGCTTTCACACTTTCTTAATTATGAAGCCCCAAAAGCGTAAAATTCTACGTATCCTGGTCGGTTTCGTCAAAGGCGTGCCCGGGCCAGGGGAGAGTGAATAGCAACGGCACGTGCACCCAGCCGCCCTCTCAAAACTTCACCATCGCCCTCACATTTCACCCTCCACAGAGGCCAGCGAGTACACGTCCGACTACTAGCGCTGCATTCTCACGCTCCCTCTCCCATATCAACACCCCGCCCAGCTATCTCCGCCCTGTTCACCACTTGCCCACGTACAGGGACTCAACACCTTGATCGCACACGAACATGAACAGCCCCGTCCCGGCATTCCTGCCGTGGGCCACGGCCACGGCTTTCGTGCCCATTGCCACGGCTACCGCCACGCCCTTTCCGCCCGCCGTTCTCGCGCAGACAGGCCCCGTGGTGTACCCGTCCATCTATCTCCCCGACCTCGCCATTTGGGTGACCTGCCCGTCCACGGTGTGCAACCCGATCGGCTCGAACAGCACGTTTTCCCTCGTGGACAAGTCTGTCACCCTGTACCACGACGCCGTCAACTTCGCCGCCCGCATCGCCTTCGGCAAGTCGCCTACCCCCGCCCCCGTCCTGAACCATGCCGTCCCGTCCGTCGACGCGCCCACGCCCACGCGCAAGCCACACACACAGACAGTGTCCGCCCCGGACGTCCAGAGCGCGTACCTCCTCCCGCCGGGCAGCTATCTCCTGTGGTCGCCCTGGAAGGAGGACCCCAGGGTCAAGTGGGGCTACCTCTACACCGTCGCGCAGATCCGCAACAAGACGTGGTGGGCGCTGGAGAAGTCGGGAATCCTGGCCTTCACGCACAAGCACTGTCCCGTGACGCACAAGAGTGGGCCGTACATCTGGTACCAGGGCGGCCCTTTTGTGTTCGAGTGGATCATGTTGCTGGGGCAGCTGCTGTGGATCGTGCTGCTGCTTTTGCTGATGGCTTGCTTGGCGATGGCTGGGAAGGCGGCTTCGCTGGCGCTTTTGGTCAAGGAGTTTGCGTTGGACCGTAGACCTTGGGTCTTGGAGCGTGTTGTGAGGTCTCCTGAGTCGTAAGTCCCTCCCGCATGAATGGAGCCATTGGATGTGAGCTAACGTTTTCTAGTGTTGCCTCCGCTGCTGGAGAGACTATTTCCGACTTGAGGAACGTGGGTCCTTGGGTCATTGAGCACGTTGCCCGTTCTACGGAGTAGGAAATCCCGACAGCATGGATTGTTTGACGAGTTACGAGCTGACAGTTTCTAGTGTCACTTCCTCCATTGGAGAGGCTAGATCGTTGTTGAATTACGTTGGACTGTGGGTCCTTGAGCGTGTTGCTCAGTATACGCAGTAGTAAGTCCCGCTAGCTAGGTATGAAATGGATCATCGAGCATGAGCTGAACTCTTCCAGTCTTACTTCCTTTTTGACTGCTCTGACATTCCGCGACTATGTCCAGATTGCAACGATAATGGTTCTCGCATCCGTGTGCAAGTTTTTGTGGGACTGGGAGTCCATGTTGCGGAGCGCATTCGCCCACCGAGACCAACAACTGAATAATCTGACCGGCGGCTTCAACATGCTACATCAGTACGTTGGTCATTGGCAAGACTACTGGCCTGATTTCCGAAACGACGTTCAAGTACATCTTGAGAAGTTGTACGGGCGGAGCAACGCCCATACCGGAGAGGTCAAAGCGCTGTGGCGATGGAGCAGTGATGCGAACAATGTCTTCTGCGCCCATCGGGATCAAGTCCACGCTGAGCATCAGGTTCTTCATGGCCAATTAGATGCCCACTTTGGCCAAATTAACGACCTCCTGGAAAACGCCACAGACACCAACAGCCGCGTTGATGGTCTTGAAAAGAAAAATAATATGCTGGAACAACTCATTATCATCATCGATGGGCGGTTGGGTGCCCACCGCCACGCCATGCTCACGATGCAGCAAATCATCGAAGCCCGCTTCAGTGAAGTTGACGAACGATTTGAAGATGTCGAAGCCGTTGCGGGAGAAGTCGAAACCGCCGTCCAAGGCCACCATGTAGACATCCGCTTCATTCGCGACAGCATCGACGCATTCAAGGCCCACGTTGAGAAGCAGCATGGTTCTTTATACGAGTACTTCCGCATCACCAAGGCCCTCCTCGATGCCACCGACGCCGACGTCCGTGTCATCCGCGAAAACGTCACCGGCCTCACCGGGCAAGTCAGCAAAGCCGTGCAACGCATCTGCAGCCTGGAGACCCTTGCCAAAGAGGCCGAGGAATTGTTCAAGCAGCAGCTCGCCGCCGTCCAGGGGAACATCACCACCATCAACCAGAGACTCACTTCCGGCCTCGAGAAGCTGACCATCACCGACAAGAAAGCAACCGCTGCCCAGACCCAAATCGCCGGCGTCACCTCTAAGCTTCGCGCGCTGCAAGACTGCTTCGCCACGTACAACGCGTGGTGGGCCGACGCCAACACCCAGTTCCGCACGCTCCTCGCCAACATTGCGAAGACCAACATGGCGGTGGCAACGCTGCGCAACACCTCCACCCTGCACAAGGACTACATCTTGTTCCTTTACTCCCAGGTTCTCCCCGAGTTCTCCCGGGACGCACTGCAGACCTACACTGACACCGTCGTCGATGCTCAGCCGGGCGCCCCGCTCCAGGTCGATGTCGTGCTCAACGAGCGGGTGCAGTCTGCGCTTCTCCGCATGCTTGGTGAGCAGATGGGCCCAGAGGCGTCGCGGGCTGGCAGTCGTACCGCGCCCGCGCGGGACCAGCAGGGGGACGAGGCTTTGAAGCCCGGGCCGCTTAGGATAAGGAAGAAGGCTCCTGTCGGTCATGCTGCGGAGGCTCTGACTGACAGATTCCTCCGGGAGCTCGAGGCTGCGCAGTGCGGGCCGTCAGCGGGTAACGAGTAGGCAGGGCTGCCCGATTCGATATCTCCCGCATGCAGAGCCCGGTGCCGGGCAAGGAGAGGACCACGACAATCGAATGACAAGATCCGCACGACCAGGCACCTACGACGCGACAACACCCGCCCACGACGCAAAGCTACCCAAGGCGCGCCACGCTGAAACATCTACCCACTCACGACACCACCCACCCCCCTTGTTCCTCCTCCTCTTCCCTTCCCTCCCTCCCTCTCCCGTCGTGGTCTCCGAGCTATAATCTTACGAACTCAGAACCCCCTCCCCTCCCCTCCCCCGACGCTCTGGACTATAATCTCACGAAACCAGAGCGTCGAGCCGCTCCCCGCACCGAACTTGAGGCTCCGGTCAACACAGACGAGTGTGGGGAACAGGCGCGCACCCCGGACTTGAGGCTCAAGCGGGATCTGCAGATGGCGGTCCTGGGGTCGATATAGGCGAGTGTGTTTGGGAGGGGTGGGAGAGGGCCAGGGGGGAGAGGGGTGGGGATGGAGTAGGGATGAGGGGAGGGGTGGACTGGCAGTTGGCGGGTTAGTGTGGTCGTGGACGAGAATATTGTGGGATGGTGAGGTAGATGGAGTGGCACGCGGGTCGGGTCGGGTCGGGTCAGGTGGTTCGGTTCTCGACGCAGCTTCTGCAAGGCGCGACAAGACGAGGCGGTGTGAGTTTGATCCGGTGCGGAGATGATCTGGGACGCATCTCTCGAGGTTTGGGCATTGTTTTGGCGCTTTATATACCCGGTCTAGCATCTCGTCTCATTTCATCTCATCTCATCTCATCTCATTTTCTTCTTCATCAAACGATGGCAACAATGCAATTGGTCTTTTCCAGTTCCCAAGTCCCCGCAAATGCATCCTCCCACCTCCTGCGTCGACCACACCACCCCTCCACGTAATACACTCCTCCTCCGAATACAACCCTCCCCCTAATACACCTCCCTCGCCGCAATCCAAACCCCCATCCCCTCACCCTCGGGCCTCAGATCAAAAACAACCAGCACATTCTTCATCCACGCATCCCCCAGCACCGCGTCGCCCTCTTCCATCCTCTGCACCGCAAGGCTGCACCGCCCCCGCCCCTCCCTCGTCAACATATCCTCCGGGTTAATATAGAACGTCGTGCCGCCGATGACGACGCCGAAGCGCGGCTGCTGCGCTCTGCAGGACGTGATGTACGTGTTGGAAGAAGGGACGTAGCGTGCGGGCGGGGAGAAGAGGGAGGCGAGGTAGTCGGCGGTGGCGTCGGGGAGGTAGAGCAGGGTGGAGCCCGAGTCGAGGATCATTTGGAGGGGTGCTGCTCCGTCCTGCCTGTGGGCTCTTTGGCTGGTGCCTGACACCGTGCTCGAAGTCATGTTTGCAACCGGCACGGTAGCGGGGCCCGACGGCGGCGTGATGGCGAAGCCGTCGACGGGGATGGTGTAGAAGGCGTAGGTGTGCGCCAAGACGGGGGTGATGGGCACGCGGACGAAGGGCGGGGTGTAAGGCACGTCGGGGATGCCGCCGATGGCGAGGAGGCCCCCGGCAGTGGGGGATTGGGGTGTGGGGCGGGAGAGCGCGAGGGAGAAGAGGGGTGGGACTTGATGCGTTTCGAAGCTTTGTTCTCGTCAGGCGTGTCCGCGTTGACTCCAACTCCAGGAAGGTGGACGGGGGTCAAGAGGAAATAGACAAGACTTACAGCGAGCCCACCACAGTCGTGTAGTTTAGATCGTGGTAGTTGGAAGCCAGCGTCGGAAACGCCAGCCCCATCAGCCCACTGCTCCGACCATCGCCCATCCACCACCCGCGCTCCACGACCCCAATCGTCTGCCGCACCGTCAGCCCGCCCTTGCTCCCGTCGACGTCGCCCATGCGCAGCTCTTCGACGCCCATCTCCCCCATCAGGTACTCGCCGTCGCTGTACTTGACGCCAAACACGCGGCCGGGGATCGGATTGTACGTCGTGCTGTCCACGACATCGTACAGTTCTCCGAACCCGCAGCTTTCCTGGGGCAGGCGTGCGTGGGAGAGGCGGCTGGTGCACGTGAAGCCTGACGCAGCGATCCATGTGTCCGAGGATCCAGTGTCGAGGATGAGGGTGTAGGGGTGGCCGGCGAGCGTGACGTTGGTCATGTAGACGCGGCCACCGAGAGTGTCGACGGGCTGTTCGATGGCTGCTTTTGGGACTGTGGCTGGAGAAGGGGTGGATCCGGGGAGCCCAGCGTTAGCATCTTGGGCCGTGGCTAGTGGTGGGAGGTCTGCTGGGAGAGAAGACACGTCCGCGGGAAATGATACATCTAAGGGAGATGGCAAAGCCACAGGAGGCACCACATTCCCAAGAGACTCCAAAGCTCCAGGAGATGGTAAAGCCATCGGAGATTCCACACCCACAGGAGGCGCGACACCCACCAGTGGCGCTGCCGCTACAGGAGAAGCTCCCCCAGCGACAGGAGCTCCCCCAGCTGCCCCGTCACCCCCAACCACCGGCAACGACCCAGGCACAACGACCGGCCCCATCCCAAACCCCGGCACCACAAGCCCCGGCACCGCAAAGTCCTGACGTCTCCCATTTTGATGATTCCTTCGCCTCCGTCTATGTAAATGCCTGGACGAGGGCGTGACAGGATGCGGGTGCGGCGCCGCAACGAGCGAAAGGACGTGCGGCGTTACTATCCGGGTCAGTTGGGTATTTTGCAGAGAAGAGAAGAGACGAGTGCAAGGGGAGTACCTTGAATGGCGGCGGGCGGCGCGCGATGGACCAGGGCTGCTGCGAGCGGGAGAACACATCGCAGATACAGGGGCAGACGCATGGTAGAGGTGAAAAGGACGGAAAAAAAGCACACACAGAGGGAAGAGGTGAGGTGGAATGCAAAGATGCGATGGAGGTATGGATTGAAGCTACTTATACCCCTTGCTTGGGATGCGCAGCAGACGCAGGTCGGGCCATGCATGAAACGGACTATCATCGTGACTTCATGGAGATGGCGGCAGCGAGCGCCTGGCGGTATAGCATGGCATGTTGATTTTGTTTCGTGTTCCCTGGGGAACTACGCTGACGTGCGGCGCCACGCTACATTCCAGTGGGCGGTGGTACCACGAACGAGCTCGAGGGCTGCCATAGTGCTACCCGATCTGCGCAGGTGCTGCTCTCCCGGGTAGGGTAAACCGAAGTCCGCACGTAAGATGGCTTACTGTTTGAGGGCAGACACTCCCTGACTCTCCTGGATCTACTGCCCAGGGGCGGTCACGTCGACGCAACTAGCAAGTGGCACCACGAGATTAGCCCAATCCCGAGTACATACCTGGGAAGTACGAGAGACATGTCATGATCCAACTGCCGCGTAAGGCGCTCTTGGCGCACATCCCTTGAGCTGCGTTAGAAGTGATCAATTGATTGCAGGTGAAGGCGTACATGGCTTGATTGAACTAGAGCAAGCATGGTGCCCGAATCCAACTGGCAACACCCTACACGCTCGGTGCTGGTGCCCAAGGAACGAGAAAGGGATATCGCGCCTAAGCTGCTCTCACAGTACTGAAGTAAGCCAATCCCGGGAAATATATCGTCACACACCTTGAACGCCGGACCCAAGAGGACTACCATCCGCCGCCTCGTCTGCCACGCCCTCCGCGGCGCCCGCCCCGGCCGCCGCCGTACCCGCCGCCACCGGCACCGAAGCCTCCTCCCCAGTTGCCTCCTCCACCATAGCCGTTCCTGTCTTCGCCAGGCGGGTACGAGTCCCGCGCAGGAGGAGCACGGCCCTTGACCACCTTGGCGAGGGCGTCGTACGACTTGCGCATCTGGGCGTATCCGAGGTGCATCTTGCCGTAGAAGTGGTCCGCGAGCCGGCGGTCGTTGTCGAGCCTGCTGAGGTAGGCGCCGCACACGTCGCAGACCTGGAGCTTCTGGTGGCCCGACGGACCGCCCGTCTCGGTCAGGTTGCGCAGCATCTTCTCCGTCTCTTCCTTCTCGGCCTTCTTGACGCGCAGCTTGTAGAACTCGTTGACGGCCAGGTTGACCATGCCCTCCTCGCCCATGATCTGGACCTCGAGCATGCCGGCCTCGATGGACCTGTTGAGCTCCTTGATGGTGTTGAGCTGGGCGGGTTAGCGGCGGTGTCTGGCCAGGGCGGCGGGGTGCTCACGTATTGGTTGGAGAGGCGGATCTCCTCGGTCGTCTTCTCGAGGCGGCCCTGGGCCTCCTTGATGCGGCCGTCGCACTGCCGGACGTACTTTTGCATGTCCAGGAAGTACTCGTAGTCAAAGTTCCAGGTGCGCTTCTGCTGCTCCGAGGCGTCGTGGTACTCGGTCTTGAGGGCTTCGTTGTGGACCTTGGGGCAGGGCCCGAAGTCTTGCTTGGTGTTGGTGAAGAGGTCGTGCGGGCAGTTGCCGACGAGGTACGACTTGCAGACCTTGGGGTCGGTGATGTCGAGCTTGGGCGCCTGCTGGTCGAAGCCAGTCATGGCTCCGGCGCCCATGAGCTGCTCTGCGGGGGGTCAGCAGTGTCGCTCGCGCGGGCGGGGGCAGACGTACCTAGCAGCCTTCGCTGCTCGGCGGCCATGCTGACGGTGCAGGTGGGATGCGCGCGCACGTCACGGAGCGGGTGAGCTGGACAGAGCGCAGAGCGTCGAGCGTGGCGCGTCGGGCGGCGAGCGTCGAGCGGCGAGAGCTTTCGCGCAGAGAAACGGCGCCAAGCCCCCGGCAGCCAATGGCACGCGCGCCTCCTTGACCACGGCCGCCCGCAACCACGGCCGCGTGCAGTGCTTCTCCCGGGGCGATGCTGCAATGCGGTCGTTTCTCTCCTTTGCGCTGCTCCCTGCCTTGATTGCTTGCGCGCACGCCGGCCCCGACTACCACGAGCGCCTGCTCCTCCGCCCGCTGCCCCAGGACGCGCTGCTGGCCTCGTTCAACTTCCGCAGCAACGAGACGGCCGCCGCCTACGAGCAGCAGAACTTCGGCCTCTTCCCCCGCTCTCTGGGCCAGATCCTGCAGCATGCACACACCAAAGAGCTGCACCTGAGGTTCAGCGTGGGGCGGTGGGACGCCGACAGCTGGGGCCAGCGGCCGTGGTACGGCGCCAGAGAGGGCAGCAACGGCGTCGAGCTGTGGGCCTGGATCGAGGCGGGCAGCGACGACGAGTATGGCGGCACATGGACCGTGGGACGCCTTGCTAACGCAACCACAGGGCGTTTGCGCGCTGGCTGACGCTGGTCAACAACCTCTCCGGGCTCTTCTGCGCCTCGCTCAACTTCATCGATGCCACCAAGACGATCCGCCCCGTCGTCTCCTTCGACCCCGAGGGCGACCATGCAGACACGTCCAACCTGCACCTCCTCCACGGCATCCTGCCCCACGAGGTCGTGTGCACCGAGAACCTGACGCCCTTCCTCAAGCTGCTTCCTTGCAAGGGCAAGGCCGGCATCTCCAGCTTGCTCGACGGCCACAAGCTCTTCGACGCCGCCTTCCAGACCATGGCCATCGACGTGCGCCCCGTCTGCGGCACGTCGGGCCGCCAGTGCGTGGTCGAGATGGAGCAGACGGTGGACATGGTGCTGGACATTGCCCGCTCGAAGCGCCCCCGCGACGACCCCATCCCGCGCCCTCGCCCCATCGAGGACATCGAGTGCGACACCTCCAAGAGCTACAATGCGCCCGACACCTGCTACCCGCTCGACAAGAAGACGGAGCCTGCCTGGAAGCTCACCGACGTGTTTGGGAAACCCCTGCGGGGTGCCTGTCCCCTGACAGCGGCCGAAGGCCCAGAGTCGGAAACCCTCTGTATCAATGCGCCACCAGAGCGCACGATTCATGTCAACACGACGGGCCAGTACACAGAGTCGCTATCAGCTTCAGACACACTCCGCTGCTACAAGCTGCCAACCGGCACCGAGCTCGACCTCGTCCTGCCCGAGCAGCGCATGACCACCGGCCTCGTACGCGGACAGCCTCACCTGTACGCCGCCCGCTCCATCAACGGCCACGGTCAAGAACGCGGCAGTGTCCAGGCTGTCATAAGAAACCCCTCGCCCACCGATGCCGTCGAGTTCACGTACCTGGAGTCGCTCCCCTGGTTCATGAAGCCTTACCTGCACACGCTGCGCGCACACGTGTCCGCCTCCGACGAGGACCCGCTGAAAGAGACGTATTACCGCCCCGCCGTCGACCGCATCCGCGGCACGCACCTCGAGCTGCGCCTCGTCATCCCCCCCGCCTCCACCCTCATCCTGACCTACGACTTCGAAAAGGCCATCCTGCGCTACACCGAGTACCCGCCCGATGCCAACCGCGGCTTTGATGCGCCTCCTGCCGTCATCCGCATACTGGGGCCGTTCCAGTCTGCCGACCGCAAGGGCATGTATCTCAGAACTACGCCGCTGCTACTGTCCCTGCCGACGCCCGACTTTAGCATGCCGTACAACGTCATCATCCTGACGAGCACCGTCATGGCGCTGGGCTTTGGCAACATTTTCAATCTGCTGGCTCGGCGCTTTGTGGGGGCAGATGAGGTGCCGGCGGCTGGCGGCCTGAAGGGCATCATTCAGGCCAAGATTCAGAGTGTTAGGACTAGGTTTGGGCGGGCTTGATAGACGGTAATGAATGTGTGTCCCACGGGTTGTTCAACCGTTGCAAAACAGACTTCGCACTCGCCATCGATGACGCGTTGGGCTATGGTGCTGTACATACGCATCGCCCTCGCCATCCATCTCCTTTCCCACCATGTCCCTCCACACTCACACCACCTCCGCACGCACCTCCCTCTGAATTCCCATGATCGACGCCAACTCTGCCACGGGCGTCCGCCCCGACCCACACTCCGTCGCGACCCCAAGCCCCCTGCTCCCCAGCACCCCGCGCCCGCGTCCCCGCCTCGTCCCCCCCATGCACCATCCCCAGATACACCTCCGGCACGTCCCCGTGCAGCCCCAGGTCGACGTCGGGCCTGACGCGCGAGGCGGTCTGCACACGGCGGATGGAGGAGGGGGGAGTGAGGTTCGATGTGGCCGAGGGAAGCTCGAGGGAGGGTGTTGTTTTAGTCGGGGTTTACATATGCTGGCCGGCTAACTGGGGTTCAGCAGCTAGCTGGATAGGCACAATGCTGCAAGCCGACTCTAATGCCTGAGGAAGGGTTCCGTCCCGTTCTTCTGCGTGGGTGTGTGCGGTCTCGTCGAGCGGAGCGGCATGCGGCGCTAGTGCTCTTGATGTGCGTCTGCCTGCTGTTTCCAAGTGACGTGCTGACTGGCTTGACTAGACTCCCAAGATCTACTGGCATTGCAGCACGGTGTGGACGCCTCAAAGCTGACGGGCCGAGACAGTGATGATTTTGCTTCGGTCGAAAGCGCGGCGCTGCAGGACATGCTGTGCGACCTCAAGGACTCGGGATATTGGGCAGACTGTGAGCACGTGACAGACTGCGGCCTGGAGCGTGGCAGGTCGACGATGAACTGGGTCTGAAACCAACCCTTCTAGCCGAGAAAGCATTTCGTTGTGTTGCGTGTTCGTAGCGGCGGTCCTTCACTCGAGGCCAGAGTATCCGCGGAAGTCCTCGCAGCTGAGATAGTTGTTTTCGATGAACGCCGTGTCCATTCGCAGCCCGTACACGTTCCTCCACTCCTGCTCTTCAGCGAACGGATGGATAGTAGCGCGCACGGTTCCCTTGACGCGCTCGATCCCATTCGGTGCGGTGGTCAGGGATGTGTTGAAGAGTCGGATCATGTTGTCGCACGTCTTTCCGTCTGCAAAGGTAGGCTGGTTGGTGAAATTCTTGAAAAACGACAACGGGAAGAGCTCCTCTTCTGTCGACGAGAACAACGTCGTTAGCCCCTCTGCACCCGTGAGACTCCGCGCGCTGAAGTAGGTGGTGCCGGGCTTCTTGGCCTTGGGAACTGCGCGGTAGGCATCACATCCAGGCTCGAATGTCGCGGGGAAGACGTTGGTGCCGTAGTCCGCTGCGCCTTTGAGTGCGATGTCGTGACCCGCACTCATGATCAAAGAGGGTGCCCACTTGAAGGACGTGTGGTTGTCGTTCAGCAAGTCGACAAAGGGGAATTCGATGCCGGTGCGCTGGGTCTGTTAGCTCAGATCTGATCGGACAAGTGTCGTCTCACAGAAAAGTCATCTATCTTGTAGCCAAATGCCTGGACTTCATGATCATGCACTGCCTGAACAATGGCCGGGTACATCCCCTGGGGGAAATTGGGCAGCAGCGCTCTGTAGGCGTGTTCCAAGATGCCATACTGAGGAGGGATGAGCTGTCGAGCCAGCTTCAAAGAAATCGGTATGACTGCCACGGTCCCATTCAGAGTACCCGTAGCATTGTTCGGATATATTGATGCTATAGGATTGGGCTGGTCCACGGTAGTGCATACGCTCAGTGATGTGTGTTGAGGGGTTCCAAAGTATGTTGAAGCTGCACACCGCAAGAATAGCAGCGATACAAAGGAGACCAGAAAGTACTGTAAGCTTGACGGCTTCGAGTGCATCTTGGGATGCTGGATGGTGAGGAAAGCCAGCACCGGACTCGAAAGCAGCGCAACGTCGAAATATGTGGTCCACATTGCAATCTACAATGGTTTTTGCGAAGGTTCAGATGGGAAAGAGGTAGAAGGTACGCCGCAAACCGTTCCAACCATCCGTATAAGAGGGGAACTGGCACACCCAGATTCATCGGAAACACATCCACCCGGCGCACGGACCTTCACGTTTGGACGAAGGAACGAGATGTTCCTTGAGCGGAAGGCGCTACGCCGACACTATTCGCGTATGCACGCGCATCCGAGGGTTCTATTGCGGCCTCGTGAACGTGCGCGCGTATGGCGTGGAATGTAGTGTTCCGAAGTGCGATCTGTCACCGCGACATGCTTGGTTGGAAGGGTCTGGGTTGGCGGCGGGACAGCCATGCGCCGAGACGCTGCGAGATGCAAGATCCATTGTTTTCGAGTGCGACTGCCCGCTGGGAGGGGCACTGACGACGCCAGCGTCTATTGTTGCCGTTCGATGTGGAAGAGGCAGAGGACGTGTCAAGGGTGGTCTCAGGTGCTTCTTTAGATGGCTCGTGCTCGCAAGGCTTGATTGGGTCCCAGTTCAGCCTCACGTTCTCTGCACCCTTTGCCAATGTCAGGTCATGGGCACTCCAAAGCCAACGGTCAAATCATGGACATTATCATTGGGATCTACAGGCGAGTCTCCGTCTATCATATGTACAGTACGCAAATCAGGCCCAATGGGAGTCGCATCGAGCGAAACTAGCCCACGCCTCTCGGCAACCTTTGTTTCCGAACTCGGGACACCTCCAACCTTCAAAGTGGCGCCGTAGCGCAATAACTGAACAACAGAACCTGGGTATTATCATTTCAAACGCTAGAGTGCTTGTCCTTGAGTAGTTCTTCGATTGTGTGATCGTCCATTTCATCGACCTTCTCGTCCAGTGTCTTTGGCTTCTCGGGAGTGGCTGTGGTTTTGCCGCTTCGCTCTGGCGAGCCCGACTTGCTCGAAGCATAGGTAGAAGTGCTTGCCGCTCTACCGAAACCCAATGCAGCGAAGCCGGAATATATGGAGTTTGCAAGTGCAGCAGCTGCAGTGGGCCGATCTTGCCGTGTCTCGCGCTCATCTTCGTAGTCGGAGGTTGCCGCTGACGAGGATCGCGACCTTGACGACGGCGTTGAGGTTTCGTAAGGTGAGGAGGTGTTGGAACTTGCATGTCGTTCTGGTGTTTCGTGTTCGGGTTTGATTGGGACTTCTTGTGTCGTTCCATGCTCTGTCTCAGTTCCCTCTAGCGTCTCTTCGAGTTTCCGGCCGAATAAAAGCGTGAAGATGACCACGAAGAGCACCTCCTCCGTGCTCCGATCCTTCAAAACATATCTGAGCTGATGCGTCTTGTCGTCAATGTACTTTACAACCGATATGGAAAATCCAGGAATCCTCAACGCGAAGTTGGCGAAGTCCAGATACGGATTGAAAAAGTCAGCTTGGTACATGCGCCCAGCCTCAAATGTGAACTTTTCCAGCTTCTTCTCGTCCAGGAAGTTCTTCCGCCGCTTGGAGGTCTTGGCGGGAATGTGGCAATCTGCGCGAATGCGCTGACCACTTCCGTGGGCGCCCTCTTCGATTACTCCTTTGGCATCGGACTCGAACGAAGCCAGCTGCTTTTCCGCAGGCACATCGGACGTGTGCTCACCAATCCTGAAAGCGAAAAACGAACTTAATGCAGGACCATACAAGTATGGTTTGTCGGAGTACGGGTCCGAATAGATGCCAGGATCCAGTATCGTTGTGACAATTCTCATCGCATACCGAAAGCCGGGAGGGAGTCGGTCTTTGATGCTGTGGTCGAAATCGAAGCCTGTGACCAGGTCGCTGCCTTTGATGTCGCGCTTCGGAACGAATGAAAAGCCTATAGAATAGCGATCTGAGGTATGCAGGGGGTGTTGGAAGTAATCGGAGGTCTCAGGCGAGTTGTGAGGCAGGCCATTGTAGTCTTTGATTTGGATCTTGAGCCAGCAGCTCATGAGGTCATTCTCAATGAGGTGCGCCTCTCCGCTGTTCACTGCAACTTCTCTATGTGTCGAGGTGTCGTATGAGTGTCCTGCTGTTACTTGCAAGCGGTACTTGTCGCGGGCGGCGGGGTCTACCACGCCCGCTTCTGAGCGTCCCATCGTGACGTCGGGATGCTGTTGATGAAGGCGGGATGCAGGCGATGAAGTGCTCTACGGATGGTAAAAAAATACGGCAAAGTCAATGTGATTGGCACGTGAAAATGTGTGGAAGTGGAAGGCGCCTCTGGGTTGTCAAATACTGAGAGTGAAACTGTGGTCAGTCGACGATCGGATGCAGGCTATACAGAGTAATATCACAGACTGAGGGACGATGGGCGCCACAATGCCCCAACGGAAACATGGTTTGACGCGTCTTCAGTTTCGCGGTCATGGCGGACGCATGACGACAGACCCAGGAGCCTGGCCAACCATCGTGCACATACGTTATCGATAGCGCCCCATAAGCGAGGGTGAGGGGCGGTGCTGTTGACGACGATGACTCCGCAAGCGGACGTGCAGAAATGGGCTCGCCGACTGATTGCTCCTTCAGGAAGCAGATAGACTGCGCAGTGTATTTTTCGGCCGACCTTGTGTGTCGCTAAATTGCGATGCGACGACAAAGGGGCGATCCCAGTTGTGCCACCGCTGCGCGTCTCTCAGCTTCTGTTATTGCGAACTTATTGCGAACTTCTTGCGAACTTCTGCTTAGGCAGCTTCTTCATCCGCTGAGCGTCTGCCGTCTCTGCATCTATCCTCGGCTCCTCTTCCTCCAGCGCCTCAATGTCTTCCGGCCGCAAGTGGCTGCCCGGTTGCGAATGTCGGCTCCTGTGCTGGCACAGGTGCTGGTCCTGGAGGCGGGCTGTCTGGGGTACTTGTACGGATGCGTAGCGCCCGTCAATAGCTCCACGTCTTGATTGCGAGGCGGCGAGTGCAGCGCCATAGGACTGGCATTTGCTGAGCAACATAACTCGTTGGGCTGCCCAATTGAGTTGTATAATTCTGCGGGACGCTGCTGCTGCTGCTGCCATTGGCCTGGACTTGGGTATAGATGCGAGTAGTTCGAGCCATGATCCACTACTGGTTCACTGTGCAGTTCCGGGGTGGAGCGCACTATCGAACCGTTGTGCAGCTCCGGCTTCTGCGATATCTCCGAGGAGACTGGCACGACGACTTGTTTTTCATCGCTTGGTTTATACGGCTCTCGTGGTCTAGATGTAACCAATGTCTTCCTCTTGGGTCTCCTGCGTAGAAGGAAGAACACAAGCGCGATTATCCAAATTCCAAGGATGACATCGACTGCTATGCCAGCCTTCGCGCCCGTGCCTAATCCCCCATTACCGGAAGGCGCGTTCCCTGTGCCTGTGGAAGTGTTGCTTTGATTTCCGCCAGAAGTCCCCCAAGGCGGACCCAACATGCCAGTCGTGCTTACCCTCGATTCTTGTGTAGCAGATCGTGTATCACTTTCTCATGTAGCCGACGAAGAGGTGGATTGAATGGACCAGGAAAGCGAGGATGTCGACGAAGACGTGGATGGCCTCGCCTGTCTGGGAGTGGCCGCAAAAGAAGCGCTCGAGGAACGACGATGCTGCTGCCGAAGCCTGGTCGCTTCCACACTCTTTCACGCAGCATTGCTGCTGTACTGAAAGATCGCTCGGGTATTCCGCTATGCACATGCTCTGCCACTGCACATCAACGAGGGGATCGTATTCGCGTATTTTTGGACAGGTCTGGCTCGACATCACCGCTGTATTTACAGGTGAAATCCAGTGTTGCCTACGGCACAAATCGCACGGATCAGCGGATCTACTCAACAATAACCGGAGCTGGAGCCAAACATACGTTATTGCAGAATCTTACGGAAGGACTGGAGTCGCAAAGCGTTTCGCACGTCGCCATATTCGCTGAGCCCTATGATTCTCTGTCAGGCCTCCGAAATACTATTTGGATTGGTCGTGCAACATCTTGTTGAAGACCTGTTGCGCGTTAGGAATATCGACCACGGGCAGACCGGCAATGAGAACGCAGGAAATTTGCCAAGGCTGAGACTTGCTGATCTGGGGACACATGGATCTTATAGAAAGGCAGCGTCCGGTTTAAAGTCCGCTTATCCTCATTCGAGCTTTGCTATTTTGGCCTTGCATGAGATGGCTTGCCTTGAAAGCTGCGGTTGGTTGTGGATGCAATCCATCGGGGGCCTGAGTAACTTGGCAATGTCTTAGGTGGGGGCCGGCGCAGAAGTATGACAGTAATGGTTTTGATTGTTGTACTGATACTGCGAACATACTCAATCTACACGTCAAATTCGTCTCGCTCGAATCCTTGATTTCATGTCCACCCTGCGGCTCTCTATTATCTGCATATCTTTCGTAATACCTCATTTCAAACGATTGAACTTAAACGTCCGTAATTCGCCCAATTCTGGAACAGACAGTACCCCTTCCGCATCTGCGTTCTCTATTGCAGCACGACGATCCCGGACACTTAGCATCTTGCCGTTCATTGCAACCATCATGCTTTCGCCACGATTGACAACTTTAGCGTGTGCCTCCGTCATTTCAGAGATGGTTCGCAGACTGCCAACGGGTCAGGGGTCGATGGGGGTTTCCAGACCGGATCGGTTGGTCGTTCGAAGCTAATGACCTTCAAATAGCGATCTTTCACTAGCTTAGGTGTTCCTTCCACCGTCCTTTTGGTGCGCTGGCATGACAATAAAGAGGGAAAGTCAGGATGTGACCCTTGCAACAATAATAAGACCCCAGTCCACAAAATGTGAGTATAAGGGAAAACATCACTTGTGGAACAGGGCCAAACCTCGGTTGGACCACGCTAGTCTACTCCACTCTATCTACCACTCCCTCGGAAACCCACCTATGCATCGCATTTCCATCTTGGCACCACTATTACCAGCCGTACTTGTCGCTTTTTATGAGCTTTCTTCAAGCAAAGCTCCCGAATCATGTTCTGATTTACTGTCGACTCGCGGGCGACGTTTCCCATACACATCTCCGCACTCCGGGTATCGTCTCCCGCATGGGCTCGAGCCTAGATCTCAATGCGTGTGATGTACCGACCCTCATGTCAGGTCAAACCTGCACTAGTTACGATACCCCGTGGGGATCCAGGCTAATGCACCAACCCCCGCTTCAGACTGCTGATCATGCCGGGACATAACCGTTGTTGGTTGGTCAAAGGATCTCACATGTAGCTTGCAAGCTGCCGAAACTGCTCTATAATAAGCCTAAGTACCGCCCAGAAATGATACTGCCGTCTTATATTTGGGAATATCAAGTGTATCTGGAGCATCATGACGCATACTAGTGGCTATAATGTTGCTGTGGGCCTCATCGTAGCGGTTGGAAGCTTCACCTACGGATTTGGTAAGCACCATCGTCCTAATATAAGGCAGTTTCTGACCGTCCAACTTAGGTTTCGCTTCCTTCGCGACCAGCATAGGTCAACCTGGCTTCTTTGCATACTTCGGTCTTTCGCAGACCGGGCCAGGGGCATCTTATACCAACTCCATCATCGGCGCCGTCAACGCCCTGTTCTTCTTTGGCGCTTGCCTCGGGGGGCTCTTCGGCGGGCCCACGGCCGACAAGATCGGTCGGAAATGGACGCTCTTTGGCGCAGCATTGATATCCGTCATCGGCGGTGCTTTGACAGCAGGTAGCGTGCACGTTGCCATGCTCATCGTCGTCCGAATACTCCAAGGAAGCGGCCTCGGCGCTCTCGCAACCCTCGTCCCCATCTACCTCTCTGAAGCCTCGACGCCATCTAAGCGCGGCATGCTGACCGGTCTTCATGGCTTCTTCCTTGTCTCAGGCTACAACATTTCTGCCTGGGTTGGTTTTGGGTGCTCCTTCTCCGACAACCTTACGTTTGGGTGGCGGGGGCCCATAGCATTCACCTGCATCCCGCCTCTTGTCCTGCTCATAGGATGCTTCTGTAAGCACACCCCGGGCACAAGGAGAATTTGCCTGTTTTGCGCAAGGAGAGACTTCTTTCTTCGCTAAGAACACCTGCATACACCACCCTGTCGTAACTCACGCTGACTTCGCGCCCGCAACTAGGGATCCCCGAGTCCCCTCGCTGGCTTATCGCTCAGGGCCGCACCGACGAAGCCTGGACCATCCTCAGCAGACTGCACCACGACCCCCACGACGAGGACCAGGTCGCCGCGCACGAGGAGTTCTACCAAATGAAGAAGCAGATCGAGTTCGAGGCGCAGAATCCCAGCGGGTACATCGCCATCTTCCGCACGCCGTCGTACCGGAAGCGCGTATTTCTGAGCTGCTTTGTGCAGTATGCTGCGAATGCGACGGGTGGGCTCGTCATCAACTACTACTCTGTGATTATATATGGTAATCTGGGGCTCTCGGGACACATGCCGTTGTTGATGTACTGCATCTATACGCTCATCGGTGCGCTGGGGAATCTTTTCTCGCTGCTGACCATTGACAAGACGGGTCGGCGCTTCGTAAGTGGCACGCATTATGGTCCCCCAGGACATACTGACCGCATACACAGGCCCTGCTCACCGGCTTCACCGGCTGCATGGTCTGCGTCGTCATCGAAGCAGCCATGGTAGGCGCCTACGTCGACGTCGCGACGCCCTCGCTCGGCGGCCAGAAAGTCGCCATTGTAGCAATCATGATGTGAGCCTCCATCCCCTCATCCCCTGCCCCAACTAACCACCTCGCCCACCCAGGTTCGTCTTCTTCTACGGCCTCTTCATCGACGCCGCCTCCTTCATCTACAGCGCCGAAATCCTCCCTACCAACATCCGCCCCCACGGCGTCGCCCTCGCCACCACCACCTACTTCATCGCCTGCATCACCTTCGTCACGCCTGGCGCGACCGCCATCGCCGCCATCGGGTACAAGTACTTTGTCCTCTTCGCGTGTCTGACGCTCGTGAGCGTGATTGTGGTGTACTTTATGTATCCGGAGACGAAGGGGAGGAGTTTGGAGGAGCTTGCGGAGCTGTTTGGGGAGAGGGTCGTGGTGCGGTTGACGGGGGTGGATGGGGAGGAGAGGGAGGAGGTGCACGCAGAAATCAAGAGGGAGATGGTGGCGGAGAGGGTGGAGAAAGTGTAAGGGCCGAAAGGGGGAGAGGTCTGGATGTAGAGAGTGCTGTGACTGAGTCAGAATACGCGCTGTTGGTTGTACAGGGGTCATCTTTCCTGGGAGATGTGTGTGTTCAAAGTCATGTCTGTTGTGATACGTATAGCTGAGCGCTGCCATGGGCGATTGCTTTGGGGCTTGAGAGAGAGCCCTGGGATCGTCTCGATGTGGTCATTCCTGCAATGTCCTCGTCGCATGGCTATAGCGGCATGGAGATGTTGGACCCTGGAATATCCTTGATGCTAGTATACGCGTCTGTTCTACTGTAACCCGTCAAGGACAACCAGCGGGAGACGGACCTGACAGGCGAGCGATATGCATCGTAACGGCGTAAGATCCGAAGTGCAGAGCGAACAATGCGTCGGGAGCACGCGCAACAGCAGAAACCCTCCAAGCTGGAGATGAGGCGATTAGGCCAGCGCCAGTGTTCCGCAACAAACGTGCCCTCGTGGCTAATTTGTATTTGGTATCTCATCGCTAGCAAACTAGATGGCGTCGGCCCAAGATTAGCAGCACGCCCGCTCGCTGTGCAACACACCAACTCCCGTCTCTATCGCCGTCATTGCCGTGTCTATTAACCAACGGCGCGGCCGCCCTTCCATAAGCGGCCACCAATTACTTCGAATGCCCAGATTTATAACGCCCATGATGCCATGCCATGCCCGGATAACGCCGCGCCAATGGAAATAATACAATGTGGTTGTTCTTGTGCCGCGCGATGCATGCGGCGAGCCTACGTGCCCTCGCACACCTTCGGGTCCACGGGCGAGCCCTCAATCATCTTGCCGTCTTTGCAGAGCCACGAGCCGATGAAGAAGTGCTTTGTGAGGACATCGGGATGGTCGTCCGACACGTCGCCAAGTGAGCCGAAAGAGATCTTGGGCATGACCAGCACGTCGCCGATCAGCATGGGCTTCTCCATGTGCGTCATCTCGTCGCCGGTGTGCTCGATGCCCGTGACCTTGGTGAAGTAGTCCATGAAGATCTTGGTGAAGGTCCACGGGCCCGTGGTGCCCATGATGTCGGGGAAGGAGGCGCTTTCGCCGGCGTGGTTCGCGGCGACCAGCTTCCGAAGGTTCTTCTCGGTGAGGAGCACGAGCTCCTCAATGATGGGGTGCTGGGGCTTGGCCATCATGACGAATTGTGCCAGCTGGATGGAGTAGGGCTGGCCGTCCCAAATCTTGTTGCGGTTCTCGTCGCGCTCGATGCCGATTATGACATTGACCTTGTCCTTATACTCCTGGGGTATCCAGTCCTTGACGGGCTTGCGCGCCTTCACGTCGATGTCAGCCCACACACCGCCCTCCTTGAGCAGGATGAGGTAGCGGAGATAGTCCGCCTTCATGACAGCATTGTCGAGGCTGGTGAACAGGTCAGAGACGACTTTGGGGAAGTTGTCGAGCACGTAGGCGTCTTCGTTCGCGTCGGTGATGCGCTCGTAGCGGAACTCCGGGTTGATGGTGCGCCATTCGTGGCCGAGGCCTTTCGTGCGATCGGTCGGGTCCTCCGAGTCGTCTTTCCAGCTTTGCCACAGCTTGCGAGGCCATGTCGCATTTTTGATGCCATCAAACGAGGTGCATGAGGCTACGCGCCGATTAGCATTCTGTAGCACGCGAGCCAAAAGCAAGGGCGGACAGCAAACTCACCATGGTACGGGGTGAACAACAACGTCTCGTTGTGTATCTGATAAACATGTGTAGACAGCAAGAAGAACGAGAAGACTATCAGACAGCCGACCAGGACATAGCGCCGCGACGACGCGGCATTAGATAAAAAAGCAAGCGCAGACATGTTCAAAAGCACGAAGGGTAAAGAACGTGTAAGGAGGGCAGGCTGCAGTTGCGCGAGGGGTCGGCAGCTCTAGTATTTCAGGGCTGTGTCCTTCGATGGTCTCCCGCTTACGCTAGGAGCCAAATCCTTGCCGTAAGGTGGCTTGTCGCTGGCCGTCTTGGGCGCTCGTGTTGCGCCCCCCGTAATTTGCTCTGGGCGCAAACTCGCGGCAGAATTTTCCCACCTTCTCGCTGTCTAGCGTAGAATAGGAGTCTCACGCTGCGATTCTGCGCTTCTATCTCAATTTAGGTCCCGATCAGTAGGAACTTTGTTAGTCCGAGGCCGAAGGCGGCGGAGAGTCTTCACCGCTCCAGTGACCGCCTTTGGAAAGGGGCTCCGCCGGCCTTTATCCGCGGTGACATTTTCGCCTGGTCTGTGAGGCGCCCCGTCTCATGCGCAGGGCCAAGAAAGGCTGAGCGGAGGACAACATTTCCAGAATGCGGTGGCCTCGCTAGCCATGCCGCCCACCCGCCAGTACCGTCCAATTGTAAACAGATGCCAAGCCTGAGAACAGTGGAATGAGGGCCCGAACTGATTGGGTTGTATATTCTCATGCGAAGGAATAGTTGTAAGGCGTCATGCCATATCGACATTTTGTCTTGTGGAACCTTGCCGTCAAAAGTGTATTTACTTCTTGGTAGCACCTGTACTTTTGTGCCGCAACCAAATGCTACGTTTGACCCACGATGCTGGTTGAAGTGCGGTGCAAGCTACGGTTAGCTCAGGAGGTAACACTGAAACCTCTTAAGCCACTGGCATGTCTGCGCCTGTACTGCAAGACACTCTTAGTTGAGCGACTCCTCAGCGATTGAATAGTCACTTCTCGGGGCAAGTGGCCAGCATCTGCGGTTACCGAATCCCTCTCTGGCCGCATACTGATGTTCGTCGAAGGCCTGCGTAACGAATCAACAATGGCCACCATTAGCAAGAGGTGCATACTTCTTCAGCATCGTAAATCTGCTTCCGCCAACCGTCTGTACTGATGTCAAAACCCTCCACTTTGATTTCAATATCCCCGTCAACAATGACAGAAACGTGGTACCCGTCTTTCTGCAGTTTCTCTAGTCCCGGATAGAGCTTACTGGCGGCATGCAAAAACCTTCTCTGTCTCTCTTGCACGGTCGCTAAGGATTTCCTGAAGTCTCTTTTCTTGATCGCAAGCGCAACTTTCGAGACCCGGCTCAGCGCATGTATATATGCCAGCTCAGTATCAAGGTCGGTTCCAGCAACCGTCGGACCGAGTTTTGCCTGCTGCCCTAAGTGAAATCTGGAATTCGGTTCCCGATATGACAGGTCCACAAGGACGTTTTTCATCTGGTCCTTAACCGTCGCGCACCAGAAGTCCTCGCTGATGAATTTCGGTATGAGCTGCGACGTCTTGAACTGAAAAACAGACATGCGCCACCAGGCCTCTATGATTTCATGCTGCAAGTCCGGGCCTACGAATCGCTCTTCGAAACAAAAACTGGTGTCGCGCCCGCTCCAGGACTCGACGAGCGCTACAGGGTTCTCAGGCGCGATGGAAAGCGCCCGCAAGTTCCAGTCCGTGATCGTGTGGTGGGCATCGGCCCACAACGCCTGGCATACCATGTCGCGTAGTTCTCTAGGCAGCTTCTGTCGAACGCAATCGCAGAATATGCGACACTGGTATGCCGCATATGTTGCCCAGTGTTCGCGCAGCTCGGTCTCGAGCTTCTGCACCGCCTCTAGATTTTGATTCTCGTCGACTTCGATACTGTGGATCTCCGCTGCTACCTCTTTGCGTTTCTGCTGAGTGACGTGCAATGCTGTGGAACCCGTAAGATATTCATCCTTCCCGATGTTGTTGGCAACGTCAAAGAGCTCCAGCACGTTGGTTCTCAGGGAGCCGGCTCGCAGATGGAGTGCAGCGATGGCTTGCTCGGAGCTGGGAATGGTCAGTAGTCACTTGACTGAGGAAGAAGCTGACGCGCCTTCGAATATAGGCCCAGTCGATGGTCGGAATTGGGATCGCAGCTTCACCGAGTCGTTTAAAATTATCGCCCATATTGTTTCCGAGAGTCATGGGACTTTAGAAGTTTGTGCTAGAAATAATGATGTTGGCCATACATGAAGCGTTCCTTCCCAGGCTGCTTATCTCCGACACCATGTTAAAGTCCGACTTCTCTGCGTCCCATCGTCACATTCACTAGTAGTGGACGCAGATGGACGCTATCTGGATGTCCATTGCACTTAGATGGCTTGATGTGAAACTTCCCAGCTGTACAGATAGTTCTGAAAGCGCGCGATGGTTTAAGCCTCAAGCACCAAGAAACAGAGTAAATCTTGCGAGAGGTTCCTACTTTCTACTCTGATTCTCATCTTATTTCAAATTCTCCCAAGCTTCTTCGCGAACCAGCTAATCCCACCCAGGAACATCGTCACGCCACTCCACACAATCAAACTCCCATAACCCGTCCCAAAAGCTCCCCCAGCCTTCCCCCGCCACCCGTCGGCCTCGAGCAAGACTTCACTCAGTGGGCCGCTGACCACTGAACCAATACCTTTGCCTGCCGCAAACAGTGCGACCACCATACCGGTGTCGACGCGGCTCACGCCGTTATCGTCTCTGCAGTTTTCGCGAATAGCAAGAGTTATGCCTGGCCATGTCGCGGTGTACCCTCCTGCAAACGCGCCGTACATGATGGCGAAGATGTAGAGCGGTGCCAGCGAGGTCGAGAAACCCCATACCAGGAAGCACGCCAGTGTCGCGCCGACTGATGTGATCATGATAGCGGTGTTGATCTCAACGCGATCAACGAGTGCGCCAACGGCGATAGTACCCACTACGGCGGCGGCGTTGATGAGTGAGATGGTGAGAGAGGACGCTTCGTTGGAGAGTCCGATTGCTTTCGCGTACGATGGGAGGTAAATTGATGGAATAAAATAGCCAAGGCCTTGAATGATGTTCCCGGTCATAAGAACGCAAAACATGCCTGTCTTGCAGAAGTTGAGGTCGAGGCGGCGGCGTAGTCCGACACCTATGCTTGGGCGTTGCACAGGAAGGCGACCTTTGAGAAATATGAGTGACGGAAAAAGGAGGACAGCGGAGATGACGGCCCAGATGCGTAGGGAGGTGCGGAAGCCGTAGTCCTCTAGAAGCCAGGTCATAAGGAGTGGCACGAGCATACCACTTGTGCCTGTACCTGCCCACATAATCCCGAAAGCGAGGCCCTTCCGTCGCACAAACCATTCGTCAAGGTAGACAATAGATGGTAAGTAAAGGAGGCTCCCTCCGATCCCGTAGAGCACACCTTGCGTGAGAATAAGCTGCCAGACAGTGTTTGCGAAAGATGCGCAAATAAGTCCAAGCAACATGACAGAAAGGCCTATCGCACTGAAGCCTCGTACGCGGTGAGGAAAGGTACTTGTGAAGCCTATCACGAGCGGCGACGCGAAATACATGATGCCGGTCGCTGTTGTACCGATTACTGCTATGCCCTTTGAGTCATCCTTGAATAAGTCTGCGCTGGTATAGTACTTTTGGAAAACACCAAAGGCAAACGGGAAGCCCCAGACAGTGGCCTCAAGGAGGAAGCACACGGAAAGAAAGACCCACGCCTGACGACCGCCATCAGCCGGAGGCAGCGCTTCAGCCTCTTGGCCGCGAGGTTCGAAGTCGTGGTTCCCTTGAAATCGTTCGTGCGCGATAGGCTCGAACTCATGAATTTCCTGGTTGTTCGACATTGTGGATTTTCGCAACACTGGCTTAGGTACCCGGTCTCGAGGAAGGAGTGTAAAGGCGCTGACAGACAGGCTGCGATCTGAGCCGGAATCGGACCTCTGCGGGGTTCGGACTGAGGTGCTGATCAAGGTCAAGATCCTGTTGGCATAACATCACTCCGACCTGGTGGTGACATGTCGGATCAAGCGTTGTAATCGAACTCACATTACCTCAGGCATACTTGAGACCACGTTTGATAGTAGACGAGTTCATGCCACAAAATGCTCGACACCAAAACGCCCTCCCTGCAGCGCCAAGCGGACAACGACCGGTAGATTGCGGATCGGCCCATAGCACAAAAATGCCGCGGAGGCGGGTTGAAGATCTACCAGGCGTAGCGAAGCTAACAATCGTGAGCGATGCGAACACGGAATCAGATCGACACTGCAGGTCCAGCGTTTGTCCCGCCGTCTATCGGAGTTTCCAGCACCCCAGAGTATAGATAAGGGAGAGCAGTCCCTGCATACGCGTAACATCAAGCAAACATGACCGACGCTCTGAATGACAGAGAGTGGCGGCGTTCCACGTCCACGGCGGGACAGACGTACGTCGTCTCCACATCCCGCAATCTCCCTCACGACTTCGTGCAGAAGGCGTTCGACAACCCGGCCATGTACTGGGCCAGACCGATCGCTCCGGACCAGATGAAGACGATGCTCGACCATTCTTGCACGCTGGGCATGTACGAGGCGAGTGGTTCAGAGAGAAGACCCATCGGCATGGCGCGCATGATAACAGACTACGTCACGTTTGCTTATCTAACCGACGTCTACCTGCTGGAGGAGTTTCGCGGGCATGGGCTCGGACAGTGGCTGGTCGAGTGCTGCCGCGAGGTGGTCCTGGCCATCCCAGCCTTACGGCGTGTTGTGTTGCTCACGGACTCGGAGCAAGCAAAGCAGCTGTACAGACGCGAGCTCGGCATGAGCGTGGCAGGCATCGAAGAAACAACGGTCGCCATGACGGTGCGGCAAGCGAAACTGCAGGCCCTGTTCGGGTCTTCTGGAACAACACGTTAGGCGGCCGCGCCCGCGCTCCGATGGACGCGTCATATCGCTGAGCGCTCGATGCTGCGCCGGGATCGCAGAACACCACGCGGCGGGCTGCTTAGCTGCGAGAAACGTGCGCCAACGTCTGGATGTGTGGAGTGGTGAATTCAATGCACGCCGTTTTGGGCTTAGCACGTCAGATGTCGCCATCCCCGTATCACGATTCTCGTTTCGCCGGCGGCGGGGCTTGATCCCATCTCGAAGGAGACTAGAACCCGACCTTCACCTCCATCATGAGTCTAGCCACATTATTAATATGGAGTCTGAACTGCCTGCCTGCTCCTGTCAGTGCCGTTCCACCTCTTGCTCCTGCTCCTGCGCCCGCGGTACTGGTACCGCGCTGAGAAGTTCCCCCCGCCATTCGCCCTTCCCGACCCTTTCCGATCAGTAACAGCTACCCTGGTCCCGCCGTCGCATATTGACCGCAGCAAACGACGATTTAATATCTTGGGCCGATAGTTTGCTTTTTCCCTGTGTTCGAGATTCCCCATGGAACTTTCCCTCCACATGTCCCAACAGCAGGCCCCAGCCATGAAGAGAAGGCGTACCGATTCCGAAGCCCTTACGCCGCCTGTAAGCGTCGATGACCCTGAGGGTGCCAGTCTCTTGTCGCGCGCTGTCCATGTCCTCTCCACCGCCGCGACCGCTCTCTCCCAGGTCACCATCCTATACCAGTCTGATCCCACTGCGCGGGAGGGCCTCATGCAGGCAGTCGAATGCATCAGGCGCGTCAAAGAAGCAGGTGGTAAGCTGCTCGTTTGTGGCGTGGGCAAGAGCGGGCTTGTTGGCAGGAAGACGGTCGCGAGCATGAAGAGTCTGGGTATCCCGTGTACCTTCCTGCACCCTGCTGAGGCTTTGCATGGTGATCTAGGCGACATTCGGCCTGTATGTCACACCCCTCCGCATCTTTGTGAGCCTCATGCTGACCTGCCCACCACAGAACGACGCCGTCATGTTCATCTCCTACTCTGGCAAGACGTCCGAGCTCATGGCTGTCCTCGATCACGTTCCGTCCTCTATACCTGTGCTAGCCATCACATCCCAAACAAAGCCAACCGACTGCCCCCTTCTCCGCGACAGATCCGAGGGCATACTGCTGCCTGCGCCAATTCATGAGCTCGAAGAGGTCTCCTTCGGCGTGTGCGCACCGACCACCTCAACCACCGTAGCAATTGCTGTTGGCGACATGCTCATGCTTACGCTTGCCCATGCCTTGCACGCAGACAACACCAAGAAAGTCTTCAAAAAGAACCATCCAGGCGGCGCGATCGGCGAGAATGCGAAGCGGAAGGCAGCAGAATTGGATACAGATGATGTCACGAAATGTATGAAGAAGCACGCCGGGCTACTGTCGCCTGCTTGATTGAATTGATAGATGCGTCATGACTTGTATATACGGCGGCCATCTGTAGCGCCTATGGCAGGCGCTGTCATAAACATAGAGAGGCGTTTGTTGGGAACAGAGACTCTGCGCGCGAAGTGCTGTTGGGAATACCAAGCATGCGCTGGCACCTCCTGTGCATATGACTGAGATGAGGCCTTGCTCTCAGCTCCTTTTTTTTTCTGTTTAGAAATACCCCCGCTTGTCATCACAAGCACTTTTTGCCTGTTGGCAACACTTCTTCCAAAGCTGCATAAATGTTCCTGTCTTGGCTATGTCGGTGCTGTTCTGTTGGGAAGTTGCGCGTGGTGCGAAACATCGACATCGTTATCACTCGATTCCTGCCGCTCAGATACGAACACGCCAATAATGCTCACCTTTTAGTTGGATTCCGCATCCCCCAAATGTAGTACTCGGTGGCATTCTGTCTGGTCCCTCAAATCAGGGCGAACACTAGGCAACCACCGAGCGCAGCAGCCAACCAATGGTTGGGATGATAGTACCAGAAGCTGACGTTATACAGCAGAACTGAAAGGGGATGATTCAACGAGGGGCTGCATGACAACACCAGGATCCAGTGATGATGACACCATTGAGTCTGCTTTGAGCAACATTCTCAAGCACGCGACCGTCCTGCAGACGCATCGGTTATGCTTCCTCATAGATGCTCTCGATGAGCAGAACGACTCTTCACCTCAGAACGACCACAACGCTCTCGTAGACATAATCCAGCATTGGGCGGATTCTTCCCTGGGTGCACTCAAAATGTGCGCGTCAAGTTGAGAAGATAACGTCTCACAAACGCATTCAGATCAGACAGGAGACTACGATTGCAAGATTCAACAAGGCAAGATCTTGAAGCGTAGGTCCGCCAGAAGCGCTGATCCGCACCCTCAGTGCATAACTTTGGTCCCTCGATATTGCTTCCTGGTTCTTTCCACATACCACAAAGACAAGGTACGGCAACGTGATCCAATGAATAGCTTACTGGAGGTGCTGGAAACAGAGCTAGAGCGAAAAGGACTGGCGCGACCTGCGACATATAATCAAGGCTTTTATGGGATCTTGAGTATTCATGAGCTGAGAGTGTGGGGTAACGAAATCACTGCACACACCTGGGTAAACCAACCATACTACCTGCTAGCTTTCTTCAGAGACCTCAATAACGTTCAATGAAAGCTCGAACAGGATCCACTACTGGTAGCACATGAGGAAACATGTCGCTGTTCCTTGCCTGCATATGCTTAGGAGCCATTACATGGTATCTTGGCTGGAAGAATGGTCCACGCTTTCTTCATATAGCTCGTCATCTGCTGGACATGGGCCCTATAGATAGCCCTAAATGTATCCTTGCAGTATTAATACTGTGGCTGTCACGCAGGCAGTCGGATCACCACGACAGCTTCGTTGAGTCAAAAACCAGTTTCGCACCGGTGTTTGCTACGGTGCTTAGCAAGTTTGAACGGGAGAAGCCTACATCAATAATACTCGACGTAGCATACAAAGAGTCGGACTTCGTGCACGACACGACAACCTTGAAGATATCGTGGGACGGAAAAGTCCTAATTGAGCAGTCCTACGGTAATTGGGAAGGACTGGCAGGATATGAGCTATCTAATGCCCTTGGCGGGCAGGGTCCTTTCAACATCAGGGACGTGATACAACTCCTGGACATTGAAAACGGTGAAGAGATCCTGGGCCTCATCGCCGGTGTTATGGGGCTGGAGAATGCTGCTGGTGACGTGAAGCAGGCCGCCATCTTATCTCACACCCGAACACCCGAACACGACGTCTGGACTTGGAAAGAAGAGATCGGATTTGGAGCAGCGGATCCGGTCACTACTGCAAAACCCGGACTCGCCACGGAACCCACTATCGACGGGCGTGAAGGAGATAGTTTCCAAGCGCAACGCGGTCTGCCTCTTCTCATGTCAGGGTTGAAGCATTTTTACGTCCTCTTCGCCCTGCTAGGTAAGTACTGTATTTTAGAGGTAGGTCAGCAGCACTAACGCTTATCCGTTAGGGGTCCTGTGTGCTGTGCTCTTCTCGGAGTGTCTACCTTGGTAGAGTCAAAGTGCCTCAAGATCGGGCATCTTCGCTCCTTCCTCGCCAACAGGCGCTACTTCCACAACCGACTCTCGTCCTTGCACCTGCTGTTCTGATTGCTCCAAATCAGCCGCGTCCCAAACATGCCATTAACAACCACATCCTCTCGCTATTGTTACCGTCGCAACTACAGCTATGCTAAATATTTTCAGCTCGCTCACCAAGAATGGCTGGCGCGAGACTTTTCGCATACTCCGCCACTCCGAGAACATAATTCGCAAGCAACCATCCTCACCTCGGAAAAAGTACGTACACGTCCGACGACGCGATAGAAAAGGTCGAAAGATGCGAGCGGCGTTCCAACTCGTTGAGGAGCAAGGGGGCGATGGGACAGGAAGAACATACAGACGAGTGAACGATGGCTGGGAGGTTGGAGAGGGTGAGGTGCAGGAGATCATACTGGAGAAAAAGACCGTGGTGAGCATGGATGCGAACGGTAATAGCCAGCGTTTGGACAGGAGGAAGACAACGAATAGGAAGCGCAAAGTCAGGGCTGAGGGTAGGGAGCTGAGGGTAGGGGGTTGCTGCCCAACCTTTCTCCCTTCCCACACTCAGCTTGTTTGGCTCGTTAGATGGCTGAACAGTTTCCTAGGAGATTCCATCAACAAACAGGACCGTAAAGCCAAGACACCGCCAACCGGCACCCAGATCCAATGGCGAACGACGGTCTATGCCAACTCAGTCACCACATCAATTCAGCGACGAGAACTTGAGCGCCGAGGTGTCGCACTCCTCGAGGCGAAGGGATCCCAGAGCGAAGACTACTCGCCAGAACGGAACGTCAAAAAGGAGCCCAGCCAGCACTTCAGACCAAAGCGGTCCAACAAGTCCTTTCTCACAGCCGGAAATGAATAAGCGAGACTCGCACACGTTTGTCTTCGGCGACGACGTCCTGCGAACTATGAGTCAGACAAGTTTCGACGACATCGAGACTATGCTTACCGACCCCTTCACTCAGTCAGACGAAGGAGAAAGTTCAGTCCAAGGCGAGACTGCTCGCGGTCCTCAGTCGAGAGAACAAGCGAAATTCGGCTCTGAGCTGTCGTCGAAAGGGACCGTGGTCATGGTGCGCAAGAGCGGTGCAGTGGCTACATCGAAAAGGAGTTCACAGCATAGTTCAAGGGCAGGTACGGACGGTGCGAGGAGAGATTCTGCGAGAATCATCTCAGGGAAGCAAAAGGCGGGCGTGGAAGCGTTGTATAGTGTTGGCTAGGTCTGACCCTGGAAGGAGGGAAGCCTCTGATAGACAGCAGCATTACTACTGGGCACAGTGCTACCCGTATCGGACAGCGCGCTGTAATTCTTATTGCGATTCTTCCAATCAAATGCTACAACAGATGCTCGTTCCGCTCTCTGTCTCGATGCCCAAGACCCATCTATGTGCAGTCCACGTGTGAAGATGCATGCAGGTGCAATCTACGCTAGGGATCCGGTGCGTTGGTAAACACAACCGTCGCAACGGATATTTCCAAGTCGACGGTGATGTCATGGCGTAACCTGCGTCCTGATGAAGAGCTACATGGCCCTCTTGGTTGCATTATTGCAGCGTCAAAGTGGTTCAGACGAACAGGGCCCACACTGACGATCGCGGAAAGAGCCCCGCTCCCTGCTATCTAGCCAAGACGGGAAGCGGCGGCGCACGTCAACACCTTCCTCGCGCGACGGTTGCAGAACGACCCCGGGATACAGACACCATGCCGCGGCCTCGCAGCGATTGACCGCGCGCCCATGCAGACGCACACAATCCGCGCGTCCCCAAACCGATTCCATGCCGCACTTCACGCCGACGCGCGCCCTCATCGTCCTGGCCTCGTTCATCCTGCTGAGCTTCCTCTGGACATGGGGCCTGCCGCACCAGTACGCCGCGCCTGTGCTGCCTGCGCTCACCGATCTCGCGACACAGGGGAAGCCCGCCGCGGGGCAGCTTTTGCCGGAGCCCTTGGTTGAGAACGCGGGCGAGGAAATCAATGGGCACGGAAAAGGCACACCGACGACACTCAAAACCGAGATAGCACCTGTTCCGACGAGGGCCGCAGATGTGGGCTCTGAGAAGAGCTGCAAAGAGGTGCGCGGCGCACAGGATGTCATGGTCGTTGTGCGGACAAGCAGGGCCGAGGTGGAGAGCGGCCTGCCGCCGCACCTGCTGAAGCTTCTGGCTTGCGCGCACCACGTCCTCATCTTCAGCGACCACGCAGGCGAGATCAACAGCTACCCCATACACGATGCGCTCGACCTCACGCCAAAGGCGACTATCGCAAAGCATGCCGAATTCATCGAGTACGACAAGATGCAGGCGGACAAGAACTACAAGCCGACCCTGGAAAAGGCAAAAGCGCTCGACAAGTGGAAGTGGCTGCCCATGGTCTACAGGACGGCGACAATGGCACCGAACCATAGGTTCTACATGTTCATCGAACCCGACACGAGCCTGAGCTGGACGAATCTGCTGCAGTGGCTGGACCGCCTTGACTACCGCATCCCCTATTACAGTGGCGTGCCAAATACCGTCGACGACACGAGGTACGCACAGCGTGGCCCCGGCATCATGCTCTCGTACGGCGCTCTGCAGCAGTACTGGCCGCGCTACGAGGAGCTGTATGCGAGCGACTGGGAACCCCAAGTCGCAACCGCATGCTGCGGCGACGTCGTCCTCGCCCGCGCCATGAAGCAAGCCCGCGTCGAGTTCTATTCTTCCTTCGGTCTGCTCGACCCCGAGATGCCCAGCAATCTGATCTGGGGCCAGAAGTTCTGGTGCACCCCCGTCGTCTCCTGGCACCACCTGCCGCGCGCTCATGCCGACCTGCTTTGGAACACGCAGGAAGCCTGGACGCGGAAGCATGGTTGGGCGAAGCCGTGGACGCATTACGATGCCTACGAGACGTTTGTGAAGTCGTATCTGGCGGAGCTGAAAGAAGACTGGGATAACGTGTCGTCGGACACGCAGCTCGTGGCAGAGAAAGGGCGCCGCGAGAAACTGACCCAGCAGAAGCAGCCCGCGAACGCCACGCCCAACGACCTGAAGGACGCACACACCCCGCTAAACGCCGCCAAGCGCGACGAAGCCCCCGACGCCCTCCTCCAAGCCGCCGCCGACAGCCCCGCCTCCTGCAGAGCCATGTGCCTGCAGACAGACGACTGCCTTCAGTGGAAGCACAGCTCCGCCGGCGACGGCGCGTGCCACCTCGGCAAAGCGCTGCGGCTGGGCGGCAAAGTCGCGACGCCTGACAAGGCGGCCCGGTGGACGAGCGGGTGGGTACTGGACCGTGTGGGGAGACTAGCGGAGGAGTGGGGGAGGTGTGAGCAGGTCGAGTGGAAGTTCAACCAGTAGGATGGTTGGGCTTTTGAGGGGCGGAAAGGGGGCAGTGGCGGCGTGATGGTTGTGCAAGATAGCGGCGTGTATTAGTGGTCCTCTTATGAGGGGTGGAATTTGTCTTGATATCCATGCATTGGGTTGAGAGTGGTGTTAGGAGTACTGGGTCGGTTTTGAGGCACGCACGGGTCGGTGTGATTCCTGTAAATACCCCGTTGTAGGAATACAGATGTGTAGTCTTGAGCTGAAATGTAAGGAGTGACAAAATTTGAATTTTCGAGCCAACCTGGATATCTAAGAGTGTGTGGCTATGTGTATGTCTTTAAAAACGCTGTAAGGGGATGAGGAACAGGAAGCAGACCAAGTGCGCGATTACTGTGGCTCAGGGGTTGCGGATGTAGGGAAGGACACAAGAGGGAAGGATTGAAGTTGATAGTGACTAAGGGCGGGAGAAGGAGAAATCGAGGGGCCGATAGAACACAAGTATATATAAACGACACAGTCGAAACGTTGACATGGGAATACAAATGTATGGAGAAGGTCCCGGATGAGGTCACAGAGACGAGAGAGCAGCGAGAGCTTAGCATCCAGCGCACGCCAACGCCGCTGTCCCCGGTCCATCAATCAAACCACCGCCTCGACACGGCAACCCTACCATCGGTCCAGCCCGGCCTCGACGCCCGCCCGACGCCCCCAGCGCCTGAACCTTCTCCCGCAACCTGTCCATTACTTCCCTGTCCTTCTGTCCTAGTTTGACCGCTCCCTCCCTAGCCTTCTCATACTCAAACACCTCGTTGTTCACCTCGACTAGCATGCTAGCTGTCTCGGCTACCTCCCTGGCTACGGCGTATTGCGTGACTACCTCGTCGGCGTTTTGTTGCGTGTTGTAGCATTCCGGCGTCGAGGCTCGATGGATGCGGGGCTCGGCGGTTGTGTAGGAGGATAGGGGGCGGGAGGAAGTGCTGGGTGGTGTGATGGGAGGGTTGGAGGGAGGGCGGAGGGCACCTAGGTATACTTGTGCCCTAGCACGAGACAAGATCAACACATCTGTGAAAGCAGTCGTGAGTGCATTCGTGTGAATATTATGACCATCAGCAAGCAAACCGGTACATTATACCAGACCGTCCAAGGCCCTCGGTCAGAGGACGGCACGACCGTTCTACCTCATGACCGCTAATCTTCCAGCATGTCTTTCTACCCGCAACCTACTCCCACAGCGCATGAAATCAGAGCAAATCACCCAAAAGACACGCGACAAAGACTCCAGCGGATGTTTTGAAGGTGTTTCTACCTATAAACAATTTGATATGGATTATGGATCTACACTTCTGCATACGGGACCGGGAACATGATTCTGAATTTCGGCCAGGTATCCAGTACCACTACGGGAGATGTGCTGTGCTGGCCCACGGCTTCGAACATAGCCTCGTTCGACATATCAACACTTCTGCGGGCGGAAAATCTATAAGCACTGCCGCCCGAACAGGTACGGAAGAAAGGCGTGTTCCCGTGGCATCCAGACGTGTACAAGGAACTGCTCGCCACCCCCACGGGTCGCCGAAGTGCAGCCCTGCTAGAGTACTACTTGTCCAGTGGCAGCGTGGAACCCGGCGTCTGGTGAAGTATTTGCGGAGCTTGCTATCAAACATTGATGACTTTTGCGAGGCGCTCGGGATGTCAAGGGAGACGTCTTGGATGAGATGAGTAGACAGCAAACAGCGGACTCCTTTTGAGAATCACCCTTATGAGGCCAGGGAGGGAATTTGACGGATTCTGATTATGATGTACAGAGCGACAAGGATGTGGCACCGACGACATCGATGCCTGTGACCATCGGTACAGCACGCGTTCAAGGTCGACATAGTGATGGAGTTGGATTTCTAGATAAGTAAATGTGGCTACATGATTGATGCGCAGTAGAGAGTTACGGTAATGTAGGGAAAAGAACTGAGTTGCCTTCTGAAACTGCCTATTCAAATAATTTCAAAAGCTGTTGGTCGCGGCTGTAAACAACTTGTGAGGTCCTGTGAGGGGACTGACTGCACGGACCACTTACGTCCCACTAAAATTTCCGTCTGCTTGCAACTTGCGCAACAACACCAGCAACAAGTACGATGCCCAAAAGAAAGCGGGCAGAGCCGTCAGGCTCGAAGTCTCCCGAATCAACGGCCGATCCCTCCCTCGCCCGCCGCAAAAAACAATGCACACAGCGCATTGCTGCTGCCCAAAAGCCTCTCGTGGCCGCGCTCCGCATCGCCGCCGGCCTCGAGCGCCAGAAGCACAGTCGCAGGAAGAAGACGGTGCAGTCGAATAAGGATTCAAAGGGACTGGCGCGGATAGAAGCCGAGTATGCGCATCTGAAGAGCTTGGATCTTGAGAAGGTCGCAGACCAACATCTGCGCAAGACGTTTGCCAAAGTCAAGACTCTGAGGGAGAGCGGGTGCATGCCGGAGAGCGTTGGGGAAGTCGAGAAAGGGAGCAGTGATGCCGCGTCGCTGAATGTGAAGGGGAGGTTGTTCAAGGTGGATGCGGTGCGCAAGGTGGTGGACGAGCTGATTGACGAGTTGAAGGAGATTGTTGGGGCTACAGCCAGTAGTGCGACAGCTGAGGGCAAAGAGGGAGCGAAGAGCAAGAAGGCAAGGAGACAAGAAGCAGATGAAGAGGCGGAGGTGGACGGGCTGGCACAGGAGGACGGAGAGGACAGCGACGCCTTTGCTGCCTTCGATGCATTCATCGCCGCGCCGTCTTCCGCCGAAGACGACAGCGAGGACTCCCTGTCGGACGGGCATAGGCCGCCGAGTGAAGAGGACTTGGCCAGCGAAGGTGAGAGTGAAGACGAGGACGAGAACGAGGACACATCAAATGCAGATTCAGTCGATGGCGATGATGGGATACCTGCATTCCACACCTTCAGCAACGACGAGGACTCCGCGTCCGACTCTGATGACCTTTCGATACCCTTGCCCAAGACCAAGAGGAAAACAGCCGACCCCAAGGCCAGTGCCGACTCTAAATTTCTCCCGACCCTCAGCCACCCCACCTACATCTCTGGATCCGAATCGGAGGCCTCCGATATTGAAGTTGCCCCGCGCAAGAACCGACGCGGCCAGAAAGCGCGTCAAAAAATCTGGGAGCAGAAGTACAAGGACCAGGCAAAGCACATAGTGAAGCAGGAACGCGATCGGGGTTGGGATGCGAAGCGTGGCGCTGTAGCCGAACGGGGTGCAAGGAACGGAAGGGGCGGGCCACCGCGCGGCAGGGGCCCTGAGATCAGTGGTGCGAACGAGTTACCACTTGGGCCGAAGAAGCCAAAGAGGGACGATGCAGGCATGCTGCACCCGAGTTGGCTGGCAGCGAAGGCGGCCAAGGAAAAGAAGATGGACGTGAAGCCCATGGGCAAGAAGGTGGTGTTTGACTGAGCTTGGCAGTGAGTGCTTCATCAGAGCACGGAAAATATAAGACGATACCCACACGCTGAACACAGCATCTTGCGAATGCTCTCTGCCGTACAAGTGCTTTCGGTGTTACTAGTTTACCTACGCTGCGCGATCTGAGGGCTGCGCGATCTGTCGCACCTGGCTAATGACGCAGAGCGGGAACTTTCCACGTGGTTCTCTCTTGTCCTTTCCACATTTGGCACAACAAACACCATCACACTGGCCTGAAAGAACGTCGTCTCATCCACCCTTGTCTCGCACCACATCAGTTCCGTCATTCACCTTCACACCAATCCCGATTCATCTCCTCAGCCACTTGTCTCCCTCCACTACCACACTCTTCACAAAGAATCTTTTCCATATGCAATAGACTTCTCCCCACGAAGACGACACCACAAACCCCGACACAAAGACCCACCAGCAAACCGCACCCTTTGTTTCCCATGCAACCGACATACCATGTGTACATAGACCAGTGACAGTAAAAGTGCCGTCCTAAATCTCGTGTTAAGTAAGGCCGACGTTTGGTCCCTGTCAGCTGCCATATGGGACATGATGAATAGCAAGCGTGGCTGGCTTAAGAACCCCGAATCCGACGACAAACCCGGATTGCACACGTTGCGAACAGAGATACTTCTTGATAATCTCCAAGGCGATGGTCCTGAAGAATTCTTGGAAGGGAAATATCCGACCCATAACTATATCCAACACGTGTTGTACCAGCGGCACGACCTCCCCGTGTACACAATGTGGCTCACGGAGCTTGTCGATGACTGCGCGCGTCATGACTCAATTGGTCATTGCATAGGCCATGTCGAGCTTCTGAGGAGGTTGGAGAAGATCAAGGAGAATATTCATGTTGCAAGAGATGGACTGAGCGGTCCACAGGATGACTTGCGTCTCCAAGAAGACCCATTTCCTTCGTGGGGGGATCTTAAATGTTACCAGGAGACGGGAACCATGAGAGGGGTGAAAGCGATGATGGGAGGAATGGGGATAATTGGGGCATATTTGATCGGTAAGCCTTTCAACTCGAACCTGGGTGGATAGAGCGTTGAAATTTAACGATAAAGATGGAGCCCGAAGTACTACGTCTGCGCTCATACCCGGTAATCGTTCGTTACTGTTATTTTCCTTTGCGGTTCATTCAGCACCGCTCTCTCACAGCGCCGGCGCCATGGCCTTGAATTTACCTTCAACGTCCTCGTATACCTACGAGCTAGCAAATACCAATCTCCAATCTCTAGCTACCCACGTCCTTGGCCTCAGCCCATCAGTGTGTAGTCCAGCATGGACCCGCGCCCTCGGGGTTCCCGACGATTCCAGAGCTTCATATCCGGTGTCCGGGTATGCATCCATGCGCCTTACCCCAGTCTCAGCACGTGCACACGTCAGTGGCCAGTTCCTATCTCCTCGCAGATTCGCAGGTGCAATCTTTCCCCGAAAAGGCAACTGTGTAACTGGCCAAGGTGCATGCCCAGGAACCGCCAAGCACCTTCCGCGCGGAGTGATCCGCCGCAAGGGACCCTGCGGGAGCGATATAAGGCTGCAGGTATGGACGCGTGGGTTTGAGGCATCCGCGCGATCACTGACTATCATTGATACTTTTTGGAAGTGTGCATCATGAAGGGCTATGTGCTGAAGGGAGCTGCGCTTGCGGTCTCGGCGTTGGGCTTGGCAAGTGCGACGGCGGCGAGAGAGGATGTGTTGGTGAGCAAGAGGCATGTGAAACGTGGGCTGGATTGTGAGGGGAATTATAACATCTGTAAGTTCGCGGAAGATTGAATGGCGTGGGGGAGCGTGGGTAGGAGTTTGGGCCCTGTGTTACCTACCTATGATGGCGCCGTGGCAATAACACGATAAAACTTGGACGGCTGTACTGCAACGTACTGACTATCGCAGCTTTCTTTCACATCAATGATGTACACGCTCATCTCGACGAGTTCAGCTCCTCCGGAACTGACTGCACCAGACCGGAGCGAGGATGTTATGGTGGCTACTCGCGAGTCAAGCATGTGATTGACACACAGCGCCCCAATTACAACGACAGTCTCTGGCTGAACGTCGGCGATGAATTTCAGGGCACCTTATTCTACAGCTATTACCGAGGAGAAAAAATCGCCGAGACCATGAATCAGCTTGGCTTTGATGCAATGACCCTGGGAAATCACGAGTTCGACGGCGGAGACGAGGAACTGGGTGCGTTCCTGCAGAACCTAACGAACATCCCCGTCATCTCGGCCAACATCCATTCCACCAACGAGATTCTGAACAAGACAATCAAGCCGTACCACATCTTCTGGGACAAGGGACTCGCTCTCATCGGCGTGACAACGGAGGACACCGCCAGCATCTCCAACCCTAGTGAAGGAACCACGTTCTCCAGCGCTGTAGAAGCTGTGCAAAATGCCATCGACGAAATCAAGGCGACGACGAACATCACCCGAATTGCAGCCATTACCCACATCGGCTACGATAAAGACCAGGAGCTTGCCAAGCAAACAAGCGGCCTGCAGCTCATCATGGGTGGGCATTCGCACACTCTGCTGGGCAACATGACCGGCGCCAAAGGCTCCTACCCGACAATCACCACCAACAAAGACGGCGATGAGGTCTTCATTGTCACCGCGTACCGCTGGGGCGAGTACGTCGGCTACATCGACGTGACGTACGACGCCGCCGGCAAGATCCTTGCCTATCACGGCGCCCCTATCCATCTCACCAACACCACCAAGCAAGATGAGAACCTACAGGCCCAGATCGACGCCTGGCGCGGCCCCTTTGAGGAGTTTGCTAAGGAAGTCCTCGGCGTATCCAACGTCGAGCTCGACCAAACCACCTGCCAGCAAAAGGAATGCCTCCTTGGCGACTTCATGGCCGACGCGATGCTCGCGTACCGCGTGGATGCTGGGGAAGCTGTCGACTTCGCCATCATCAACGCGGGCGGCATTCGCGCGACAATCGATACGGGCGACATCACGCGCGGTGAGGTCCTGACCTCCTTCCCCTTCGGCAACTCCATTGTCGAGCTGACCATCTCTGGTGCCAACCTTCGCAAAGTTCTCGAGGGCATCGTTTCCGGTGTCTCGCAGACGAACGGAAGAGAGGTTACCTCGTTCTTGCAGATTTCGTCATCCTTGCGCATCAGCTACGATGCGGCACAGCCGGCGGGCAGTCAATTGGTATCTGTATCCATTAATGACGAGGCACTCGACGATGCGAAAGAGTATCGCTATGTCACGCTGGACTTCATTGCGGGCGGTGGGGATAATTTCTTTGAGCCGAGGAATGATTTTGTGGCGCTGGATACGCAGGACGAGGTCCTCGTGCAGTACATCGCTAAGAAAACGCCGGTGGATATCGCGCTTGATGGACGGATTGAGGCGGTGGGGAGTGCGGCGAGAAGGGCATTAGGGGTTGCGGGGCGGAGGTGGGCGCAGAGGGAGTAGGGTTGCTGTCGAGATGTTGAATTGTATCTATAAGACCCCGAATGGGTGTCACATTAGCTGCAAACATAGAAACCTGCTTTCTAAGGTCTACATTCGTGTCTGAGTGGTGAACGAGGGGTTTGTACCAAAATAAAGGCCTCCAAACCGGCAGCTTATGAGTCAATATACTTTGCTTGGACTGTTCATCGGGCGCTCTGCATTCTTGTGTATTGTTTACTCTCACAAGCAGGCCCAGCACATTCATGTCGCTTTCAACGTTCGATATCTCATTACACAGGGAGTATCTCAATAATGAGTAATGTTTGTGTTCCTCGCAGTCGCAGAGTTACTGTATCGCGTTTTCCCGTGGTTTGAAAGGCTCGCGAGAGTGTCTACAAATGGCTCTACAACAAAGAGATTTTTGTGTGACAAAAGGCATTGTGCGAGACAAAGAACCTATAAGCCAACGCCGGTTGAACGGTGACCAAATCGCCTCGTTCATAAGTGCCATTCAGCTGCTTACAGAAGTTTATACTTTTATCAACGGCTGCATGCCCTGTCAACTTTTTATTTGCATACTACTACTGGCGTGCATATTGCCTATTTAATGATGAACCTTTTGTAATTTTTGTAAACAATGTTGTATCAACCCTTCCGAGCGGTGTAAAGATTTCTTACACATAGAGACAGCAGTGACCCTGCGCACTACGTTTTTTGTATCTGGTATACTCGGATATGGGTTCGTCCTATATACTTTCCCTCCGAGTGAAGCCGTTTCCATACACGCCCATACTTTTCAACCTTTCGGCACTGGCGGCCACCTGAGATTCAAGTCAACCTCACCATCACGAGCCCCAGCCTCGACGGCACGGCTACGCTCGAACCTCCAAACTTTCTCCCAAAACGGACGCACGCGACGCACCTGCTAAGCTGAGAGCCAGTGAGCACCAGATATAAGACTGCCGCTCGCCACTCCACTCCACGCCCTCTTCACACCCGCGCGCCCGATCATTAAACCCACGATCCTCCAGTGCTTCAACGACACATCCGTGACGTTGAAGTACTAGCTACGCCTTTGGCCCGTCAACCGCGCGAAATCTTGTCTCCACCAGAGTTGACCCCTTTATTTCTCTCCACTTGCAACCCGATCTTTCCGCCCGTCTTTGAATATGGCGGACAAGATGCTCCAACAGGTCAGCTGGACGCAGGCCCTTAAAGGCAAACGCATCCGTGAGAGCGACAGCGACAGCGAGGGAGAGCAGACCCTCACAATTGCGAAGACGCCTCGCGAGGTAAGTTTGAATCCCCTTAGCTCCTGACCTCTCTAGCATGCTAACAATTATAGAAACCGGGAAAAAAGAAACCACGAGGCAACAACCCTGTAAAAATGCCGAAGGGTAGTCCTCAATCGGCTTCGGCAGCGCCTGGCACTCGCCCCACCACCGACCGACAGGAATACGTGATTCCGAAGCGGAACGTGTTCAGGGAGTCACAGATGAACCGCGCCGAGCTCCCGCCTTCTCCTCCAGAGACACCAGTCGCCGCGCCGAGCTCGACTAACAAGTCAACCGAGACCCCAGTCAGCTCCGGCGCTCAGTGGCGTCACCTCGGCTTGTATGAGTTCCCGCTGCATGAACCCGAGAAGATCAGCTTTCCACAGTATACCTGGACCGTTGCATGGCAAGCTGTAGAAATTCACCAAGATGCTAGCGCGTCTCTGCTACTTGCAGAGGAGATCGCTCACATGCAAAAGGAGACTACCGAGGAGTTCGCTCGTATGCGAAAAGAATTTGTCGAGTCGCGTCAGCATCAGGTCGATCCAGACCAAGAAGAGCTCAAGAGAAAGCTTGGGGTTGCTGAAAATGCTCTTGCGATCGAGCGACATGAAAAGAAGGACCTTCAGAACAAGCTTGCGGCTGAGCGACAAGCCAAGAAGATCTTTGAGGACGAGCTTACCGCTGACCGAAAAGCGAAGGTGAGCCTCCAGAACGAGCTTACTGCCGAGCAAAAAGGGAAAGCATACCTTCAGAATGAGCTTTCTCTGGAGCAGAAATCGACCAAGTCCTTGCGAGAGAACCTCGCAACTGCTCGGCAAGAAAAGGAAGATATCAGCAAAGCGCGCAACAAGGATGCTTCGGATTACTCCACCAAGCTTGGAGAGCTCGAGAAGGAGAAGAGGGATCTTTCCGAGAAGTTCAGTGCCGAGAAGAAGAAGTGCCAGGACCTTGAGAACAGCAACGGAGTATACAATCAGCAATACCAGCAATTCGAGGAGCAGAAGGTCCAGGTTAAGGAGCAAACAGTCGAACAATGCAAGAACCACGTCCTGAAGGGTCTTGTTAAGCTCCTCGCAGATTACTGGAATGACAGCTCGCTCACAGTAGACAATATCGCTCCTGAGCTGCACGTAGCATTCTTCGACGTGATCGACGGTAACAGCAACTTCGATCAGCTCGCAGACCATGTCAATAGCTACTACAATCAGTTCCACTGGGAGCCTACGAATATTGAAGGCAGTATTGAACAAGGCATTGTTACAGATGGCACTCAAAGATCTGCCTCTGCAGTACCGCAACCTCCGACCCTCGACTGGCAGCAGCCTGCACAAGCGAATACTCCGGCTTCTCAAGCCCTTGTACCTGTCTCTCAGCCAGTCGAAATGGAGGTTGAGTCTACCCAAGTAGTCACCAAGACTCCCGTCGGCACGATCCTGCCCCAGATGTCGATTGTAAACCCCAACTGGACGTGGAGTTCTCCAACACAACCGTCTTCCGTTATTGGGGTGGGCTACGCAACGCCAGAATCCATGGAGGTTGATACGACTAAGCCGCGCCGTAAGGTACCCTGCAAGTACTTCAGCTCTGATCGTGGCTGCAATAAATGGGAGAATTGCCCCTTCCTTCATGATGAAGCTGTGAACAGGCTTGGAAGCGCTGCGCCTGACCCGATGGAGGTTGAGGCTTCCAAAAAGAAGAAGATTTCATGCAGGTTCATCCGCAGCCCTGGCGGTTGCAAGCAGGGGGCGGCCTGCATGTTCCGTCACCCTGCGAATTCATCGACACCGCAACAGGCTCCCTCCGCCGGTATAGGCGCCAACACGGCGGATCGGACGGAAATCGAGACCCAAATTCGAAAGCAGCTCCCAGAGTGTAGGTATGCACGTCGCCTGGGTGGCTGCACACGCCAGAATTGTCCGTTCACTCACCCTGCCGATCCAACTGTCGCGCAACAATCCTCTGCGACTGGCTTAAGTACCGATACGACAAATGCTATGGAAGTTGAGGTTCCTAATCAACGCCCACTTTGCAAGTTCATGCTGCATCCTGGCGGCTGCAAGAAGCGGGACACTTGCAAGTCCACTCACCCTGACGACTTCGACTGCTGCTTTGCTCCAGAGACCGTTGCTATTCTGGAGCTGGAGGTACTACCAGCACAGCGAGCTCTTTTCCAGGCGAAGAGTGAAGAGGCTAAGCTTCAGCCTATAGTGCAAATGGTCCGAGGTTATTACAAGTTCATCGATCAGATGATCGGTAGTGCGCGCCAGGCCTCCCTAAACCGCAAGAACAGGATCAGCTTCATGAAAATGATGGATGGTCACATCGGCGCCGTGGGAGTACTAATCCACGACGCGCCACCGAGTCTCATTCGCCGCTTCAACCTGCGCGCGAATGGCTTCCTGGCTGTTGGTAGTAGCATCGATGGGTGGTTCGATGCGGGAACCAACATGCCGGAGGATTGCATAGACTCCTGGATGCTCCTGAAGATGTTCGATCAGGTCATGGTCGACAAGATCCAACTGCCAGTTCATATCGCTTCGTCACCTGTTTCAACTTCTGCACCGCCTGCTTGGAACAATGAGCAGAGCCATGATGATAGTCGCGGTACTACGTCGCTTGGAGCCCTTCCAATCTCGCAGCTTGATCAAGACCTAGACGCCATCATCAGGTCGGGGGCTCAAAACGCAAACCATCGGAGGAACAGAGCACCACCCCGATCATCCCGAAGCGTTCAGCCTTATGGACGTCATCGCGGTACCCAGCCCTCCCATGGCGACCATTTTGGCGATGGTAACCGTCTAAATTTGCGTGCGGTGAACAGTGGACGTATTCAGAGGTCCACCTCACCCCGGCAACCTCCCACAGGTCCTCGTCAGCAGGCATATCCTGGCACGACAGAGCGCAACGTCTACGCCCAGGACCGCCAGCAAAATGCCATTCGGAGGACCACGTTCTCCCAGGCAAGTGAAAGTATGCCATCCCGAGCCAAGATATATGCGCTGACGTGATGCAAGGGTCAGCACATCCCGCGGCTGGGTTGAATAAGTGAGCTCGACGATGTTGCAGCACACAATACGACTGTCCACTGGTAAGCTAAACCACTATCTTCCACTTATTCTATGTATGCTAATATGGCCCAAGGGCCTGTCAAGACTGAACCCTTGAACCTTGTGCAACCCGGGAGCCGTGGGTTTGGTTCCCGATGTTTTCAAAGCTTGTAGGATGTCTCTGGCTATTGTCGTTTGGTTGTTCGGGTCTTTTTTGTTTCTTTGTATCAGTTGATAGATATCCCGCACCAGAGGATCCCCCAAGGATTGAGGCCGGACGCAGCAAACCAGGATTGAGGAGAACATACAAGGAGTCAACGCCAGGAGAACGCACATGAAGGACACCACAACAAATACGAACACGGTGACAGGACCGGTCTAGCGATGCCCATTGATGAGACAGTGCACGGTCAATTCCTTGGGTTGACGCTTTAGAGCTAGGAGGGAAACGCCTATGCTTGAGTGTTGTCGTTCAATGGACCGAATCTCCGCTGGTGTTCGTATGTTCGACACGACGCCCATTCTCCCCATTATTTCTTTTCTTTTGAAGTGAGCCATCATAGCGTTGGATGGCTTTTAGTTTGTTTTGGTGGCTTCAGTTTGGGGCTCCAATTTTTGGGTTCAGTTTTTGGGTTCAGATTTTTGGCTTCAATTTTGTTCTGAGCAGTGATCAAGCCGTCCCGTCGACGGCTCACCCACTAGTCCATGCGCTTGAGCTCCCTAGTTGAGGCTTGCCTCCTAAGCTGCAATATTAGTGAACTTACATGGTTGGATAGGGTCCGCACGCTCGACTTGCTTACACCTCATCCCTTTCTGTACCTTTTTAGCCGCAAAGTTTCCTCATCCATGCGAACGACACCTGCGTGCAGCTGGATAACACCTGGCGCCCTCTCCGTAACACGGAAGTCCGTCTACTTTACAGTTTTTGATAATTTCTTGAACTCTGTAATATTATGATATCGTTCAATCCTCTAGGGAAGAGAAAAGACTCAGAGTCGGCTACTTTACAGATTTGATTATTTGTTGAATTCCGAAATGTGGATAGCGTTCGCCCCTCTCGGAAAAAGACGAGGCTCCCAGTTCGGTTGATTGAAGCACACGAAACACCTGTCCCACTAGAGCTTCAGAGTGTAGGCCATACCTCCTTGACTGCAACAGTAGCGACGCGAATGGTTGAATGCAGGAATCAGTGGCAACAAAATGCCAATAGGAATGGAAAAGCGCAACCTACAGACAGTGTTCATTGCGTCAATCTCTTTGAACGATCAATTGTGAGTCATCAAGTAATCTTAACCAGCAAGTGGCTATCACAATCGTACGAGTACGTGATGACTCTGCGCAAATATCTTTCGGCCAGTATGTCTTTTCGGTGACCTTGTCTATAGATCCGACGTAGGAAAATGCTAGTCTCGCAATTGCAGGTGTAACGACGTATTGGTATAATTGTGGGTCCATCGGGTAGAACTTTGCGTGAGCGTCGGCCAACTCCACCACTCACCGATGGCAGTCTCAGAGAGCCTGCAACGTCAAAAAGGTGTATATAACTTACATGACAGCCTCATCAACTTTGAAATATTGCATTCTAAGCCAGGCAACATACCGCATTCTAGCGAACCATATGCGTAGAACTTTACTTCACGTTCTCCCCCATTAAACACCGCCCCCGTCATGTCATCTACCGAAAGGGACATCGAAGCCAGTCGCTGCGGCGAGCCCATGGCAGTCGAAGCTGCAGTAAGCCAACCTCATACCGAGTCGGCCAGCCCCGCTGCTACCATCACGAGCTCGAACGCGCTGGCGAAAGTCGAAACCAATGCTTCGGCCTTGTACGACAGCATCCCCATGTGGCGCAAGTGCATGATCGTCTTCGTTACGAGCTGGGCAACGCTCGCAGCATGTTTCTCATCGACCTCGTTGCTGAGCGCCGGCACTGAGATCGCAGCTGATCTGGGGGGAACAAAGGAAGCGGTCAGTCTGTCAACAGGGGGAGTCTTGCTAGCTCTGGGAAGCAGTCCGCTGATATGGAGTCCGATTGCTGCGGTATGTCGGTCCACGCGCATGCGATCTGCTACAATGTACTGATTTAAGACATGTAGATTATCGGCCGCCGGCTCACATACAACATCTGCCTTCTTTTTCTCTTCTGCTTCACAATTGGCGCCGCCCTCGCTCCGAATATGCGCGTCTTCATCGCCATGCGCGTTCTCTCTGGTCTACAAGGTTGCTACTTCCACGTAGCTGGGCAGACTATTCTCGCTGAATACTTCCCACCCATACAGCGCGGCACGGCTACTGGATTCTTCCTAGCTGGGACGGTGCTTGGTCCACCTCTTGGTCCTTTGGTTGCTGGAATTATGATGACATACTCGAGCTGGAGGAGTGTATTGTGGCTCCAAGTTGCGATGGCGGGATTCGCATTTGTTCTCGCGCTTGTGTTTGTGCCGCCTAGCCGTGTCGATAAGCCGGGCCACTTTGCACTGAACCTGAAGGGCATGGAGGCAGTGAGGAATTTCGACCCGCTGCCAGTCTTCCAACAGATGAAGTATCGACAGATCTTCTTTACGGTAAGTGTGACGTGTGCCACAGATCATTACAGAGTCTTCGCAGGAGACAGCGCTAACATGCTGAATTAGCATCTGAGTTGCGGCTTTCTGAGCTGGACGCAATACTCTATTCTCGCATCGCCTCGGCACATACTCGTCGAGCGCTTCGGCTTGATATCACCACTATCTTCAGGCCTGTTCTACATTGCACCTGCGACCGGTTTCCTGGTGGGAACGATCGTAGGCGGATGTTATTCCGACCTCACTGTCCGCAAATTCATCAAGCTACGTGGGGAACGCCTGCCCCAAGATCGCTTGAACAGCGGCATGTGGTCTTTTTTTCTAGTTATACCTGCAGCTTCGCTCATATATGGGTGGAGTCTCCAATATTGCAACATATGTACGGCAGTCAAAGGTGGATTGGCGTTACCGATCGTGACGACCTTCTTAGCTGCTGCTGGGCTTCTTGCTGCGTTCGCAAGCCTGAATACGTATTGTGCTGGTAAGGGTACCCGGCCATGTTACAGTCGCTCAGAGCTAACAAAAACCAGAAGCGATACCGAAGAAGAGGCAGGAGGTTATTACTGGGAAGTACCTTATACAATATACCTTCTCCGCTTGCGCGAGCGCCGGTACTGTTCCGCTGATCGACGCCATTGGTATCGGACCTACGGCGACAATAGGAGCTGTGTTATGTGTCCTCGCCGGATGTCTTACATTTGTCACGGCACGACACGACGTGGGGGGTGTTGAGAATAAGGAAGAAAAGAAGTTCGACAGCTGGTTGGAGCCGTGCAAGAGGATAAAGCTTCTGCCTACCAACAAGGTCTTCCCAATTGCGTAAAATTTAGATTACCTGTATCTGAGACACCCTAAGTTCATTGCTTAATTTTGACTTACACATTACTGGGAGTCACCCAGTCATCTCCCCATATCTCTGGCCAGTATGGCGTTTGAAGTCCATAAAAAGATGGGTTGTCCAGGGCTTGCATGTCTAGGTCCGTTTCTGCAAGGAAGCCTTGAAACGATGGGTCAGCGAGCGCCATGCCCGCAGTCATGCTTGTACCGGCGAAAGAGTTCACAGATGGCTGCTGTAGCTCTGCAGGAGTACCCAGAGTGGACTGCGGCACTTCGTTGCGGGCTGCGGCCATGCTCTGCGACATTGCATCAATGTGTTCGCAGAACTCTTTCGCACCGAAGCTACCGCTTTGTGCTAGCTGCCTCAGTAACTCAACTGCGTTGTCGAAGTTCTCGCCATCGCTTTTGCTTTGAGGGGTGTGCAGAAGGCTAGATACTGCAAGAATGGTAGCGGCAGAAAAAAGGTATTGCGTGTTAAAGTAGTCGAACGTTGCAAAAGTGCCATGGATCCACGCATCCGTGATGATACGATACGAGTGTCGAGCACACTGTGTACACGTCTCTGCCAACGTGCGTGCGCTGTCTGATAATTTTGGGACAGGATCGGGAACGGGGTCTTTGCGTGACTGCTGGTGAATGCGAAGTGCGTGCAACAAGATTGGGCGTGTTGCAAGGATAACACCCTATCATCTCAGCGATTGTTTTTCATGCGTTCTTGTAGTCATACCTGATTCAGCCTAAGATGCAAATAGACAATATGATGTCGTTGTAGCGAGGAAGAGCCATCATTCTTCAGATGGAACTTCGCAGGAAGAGTGTCCATCCATTTTGTGAACTCTTTTAGAACGGATTGCACTCGCTGCGAAAAAGGGCTGTGGAACTTCCTCCTTCCGTAGATTTCTCGCGTACACTTCGCTGCGATCCTCGCTATTTCGATACTGCGTAACGTGTAATCAACGTCGTCGAAGTCTTCGTCCGCGTCATCAATACCGTCGCCACTTGGGGGGTCAACAAAGATGTCATCATCGGCGATAGACATAGGTAGACCCAATTTGGAAGCACATGATCGGTCCAGCACGTACGCCGACCACCACAGTCGTATTCGGTGCTCCCGGGCGCGACGATTATGATACTGATGTTCCGGAACGTTCAAGTGCATGCCCATTACTAAAGAGTTTCGTACAGCCGAGCTGGCGAGCACATACGCTGAATGACGTCTGTTGAGGATGAATGAATACAACGTCTATCGTACCATATTAGCAATCGATCTCATCATCGCTTGTATACTCACAAGAAGTAGTGCAATCTCCACTGAATCAACCTGAGGGCGTTCAGCTGGGATGCTAACCATCCTTCTGGCCTGTACGAAGTAGATCAGCCCAGGAAATGTGGAGCCTTGGTCTGCACTTCGGGCTGAATAGGCCTCTCCCAAAGCAAAGAGGGCTAACAATTTTGCAACCTTCAGTCTGTCACTTTTGCCGTTAAGCTTGATAGCTTCTTCTAAACTTTCAAGTACCACACTCTTACGAACAATATGATAGTAGCGACATATAGTATTTAGCGCAACTTTGACCAGGAACCGTGCGCGAGCGGGTGTAGGCCATTGACGGTCGGTCTCCGCAAGGAGCGTTAATGGTTCGTCTTTTATAAAGCTTGTTCTCGGCAAATGGTTGGTGCAGACTGTGGCTACTGTCTGGCGAAATCTAGTAGAGAATGCAGCGTCTGAGGCTTCACCTACGTGTAAAGGTGACTCTAGCGCTGATACAGGATGGAACCTGACCGTGAGGAATGAAGTCAGTCAAACCAAAGAGACATCGTGATCGAGTACACGCACCAGGGACGCTCCTCTATCAATGGATTCTGCGTCGTCTCTTGGCTTTCAGTGTTCTGTTCGACTGTAACTGGTGGTGGAGTAAGACGTCGAGCTTCCGGTGTAGATCCAATATTCGCTCCAGTGTTGCTCCGAAGGAGTTCGTTCTCTCTCAAAAGGTTCTCAATATATCTACAGTGGCAAAATTAGCGATTATCGTAAGGCACTTTTTCCAGCCTGTCGAATCCAGAATCACATTGTGTACCTGAGCCTTGAAGCGAGAGGCAGTGATCAGGCTTCTATAGCGCCTGTACCTGCGAATGAAGTGTCGAACTCTATGCTGTTGCGCAAACACGATACATCGCCACTAGGCAAGGCTAGGACGACTTACTGTTGACTCAGCTTCACTTTACGATCGCGCGACGGGTACACGCAGTCGGCAGGAGGACTAGTTTCACCGCATCTAGAGCAAGGATGTCCTCCTGAACATTTTTGTCTCCGTGAGTGGCATCTCTCGCAGCTATCCCCATATCGATTAGCACAATCTTCTGTCATATCGACGAGCAAAGCGCAATGTCATGGTTTTCGACTAGTCCCATACAGCTCCAGGTCTACCAACTCAAATGAATGAGGGCTTGGACATACGCTATGGATCTTGTCGCTTTCTTCTGAATTCTTGCGTGTCCTGGGAAGGACTCGGGTGGTGACATGAGCGTGGGCATGTTGCGGTTGGCGTTTCCAGCCGAAGCGAATTGAAGTTTTTCGGCGAAGATATTGCGATGCCGATAGCTGACGTCATCATTGCCCATCTCTCATCGCTATCCTTTTCCTCATGCCAAGGTTTTGCATATTTCCAACTTCGGGAATCCGTGCTTAGAAGGCTTTTCGAAACGCTCATATCCAGGAGTATCGGTAATTTGCACACTCAAGCGAACAGTTTATGATTGGCAATGGCCCACTTCTACAAGTTATTATCCAGGCCCATTGTTCCGCGCTTGGGTTTTACACGTTGAAGAAGCCCAAAGCGCAGGCTTTACCCACAACAGTAACCTTATGTCACTGCAAAGGCCTTCAGGCTGAACTCATTACCAACTAGTCGAGCAAACAGTGACGGACGCAACATTCGGCCATATTACTCTGGTAGAATATCGATCTCGCATGGAGTGGGACCCCTTCGAGGCCACTCGTCCCTTATAAAATTTATTTCGACCGCATTTACACTTTGCACTCCTCTCCTGTGGCACGTGCAGCAACCAGGTGGCATGTACAGAGGCTCAAAGATTGGGCGCAGTCAATAGGAGAGATGTACATCGCTTTTACAATGGGGCTAGGTCGGTGCGCGATGGGAAGGGAATCGACTTGGTCGTGCTGCAGATCGAGGACAGTGTGTTCAGCATTGCGCAAATGGAACATTTTGGCAGGGAGATTGAAAGAATGACGTCCTGATTGATGCAGGATTTGGACCAGCCAGTTCATGAGTTTAGAGATCATTTGCACTTAGTAGGCATGTCGGCCGTGAGTGGGAATCCGTGGGTCGCAAGCTTGTGGCGAGCCTTGTTTATGAGGCACTCGCAGTAATGACAGCTTGTGCAATTAATGGGGAAGCCCTTACTTCCTTGACAAGTTCCCGATAGCGCTTCGTAGATACCCACGTATAATAACAAATGGTAGATGCCTAAGGTCATAGCAGCTGTATAGAGCATCAACACAATCTGCATGACGCGGCCGATCCGCTCCTCGCAAGACTACCTAGCGCTTACAGTACATATGAATGTCGAATATCCTGCTGATAGCGACTTCGAATGTGGCGTGCACTTCGAAGGAAGAGCTGGGATCCCTCTGCTTTCGGGATAGCAGATGAGAAGTGGCACGAGCGAGGATTGATGTTTCCTCTGTTGATGGAAAATTGGTATTTAAGTAGCTTAAGACGCCGTTCGATTCTCCAATCACTGAGACTATCCGCGAATTTGCGGTCGGGGGCCAAGTCAGTCTGTACGAGATTGTGTTGGCTTGTCGTGCGAGTCGGTGCACTTCACCATCTGCCGATCTGTCCGATGTAATCATTGCCCGGAGAGAGAACGGCTCGACTGACCGGAACATTACTGCGCAAATGAGACGGAGCTCTCACACATGCAGTGGATGCCTGGAAAGGAAGGTTGCATAAGTTTACCGATCAAATGTAGGGCTGAACGCTGCGCGTGGTACCATGCGCAAGTTTGAGGACCTCTCGGGTTTGCAAGGGTTCGGTTAGACTGTCGCCTCCGCCACAAGGCATGTTCATTTCTTGCGCAAACCTGCCATTGATCATGCCAGTAGAGGGATTTTATTTCCAAAAACAAAGTACTCAAGCTACATCTCTGGACCTGCAGACATTTAGAGGTCACTAACTTATTGGACTTAAGACAGTAGTACCAGCCAGCCTTGGGTAATTCGCGCGGCGTAGGCCAGACAAGTGTACAATTGTCAGTAGAATTCAAGCGCTTGTCGTATTCAGTCGTAGAATTGTTTGTGAATTCCAGTCGCCCTGTGGCCGAAGCTGTGCATAGGGCTGCATGATGAGATGTCACAAGAACGGTTTCCCAAGTGGTGATGCCTGGCGCAGTGCCCCAAAGCCGCCCAAGTACGCCCCACGGATTTTTAGCGAACGCCCCGACAGGGGTGTTCAGGGTCGCTGTCGTCTTCGAAATCGTTTTTGAAATGCACTTCTTGCTTGATCGTAGAAAAGTTTAGTTCGCATGATGACATCGGATTGACGCGCAATACAATTTGATGATTGAGACCAAATATTCTGTCGTGAGAGCTGCGATATGACTGTTCGCATTGTAATTGAGAATTGATGCCTCCCCATGGTCGTTGATGGATTTCGGACTTCGATCTCCCGCATGCACAGTTCCAAACAGCGTCTCGTGCGAACTGGTTCGTTTTCCTAGACGGTACAGAGGAATCGGGATATTCGACAGGGCAACGGGCACGAGTTTTCCTCCTTGAAACGGAATTCATCGGGCACAACAAGGCACATAGCCAATGAAGGCTTTGTTTCATAGCATGTATGTTTTGCACCCGGGATGCCACGGTGAGGATGCGAGGAAGCAACAAGCCAATGCTCAACTCCGCCCGTGAGGCTGGTGTGAACATCCGCATCCTACCATATGGTCTGCCGAAAAGCCACAACTACAAATATGGTTGCTGCCCTGATGCATCTCTCTATCATTTCAGTCCTCCATTTCTATCCGTTTTAAAAACATCTTTAGCACTATTATTCTTTCTATTACAATGTATACTTCTACTCTTCTCGGGTCTCTGGCGCTGGCGTCTTCAGCCCTTGCCAACTATGAGGTCAAGTGGGATTACAGTGGACCGAGTTTCTTTGATAACTTTGAATTCATCAACGTGAGTACAAGTTTCCGAACTGAGGATATCGGAGCAAAGGGGACCTGAGCTAATGTTTGGTCATAAAAAGGAGCCGGATACCAGCTTCACTCAGGGTTTTGCCCAATACGTCAGCTCGGATGAGGCCACAGCGATGGGCCTTGCAAGCATTGTAGACAATAAAGCGCACATCGGTGTCGACACAAACAATACATACGACCTGGGAAGCACCGGAAGAAAGAGTGTCCGCCTGCAAAGCTATGGAACCTTCGATCAAGGCCTCCTCGTAGCAGATCTTGCCCATGTGCCGGTAGCAGGCTGTGGGCAATGGCCGGCTTTGTAAGAAAACTTCCATTGATCATTTAGATTTATCACTAATCAGTCACAGCTGGGTCTACCGCGGCGAGCAAGCCGAAGGCTACTCCGAGATCGACATCCTTGAGAACGTGGACAAATCGACCGCCAACACGCACTCTTTCTACACGTCGGAGGAGTGTAGTGTAAATTTCGATGTTGGCAACCCGTTGAAGACCGATAACTGCCACTACAATCCACAGGGAGAAGGCCTACAGGGATGCAGCTTCGGAGCCGAAGAGGGAACCTTCAACCAGGCGTTCAACGAACAATACCAGGTGATCGCACTGCAGGTGGAGACCGATACTATGAGGATATGGCACTTTAGAAAGGATGAGATCCCGGCTGATCTGAATGCTGGCACTCCGGACCCATCCACTTGGAAGACGCCGACTGTCGCGCTTTCGCCTAAGAGCTGCGACTTCCAGAAGGCGTTCAGCCAGTTCAAGATTGTGAGTCCTTATGCTGAACCAGTTGGAAAATTTAGGCTAATCAAGCATCAGATCATCAACATTACCTTCTGTGGCAGCTGGGCTGGGGGAGCTGACAGCTGGAACGAGCAGTGTGCTGCTGAGACTGGCACCGATTGCAACAGCTGGGTTGCGAACAACCCCGACGACTTCAAGGACACCTTCTTTGAGTTCAACTCCGTGAAGCTGTACCAGCGTACCGCTTAGAGTATGCTCAACCAAGACCATCGTTGGGAGACAGCGCGAAGAAGGAGCTATTGTACACTGTGGCGTACGCGTGAACTAATATCTTTGTACATATGTATATACCATGGATTAGGAATATAGAAGCGTCAATAATTATTCACATTAAGTGAATATCGTTCGAGGGCATTGAAATGGAAAAGTCAGACCGCATAGCCTGAGCAAATGTTGTTTTGTGGATGCATTTAGATCTATTGACATAATCATAATGTTCTTGACTTTGGTGCCTGACCGATACATTATAGACCTGTACCTCATTCAACATCCAGCCTTATCCTAAAGAACCCGGTTATAGTCAATGACCTCAAATGGCATCCTCGGCATCAAGTTCCCTCAAAGCTTCGACGAGAGCCTGCGCGAATGCACCCATGAACGTCCCTATAATCTGCGTGCAGCACTGCTTCATCTTGTAACCATATTCCTCGAGCGGTACGAGCAGCACATCGCTTGAGTCGGCCTCATTCCAACACATGAGTCTCCGCAGACCAGTGTAGTCGATGGCTAGAACGAGAACTTTCCACACCGCACCAAAGAACTCGTACGGACCTTGTATAGCTTTGGCGAAGAGCAGGACCGTGTACGTGAGGGGCAGAAGTGATCCCGTCAAACGCGCGTGCAGTTGAGTTCTCAACCTCCAATGGCCCAAGCTTGGAGCTCTTGGTGACGGGTGAATGCTTGTTTGAAGACAAGCCGTTCTTGGCCATGTGGGTGTGAGCACTGGAGGTTTTGCTATCGACAGCATAGAAGCGAGAGAAGCGATATTTCTGCAGGTCGATGGCATCGGCGGCTCGTTCATGGGGTATCACTACATCATTTACGCTAATAGAGTCATTGTCGGACACAACTCTGATATTCAAGATTGGGTCGATCGGAGGTACTTGGCTTTGAGCACTGGTGTGTAGATCATCCACTATGCGATTTTTTAGTCCAAGAATAGTGAACGTTGTTCGAAGATACCATAACTTACGTGGCGGGCTATGGCGAAGCGACGGATGCCTGGACGGAGTTGGGTTCGCGACGGCGCGGAGACTGTCGATTGAGCCAGGAATCGAGCCCTCATATTCGTTACCCAAAGCCTCTGCTAGTGGAGCACTAGTGGTAACCTGACTGGAATCCTTCTCTTCATTCTGAAAGAGCGACTTGACAAACTTGACAGTCAAAGAGTCCCTGAAATCAGCAGTGATACCGGTGGTGTCTGAACCTTTCTTCTCTCCTGGGCCGCTCTCAATCCTAAGAACCTTCATCGCTTTCATACTGTTGTTTCTGGACTTCACGCTCGGAGGACTCTCTGTCACCTGCTCTTCCTTGCCCTCTTCGCACTGCTTCAGCTCTTCCCGCTCCTTGTACAGGTCCATCTTTGCCAAGTGGCCGGATTTCTTATTCTCCTCCATCAGCTTATCCCACTCTTCCAAATGCAATACTCGGTACGTCTCTGAAGGAGACGACTCCATTATATCGTATACATGCGAACGCTCGGACGGATGCAATCCCACTTTCTCGAACCTAGGCTTGAGGTTTCCGACACCGCCAAGCGGAGATGCCGCCGGCAGGGAGGTGGTATGGCTGGAGCTGAGACTGGTACGCGAATGACTACCATTAAAGAAGTCTGTGAAGCGACTGAACATTCGCTGGCCTTTCTGGTCGGGTGCTTTATTTTCTGCACAGAGGCAGGCCATGGTGGTGGTGTTGTGAGATTGTATGTCGGCGGAGCAACGCGTCAAGCGGAAGGCGCAGATAACTTCCTTGATCGGGGAGCGGAAGTGGGCGTTTGCTGCCAAGATGAGCCAACTGGCGTCATTAGTTACCCAAGCGAGATGAATGCTTCGGTCACATGCACATTGAGAGGCAGAGGCTCATGGAAAAAAACTGTCAAAGTCATGACATTTTATTTGCAGGCATCGAAAAATTGTGCTACATCTACCTGAATACATTTGCAGTCATATAGGCCGGACGACAGTGGTTGGTCTGTACGATTCCAAAAAACAAAAAAAAAAAACCCGATTCCAAACCAGACGCCGCGTATCAGAAATGCGCGTGACCAAAGCGCACAGAAGTGTCTGCCTTCTGCTCCCGCCTAGCAGACGGCCTCAATCGCTACAAGATATGCGCACCTCTACAAGCTTCACCAATGAAGGGTAGCTCCCAGGGCGAAGGTGATGACTACCAGGAAGACAAGAAGGTCCCGAATGTCCACGACTAACTCCATCACCAAGTCATCCCAATGCTTGTCTTCATTTTCCATGAAGACTTGATACGGATAACTATCTTCAGCGGCAGTACAAGAGATGTTGCTAGGAAAATACCACTCCGCAGCAGCCCTGGGTAATTTTGCGCGACTCTTTACCACCAGCGAGATTAGAGAAGTACTGGACGGGAGCGGCGACTATTATGTTCAGGTTTGTATCGACGAGGGGACATCGTTGATCAGAAACTTAAAGTAGTCGCTTGACTTTTGAACAGCTGAGGATCTGTCAGAGTCTTGCGAGGGCTGCACGTCTTTGCTGCCGTCCACTGATGTTGGCAGACAAGTCAGATAACTAGAAACATTAAATGTATATATCCGAGGGGTTTCATGTTTTAGGTAACTTACCATGGGTTCACTTCTTGAGCCACGTCATTGTGACAGCTGTCGTGTTTTCGGACGGGTTCTGGGTCAAAAGTTCATTGAGCGTGATGCAAAAATGTGCGGCAGGTACTGAGGGCTTCATGACGAAGCGGGCGGGGGAAGATCTGGCGGTGTGGCATCAGCGCCACTTCGCGGTGAATAGAGATCAGTGAAATTGGAGCTTGACCTAGTTAAGGCTGTTGTCGACCGCATCAACGTACACACAACCTCCGATTTCACCTAAGCACCCGCTCTGCACTTTTCCGGGTGCACGCCATGCATTGATCGCACAGTATGAGCCTATATAAACCAGCGAGGGGCAGTTTTGTCTTCGCATTGCTGCCCTTACCCTCGCGCCCACCCAGACTTCGACCAGATTAGCCAAAACCTGCGAAGTCGCAAGTATGCTCTCTACCTTACTGCGCCTGTTCCACACCATCATCATCAACATCGTCGCCCTGCTCCTCATCATCGGCATCTTTGTGCACGAGCCCACGTTCAAGCTCTTCCATGACGGACTGTACGACCTGCACATCGTTGCGCGAGCCTTGTATCTCTACCTTCGGTTCTAATTTCGATACGCGATGGTAAGTTCTACCGACCTGACCACCTGGCTTGCCTCCTGCGGCCGCGACAGCTTGTCTTCTCCGCGCCGACTTTCCGACCGGTGCTTCCTTGGATGAGCCACATCTGCACGCAGTTTGTCCACCTCAGCCCGCGATTATTGTGTTATGTCAATGGTGCAGTGGTCAAAGCAGGAAATTATGTGGTAGGTGTTGTTATGGGAAAGGATTCTAAAGAGCTGAAGGATATCTGGAAGGCTGCGGGCAAGGATGTTGCTGGATTCTGCAAGGCAGGCTCGACCATGAGTTTGGACGTCTGACATGACGCTCGAATGCTACAGCTCTTGCGACTGAACTGGATTTGCAATTCTTCATATCTGCACAGTCGAGTGCCGATCCGATCAAGGAAACGTTCCAAAGCAGAGCGAAAGCAGGGCGCCGGGCTCTGATATAGAGAAACCTTCACGATGAATAAGGAACTTTCTGCATCCAGCCAATTGATCGTATTGCCAAACATAGTCCTGTGACATATCTCTTGAAAACTAGCTTTATCGCGGTCATAGGCAATCTTGTGCCTTGAGGCCCGAGTGCATGAGTCCTGGATAGTTAGCGTGCACTTCCGTGGGTCTCGGCACGTCTTTCAGTCAATTATGCCAAAGCTCGCACCTTCAGCCGATAACGAACAGTGCACGCACGAAACGGTCCTCAATACTTCCTTGCTCTTTTTGGACCACGCTATTGATCGAACATGTCCACTGTGCATCAACGAACCCATCACACGAACGTGCAGTTGAGCATCATGGCGAAAACGGCCCACTTAAAATGCGCTGAGTGCGCGTGCGTCCCGGATAGTACCAAGAAGCTCAATGCTCTGGTACTCTGCAAGTATAGAGGTCGTCACTACTGCAACAAGGCATGCCGAAATGCAGGTGCGAATATCCATAGGGCCGACTGCAAGACGCTCGAATGTACGGTCCCCCGGTATAGAGTCGCTATGTCTTGGACATAGACACTACGTACATGAGCCCACTTTAGTAATTCAGCTGACTTTATACTCGTGAATATAGACCTGGCGGAGCCCGGTGATATTACCGTCCCTCCCCCATGCTCAAACCGGGTGATAAGTCATCGCCCGAGTTTGCGAGACAGGAAGACATCGTCTACCATCTGGTCCTTATAGTATATGCAAAGCAGCCCAAGCGTGGACGGTACATCGCGCCGTTCATCGAGCCCGCCGGCCTGGAGCAAAACATTCAGGAGACGGTCCAAGATTTCAAAACAGTGGTCCCGAGCGGTGCCTTCCTCTCCGGGTTGCTAAACACCCCAGTCACCGGCCTAGCTGATGCCGCCGAAGTCCATACTCCGCTTCATGAGCTCGAGGGTTCCATCAGCTCCCTCATTCAGCATGAAACGCAGAATTACATCAAATACTGCTATCAGACCGAATTTTGGAGCTTCGAGAAACTGCTGTATACGGTGGTAGTGGACACTCCAAACACCCGGATCGGTAAACATAAGAAGGCTTACCAGTACGTGTCCAAAGTAGAGGTTCAAGCTAATTTTGCGTGCCTTGAGGCCGCCGTCGCCTGCATAAGTACGATGGTCGACCGATGGGAGAAAGACATGGGGAATCACCAGGGCAAGATCATTACACATGGTCGAGCACGTCGAATTGGGAGAGCTTGAAGACGGAGAGATTAACTAGCCCATACACCTGGCGCCATCAGTCTCCAAAGGTGAGCGATGTTAGGTCTGGCAACGTCCGGCTCGTACTGATATGTTCTGAGGCGAAATATTAGAGTACAACGATAGAATGCGGGCTCATGTTCGCAACAAAACGCACATGATCGTGTAGGGAGACTACTGCGATGGGTTCCCTGGAGTGGATGTAGTCGTCTTCGTGGTTCTCTGGTCATTGGATGCTGCTGAGGGCTTGCTCATCAGATTGTGAACGTATCAGGACACCTGGAGTTAGAAAATTTCCGATGACACGTCACCCTTAGTTTTTCGTCCTACGCAAGAGAACGCAATGATAATAGTGGTGCCAGTGGGTAGTAGATTGCGCGAGGCTGAGATCTGGTGATGTGAATGACGTAAGGTCGGTGTCGCTTAGTGGCTGGCAGGAAGGTGAGTGGATGCAACGTCACAATCTAGCCTTGCCTCCACTCACCGCTACACTGCCTCCAGCCTCGCCGACTGTCCTACTCTGCCTGTACGAAGCTGCAGATACGTTTTTTCCTGCATGAACTGCACATCTGGTTCCACGAGCGGTCTGCATGCACGCGCATCTCCCCTCGCTCTCCGAAACGCACAATTATCCAGCAATTTTTAAGCTCTCATGGCGCCTACGCGCCTTTTTTGAGGCATACCAGCAGATTCGCAACCTGATTGGCCTGTCTTGGATGAACGACGGTGAGCGTGGGAATCCACAAGCCGCCCTTCCGATTCCCATAGGGCTGAGTACTAAGGCTTAGAACCCTGTGATCCCACGCGGAACAAGTCAGCTTGCATCGGTTTCTGGACCTTGGATTGCTTTGGATCGCATTACGCTCTTGAGTCAGGGCGTCGATCGAATCACATACCCCAGCTGGCAATGGTGGTCAGCTCCAATGATCACACCCCGGCAGGCTGGTGCCGACTTATGCAGGGACGACTTCGAATCAGACCGCATAGAGAAAGACCCGGCTTTAGGGAATGAATGAGACACTTTCCGTTTGTGGGTCCGCCGTATATCTGCGAAAGCATGAGATTTCGTTGGCTGCACCTAGTGCGGGCAACTACCAACAACAGCACAGAGTTGCATGTTCAGGATCGGATCTGAGAAAGCCACATTGCGATATTTGGCTACTCTCGACCGCCTTAGTGTTCGAGAACACTCCTACCCACATGGCCTGATGCATACGATGACGCTGCATCGTTAATTCACTCTCCTATCATCTCCTCAATCAACAGCATGCTTCTACTCGCGCGGCCGAGCAGCATGGCTATGGATAGATGTCAGTGTGAGAAAGCGAAGTACGTTGCACTCTCACAAAAAAGAAAATGTGTCTCGTACTCAGCCTTGCCTGAGGAACAGTGGAACAATACCAGAGTATGTGACTCTCGTTACCTGCGAGCATCTCCGTCAGGTCACTGCTCCCGACTTGTGGACCTCTGCATTCCTTCATCGCTCTGCGGCTAGGGAGTGCTTCACCTCCAGATCCTCCAACGGATGACGCGCTGTCACTACACGAGAAAGACGGGAGTCGGTCAGGCTGGCAGTTGTGTTAACCCGATGTGGTTAGACTACCGCCCCAAAGCCACGCCGACAGGGGTGCCCGCCCAACGGGGGCCACTGCCCGTGGCTCGGCTACTCGATGCCGCTGAACGCTGCCGTCACGACTCACTCCTATTGATGGACCCGGAGCTGTGCACAGCTGGGATGGTTCGGTGCCTTGTCTGCCTGTCCGCCTTTTTTTAATGCATGGACTAGCGCTGCATGGCCGTTCGATGATCGCGACCGCCGTTGCATGCTGATTTGCTGCGAAGCCAATCTGAGCGGGGATTTTGGCGGCATAGCCGAGGAGGACCCTCCGTGTCTCTGACCGCCCCACGTTAATCCGGACAAGGACCAAGGCTGTTGCTGAAAATACACCACCCGACAGCCCAAGCTCGTGCCGTCACTACTGCGGCTGAGTGCTTCTTCACAACGTGCAATCATTTATTAACGTGCTTTGAGCCCCCAATGGACGCCAACCGAAATCTACCGTCTTCTCTACCCCTAGGCTTTTTTAGCCGGGCGAACCACTGAAGGATGGACTCGCAAATCTCGCACATTGACATGGTAAACATCACCAGACCGCAATCCAAAGCTCCCAGTATGGTCAACGAAGTTCCAATGGCGCCGCGGCCTCGACTTCGGGTGAAGAAGCAGCCTCCACAGAAGAGCATCAACCATTTCTGGGACAACTTCACGACCAAGCACCCAGGCAAAGTGTTTACTGTCTTGCCGGACAACATCTATGCGAAGCGCGCTGCCGCGAATGCGCCTCGAGGTTCAATACCTGGCCAGAATGCGCTGGCTTCGTACCAGGAGGCTGCGGATGCCTGTATGAAGAAAGTCTCGAAGATTGTCAAAGGTAGAGGGATTGCGCTCATCTGCAATACGGAGCGTTTCTGATTGTGTGCAGAATGCCGACGACTGAACCAAAAGTATCGCGATCCGCACTTTGACATCGAAGCCGACTTTAAGCGATCACAACAAAACCCAGAAATACCACCAGACTGTCTCGCTGCTTTGACTGAGGATACAACTACTTTTCAGCCCATGTCTGTCAAGAGAATCGAGGTGCGACACTCTTCGGAAGCTGCGCCGCAAGTGCCCCGCTAATTGCTTTGCGCGCCACAGGACATCTTCGATCGACCACAGTTTTTCATAGAAGGCGCGACCGCAAACGATGTTAGACAAGGAAATGATGGCGATTGTTGGTTCATGTCGGCCTTGGCGACCATAAGCAACAAAGAAGAGCTGATCCAGAAGGTTTGCGTTGCGCGCGACGAACAGGTTGGGGTGTACGGATTCGTGTTCCACAGAGGTAGGCTCGCGAGAGTATCGCAAAATGGATGCGCACTGACGTCGCACAGACGGCGAGTGGATATCTGAAGTAATCGACGACAAGCTTTACTTGATCAAAGAGGATTTTGACGAAGCTACGCTTGGCCGACACCAGTGGTTAGAGCTGCAGAACCGGAAGAGTCCTGAGGATGAATATCGCACAGCGATGCAGACCGGTTCTCGAGCCCTGTACTTCGCGCAATGCAGCGACCCGAATGAGACTTGGTTGCCGTTGCTCGAGAAAGCGTACGCGAAAGCACACGGGGATTACTCCGCCATCGATGGAGGATTCGTGGGCGAAGGCATCGAAGATCTTACCGGCGGTGTCACCTCGGAAGTGTTCGCCACGGACATTCTTGACAAGGACAAATTCTGGCGCGAAGAGTTGCTCAATGTCAACAAGACATTTCTCTTCGGATGCGGTCAGATGGGAGGCATATATGGTCAAAGGAAAGGTATCCAAGAAAAGCATGCATACTCCATCATGGAGGCCCGCGAGATCGACGGACAGCGGCTTCTCAAACTTCGAAATCCATGGGGTCGCACTGAATGGACCGGACGTTGGAGTGACGGCTCCGAAGAATGGACGCCCGAATGGATGCAGAAGCTCAATCACCGATTTGGTGATGACGGCGTCTTCTGGATTTCCTACCAAGACCTTCTACGGCACTATCAGCATTTCGACCGAACCCGACTCTTCGGGCCAGAGTGGACGGTCTCGCAACAATGGACGAGCGTCAACGTGCCCTGGTCGGTCGATTATCTAGACACCAAGTTCAAAGTGCATCTTTCCAAGCCTAGCCCTGTCGTCATCGTGCTAAGCCAGTTGGACGATCGGTACTTCGAGGGCCTTCAGGGCCAGTATGAGTTCAACTTGCAGTTCCGTCTTCACAAGGACGATGAAGAGGACTACATCGTGCGTAGCAACACTGCTTACTTCATGAAACGCTCTGTTTCGATGGAGTTGGATCTTGAAGCGGGCAATTACACTGTCCTCTTGAAGGTCAAAGCCACCAGGCTCGATGATCCAACGCCCGAAGAGATTATTCGCTTGAACTGCAACAAGAGACGCGAAAAGCTCCTTTCTATCGGCCTGTCATACGATCTTGCACATGCCAAGGGTCATTTCCGGGAGCAAGAAAAGGAGAAGCTCGAAAGAGAGCGCGAGCAGAAGATCGAACGGAAGAAAGCGCAGATGAAACAGTCTTACGAGCAACGGCAGAAGCTACGTAGGAAGGCGAAACTGCGGCAGCAAAAGAAAGCTGCGAAGCAATCACACAAAAAGCCAAAGATCACCGAGCTGAGAGACGTTGAGAAGAGACTCGAAGGCCTTGCTGGGCTTGGTATTAATGTGGACGATGAAGGCCGTCCTTCCGATACTGAGCCTGAGATCAAGCCAATGCATCCAAATGTGACACGTCACACACGAGCTGCCAGCACTGGTGGAGTCGACATGGCCCGTCAACGATCATCGAGCCCAAATGGTGGATATGGTGGTCGAGGTGGTTATAACCGTGGTCGCGACGGGTATAATGCGGCCCTACCGGGAGCGTTGCAAGGTCGCGGAGGCTGTAAGTTCATTCGGAGATACGTGCTTCAAACAAGTATCATTTGTACTGATTCGCTTGCAGACAACCGTGATGCGGGTCAAGGATCGAGCATGGCGGAGGCCCTAGCGCAAGCCAACCAAACTGTTCCGACCCAGCGTTCATCAAGCCCAAGTCGCGGCTATGGTGGACGTGGCGGCTACAACCAGAACGCTGGTTTCGAGGGCAGAGGAGGTTATAACCAGAACGCTGCCGGCTTCGAAGGTCGCGGTGGATACAACGCAGACGCATATCAGGGGCGTGACGGCTACAACGGGCGCGATGGATACAATGGGCGGGACGGTTACAATGGCCGCGATGGATACAACGAAGGAGGTCAGACTGAATCGCCAATCCCGACGCCAATGTCGGAAGAGTTCCATCCTGGAACGCCATCACAACGGCCCTACAGCCCTCGTCCTGATCGTCGCCCTACTCAACCCTCTCCCGCCGCATCGCGCCGGACGACACTATCGCCCATCCCTGGTATTCGTCCTGGTATCTACGTACCCCGTAGCCGAGGCGCAAGTGTTGCCTCCCATCGCGCCCGCCATGGTGTATGCTCACCGTCCGAGATGTCCGACTACTCATCATGGGACTCCGAGCTGGATGGTCCTGACTCATTCGACTCCGACTTTGACCCCTCGGACGATGACGTGCCCCCTCGATTCTACGAACAGCCTCGCTACCGGGGCCGATACGTGTACGAGGATGAGGAAGACGAGTTTGAGCGCGATCCCTGGAATGCTGTCTGCGTGCTCGGTCTGCGCGTCTTCTCTCAGGACACTGATGTTACCATTGAGGTCCAGAACGGCGAAGGCGAGCGCAAGAGGAGTGATGGTGACGACCGCTCCTCGATTATCAGCGTGAGGAGGAAAGAGAAGGCTCTCGATGTTGATGACAGTGCGGCTGATGCTACCAGCCCTCTAAGAACACGAGGGAACTTGGATTCTGCACTCTCGCAGAAGGCGCAGTTTATTGGGAGTGCCCCAGCTGGAAAGGAAATGGATCGCCAGGGGACATTGTCGTGAAGGGTATTCACCTTCGCGGTATCCAATTCTCGGTATACTTTGCCATTTCGTCTGATGCTTTGATGATGGTTTTGATAGGCGTTGAAGCGAGCGAGGTGTTACATTGATTTTGCGCGCGCTTTGGGCCAGACTGTCTTGGTGCGGTTGTCTGTATGGAGTTTCGGTGGCTCATGTCGATACATACGCAATAATTTCTCGTAGTGCTGAGTCTTCCCTCTACGTCTCTCTGCTCTGAAATCCAGCAAGGTCTGATCTTGCCCTCACGTCGCCTATCACAAGCCGCTATTATCTCTTGAGGCACGGTACAAAGCCAGTGTGAATTGAGACAGCTTGGTGTATGGAGATGCGCGTGCTTGTGATGAGCTGGCTGTGTGCGGCAGGTTTAGACGCGCTCACAAAGGCATGATCACAGTGGAGGCTGGGTTAACTTGCGAGAAGGAAAACGCTCATGCTATCAATCATAGTAATCACTCCAAGTGCACAGACATGACGGAGTCGTAGTCCGAAATTGATTTCATGTATCTTCCGTGACGATATCATCGTGAGAGTTCCTTTCCCCCTCCATCTCCCAATCGTCTGTCCCAAGATCATCTCTTGAGCCATGCAAACATCGCACCCGTGCTGCTCACTTCGGACCCGTGATGCTTTGGTAAACGCTACCCAACGGATCCTTCACGAAGGCGACGAGGTAGCCCAATACCTCCGTCATGGTACCCGGTTTGAGCCAGGAGATGTAGGCCATCGCGATGAAGAGAGCCCAAAAGAATACCTTCATCGAGACGCGGGATCCATTGGACGCGGCCCTTCGCACTGGGCGGCCATGGAGAGCGTGGAAAGCAGCCTCGTTGGTCAGCCCTCCGGTCTTGCCGCTCTTTGCCTTGCGCTTCCTGCCGCTCTTGCCGCTCTTCTCTTGGTCATCATTATCCTGGGGCAGCGGGATGCGCTCGGGTGCTACAACTGACAAAGGGCGGACAGTGGAGGCATCGCTAAGACTGTCATCATCGTCGACGGGACGTGTGGAAGAGGTATTGCGCTGCGTGCGCGCGCGACCGGCGCCGCCGCGCATGGTGGGCACCGCCGTCGTCGGATTAACCACGATACCTGTTCCCGTTGATCAGGAATTCGAGCTCAAATCCCTGCAAAGGGGGAGGAAACTTACCGCTATTGTGCTGCGAGTCGTAAATAGCCTTGCATCCGCCCATCGCGCCGCCTGCCATCAAGCTTTTCACGAAAGCCTCCTCGTCCACCTCGCCAGTCCCCTCGACATCCTTGCTACCCTCCCCAAGCACTCCGAAGTAGCCTCCACCACCAACCTCCTTGCCCTTGCTCTTCACGCTCTGCCCTCCCTTCTCCAAGCGCGCCTTTCGCATCATCTCGCTGTCCTTCTGGGCACCGCCGCGGTCCGCACTGGTACTCTTCACCTTCGACCACTCACCTTGTGACTGCTCGTTCTCATTGCCGTGCTTCTGAGGGGGCGGGTTGTGCGAAGCGGCCTGGATCGCTGCAGCCAACGCTCTATCCGCGGAGATTTGCTCTTGGTCCTGCATGACCAGGCGAGACATCATCTGGGTTTTCGTTCCTGGGCAGGCGAGCAGGTGGTAAGTCTAGGACAGGGCAGGCAGATAAGGGCGTGGGCAAGGGAAGGGAGGAGATTAAGAAAAGAAATGACTATACTTACCAGAGGCGTCGAGACCGCGGCGCACGAGAAGCTCGGCGAGCTCGTGGCTCTTCCTTTTCTTGTAGTCTGACATGTTCCGTACTGTCTGCGTGGTGTAGTTCCGTGGTTCGGCTTGAAGGTATAGTTGTGGGGTCTTCGAGGTCGAAGACCGTGGAATGTTTATAGGTGCGGATATTGAGTGAGATTGCAAACGACGTCAGGCGAGGTGAAGGCGGTCTTGGTGCGTGCGCTGTTTGCGCATGCCGTGTGTTGCTGTGGTGAAGGCGTATTTACTGCGAGAATGAGAAGCTGATACCATAAGGCCGCATTTGTCCCGCGCGCTCGGCCCAGCATGCTCAGGGTGCAAAGCGTGCCGCTGTGACACGAATTGACAGCAGGACGTTGTGTAAGCTGGGTCAAATCACTGAAGATCGTGGCCATCCTGCATGCATGATATATTACAGCGACAAGCGAGACTCAAAGAAGACGTCCCTGTCCTCAGTTCCATGCTCTCGGCAAAGCTTCAAGCTAACGGACGAGTTGGGTGAAGATCTGTACAGGTCGATGGTGGTTGCAGTAACGGTGACTGGTGACAGGTCACTGTGGGGTCTGTGGAGCGGTAGGGTATATATATATACATGTATCCAGATAGTGATTGCCAGGATCGCCGATTAGGGTCACCTGGAGATAGAACTTGCGTGTTTGCGGAGTGCAGGAGCCGGCTCACAATAAACGTTTCGCGAAGATTCAGATTTGATAAGGCAAAGTGACACGGCTCCGCATGTAGTATTCGTGAATTCGTTGCTCTGAAAGACAAAGAGGCCCTCTACGTATCAAATACCCATCACTCTCCAATACCAAACTTGGTCGCCTTAAATCCAATTGTCGACGCGTCCTCAAGGCAGTATGGGTATCTTTTCGATCCACTTCGGCACATCCTTCCATTCTCGGTCTTCATATGTCCTTAGGAGGCGCTCCTTGACATCCAGAGCTTTCGCCGTGATCTCGGGAACGCCGAATCGCCGCAGAGGTTGACCAACGCCACAAGCATGCTCGAATATCTTGTGGAAGACGCAGGGACCGGCAAAGTTCTGCAAACCATAGATCAACGCCTCCATTTGCTCATCCGTCCAGTCCTTCTCCGCATCAGCAGAACATGGAGACGCAGGGGGAACGACCCGCTTCTTGAACAGGTCTAATCGAGAGAAAAGGACTCCATTCGCGTCTCGTTCTTCTCGGCCCCCCGTCACTTCGCCTGTCCACTTCGCAACCTTCTTGTCGAAATAGTCTTGTCTCATAGACAATGCTTGTCGCCGATGCGCGGAAGGCTCGATTCGGAGTCGGCAGACATGTAGCTCAATCCAACCATTCAGCTTCTCGATTCGAAACGCTTCCATCTCCTGCTTGATGACCTCATCCTGCTCTCGTTCACGACGTTTCTGTTCAAGCTCCTCATATGCCCGTCTCTTCCGAGCCTGGTCTTTGAGATCGCGTAGAATTGTTAGGTATTCCTGTGAAAGTCTCCGCAGGGGAACGATGAGGTTGATGTCAACGTCCTTAATCAGACGCACACCTTTGTATCGCGTAGGGATACGAATGTCCCAATCTGCAATTTTGTCCTTGAGAGAAACGATGGCATAGACCAAAGGAGCGACAATTCGCATGGAGTCCAAAGATGACTCGAGGTCACGGTACTTCTGTAAGAGCCAGTCATAAAGTAATTTCAAATAGCTTACGACCTGCCGAAACAGGTAAGCATAAGCGTCCACCTTGAGCAATTTGCGCTGTTTATTGTCACTGCCTGCTCCGTATCTTGAGAGCGACTTTTGTATGTGTTTCGTCGTAACGGACACCTCGTCCAGGGTTGAGTCAGGATCGGCGAGAACGTCAAGAGCTATTCGACATGCGTCTTTGACGGCCATGGCATCCTCGGTTTGGCAGGCTCCGCTATACTCTGCGGACTCCAAAAACTTGAAGATCATGTCAACTTCAGAAAGTTGGGCGTTGTGGTCGTGGTCGCCGTCTCTGTCATCCTTGCCATCTGTCACGTCTTGGTTACGAGACTGGTAAGATTCATCTACATCCGTGGCTCCCCGGTCACGATCATCTTCTTGCTCCATATTGGGCTCACGTTGCACGTTGTCAGCCGTGGTTCGAGCATGTTTGTGGGGCCTTTTTAGTCGATGACGTTGAGAGGTGTCTCGCTGTGAACGCTCGCTGTGCGCAGTGGGTACAGAGACGGGGTCTCTGGGATTCGTTTTCGTCTTTGACCGTGTCTGTCTTGTAGCAACAACTTCGCTATTCCCGTCCTCTTGACCAGGTGCAACCTCTGCGTCCCCAGACCTGTTCGACGCCTGTGGAAGATTAGCTTTCCGAGGTCTGGACACTATCTCCCGAGGCTGAGTCTCCTGTCCCTGAGCGGATGTTGAAGCTTGCTCATTGATGGACTCTGAAGATGTCAGTTTCCTTCCCTTGCGGCGCTGAGGCTGCCCTCTTTCTGAAGGAGGGGGCTCCTGTTGCGCTTGTTTAGTAGGACGAGAACTTTCAGCTGGGTAGACTTCGTCGTCGGCTTGCATTGCCAATGCAGTCATCGTACTCGTCGGGTTTAGTTGCTTGGCTTTCCGACGTTTCGAAGTCTGTGGCTTTCGAATTTCGGGATCCTGTTCAGGTAGTTTCTGTGCAGACTGAGGTGGTTCGTCCGGGGTTTCGTGCTCTGGAGGATTGGTTTCTACTTGCTTCGCATTTGGAGCCCGGGTGCTTCGAATGTAAGGATCTCCGGAGGAAACGACCACTTGTGGACTCCTAGCTCGTTGTGGGCCATCCCTACTTTTCGATTGACTTGTGTTGCCCGTATCATCCTCCGCTGCGCCTTTGCGTGGGGACTTGGAGGGTCGACCTGTTTTTGGGGCCTGTTCCCGATCTTTGCGCTTGCTTGTATGAAGTGGTTTTCCCGGCTCTTTCAAAGCGTCGTTGGGCCGTCCTTTGCTGGTCCCAGCAGGCGTCTCTGGTACCTCCTCCACATTGTTTCCATCTCTTCCAGCTACGGGTGCAGAACCTGCCGGCACTTCTTTTGTGGTCTCCTCTGTCTCCGGCTGGACAGCGGGTGCAGGTGCTTCCAACTCTGGCGAGGCATTGCGCTGCACACGCTCCTTTGGTTTCTGCCGGGCTTTCGCGGGTGGGCTGGCCGCGATCTTTTCAGGCGAGGAGAATCCTAATTCGTAAGAGTCTCCCCTTCTTGCCAGCTCATGACGCGATTGTTTCGCAGGATCTTTCCGAAAGAAGCCGACTGGCTTCAGCTTCCCAGCACCACTAGCTCGCACCTTTCTATTTGCCCTCCTCGTGGGACCGCTCTGCGGCAAGTCATATGAGGTTTGAGAGGGCGAAGATGAAGGCGCTGCGGTGACTGTGCTGCGGTGGCGGTCGAGACGGGCGGCGTTGAGCAGGCTCGCGCTCAGGATGGCTGAACTCGAGGGAGGCTCGTGTGCCTGGTGCTGGGCCTTTTTGGCAGAGGCTTGGATTTCAGCGAAGATCTGCAATTCGACGAGATCGTCGGAGCTCGCCATCTTGTAGCGTCTCGCGTGGGGATGGTTGGGGCGCGCCAGAGTCGACGGGTTCTGCGTTCAGTCTGCACCCGTTAGCCGCCGGGCCTGCGCGAAACCAGGTCACACAAGTATCATACCTATGCACTCCTTGGACTCCATATAATGATAGTCTGCCGGTAGTAGAAGCGGTTGTTGGCTGTTCTAGCGGCATGCGGGGAGGATTCAAGTGGGGTCGGGCGGTGAATTAAGTCGGGAGGCTGGCGCGACTGACCGGGAACCAAGCAACGCGGTGTCACGAGGGAACGAGCGAAGCCAAAACTCTCCACACCACATCACTTTCCCAACACCCGACATGCAAGACGACAAATCAAGCACGCCTCTACCGTCTCGCGCTCTGGAGCGTCTGGATCGAAGTGCAAGCCACAGGTTCAAAGTACCCATCAAATGTATCAACGATGGAGACCATGTGTCATTCTTTCTTTCCAGCAAGGCCTATACCGACATCATGACGTTCATTTTCCAGCTGAACGTAGCCATGCTACCTCGTAAGACGGAAGGGGAAACATCCGGGGTTGCCAGCGCTAAGGAATGGACGCTGCAGGATCCCGATGTGCCTTTCCCACCCACTGTACAGAATCTCGCCAAGCTTCTGGAGGCTCTGTCACGTATAATCGACGAAGCACCCCCGGATCCTGGTCCACGTCGATTCGGCAACGTGAGCTTTCGGAAATGGTCTGATATAGTAAGAGAGCGTGTCTCGGATCTTTTGGATCAGTATCTGCCTGCGGAGGCGCTCGGATCGTTCAAGGATTCATCTGAAGGAGACGTCACTGCCAAGCAAGAGATTGAGACCTATCTCATCGGAAGTTTTGGTAGCTCGCAGAGGCTCGACTACGGGTCGGGGCACGAATTGAGCTTCTTGGCATTCTTGGGATGCTTGTGGAAGCTGGGCGCATTTCCTCCGGGCACAGACGGCGCGACCGAGCGAGCTATCGTATTGGGTATATTCGAACCGTAGGTCGCCCCTGCCGTTGTTCCAATTTGACGCTGACGATTCCTAGATACCTTCAGCTGATACGGCGTCTGATCTTGACATATACTCTCGAGCCTGCAGGATCTCACGGGGTGTGGGGTCTGGACGACCATTCCTTCTTGCCCTATATCTTCGGTTCTGCGCAGTTCTCACCTGCGGTATCGTCTCCTGATGAATTCAGAATGGAGGGGTCTCTCCCGTCCGCTCCTGACCCAGGAGATGTAGCCAAGGCGACAGCCGTCGAACGCGAGCGCAACCGCAACATGTACTTCAGCGCGATTGGATTCATTTACGACGTCAAAAGGGGGCCATTCTGGGAGCATAGCCCCATCCTGTTTGACGTATCTGGAGTCAAAGCGGGATGGGCAAAGATCAACAAGGGCATGATCAAGATGTACAACGCAGAGGTGCTGTCTAAATTCCCGGTCGTTCAGCACTTCCCCTTTGGTTCACTATTTGTGTGGGAACGTGATCCCTTGGCCAGCGAGATCCAAGCGAGTGTTCACACTTCATCACAGCCAAAATCAAACGCGCCTTCTGTACGCCCCCAACCGGCAATGCGAGACCCCCTCGCCGATGGCAATCCGCAGACTACAAAGATGCCCTCGAGCGGCACCGCGGCACCATGGGCTTCGTCGCGCATTCCATCGCGCGCACAGGGGCCAGGTGTTCCCGCTGGGCCCAATCAACCCACAAGAGCACCGTGGGCGTCGGCGACGCCTCTCCCTCCATCAGGGGGCACGACGACTACTACGCCATGGGCTAGGCCGGGAGCAGCCGCTTCGTCGACGACGCGGGGTACAGTCCCAAGCACACGGGCCCCATGGGCGGACAGGGAGCCGCAGAACTAGACTCTCGAAGCTGGTCTTTGATGACGATGATATGCTGACGACTAACGAGGGATGGCCGCATGAGGCGGAGATCGGAGCATTGAATGGTCGGCGGGCACGATGCTGGCGGCTGACGGAATTACAGAAGGCGACAGTGTAGACGCGGGAATGCACATGACGATATATTGAGCGCTGCGTATCCCCTCGATCGGAGATGCAAAGAGGCAGTGCAGTTATCAAGCAAATGAATCCACTAGCGTGGCCTGGTACAAGATGAAACACAAGTCTGTTCTGGGGGCTGCTAATGTACGCTCGGGGCACTATTTTGGGGGGAAGGCGTGGTGCACCGTGCGTTTTGGCACGCGCGTGGGCCTGGTTGGCCAGACGCTGGTCTAGCGCGCATCGCAGGTCGCAGCTTCCGCAAGACCGTCTCTCGCGCACGCGCTTTAACTGCAGGTGCGCCCACGTTCCTTCTTCGTGTGCTTCCTTTGTCTGTGACTTCCTCTGCATATCCTCGATTGCGAGCACCCACCGGCCTGCAAGAGCTGCTTGTTGAGCTTCACCGTCACCATGCCTGGCGTTCGTGAGTACAGTTTGGCTTCAACTTCACTTCACCGGCGGCCCTCCTGCAATGGCGCTGTACCCTCGAGCGCGGTGTCCCATTATGACCTGCGCCTCGATAGAATCCGTTTGCCTGCCTTCTGCCTGCCTCTCTCGTCACGCAAGATGCGCTCTGTTCACGCCCTCGCTTCCCACCTTCCCATACACGCCCAAACACTCAACCAATCCATTCACTCTCCGCTATCCATCGACGTGATATCTATCTAACATGTCTCCCCGCAATAAAGCTCTCGACGCGGTCGACAAGGCCAAGGCCGTCTTCAAGAACATCTTCGGCAGCAAGAAGAAGAACAAGAAGGACCAGACGACGCCCACCGCTGCTACTCCCGCCGAGCCGTCTAACCCCACCACGAAGCCCACCGAGACGATCACGGCCGCTGAGCCTGCTCCCGCCACCGCCCCCGAGACCGTGCCTACGGCATCGAAGAGCGACGCCCCGGCTGCCCCGGCGCCGGCAGCTGCTCCTGCGCCTGTCGCCGCTGAAGGTGAAGACAAGAAAGCAGAGCAGGCCGCCCTCGCCGAGGTGAAGAAGGCGACTCAAAGTAGGTCATCTCCAAGTTTCAAGTTCTATGGACAGCAATGCGACGACGGATCGAGACGAAGACACAAGGTCGCCACGGACTCGACGCACTCCTAAGGGATGGTCTCAAATCGTCCCACTTGCAGCACCAAGTCAGCGGCTTGAGCACTCTTTGCCTTGAGAGGACGACCGCTATGATTTCCGGACTTTCACGACTTCACGCATTTCACGACACCATCACGACCTACGATACCCCCTTCTGGACGACTTGATTTTCTGTACTGTACACTGACTTGCAACTACTTTAGCTCCCGAGCCTGCGGGTGCCACCGCTCCTGCGCCGCCAACCGCCACCGCCGCCCAGGAGCCCGCTGCTCCCACCGCAACTGAGCCTGCGGCTACCGAGGCCAAGGCGACCGACGCTCCCGCCCCAGCTGCACAAGAACCACTCCCCGAAGTCCCGGCTGCTAAGCATGCCCCGGGTATGAGTGCAACCAGCGGTCCCTTGAGCGACGAGCCCGATTTCGGCGCCCCGGAGGAGACTGCGGCATCTGCCCCGGCTGCTACTGTTCCAACCACGGAGACGGCTCCTGCCGCCGCTGCTCCTACCGAGAAGAAGGAGTGATTCCATGGAACGTGCGAATTCTTTGTAGACACAATGTGCGGGCAGCAGGTAATGGAGGAAGTTTTTCTTTTTTGTTTTTCTCTTATTTTTCCCCCTCTCCAGTGCTTTCTCGTTTGCATATCACTGTTGTGCGGGAGAGAGAAATACACCCAAAGGTTTTGTCTCCTTCCGCACACAATCCTATACCCCGGGGCTGCTGTTAGCAAGCGACTAGTCAATACTTCATTGCGGATATATAAGGAGTTTGAAAATCGAGACTAGTATTCTAACGCTCTGTGACCATGTTTTCTGATGCTGTGCAAGGCCTGTGCGAGGTCTACATAAACTCATCCAGTATGAACAAATCGCAGTCATCAGGTAGTATGGTGATGACATGAACCGCGTGAATTGGTCCTGAGCTTGTTGTAGGTCGGGGACTTCAACTTGAACATCAAGTTGAGTATTACAGACTCGATGCCAAATTCGAAAACCTCTGCCTCTGACGTTCCCTCTAGTACGGCACGAAATGCTGGATGCTAATAGGGCGTGCTAGGGGAGGGATTAGGAATGACAATATCAGGATCATAGCTTAGCCAGCAGAGGTTACATTACCGTACTCAGGAGTCAGTCTAGAAAGAACAACTAGATGTTCTCTTATCAGACCTATCCTATCCAAAGTGCCAGAGTCTCCAGGGATGGGCTGGGTAAAAGCCAAGTCGCTATTCACGTGTACTGGAATATGGTTATTTACACAATTGGCGGAGCAGGATTGATTCTCATTTGGATAAGGTAGTGTAGGCTAGAAACTGCTTGCGGGGTAGCACACTGTTGTACTCGAATTCATTCTGATTGGTGTCAGTCTAGAGAGCCATGCCACAAGATTGGTACAGCGCAAGTCCCGCAGAGAAGGTGTTACAAAAGACCAATCAGGCTAAATCATTCAGTACTATGTTCTGACGCGAGGTAAACTACAGGCTGCTGTACTTTAGCTCTCTCTGGTATTTGCTCAAGTGTATATCAAGCTAAATCGGAGGTCTAAATCAAATCCCATCCAAGACACCTCCTCAAACAGGCCTACTCAACATGGTTACTTTGACTCTGCTCGCTACATTCATCGGTCTGGCCTCAGTGGGCCAGTCTCACAGTAAGCAAGCCCCTCCAGTCTCGGCCATGACAGCTCATACAGACCAGTGAACTTTGCACGCATTGCGCTCAACGGCGAATGGCAAACCCCAACGCGCTTCATCCGGTGAATTGCCAACAGCGTCGCACTTGTCTCGTCCCACCTTCGCTAACGCTCAGGCAGCAACAGAACAACGCCCTTCGTAGAGCCACACAGTCCGCCAGCCTTTGTAGAAAACCGGAACTACGTCGACCCGACATATCCCTCTGACCTGCCAGACTCTGTGCGTTGTGGCCGCGACAACGTGGCCCACGCGCAGGGCACAGAGATCCTAAAGGTCAAGGCAGGAGACACGCTCGAATTCCTGCCGGTTCCGTTCTCGCCTCTGAATTGGAACACGTACAACGAAGTGCCGGATGTGCAATGGTATAACTGCTCTGGGGGAAGAGGGGGTTGCAGTGAGGAGAGTCCGAATCTTGTCAGTTTTTGAACATTCCTATCACATCGAGGGTGTACTGAAGAGGCTGATTTTCGTGGCCCGCAGTTTAGCATACTTCATCCAGGGCCGGTGATTGTGCATCTGTCGAAGGCACCCGCTGGACAAGATGTCCGCGCGTACGATGGTAGCGGCGAATGGGTCAAGATATACACTGTTGGGCTGGAAATCCGACCCGAGCTCGAGGAACCTGTGTTCTGGCTCCCGCTCGACGGCAACAACGGGTCGCGACGCGTAAGCTTTGCTCCTACATCTAGCCCGCTGAAGTCGAAGTTGGCCACTGATACCCAAATCGTAGTTCATCTTCAAGCTTCCCAAGCAAACACCGGCGGGCCAATATCTCCTCCGCGTGGATCATATCTGGCCCGGAGTCATCCAAAGTGGTATTGTGCCTCAGCTGTACCCAGCCTGCGCTCATATCGAGGTGGAAAGTGCTATAAATGGAGAACTTCCTGCAGGAATTAAGATACCTGAGGGCTTGTCGAAAACGTCCCCCGGTATGGAACAACCTTTCTTATACCCGATTCGTTGGAATTCGAAGCTGATAGATTGCGAAGGGATATCCGTGTCAGACGACCAATACTACGGTCGCAAAGTCGATGCGGGTTATGTTTATCCAGGAGGCCCGATGTGGGACGGTGAGAAGTTGGTAGAGGACAAAGCGCCATCATCGTAGAAGGGAGACGTGTGTTTCAAGCAGGGGTAGACGAGCTATAATTCGTCCCTGATCGCTAGCTATTCGTGCGAGTGCCCGAAAACTGGCGGGAGAAGCCTAGTGCGGGGCGCAACACATCAATGATGTGTGGTTGCTGAGCTGCCCCACTACGAAGCTCGTCACCGTAGACGCTGCACCCAGGGACCTTAAGCCCTAAATACAAATTTATATCCACCCGCCAGACATACCGCTCCTGCGACTGAGAAAGCGCGCGGAATCTAGCGACCAGCGCACACACCCCGCTGCATCACCACTTTCAACGACGACCGCACACCTCGCCGCTCTGAACACGCCCGCCACACACGCGCACCGCCTCCCACCATGCCTCCCAAGGCAGGCTTCTCCCGCGCCAAGACTGTGGGCTACGACGACGACGACATATACGATGACTACAGCGAAGAGGAGTATGTTGGCGAAGGAGAAGGTGAAGCCATGAGCGAGGAGGACAAGGAGCAGATGGCTGCCGGTGTGATCAAAGTCAGGGAGGCGCTGGGAAGCGAGTACAGCAAAGTCAAGGAGGTCGATATCCAAGATGCGCTGTGGAACTACTACTATGACGTTGGGAAGAGCGTCACTTTTCTCAAGAGTACGTACTGTCTCGTTGGCGCAGGGACAAAATGGTTTTTTGGTGGCAGTCCATCGACAACGCGATTGATGGGATCTTGGCTGATCATGATGTGGCAGACAAATACGCGCCAAAAGCGCCAGCACCAGCGAAACCGAAGGCGGTCTCTCGATTCGACCAAGCGGCAGGCGCGGCCGATGCGAAGACACCCACATCTACCGGTAAGCACATGTTGATTTGCGGGACAGAGTCAACGGCCCGCGCTATGTCGAATCTGGCCATTGATGGCGAGGGTGAGAGCATCGCGAGCCTGTGCGAGACGCTGAGGGATGGACTTGCCGCCATGTCACGGGAAACGCCGTTCACGGAACGAACAGCGCGAAGCCAAGCGTCATCATGTGCTTCCGACTACACTTCTGCGCGTACCAAAGACTTCTTCTGGGACGTACCCTGGGGAAATGTGCCCTGCAGCAGGCTTGCCACCATCACGGCTCAGCCTGCGACCCATAAAGGCGGCTTGTTGGGCGGCTCTTCTAAACTGGCGGCGTTGGCAGCGAAGCGGAAGCAAAAGCAGCAGGAGGAAGCCGCAGCGAAGGCAGACGCCGCTGCCAACGGTCTTGCGGCAGACAAGGCTGTGGCATTGCTCGACAGGCTCAATATCAGAGATAAACCTGCTTCTGCTCCGGTCCGCGATGACACGAAACCACGATACCCAAAAAAGCGATCAGAGACACCTCCACCGCCAGAGCCTGCGCCCGTCGAAGAGGAGCCCATCCCTGAACCGCAAGGAATTCGCATCGAGTTTCCCAACCTGCGCGCCAAACAACCGTCGATGTTCGGTGCCATACTTTGCGGTTCTCCGCAGGACGAGCCGAGGAACCAGCATGTCGAAAGCGCGCTGAACAGCTTCCCGCTGCCCTATGCGAACGCCAAAGCTTTCACAGATGCCGACCCTTTCTCGAAACCCAGCCCTGACGACTTGGTCCGGCAGGCGCAAGCACGCAGCGCCGGTGCGGGTCGTTGACTTGTCTTGCCATTTCTTCTGTATATAACACACTCTAAGTCATGATAGGCGCACCCAAGTCAAAAACGAAGACAAAAGGAAGCACAGACGGAGAGAAGCTGGCAGAATCAGTGGAGAAGCTCGTGGTTGAGACTAAAGTCAAGAGCAAGAATCTCAATGTGGTAGACGAATACAGGAATTGTGGCCTAAAAAAAGTGGCTAACTTCGTCGTGATCGGTAGGTGCCATCTTGCATGTGCTGCACGGGCGCCACATTACTGACGTAGAGGAATAGGTCACGTAGACCACGGCAAGAGCACGCTCATGGGCCGTCTCTTGTACGACCTCAAGGTTGTGGACGAGCGCTCCGTCGACAAACTTCGCCAAGAGGCTGAGACCATTGGCAAGTCGTCCTTTGCGCTCGCGTGGCTCATGGATCAGACTCCGGAGGAGAGAAGTCGTGGTGTGACCGTCGACATAGCCACAGTACCGTTCGAGACGGAGCAGACCAGCTTTACCATACTGGACGCCCCTGGACATCGAGACTTCATTCCAAACATGATTGCTGGCGTATCTCAGGCGGATTTCGCAGTCTTAGTAGTCGACGCACAGGAAAACAGCTTTCAGTCTGGGCTCAAAGGTCAGACAAAGGAGCACGCGCTTATTGTGAGGAGCATGGGCGTAAGTTGTCCCGTTATACATGCTACGCAGCATGCATGCTGACCAACTCAGATCCAACGCCTCATAGTCGCTGTTAACAAGATGGACACTGTCTCCTGGAGCAAAGAACGCTTCGACAAAGTCCGCCAAGCCACAACAGCCTTTTTCGAAACAGCCTCGTTCTCCCTTAAAAACATTACCTTCATCCCGTGCGCCGGCCTCACCGGCGACAACGTCACCAAACGTGTGGCCGACGAGAACGCAGAGTGGTACTCTGGCCCTACTTTCCTCGAAGCACTGGAAGCCTCCGAGCCCAAACCTCGTGCCCTCGAGCGCCCGCTGAGACTCACCATCAACGACGTCTTCCGCGGCTCCGGGCAGAATCCTCTCAGCATCTCGGGCCAGATCGAAGCTGGGACGCTTCAGATTGGCGATGTTGTCCTCGCGCTCCCCTCCCGCGAGACCGCCACCATCAAAGCTATCGAGCTCCCCGACGGCTCACCTGCAGACTGGGCCGTCGCAGGCCAGATCCCTACGCTCCATCTTGTCGACATCGACGTTGTACATCTTCGCCTCGGCGACCTGCTCTGCGCGCCTACAGCCCCTGTGCGTCTCGTCAAGAGCTTTACGTGCAAGATGCTTGCCTTCGAGCATGTCATGCCGCAGTTTGTGGACGTGTTTCGTGGGAAGCAACAGGCGACAGGACTCATCACTGCGCTGGCGAGTATCTTAGATAAGAACACAGGCGAGGTAACTCGGAGGAAGCCCAGAATAGTGAGGCCAGGAGAAGTAGCACGGGTTCGCATCGAGCTCGAGGGCTCAGCAGGCCTGCCTTTGGAGGTGGGAGGTAGGATCGTGCTCCGGGACGGCGGGCGGACGGTAGGCGCGGGTTTATTGGAGTCGTACACATAGCTAGATACCTTTTCGGGCGAGCATAACGGCCCAGCACACATACAATCTCACTCAGATATCCTACAGCCGCGCCTCGTGGGATGACATCACAATCGCAGCCAATGTCCCCTCGCCCACCTCGTCCCCCTCGTCGGCCTCACACACCCACGTCACCACCCCGCTCCGCGCACTTCGAACTTCCAGCTCCATCTTCATCTGCTGCACCACACACACTACGTCCCCTTCTCTCACAGCGTCACCCTCGTCGACAAGCACCTCTACCAGCTTCCCCGCGAACGGGATTGCCACGTGTGACGCATCCGCAGGATTGGCGCGGCGGTTCGTGGAAGTGGTTGCTGACGCGGAGGCGGAAGTGGAAGATAGGGAGAGGGTGTAGTCTATGGGTTCCCGTGTAGGCGTGGTGAAGCGCACATCCGCGGCGAGCGCGTGCGGGAACTCGTTGCGCAGGACGCGCGTGATTTCAAGATGTGATTTGACCTCTGGCTCGGTATCACGGCTGGGGCCCGAGGCCATCTTGGGCGCCAGCGTAAGCGCCCACGCGTCTCCCTTGCGCAGTAACGTACTCGCCGCCGCCGCCGCCGTGGCTGCAGGCTGCGAAGCTGCGTCTCGCGCTGCGCGCGAGGATGTCCCAGCCATGGACTGGCTTTGTGCAAGCACGTCTTGCATCCGGCCCTCCAGCCACTGCGTGTCGCACTTGCCAGCGAGAAAGTCCGGGTGCGCGAGCACGGCGCGGAGGACAGGGACGTTGGTCTTCACGCCGGCGATGTGCGTTCTGGAGAGTGCGTGCTGCGCTTTTTGAAGGCACGCGTCCCACGACGACGCCGTGACGATGAGCTTCGCGAGCAGGCTGTCGTAAGACGCCGAGACGACCGTAGCTTGTGCATGCGACAGGTGCGTGTCCAGTCTTATTCCGTTACCCGCGGGAAACTCGAAGTTTGTGATCTTGCCGATGGAGAGGGTCCAATTGGCAGCGGGATTTTCAGCCGTGATACGTAGCTGGATGGAGTGTGTTTGCGGCGGAGTGAGCGGATCCTGAGGGGTTGGGAGGGCTGTCGCCGCTTGGGCGAGGAGGAGCTGAGTGCGGACGATGTCGATGGAGGTTAGGGTTTCGGTGATGGTGTGTTCGACCTGGAGGCGGGGGTTGATTTCGAGGAAGTAGTATGTCCCCGTGGAGGGGTTTAGGAGAAACTCGAAGGTGCCGAGAGAGAAGTAGTGGATCTGTGATTCTTCATGTTAATCGACGATGCAGGAGTATGGAAAGCGGAGGGGAGACCTTACGCTCTTGGCCATGCGTATAGCGTCTTCGACGATCCTCGCAACGATTCTTCTGTCTTGCAGTGTGCTCGGCGCTATCTCGATAATCTTCTGATACCGTCGTTGAATCGAGCATTCGCGCTCCCAGAGGTGCGTCACGTTTCCCTGCCCATCGCCGACGATCTGGACCTCAACGTGGCGGAAGCCGTCAACTGCAGCCTTTTCCGCGAACAGTGTCTTCGAGGGACTTTCTTCCACTGCACGCTTTACAGCAGCTTCTAGAGAGGATCCATCGCGAATTAGGCGGATGCCGCGACCGCCGCCTCCGTCGACGGCTTTCACCATGATAGGGTACCCCACACGGGAAGCGAAGGTGGCGATTTCTTCAGACGAGGAGGTCGGAGTGAGCATGGCTGGGGAGACAGGCACATTGCCTGGGTGTATGTCAGTCTTCCAGTCCTCATAGTAAAGTACATTGTACCGTACATTTCTCCGCCAATTCCCTGGCTCTTAACTTATCCCCTGTTGCTTCCAGAATCTCCCAGCCTGGTCCTATCACTATCGCGCCTGCTTCGTCCCACATCCTCCTCGCGAACTCTGCGGACTCGGAGAGGAAGCCGTAGCCTGGGTGGACGGTGTCGATTCCATGTTTCTTCACAATTTCAATCAGGGAAGCGATGTCCATGAAGATGGATGTTGAGGGGAGCTCAATCGATTGGTCAGCATGGCTGGTGTGCGATGCATCTCCGGAGGTGTAGATGGCGGAGGTTTTGATGGACAGTTCTTGGGCTGCGGATAGAATGCGGGTTGCTATTTCGCCTCTTTCTGGGATTAGTTGATCCTGCAGAATGGAGGGACAATGACGTACCTGTTTGCTACGAGAAGATGCTGTATTGGTCTCTGTGGTGGGTGCGACATGTTGGGGCTTTCGAGTTGTTTGGTGTCGAGGAGCTAGGCATACAATCCATATGAACAGGCGTTGGTCTACTTTTCTAGAAAGGGCCGAGATGATGCAAATCCGAACACTGTATCAAGCAGTATCCACAGGAAAAGCATTGGTCCAAATCCCTAGTGGTTGCGTTTACGTCCTTTCCTGTGCCAGTCGTGTGAAGGGGTGCGGGGGAGCTCCAACTGCCTCGGCTCGGCTCGTCCCCCATGGGGAATCCTGGGAGGGAAACCGCCGGTCTCCCACGCCTCGTTCGTCGCGAGTCGTTAATGATGTGAGCTCCATAGCACGCTCTCATGGAAGGTGCGTTGATACACCAAAGTCGTTGAAAGAATATTGGCATCTTGGTCCACAATGGGAAAGGACGATACAGACGCGTCGACGTCATCTGCAGGCGCAAAGGAACGGCTCAAACAAATATCTGCGCACGTTGAGCCCAACACGCAGAGAAAGCGACGAAGACGACGTCCTGATTCCGAACTTCCTGCGGACTACTCGGATATTCTCGGCCAGATCGCTGCGCTCCGCAATATCGCCGCGACGCCAGATCCGAACAACAGAGGCTATGTGCGACAGAAACAGGCGGGCAAGCTATGGGTGCGGGAGCGCGTCGAACAATTATTGGATCCTGGGAGCTTCCAAGAGGTTGGCAGTGTGAGCGGCACGGTCAAGTGGAAGCAATTGGGAGGCATCAAGGAAGAGCCCGAGGATTATGTGCCCAGCAACAATGTACAGGGCTTTGGGAGACTGAAAGGGAGGAAGATTGTGTTCACAGCAGACGACTTCTCCATCAGGGCAGGCCATGCGGATGGTGCGCTGATGGAGAAGACGGTAAGCCATCCCGCATTGCCAGAAATCCCGCACTGATGGAGTACAGATATACATGGAGAAGCTCGCTATAGCTTTGCAGCTCCCCATTGTCAAGCTCGTGGACGGGTCTTCTGGCGGAGGATCAGTGACTACTATCAGTAAAACCGGCTTCTCCTACGTGCCACCTCTCCCCTCGTTTGCCCAGGTCGTTCAGCAACTGAACATGGGCATCCCCAACTTGGGAGCTGTAGTTGGCCCAGCAATTGGTCTGGGAGCTGCACGTGTTGTAGCATGTCACTTCTCCGTTATGGCTGCCGACATAGGATCTCTTTTCAACGCAGGTCCGAATGTGGTCAAGAACGCAACGTTCGAAGAGGGCTTGTCTCTGACCGACCTAGGCGGACCTGCTATGCATTGCACCAATGGAACGATCGACAACCTTGCTCCCGATGAGGCGGGTTGCTTTGAGCAGATCCGCACCGTCCTCAGCTATCTTCCTGACTCTGGCACCAAGCTACCTCCAGCGATCGAAGTTTCCGACCCGATCGATCGTATATCTGAATCGCTTCGATCCATCATCCCTCGTGCTCGGAACAGAATGTACAACCCACGAAAGATCATCACCGAAGTCGTGGACCAGGGCTCCTTCTTCGAGATTGGCGCGCTCTGGGGCACCACGGCCATCGTTGGTCTCGCTCGCTTGGCTGGTCGTTCCGTCGGTATCGTGTCGCTCAACTGCGAAGTCAATGCGGGAGCGCTCGATGCCCTCGGCTCGCAAAAGATTACGCGCATGCTGAAGTTCCTCGATGTGTTCAACATCCCGCTCATCCAGTTCGTCGATGTTCCAGGATATGCCATCGGAACAGCAGCAGAACGGTCTGCAACTATGCGACATGGTGTACAGCTCGCTACCACATACTACAGCACCACTATGCCCATCTTTTCTGTAATTGTGAGGCGTGTATACGGGGTCGCTGGCGGCATCATGCTCGACTGTCGCGATCCGCGGATGAGGGTTGCCTGGCCTTCTGGGATGTGGGGCTCTTTGCCATTAGAGGGTGGGATAGAGGTTGCGCATTCTTATGAGCTCAAAGAGATCGAGAAGAAGGAAGGCAAGGAGAAGCGCGATGCAAAATACAAAGAGTTGGAAGATGAGTATCGGCGGTTGATGAATCCTGTTCGAACGGCGAACCATTTCGGCATCGAAGAGATTATCGATCCGGCCTATACGAGAAGAGTCTGCTGCGAGTGGGTCAGTCATGTCTACGAGAATCTCTTACCGGAGAGGATTATGGAGAGAGTGGCTGGACGGGTTAAGCCTACATTTGCATAGCTCCTGTCGAAGTCCGACTCATTGTTTAAGATCGTTGCATATCGGCGTCGGTATACTATCGATCGAGCTGAGCATGTATATGCAATCGGTTTTCGTGTCATCTCAATCTATGGAGCCAAAACTAGCTGAGTGTGCTGTCCTTCTGATGCCTTGCGCTTACTACTAACACTGCTTCCCCTCTCATCTGAATGAAACAGGTCCACTCTACTGCACCCCTGATTCAACGGCCATCATGACAGCAAAACATTCGCATTAGAAACACTCGCACCATGCTTCCCAATCAGGAATCTTCTCGGATGACATGTACTTCCGGTCCGATACACATGATGTCGAGCTAAACTTCACCTTGGCACTCTCTGCGGATAGCCTAGAATAACGCTCGTATCTACAGCGCAAGTAACCAGAAGCAGCGAAGTTTCGGTCGCCTAAATTGCTTACTGAGAGCCCGGCGTCTCAGCCTCGTCCTCCGATGGGGCCAACCCTGCAACATCCCGATGCACCAGTCCAAACAAAACGAACTTTCCGTCGATCAACACTAGTTTGGAAGCGGAGTTCGCTTCTTGCTGTGGACATGCGGATGCTCGTACTAAGAGGCATATATGTTCGGTATACATAAGAGGGGATTCATGCAGGACTATTTTCGTTGCATCGACATTTGAGGTTCATTCTCTTCATTTGCATACACCATCTCGATTCGGTTTCCAGCCACTCTTTGCAAGATTGGAAAATGAAGTCTACTCTCTACACGGCAGCTTTGGCTGCTATGTCGGCATCGCTTGGTAGCTCTATGAGCGTTCCACGTGCTGGAAACTATCCTATTGAGAGCAGTCCCGGCCTCTCCAGTGCCATATCGCACGTCTCTAAACGCGCCTCCAAAGACCTCGGTCTCCCCAACGACGCCCTCAAAACGAACTGCCTCTCCATCGGCTTTCTTCCCTCTGAAGGCGATTCCGCGTCTCGGCGCTACACTATGGCCGAGATCAACTCGAAGCTCGGCGCCAAAGCAAGCACATACGGGTGGTATGCGCAGATTACATCGTCAGGCTTTGACGGCAGCCAGCTGCTCGCGGTGAAAGACGACGTCGTCGCCTCAGGCGCCGTGTTCGTTGCTTCCGTCATGCCGTCCGTCAACTTCAACGAAATCACCGAGGACGTCGCTAAGCAGGTTGCTTCCGTCATGAAGCAGTTCACAGACGCCGGCGTCACCGTCTGGCTCCGCTACGCCCACGAGATGAACTGGTACGTCAGCGACGGAACCTACCACGGCAGTTCCGCCGACTTCCTCACCTCCTGGAAGAACATCTACAACGCCGCGTGCAAGGACAACGCCAAGGTGTCCTGCTTCTGGAGCCCGAACCAGGCCGGCAGCGCATCAGACCTCGCTCCCTGGTGGCCCGGCGAGGACTTCGTCGATCTTGTCGGCATCGATTGCTACCCGAGGTCTGGCGACGACACGTCCTCGAACGAGCTGTTCGACCGGCTGTACGGCAGCTTCTACGACGCGTACAGCAAGCCATTTGGCCTGCCGTTTGCCATCGGGGAGACGGGCGCGGGAACCGGGCAGAAGGAGCAGTGGCTTAAGACGCTGGTGAGCCAGGAGAAGAGCAAGTACCCCAACTATGTCAGCATGTCGTGGTTTGAGTTCGACAAGGAGGCGGACTTTCAGATCGTCATGACCGACGACGCGACACTGCAAAGCACGAAGGCTACACTGCTTTCTGGCGGGAACGAGCAGTGCGGTGGTGACGCTCCGCCGGAGTCGAGTGCGGTTGCGAGCGCGACGAGCAAGCCCGCTCAAAGCGCGACGGAAACGAGTGTGGCGGGGCCTACGAACTCGGGTGTTGGGTGTGACTGGGGGTGAGTCTTCTCTTCTTCTGCGTGACATGAAGGGCGTTGCTGACTGCTGATAGGTGCTGGGGCTGGGACTGCTCTGCGAGTGTGCCGTGCCAGGGGCCGTGGACGTGCAAGGGCGGGTACTGCAAATGATGGCCCAACTCTCACATAGCCGCTGCATTTTGTTATAGAGCGTGATTTTCATGATTTTATTCCCTTCTCAAACCCTGTACCTTTAGATAAGCTAGACCATGTAGTCTGCATTTTCATATCCCGATTACTTGAACGACCATGTCCCTCGATAATCCGGGCCTTGCTCACCCAACTACGCGTTCGCCCTCTAAATCTTCTGTCCTCTATTCAATTGCACACCCCTTCTGCTCGTCACAGTCCCAGCACTCACACGTACACGTCCCCTGCTCGGCACCGTCCCCCCACTCCTGCGATACTCCCGATGTCCCCTTACCGTCCACACGCCCTCATTCTCACCAAAACCTGCCGGCGGCAGTCTGCTTCGCGTCGGTGTCTGCGCCGCGGGCGAAGCGTCCAAGGTTATTGGTTTGCGGTGGGTCCTGCTCCAGCGAATAAAGCATATGAGGGCGAGCACTAAGAGGGGGACAAAGGTAAGGGGCATGGCGATGTAAATTAGGACACGGTTGCGTGCAGAGGTTGGCGCTGGAGAGGGGGTTGGTGTTGGTGTAGATGTTGAGGTTGTGATTGAAATTGAAGTTGAAGTTGAGGTGATAATAGAGGTCGAGTTTGCCACTGGGGACGGGAGCGTCGGGAGCGTAGTATCCCCTCTCGTGCTCGTAGGCCAAGAAGTCATCGTCGGACTCGGAATCGCAATTGTATGTTCACTCGAAGGAGCTGCAACCGTGGTGCTAGCCAAGCTCGTAACTCCGGTTCCGCTGTCACCTGTTGTCAACGATAGAGTTGACTCCCTGCTCCTGCAGTGCGCATCAAAACGGTTGCATGTCAACCACGAATCGCAGTCCGAGTCTTTAAAGCAAGGTGAGCCCTCACACATGGGACCCAGTTTGTAGTCGTGCAGGTCGGTCGCTATTGGGTTTCCTCGGGAGGTTGAAGAGGGTGTGGGACGCGGCTGGTCGGAGCCTGTCGTTACGGCTCGGACGTCCAGGATGGACATGTCGGTAGTGATTAGCCTCGAAGGGAGGGGATGGCTTGATCGAACGAGCATGTCTTGCGTGAGCTGGCCTCGGCGCGAGTAAGAACGAGTGTGTGCGAGTGGTCGTGAGATCGAAGATAGAGGATCTAGATTAGTTAATGTATCCTAGTGAGAAGTAGAACTGGCGGCTCGGCGTGACGGTTGACTCGCAAACGAAAACGTGGTGAATGCACTCGCAGGTCACTTCCAAGCACTGATCATGGTGCAGCCATTCAGCCGCGCAAATGAACGAAGCAGTCCAAGCCCTCGGGGTGAAGTATTGATTTCCAGACTTGCAAGGTAAACTAAACTCGAGACAGGCTGAAGATGATGCTAGTTGCTTACACAACGCTACCAAACGCCGCAAGAATACCTCATATGCTCTGTACGCTATGCGCCGATATGCTTGTTGAAAATAGGATATTGAAGGAAGAGTTTCAAAAAGAGACGTCGAGAGTTCGAATACATGCAGCGAATCGCGTTGTCGTGAGAAAGAGTCCTACTTTTGGGCTCCGGAACGTACTTCAAGCTTCCGCGGCTTCTTCTTGGGTGGCTGGCGGTTCTCCTTCGTGGTTGACCCGCTGTCTGCGCCTTGTTTTGCGCGATCTGCAGCGAGAGCATCGGCGCGCTGGCGGAGCACCTCGGGGTTGGGGACAACGTCCTCGTCGTCCGGTGAAACCTCGACCTCCTTTTGTTCGCCGTCATCCTTCTTGCCTTTCGCCATATTCCCCAACTTGATCCACGGTCCATGTATCGCGCCCACGCCAGCGCCAGCCAGTGCTCCCAAGCCCGTCACTGGTATCGCGGTGACGGTGCCGACTACAGTGCCTACGAGTGTGCCTACGCCTGCGCTCACTGCGCCGCCGATTCCAGCGCCGCCTATGGAGCCTTGGAAGGCTCCGCTCTGCAGCAGGCGTGCCTTCTTTGAATTGCCGTGGGCTTCCATCTCTTTATTGTAGGCGTCCGTGAGCATTTTCTCGCGCTTCTTCGGGTCAGTGAAGGTCGCAGCCGTCTCGCGGAGTTTGTTCGCCATGCCCTGGGCTGCTATGGCCTGCTCTGCTGCGGAGGCAGCCTCCTTCAGGCGGTCTTCATCGGAGAGACCTTGAGGAATCTCGGGCTCGGGGCTGTCGGCGTTTTCTGCGGCCATGATAAAACAGGAGAAGGAGCGGGAGGAAGTGAGCAGGTGTGAGAATGTTAAAGAAATTGTGGCTGTATTGTTGGCGGTAACTGAGAGTTGAGTTTTTGTCTTTCGCATGCTGTTGGCAGCGCCGAAGCATGTCATAGGCGCTTGACGTCACAGGCGGCACGCGTAGCCTTGAACCTCCAACTCTTGTGTACTGGTACCATACACGACACGCACGATGCGTGCCACCAACCGACTGGTAGCTCACTGCAGCGCTCTCTGTAATGCGCAGGATGTCACCATCTTACTCTGACGCTGGCTTCGCATCTTCGCCGGCCCTCAACGCGTCCAAGCGTAGCTTGTTTCGCTTCATCAGCACTCGCAGCGTGTTCTTCTGCTCAATATCCGTCATCTGCTCCCAGTTTCCGATGCGACTGAGTGTCCCGTCGCGGTTGACGACCATCGGCCCTAGGTGGTCGAGCTTGACAGCAGTGCCGGTGCTCACATCGAGCTCGACGGCCTTGCTGTCGGCCGGCGGCTCTGGCAGCGGCAATGGCTGGCTAGAGGGCTGTTGCGCGTGGGTTTCGCTGTCGCCTGCAGGCGGTGCTGCTTCTGATGTGTGCTTGGTGGACATGGTTGGACGGCTACTTGTGTAGCGGACGTGGTGGTGAGCGGCGCTCTGTAGGCGGTGTCGCAGGTGGAGAGGACGTGCGAAGAGACGTGAGAAGGGACTCATGACCGAGCGTGCGTTGGTGCAAGCGCCATTATAAGTACGCTGGTTGCGGAATGAGAATTGTCGGCCTCTGGAGAAGATTCCCTCAACCTTCTAGAACTGTCAACAGTCACGCTAGCCCGTGCACTGAACAGGCCAATGGCAGGAGCGACAATCACCAACACCACGACGAACAGCCTCTGATGTAGAGCTCTAACACACAGTCGAAACTGGACTCAGCCATGGACGTGATTTGCTCTGAACATTGGTCCTGAGCGTAGCCTCTCGGGGGTATAGTTTTCGGTTCTACACAGCTCAGCTACCTCATTTCTCTGCAGTGTAATTCCACGCCCGATTGATATCGAAGCGCTTTGGAAGCCACTCCGGAGTCTCGCCCTCCGCCATCATCTGCACCAGCGCCTCTGCGCTGCGGAACGCCCACGCCATCCCATGTCCATTCATGCACACCGAAGCCCAGAGTCCCTCCTCGTTTGGCAGACCCCCAACCACGGGGAACCCATCCGGGGTGTTGCAGATAATGCCCGTCCAGTCTTTCACAACCTTCGTCTCCTCACCCCAGTTCTCGTACCCGAAAACAACGCGGCCTACGCCGTGCAGATCGTCCGCAATGTCGGGGTTGATCACCGAGTCGTCCGTGATGTTCCTCTCTCGAGTCGGGGAGAACTTTGTGCTTCCACCGACGATTACATCGCCTGCGCCGATGTCGCCTGGAGCGCGGATGGCGATGTAGTTGTTACCGCTGTGGAGATCGGGGTAAGAATGACTACGACGGAAGACCGTGTTGTTGGAGGTGTCTTTCGACGGGTGCACCGCTGCAACTTGATTCCTCTGCGGGACGAGGAAACCCGTGCTAGCGAGGCCAGGATGCAGCGCGTTGGTGTAGCTGTTGGTGGTCAGAACGACCTGTTTGCCCCTCACGGTCCCTCGATCTGTCTTGACCTCCCACTTGGCTCCGGCGTCCGAGCTGTTCACTTTGTCGATGCTCAGAGCCATAGTCGTAGTCTGCAGGTTCAAGCCCTTCTCCAAACTCTGCTCGAGCAGTGCACACACGGTCAGGTACGGGTTCTGCGTGTGCGAGGTATACGCAACCGCGCCGAGGATCTGGGGCCACTTCCAGTAGTCTCTCGCCGCCTGGCCTGCATACACGGTGCGCTTGTTGCTCCAAGGGCCGTCGTTTGGTCGACGCTTCTCAAGTTCGTCCTGGAACTGCTTGATCTCAACGGCCTCGTCGAACGCCTCTTTCGTCCAGTATACATCTGCGGTCTCGACATCCTGCCACCCGCTGGAGACATTGTACGTCCTTACGAAGTCGCGCACGTCATCGACGCAATCCTGTTCCATTTTCCCTAATCTGAGCGCTTCATCTTCCCCGTAGAGATCGACCCAGTCTTTCACCTCTTTCCAGTCGCCAGGCTTGCAGTGCCCGCCGTTTCGGCCAGAGGCGGCGGAAGCAGCCGTGCGAGCTTCCAGCATCAATATAGAGAGACTTGGGTCGCGCGACAATAACTTGAAGGCAACGGCCGCGCCTGATATACCCGAGCCGACAATGACATAGTCAAAGACCTCAGATGTTGGGAGCTCTGGAGTGGTGCGGAGATTGGCGATGCGGTGTGGTGGCTCTTGCCAATATGAGACTGTAGGATTGGGGTGCGGGAAGCCAGGAAGAATTATCTGGTCGAGGTTATCCCTTCTGGCGAGAGGCGCCTGTGGTGAAGGCACTGCAAGAGCACGAGCCTCTGGTGCCAGAGCAGCAATGGATAAGAGCGCAGTCGCCAAGGGAATCAACATCGCGGCAGTACTTAGATTGTTCTTGAAGGAATGGAGACTACAGTACAAGAATAGGAGAAAGGCGCATCTTATATTTAGCGTCTGAGGTAGACGCAAAGCCTACACCTGCTAGGTATCATAGTGGCTATTGGTAGCCAGAGGAAGTTGCAGGCCGATGTGACCACGCTCCGCACGTCTATGCTGCATTGAGAAGGCCGTTGGTACAGCTTCAGATACCGGATCGTTGTTCCCGCATCCCACGAGGTGGACGATCCTCGGCAGAAGCCGATATCGCAACCCTAGATACCGGATAGTGTGGCCGAATGCACATGTAGTTCGCACGTAAATGCATCAGCGGAGATACATGGCAGGAATACTGCTCACATAACTCAAAACCAGACCATCGCAATGACAAAAACAAGACGCCGTTTTTGAGATACACGAGGTGTACCTGAATGCAAGGTTAACGGTTACCCCACTTCTGCTCCACTAATTTGGAGACAGCGCGCGCTTGCGGCGCCCAAGAATGCGGGGCGTAGCCATTTTATCTTATCTTCACTGCATGTCACATTAATGCCTCTCCATATGGCCTGCGCCAACTCTTCCGCGCGATTGCTCGCTCGTACGAGATGTATTCTTTTCTCATTAGTATGTCGGTGGACACTTTTTTTGCGGCTGCTCTGGGAACGCGTCCAATGGCGCGTCATCCTCATTTTGCCTCGCTCTATTGTTGTTTTTGCGGAGATCTACTACAAAAGCATCGGTAGAAAGCCTAGAGCATATGAGCACAGGCATTTCTGGCTGGACTGAGACATGTTATTTCGCAACCTGAGAACGATGATAGATCAGATCATCCCGTCTGACGACGTCTGACGACGCTTTACCACAATAGGAAAGAGCAGGCTTAGCTAGTAACCAGCACGGTGAAAGGAGGCGGTGTGAGAAAAATCGTGACTTGCGCCAAAACACTACAATCTCGACAACAACATTTTGCGTCGATTTGCGGTAACGTGCAGTATGCCTTCTATTTCTGCAAGCATCGCCGTCATCGGTGCAGCGGTCGCTGTCGTCTACATTGCGCTACAGTGGCAGCTGCGCGCGACTCAAGACCCGCGCGAGCCCCCCGCCATCGAAACATCAATACCGTACATTACACCTGCAATTGGCCTTTCAAAGCACACTTATTTCGCAGATTTAAGGTAACACGAGTTATACGCGATGCTTCCTCCTTCACTGCAGCAGCAACGCTGATATCAAGCACCTACTAGGAAGCGATATGGGAAATTCCCAATATCTACACTGAGGTTGCCCGGGCAAAGAATCTACATTATAAATGATCCACAGTTGATCAGCGTCGTCCAGCGACAATATAAAGTCCTCAGTTTTCAGTCTGTTGAAGATCGCATGTCGCACAAAATGTTCAACATCAGTCCTTTAACAAAGCAACTTCAGAAGGCCGAAGCTGACGCTTGGCGTACTGGGCCTGCCCACGTACCGAGTCCTGCGCACGCGCAATTCAAACCTTTGGCGCCTGGAAAGGATCTGGACGACATGAATCGTATTATGCTCAAATCATTGGAAGAAAGCATGGATGATTGGGTGCCTCAGGACTCACAGTCGCGCAGAACGCAGCTCTTTGAGTGGGTTAAAGAGGTCCTTGTTGTCCCAACGACGAATGGTGTTTACGGCCCGGAAAACCTTCTTCGTGATCCTGTTGCTCGCACGAAATACTGGTTTGTCCTATCACCATCAAGTCCTGCTATACAACTTTAACTCACACTAGGGCCTTCTTCGATGGAATACCTACGATGATCAAGGGAGGAGGCTTCCTCGTCAAGGACAGCGTTGCGGCAATTGAGTTCCTTTCTTCCACTTGGGCCAGAATTCTCCAGAACGGCGGCCACAAAAACCACTCCAGGTTCATTCAGAAGCTGTTCGAGTACTACAACGAAAGGAGTTTTCCTTTGAAAGACTTTTCGCAGTTCATTATGGGCTCCTCTGTGGCGGTACTAGGTAACACTTTACCAACGGCGTTCTGGTTCGTCATACATCTCTACTCGGACCGTAAGGTGTTTGATGCTTGTCGAGAAGAAATCCTGGCACAGGTCGTGCACAGTACCGATGCAGATGGCAACCCTGTGCGAACTCTTGACATAACGGCGCTGAAAGTCGCGTGTCCGCTCTTCCATTCCGCATTCAAAGAAGTCCTTCGGCTGGAAGCAGTCGGGACTGGAGTCCGTGGCGTTGAAGAAGACCACATGCTCGATGGCAAGTATCTCCTGCGAAAGGACGCTCTTGTGTTTATGCCCTTGGTGTCTCAGCATTTCGACCATGAGCGCTGGGGCGCTGATGCAGAAGAGTATTGCTACGACCGCTTCGCAGACAAGGCCCGTCCTCGGGTAAGCAACGTCTCTTTCCGCTCCTTTGGTGGAGGCACCACGTTATGTCCCGGTCGCCATTTTGCTACAACAGAGTTGCTTGCATTCGCAGCGATGCTATTGCTACGATTCGACATCATACCGAAAGACGGGAAATGGGTCGTTCCAACCTCATTGAACGCCGAAATGACTACCAATATGCCAGCGCCCGATTTCGATGTCGAAGTTGAGATCCAGAAAAGGTCAGACGATCAAGGGATCAAGTGGATGTGGAAGTTGAGCGAGAGCGAACATGCTGCAATGCTCGGGGATCAGGACGAGCATGGCAACGAAAAGGCTCAGACTGACAATTGACTGCGGGGAGCATAAAGTCCGGCGTTTGCCATTTCTCTGTAGAATACAAGCACGTTCCCGCGGAAAACACATCGGCGTAACTAGGCATACTGCACGATCCTCAGAAAAGTACACTAAATCTTGCTCACAACGCTCTCAACAGTCTAGGTCGAGACCTTACTCGCGGAGACCTGCCACGCTGTCTAGTCCCATCGCTTCACGATATACATTATCTGCTGCAATTGATTTGAGACCTGGTTAGGTTGTGCCTGCATGGCACGCGGAGCTCATCACCTTTTCGCTTTGTCATGACGTACCGACATGATAACGTTTCGTGTGCTATTGCTAGAGGCAGTCGAGCTCATCGCCGTAGGTATTGAGTGTGCACTTCCATACATAAAAATTGTAAAAGCTGCTGCTGCAGGCTTGCAGACGTTCATGCGCTGGAATGCCGTGCCGTGATTGTGTGGTGTTTTCCGGGACTACTGACACTACCGTAGCATCCGGTCAATGAGCACCCCTGCCCGCAAACGCCAACGGCCATCACAATGACGCACACTAACGCGAATCTTAACAGTCGCCCCGGCGCATATTGCTTGCAGCAATTCTTCTGGGCCAGTAGCAAGTGAGAGATCAATGGCACGAGTGTACGCGGCACCCCCGCCATGTCGCGCAACAACATGCCGGATTAAAAGCAAAGCGTTCCTCCTCAACGAGGCTGTCACACTTCCTGCAGTACTTGCGAAATACTCGAACTCTAGCTATTTATCACGATAGCCGTGAATCGATTACCTAGATCACCAAAGCTAAGATGGCTCCCGCAGAACCCGACCATGCGCCATTTCAGATTCAAGGTGAAGAACCCCACTTTGCAGAGGAAAGAGAAGGCTGGAAAGGCTACATCGAATGGGAAAAGGTGCTTAGATCTTGAATCCGTATGTATCTCGTTAACGGCTGTAGTACCCTGAGAAGAAGAAGCAGGCCCAGGAAGTCCTTTCGAGATACGACTTCCCTGTTGTAAGCAAAGCGCCCGCTACTTGAAGTCATGGGACTGCGAGCGAACGAGGATTGTGCCTCGCTTCGCGGTTTCAATAAGACGTATATGACAATCAAGACATACCACTGACGTTCTACAGCCACCAGAGTTTCAGTTAAAGCCATTGCCCCAGACGAATCCCATCCTCGAAGGAGTGAGATGGAAGTACTACCACTATGCAATGGGTGCTACGCTGAAGAACCAACCTGAGATCTCATGGAAGTATGTGCAGGAAGAGAAGAGTGCAGATATGATCCATGTACTCCAGTTTCCCTACAACGGCGAGCCTCCCAGGGTGAGTGTCTACGAAAATGTCTAATATGACCACGCGCTAATTTAATGTAGGAACGATTGGTCAAGGTAGATTCTCCAAGCGTCCTGAACGCAGGCTCCTGACTAACCTGGCTAGACTGAAATTACGCCCAACGAGGACTTCTTTGTTCGCAATCATGGCGGTATCCCTGAGATTGACGCTGACAAATTCTTCTTCGACGTAGACGGGATGGTCAACAACCCCAAGAAGATCACTTTGAAGGAACTGCAAGACGAATCAATTTTCCCGCGTATGACCAAAACAGCCTCTTTGCAATGTTCCGGCACTCGCCGCATCGAACAGATCCAGGAATATCCTGGAGACGGTGACGAGCTCATCAATGCGCCATGGGCAGAGGGCGCCATCGGTACAGCGCGATGGACAGGAGTGAGCTTGAAGAAAGTCATCAAGCACTGTGGTGGCTTGAAAGACGGCGGCAAGCACGTGGAATTCTTCGGAGCAGACACCTACTTCAAGAAGGGCCAGGTATTCAACTACGCCGTCTCGGTCCCCTACCGCAAGGTCCGCGTTCACGAAGTCATGCTCGCCTGGGAAATGAACGGCGAGCCTCTACCCAGGATCCATGGGTATCCACTACGCGTAGTCGTCTTCGGGTTCATCGGTGCCCGCAGCTGTAAGTGGCTGTACAAGATCAATGTCATCGCTCAGCCCAGCTTAGCCCCCGTGCAGATGAAAGAGTATATCTACTACAGCCCACAGATTGGCAAGCACAACAATACCTACAGCAACGGGTTCAGCATCCAGACGATGCCCGTCTCGAGCGCCATCATGACGCCAATCAACCACGACCAGATCGTGCACGACGGCAAGATTAAACTCACCGGCTGGGCCTTCAGCGGCAGCGGCTGGCCCGAGCGTGTCGAAGTCAGCGGCGACGGAGGTAACATCTGGTACGAGGTACCCTTCGATCAGCTGTCCAAGAAAGTGTTCTACTCGTGGCGTGTGTGGGAGTATGAGATGCCGGTTGATGCCGAAGGCTGGCTGGAGTTCTGCGTGCGATGCTGGGACAATGCTTTGAATGCATGTCTTCACCCTATCCTCACTTGCGGCGTTTTCAACTTGCTGACCTCCCTCCTAGACACAGCCAACATTTGTACGGAGCGCATGGTATGCAGACTTTCCCTGTAGTTTGCGCACCTCGCTAATATGGACCTAGGAACTGGGATCTCCATGTAACGTCTTCATGCCAGTAAGCTACCCCGGATTGCCGACCCTTACAGCGGTTTCTTGTTCTGGGGAACGGTGCTAACAGCATCGCAGTCGCATCAAGGTCTATAGCATGAACCGAAACAAGCCCGCCACCGCCCGGCGGCTGAAGCAGTGCGAAGAGAAAGGTATTCCTATGGTGCCGATCACGCGTCCGATCGAGTTCGATGTCGAGACGGAGGAGGAGTATCTTGCGAACATGACGTTGAGGCACGGTCGCGATCCAGAAGAGTAGGCCATCACACGTGGAAGATCACGGGGGTGGGCCTAACCCCCAGCGGACTCTCGAAAGTACATCAGCGGGAGCCGCATGCACTCCATAGCTTCGCTAGAATATTCTCTGCACCTGCATTGCGCCTCCATCTGCACCCTTGCCTCCCTTGCCCCACTTTACCCGGCTGCTCTGCCCTTGTCTACCTCTTGGTACCTCCCCAGCCCACAAACACCACCACAAACACTATGCCCATCCTTCTAGAACAAAGTACCGGCCTGTAACATGTACGCCCTGGCACGTGGTCTCGGCTAATCCCGATCTGCGACAGCGGATGGCGCAAGTCCGCCCTCATGCGGCGAATTTACCCCAGATTTGCAGCCCGATAAGGAACAGCCGAGCAAACACCCCAGCCCTAGCTCCAGCCGCAAATGTGGGTGGAAGACGCGTGGAAGGAGAATGCGCGCCCGAGGGTTGGGTTGACGCCAGTGGTCAAGTGTGGGTAAATTTTAGAAGGGGTTGGAGCGAGCGGGCGAACGATATGCGGCTGTGCTTCATAATGGACGGGTGGCGTGGTTAGGGTGGTCGGATGGTGATCTTGCCAGCGGGCCTGGAAGTGTGGTCGTGGTAATGCCGAAGGGAGCGGAAGGTGGTATAACAGAGGGTATGGGCTGGAGATCGGTTTGGATCGTTTTGCGAGTTGCACGGTTGACAGACTGCATCACCATCGACAAGAGACGTTAGCGTCTCTGAAGCTTGAGACATGCGAACAGACTACTTTGGTCGAAGAGGCAGCGAGATGATTGCCATTTGTGAGGAATGGAGGTCATCAATCCGGGACACTCTAAAGTGCGTGGCCTGAAAGCTCTCAAATCAATTGCTAACTTCGTTTAGAAGTCTGGACGTAGTGAGCAGTCAATTAACGCGCCCGACTACACCTGCAGCCTTCCATCATGTCCCGAGAAGACATGAGCGGACATATTGCGAGCAGTGTGTCCCACAAGCCTCTTATCACACAAGGTTCTCGTCCACGAATTCAAACAACAGCACCCATCCCACATCACTCACAGTACAATTGAACTGCCACCAATCAAGACGGACCCGGAAGAACGTGGCGATTGTCTCTCTAACGCTGTTATGGGTACTTCTCCTTCTCCCAACAGCATCAGCATCGCCCTTCGCCATCTACGGCACCCACATTCACCTCCATCGACGCCAGGCCATCCCCGACGCAACAGGAAACACAGGCAACATCCCCACAGCCATAAGTTCCCTACCGCCAGCCCAGCTGCCTTCAATATCACCGTCGCCCCCAGCTCCAACAGTCACCACCACGCCCACGCGCTCATCCTCATCCACAGCTTCATCGACCTCGGCTTTGACCTCTCTCCCCACCTCCGCCGACTCCCTCATCCTCACGCCCACCAGCCCCCTCCTCTCCCCCGGCACTCTTGCCGGAATCATCGCCGGCAGCGCAATCGCGTTCCTCCTCGTCCTCGTCCTCGCCATCTTCGTCCTGCGCCGCCGTCGCCGCGGCAGAGCCATCGCCGAGATCCCGATCCGCCGCTCGAAACTCGGCTCCCGGCTGCGACACCGCATGTTCAACAGCCCGCTGCCGGGGACTTCTAGTAGGGCGAGTTCGCGGTCGTCCGGGCGGACACTCATAGTGGAGAAGAGGGATGTTGGGCGGCCGAGTGGGGGTGGTCCGGGTTTTGGGGAGAGCGGTGAGGATGGGTTCGGGAAGGGGGAGCTGCTGCAGGTGCCGCGGGCTGCGTTTATGATGAAGAGGGAGGAGGAGGTAGGGAGGGAGGCGGGGGAGCGCTGGGTTGGGTTGGAGATTAGTGGGCCGAGGCCGGTGAGGCCGAGGAGTGCGGAGCCGCTGGGGAGGTTAAGTGGGATGGGGATGGGGATGGGGTATTTGAGGTAGAGGTTCGACATCGTGATAACGCAGTATTCTCTGGAGAGGCACCAGTCTGTGGAGCCTCGGTCTATCTATTCCGTATAATGAGAAAATACACTGTACTGTCAGTGTTGACGTGGTTGTGTGTCGGAATGCGTGGTGATTGTATTATCCGTAAACAGTGCGTGCCTGTCCTTTACAACGACCGTCCGTGATATCTCAAGAGACTAGTTGACCTTGATACCCTGCCCGACAAACTCGATCCCGTGAATTCCAAAACCAGAAACGGCTGTACCCTTTCGACTTAATCAGGCTCGACACGAGAACCGACACGAACGCACGCCAGGGTTAAATAGCCTCATCCGGCTCATATACACAATCCAGTTTACCCACCAGCGCCTCCTCGTATAAGATACCTCAAGCAGACAAACCCAATCTATCCACCACACCACCTATTGTTCGGCAGATTAGCGAGCGCAAATACATCTATCGCGGTCTTGGCTTCATATAGCGACACAAATCAGCGCCGCTCCCGGCCATGCCTAGAGGCAAGAAAGGACGACAAGTGCTTGTTGCCACCGCGAGGACGGTACCGCTTAGGATGTATATGAATGAGCACAGCCTCAAGTCGCAGGCTCGTGGTGATCCTGCGCCGTGTTAAAAGGTACCTGACCACCGACCGCCCTTGAGGAACCTCGATTCCCATTGTCGGCCCAGCATGGCCCCTCTTCGCCGACTCCTCGCTCTCGCAACATCAACCTTCCTTTTTCTCGCACACGCATCACCCTTATCTGCAGCTGGCGCAGGCCAAGTCGTCCCCGGAAAATGGATCGTTACGCTTCGGCCTGACGCCGACGTCGCAACTGTCTCGTCGCATTTCGTAAAAGTTCGCGAGATCCGCGCGCGCAATGTAGGAGTTCGGCATAGAGAGGTTGGGGAGATCGAGCGGCAGTATAGATTTGGGATGTTTAAGGGGTACGCGGGTGCTTTTGATGAGTTGATGGTTGAGGAGCTAAGAGAGTTACCTGAGGTAGGGAGGCCGTCGTGTGCTTTGGCAAGCTTGATGGGAGTCTAACTGATCATTTGGTAGGTACTCAGGGTTGAAGAAGACAGAATCATGACGACGTTTGATTTCATTACGCGTATGGATCTGCGAATTGATCGCAAAGACAATGCTGATAGGTGTAGAGGGCGACACTGTGAACTGGGGTCTCGCATCCCTTTCCTCCCGCACAAAAGATGCGAAAGACTACATCTATGATTCCACCGCCGGGCATGGCACTTATAATTACGTCGTAGACACGGGCGTACGCATCACGCACGAGGAATTCGATGGCACGCGCGCCATCTGGGGGTACAACGCCGTCAACGACAAAAACACCGACAACGCAGGGCACGGAACGTACGTCTCCCACATCCCTCATGGTACTGTCCCCTCTAACATCCTCCCTAGCCACGTCGCGGGCATTATAGCCGGCAAAACCTACGGCGTCGCCAAAAATGCCACCATCATCGCCGTCAAAATCTTTGAAGGAAACTCCGGTCAAATGTCAGTCGTGCTCGACGGCTTCAACTGGGCGGTGCGCGACATCGTATCCAAAAACCGCACTTCCACCGCTGTAATCAACATGTCGCTCGGTGGCGCCGCGTCGGCGACCTGGGACGCCGCCATCACCGCCGCCTGGGCGCAGGGCGTGCTCGCTGTTGTGGCTGCCGGAAACGAGAACCGCGACGCGTCCCTCGTGTCGCCTGCGCGTTCGCCCGAGGTGCTATGTGTGGGAAATCTGCAGCGCGATGATAAAAGGTATAGTGGTGCGTCCGGGTCGAACTATGGGCCTACGGTGGACATCTTTGCGCCGGGGACGGGAATCGTGAGTAGTTATCGGACAAGCGACGATGCGATTCAGGTGCTGTCTGGGACGTCGATGGCGGCGCCACATGTAGCTGGGTTGGTGTCGTATTTGAGGGGGTCGGAGGGGCCAATGAACGCGGAGAAGGTGAAAGCGAGAGTCCTTGGGCTGGCAACGCCGGGGAGGGTGGTGGACGCGAAGGGAAGTGCGGATCTCGTGGCGTTCAATGGGGCGGGAGAGTGAGTGGAAAAAAAAAAACTCCCCCGGATCTGTCATCACGTTAGTACACCTGTATGAACCGCGAGACACTGCGACGTAAGTCATGCTGTGATTGTATTCCCTCATCTAACTCCATCGACCATAAAGATCTGGCATCTTGCTTTTTGTAGCACTCCGTCCTCTCACGCGCCCATGACAGCATCCTGCATCACGTTAGCACACCTTCTGCGTCCCCTATTACTTGTATCTTAAACTTACCCTCGCAATCCGGTACAACGGGCTGATACCCGTCCAGTACTCGAACTGCTTAACACCCTGTCCAACCAGGACCTCCAAACCATTGACTGTGTCCCACCCGGCTTCTGTCGCCAGCTTGATCAAGTCTGTGACTGCGGGTTTATACGCCATTTCGAGCAAGATCCTCTTGCCTCCCGGCGGCCGACTGCCGATGGGCGCCTCTGCTTCTGCCTTCTCATTTTTCGCTTTTGCGAATAACGCGTCAAGCGCTTCCTTGATGGACGAATCGATAGGCTGATCTGCAGGAATAGTTCCAATGGCGACAGTAGGTATGCGCTCGACATCTGCAATGCTCGCTGCGTTGACGATCTGAATGTTGTAGTCCTTGGGGAATGCCTCGCGCAGGACGGACATCTTCTGAGGGTTGCGGCCGAGGAGGTAGATCGGAGAGTACTGCATCTCATGGAGTGCGTATATGGCTGCACGCGAGGTGCCACCACCACCGATGACAAGACCAGCTTGGAGCCCTGCACTGCCTTGTGCACCGGCATTACGAAGCACGAGCACCATACCAAGGTAGTCCGTGTTGCGGCCGATGAGCTTGGTGACTTCCTTGCCAGTCTCATCGATTTCGGTCACAGGCACGATAGTGTTGAGGGCCCCGATGGCGTCGATCTCAGGGCCTACGCCATCGAGGAGAGGCCGGACATCTTGCTTTAATGGGATGGTGACCGAAGCGCCGCCAAAGTTTGGGCTGCGGATGACGGCTTTCAGATCTTCCGCGTTCGTGGTCTCGTGGATGCCGTAGGTGTGGGGGAGACCTGTTTCATGGAAGAGGGTGTTGTGCATGGGTGGTGAGCGACTTTGCTGGACTGGACTTCCAAATATACAAAACTTTTTAGGCGTGATCTCGCCCATGAGCGTGAGACCTCTGCGGATCTCGGCCGCGGAAAGCTGGCCGGGTGCTGTAGCAGAAGGAAGAAGAGGATGCGAGACAGGAGTCATGAAGTTGTTGAGAATGCGACTAAGCTTGCCGTGTTCACCCATGTTGATGGCGATCAAAGGCACGGGATGCGAACTCTCAGCCCAAGCTTTGAACTCTGCAAGCGCGAAGTTATCTTGCAAAGTCTTTGCTACACCGACAAGCTTGATAACATCGCCATATTGTAAAGCGCGGTTGTAGAACGAAATCCACGAGCCGTTGGTCCAGGAAAGTTGGCCTTTCGGGTCGTGGTGAGAGGCGATGATCTTACTGAAGCCGCGATTCTCGGAGACTTCACGCAGTATCTCTTCGGGCATCGTCATCTCCAAGTCAACGAACTCGACGCCTAGACGAAGTGCGGTGCTGTACAAAAGCTGGGCATGGTCGTATGCGTCGTCAGGGAACTTCCCGCCCTGAGTTCTGGTTCGTATTGTGAAGATCAGCGGTAGCGTCGTCTTTGTGCGCAAAAGGCCCACTTGGTCTACGACAAATTCGAACGATGGGAGGCCTTCTGAGCCATCGGGATCTTCTAACAGATCTACGCGGAGTTCGACCGCATCCGCACCAACAATTATCTCTGGGAGCTTCTCGAGCCAAGGCTGTAGACTAGGTGCCGAAAGACAAACGAAGAAGGACTGCTTCCGCTTCTTCAATGACTGTAATGATCTATTCTTTCCAAAGATGAGATCGAGAAAGCGCGAAAAGTCTTCGAGGGTATTCGCTAGACCCACAGAGTCCACGCTTTGCATGTGGAATTGATAGTTGCTGCATTCCAGGTACCATGGCTTCCGTCGAAGCCATACACCCCGCATGTCCTCGATATATGCTGGTCGCGTTTTATCGATCTGGAGAAAGCTCATAATCTTTTCAATATCACGGGTTACAAGCAGCACAATGCCGCCATCCTTCTGGTAGTTGTTGAGGATATCGCGAGCAGCTTGAGTTTCGACAATGCCACCTCCACAAGCAAGGACGTGACCGGTACTTTTCTCTTTCACGGCTCTTTCCAGCAACTTGAGTTCCTCTTCCCTGAACCCTTCCCATCCCTTGGCCTTGATCAGGTCTGGAATGGTCATGGAAACGTGCTCTTCCAAAGCCGTATCAAGATCAACGAAAGGCCACCCAAGGTAGCGGGCAGCCCATCCACCCGTGGTAGTCTTACCGGCGCCCCGCATCCCAATGACGATGATGGATTTGGTAGGCTTCTTGCCGCCATAGTGAGTATCACGAAGCACACGTGGCTGTTCAACACCATCTAATTCAGCTTTGAAGAGCTGGTGCAGAATGTCCCAATAACCGGGCCAGGTCTTTCCGGTGCATTCTTTTTCAAGAATGAGGACGGGCTTGGGTGCGACTAAGGACAATACTGCGAAGCTCATTGCTACGCGGTGATCATCATAGCAGTGGATGCCGCTTTGAGGTGCGTCAAGCTCGTAGCCTCGACCGTCAACTTCGATACCGTCATCGAACTGCCTGCAAGTGATGCCAAACTTGGCAAGTTCGTCTTCCATAGCTTGTATCCGGTTGCACTCCTTCACACGCTGGTTCGCGATGCCGTAGATGCGGGTCGTAGTGTTTGTACCATTCGAAGATGCTACGGCTGCCAGAACAGAGGCGGTAAGGAAGGCATCGGTCATGGGCTCCATGTCAATTTCTCTAACCGCTTTCAGTTGGCCTCTAGGGGGCCCCGTAACGGTGGTGGAGGTGGCGCTTTGCTCAACCTTGCAGCCCATGGGCCTGAGCACCTCTATGGCAAATCGAGCATCTCCCTGAAGGGAACCAGAACCAATGTTAGGTACCGTGCACGTGGTTCCTGTGATGGCCGCAATGGCAAGGGGATACGTGGCTGAGCTAGCATCGCTCTCGACGACATACTCTGTGGGATTCGTGTAGGCTTTGTTCGGGATGTGGTACGTGTTTGCTTCCGTCTGCGACTTCTCCACCTGAACTCCAAAGGTGGCCATCATTGCAATCGTCATGTCGATGTAGGGCTGCGAGATGGGCTTCCCGCCGACCAAGCGCAGAGTGACGGGTTTCTTTGAGTAAGGCGCGCACATGAGAATTGACGAAACGTATTGCGAGGAGACTGTAGCGGCCAGCTCGATATCGCCGGTAAACTCACGTTCTCCTGATGCTGCTCCGTAGCCGCCGCATGCTGATATGCGCAGAGGTAAGCTGCCCTCATTCTCTTGGTAGGTTACATCGATTCCCATAGAGCGGAGAGACTTGACAAGCGGTCCGATCGGGCGCTCCTTCATCCGGGCGTTGCCCGTCACAACAGTGGACGTGACAGACCCTGTAGGGTCAGCGAGGGCAACCACAGAAGTCAAGAAGCGCGATGCGGTGCCAGCATTCCCAAGATAGAGCTCATCGTCGGTGGCTTTGAGCTTGCCGCCAGTGCCGGTGACTACTAGTTCTTTACCGTCATTCTCCCAAGAGAAGGTCGCGGCCTGGAGGCGTGCGAGCGCATCCAGCATGACTTGGGTGTCGTCCGAGTGCAATAGATTCGTGATTCGGCAAGATCCAGAGCCCAACGCAGCCAGCACAAGAACCCGGTTAGAGATGCTCTTGGACCCAGGAGGTGTGCACGTCACGTTGGAGTCGGACGGAATGCCCGGGTGGACGGAAATGCTAGGTGACAAGGCTATTTTGATGTCTCGGTCCGCGACTGAACTCGCTTTCTTCTCGTGGGTCCTGCCGATACCTGACAGGAGCACCACCTTCTTCTGTGCGCCTGAGTTCTTCTTGTCCACAGCCATGATCTTAATCAGCTCGTCAACAGGGCAGTGTTTGTTGGCGGTCCTCCTTCGCACCGTCTTGTCGGCAAGCGAGGTGGGTAGTCCATAGCTCGCGATGCATTTGGACAACCGCGCTACCGCTGACGGGTCCAGCACGCCCAGGTATCTTGCCAGCTCGGCCTCCTTAACCATGCCTATTGCCACGGCCTCTCCGTGGAGGATTTGAGGGGTGAGAATGGCTTCGATGGCGTGTCCGATCGAGTGGCCGAAGTTCAGCAGGTTCCGCAGGCCGCCCTCTCGTTCGTCTGCCGACACGACTTCTGCCTTGACCTTTATCGACCCGAGCACAATGCGCTTCAGGATGGCGGCTATGCTGTCGAAATTACGGCGCCCGTTCTCCAGCTTACGATCGACGGCGTGCAGAATGGGCTCGGCGTTGCCCTCGAGAGCCGTGAATTCGTCTTCGTTCCAGATGGCAGCGGTCTGACACATTCAGCAAGGACACCAAAGCGCGGGTTCTCGAGGCTACGTACCTTGACGACCTCGGCCATTCCGTTGATGATCTCACGCTTGGGCAGCGACTCGAGGAAGCGCAGGTCGACGTAGATGCGCTCGGGCTGCCAGAAAGCGCCGACCAGGTTCTTGCCGGCGGGCGTGTCGATGGCCGTCTTGCCGCCAATGGACGAGTCGACCATGGAGAGCAGCGTCGTGGGCACCTGCACGAAACGGATGCCCCTCATGTAGGTGGCCGCCACGAAGCCAATCATGTCTCCAATGACGCCGCCTCCCAGCGCGATAATGACGGTGTCGCGCGTGCATCCCTGCGACAGCAGCCAGTCCTCGACGACGCCCTTGGTCGACCGCGACTTGGAGTTCTCGCCGGGCGGGATCTGGTACGTGAGGAGCCGCGGCGCGGGCGAGACAGTGGCAGCTTCACTGCGGAAGCTCTCCTCGAAGGCGGGGATGTAGAGGGGCCCAATGTTGGTGTCGGTAATCAGCACGTACGTCGACGAGGGAATCGTCGTGACCAAGTCGTGCGCGACATGGTTCTGCCACAGCCCATAGTCGACTACGATGGAGTCCTTGCCCAGGATCGTGACCTTTGTGGGCTCAGCGCCGCCGTTGGTCGCCATCAGCGCGGCGGAAACGGGTGTTGCGAGCTGCCAGGGGAGCTTCTTCCTATGCCAATTGCGTTGCGGGCACGTGCAGCTAAATAGTGAAGTCAACCGTGTGGGTGCGGGCAGCTCTCTATGCGCTTGCCAGGGCCGTCGTGCAGCGTGAGTCAGGCGGCAGAATAATTTTGGGTGAATGCTGCCATGACCGCGGGCCTCACCGCCTTCCGTTGTGGGACTCGGCGGCGATACCGGAGCTCGAAGCTTGAGTGCGCTCGCCTCCGCACTCCACACTTTACCCGCGCACTAGCCCGACGACGGCCATTGCAACAACCCTGCAATGAGCAGGTACTCGAAGCTTGCATCATCGTCCGCAGGGATCGCAGGGCAGCTTCGGAAACATTTGCACCTGGCGCTGATCCCGTGACCCCAATCCGAGTGTCCCATGCAGCCACTGTGGCCCTGGAGCTAAGATCCTCCTTCCAAGATCACTCTCTATTGCAATCCACTCTGCGCCTGTACCGATGCCTATTATGTCAATCTATCGCTATCGATCGATCCCTGATCGTCGCATAACAATGAGTTTTCATCGACGTACCTTGCTCTGCGCCCTACTTCTACCGAGGCTATAGACCTTCAGACCTCTATCTCCACCGGCTCGGAGCATTTCGAGCGTGAACGCACCAATGACCGTCGTCGCTGTCCTATACAGCTCAATATCACCACTTCTAGAGTTTCCCCGGATCTCCAGCTTTCGCCTGATTACGTGCAGGGAGGACCACTGCTGTGGAGAGGCCCATTAGTATTTAGTTCTGCTTGAGCACCCGCCATGGACGCGCGCAGGCGTGGCAATCGGCTGCGATTCATCTCAGGAAATCGCCCATTATGCGTTTCTCAGCAGTCGCATGCTCTGCGCTGTTCGCTCTAGTCCACGCCGGTCCGCTGGCCGCGGACAGTCTCGATGCCAGGGCAACTACCTTCACAAATCCAATACTTTGGGAGGACTACCCTGATCTCGAGGTCATTCGCGTTGGTGAAGTCTTCTACTACACCTCGTCAACCTTTGCCTTCTCCCCCGGCGCCCCTGTGCTCAAGTCCTACGATCTCGTCAACTGGACGCCAGTCAGTCACAGCGTGCCTAATCTGAACTTCGGCACCAAGTACAACCTCAACAGCGCGACCGACCGTGCCTACGTCAAGGGCATCTGGGCCAGCAGCCTCCGCTACCGCGACTCCACCGACACATTCATGTGGATTGGCTGTGTCGAGGGCAAGTCTTATCTCTGGACTTCGAGCGGCGGTGGGGCAAAGAACAACAACGGAGAGGTTTCGAGCTGGAACTGGAAGTCTACCGCTTCAGTCAACAAGTGCTACTACGACTGTGGATTGCTGGTCGACGATGATGACACAATTTATGTCGCTTATGGCAGCACCAACATCATGGTCGCTCAACTTAACAAGGACGGCACTGCAGAGGTCAAGTCGCAGCAGGTTTACACAAACGGTCAGTACATTGAAGGTTCCCGCATGTACAAGAAGGACGGATACTACTACATCTTCGTCACCAAGCCCGCGTCCGACGAGTATGTACTCAAGAGCAAGAGTCCTTGGGGTCCCTACGAAATGAAGGTCCTCGTGCAAAGTATCGGCGGCCCATTATCAAGCGCAGGCTTTTCACATCAAGGAGGAATCGTCAGCACCAAGGATAACCAATGGTACTACGTCGCATTCATGGACTCTTACCCAGGCGGTCGCATCCCCGTGGCCGCTCCCATCACCTGGTCCTCAGACGGCTGGCCCTCGCTCGTCAAAGACAGCAGCGGCAAATGGGGCACAACATATCCAATGCCCGTCTCAACCAGCAAGACCGTCCCGCCAGTCACCGGAACAGACACCTTCCAGGGCACCTCCCTCAGTCATGAGTGGGAGTGGAACCACAACCCAGACACCTCCAAGTTCAAGCTCCTCGGTGGTTCAACCGGCGGTCTGCAACTCTCTACCGCCACCGTGACAGACGACCTCTACACGGCACGCAACACCCTAACACATCGCATCATCGGGCCCAAATCAGCAGGCACTTTCCGTCTGGACATCAGCAAGATGGCCGACGGCGACCGCGCTGGCGCCGCCCTCTTCCGCGACAACATGGCATACATCGGCATTCACCGCGAGGGCTCAACCAACAAGCTCGTCTACGTTAACAACCTCAAGCTCGACCAGGCCAATTCGTGGAAAACTAGCGCCACCGGCACCGTCGCTGCCAGCAGTACGCTCGCGGCGGGGACCACGGAGGTCTGGTTCAAGGTTCAGGCGGACATTACGCCTGCATTTGGTTCGTCGACGCAGCGCACTACGACCTTCTGGTACAGCACCGACGGCAGCAAGTTTACGCAGCTGGGCGGCGCGTTTGGGATGATCAACGACTGGCAGTTCTTTACAGGGTTCCGGTTCGCGGCGTTCAATTTTGCGACGAAGGCGCTGGGCGGGTCGGTCACGGTGAAGAGCTTCGACATGCAGAAGATATAGCTGTGTACAATACAACATTGGCCTGAAGCGCTTCATTTCTGGAGCTTAAATCCACGTCCATCGATATACAGTCTTCAAGAACTAGTGTGCGTGCCCAGGCCTACACTGGTCAAACACCTCAGCAGCAAATCACTTCCAGTTCGCATACGCAACCCTGTCATCTCCACCCTCACTATTAACATAAACCCTCTTCATGGCCAACGCGGCACCATCCACCACCCTCGCGCCTTTCCCCGGCACACACATACAATTCGCTCATAGCCTTCCGCTCCCACTCCCCAGCCTAACCGCACCCGCAAACCCTCTCCTCCCCCAAGCCCGTATCGAATATACGAGGACAAACTTCTGCAATGGTCACGCTTCATCAACAAGTGGCGTATGGCACGTCGGTCCGTAATAACATACCCTTGGAGCGAAGCTTCGAACTTCAAATTTCCAGTTCAAGTCTGGATGATCTTGCTATAAACACATGACGTAGTCCTGGGAAGCAGGAACAGTGCGCTCTAAGTCATGACGTTCGTGGTCGCCTATCACTGATCCAGTATGACAGCGTGTGCCAATGATTTCACACTACAGTCTAGCTTGATTTTTGCCATCGAAGTAAAGGTGCTCAGCTTTGACAGGTGCCTTTAACGGCTTCATCGGCTACCATAATCAGGTTCATCCGGATGGCAAGAATGGTGGGCATGCGTGGCGCTGGATCTTCCTAATCGAGGGTGTCATGCCCGTAGCATGGGGCTTCGTTGTCGCGGCTCTGCAGCCTAGCACGCCTGAGACCGTTCACGGTATGTTCACCCGCTCCGGGAAGGAGATCATCATCCAGCGCAGCCGGTCCAGACACGACAACTGATCCTTGAAGTTCAACCCCAGTGAGCACGCCCCAGGTCTTCTGGCACTACCTCGACCCTTTCCAACGCATGTGCTAGACCGCCTATGCCATATTCGAAGTCATTCTCCACCCCCTTTTCTGGTTCCTCACGCTCATAAACTGATGTATCCACATGACTATCTCTAGCCTGAGAAACAACTTCCTACCACCTATCCTGTCTAGCCTCGGCTGGCACGCCGAGCGCCCCTAGCTCCTGTCATCCATCGTTTATGTTTGCGCTTTCGTCGACATTCTCGTCTGCGCGCATTTCGCAGACCGCACCGGCCGGTGCGGTGTCTTTTTCATCATAAACACCGCATTCAGCCTCGTCGGCTTCGCCATGCTGCTCGTGTTCGTCTAGCTCGCCATAAATTTCCCCGGATATAGCTACCGCACGGCCCGCATTGCGCTTACCAACATCTGCGCACAATTGTTCAGCATCATCGGGAATAGGATATACATTGAATTACACTACCGCGAAGGATTGACGGTGCGCACTTGCATGGCTGGGGTGGCGGACGTAACGGCAGGTGCACGCGAAGAAGGAGCTTGGGAAAGGGGCGGAGGGCGACGAGCAGATACATTCTATTGACACTGTGGGAAACAGACACCCTGATTTTAAACACACCTACTGAAGCCAAGAAATTGCAACAGCTACTCTGGTCTGATAGGTATCAATAAATAAAATTTCGGGCTGTTCGGGACACAGTGACGAGTACCCAATCGTCATTTTTTCAGGGTACAGATCACTGTTCATTGCTCTGGTCAGTGCGCACGATTCCTGATATCACCAGTCATGTATTGTAGTAGATAAATGCATACCTTGATTCGGATAGGAATATAAAACTAGAGCTACAGCAGTACCAACGAAGTAGGGATGCGACCGATACATAAGGGTTCCAACACAAAGTCCACCCTCGACCTGACCAACACAACGGGTATACGAGACCAGCACCACAGACGCGCACTACAGGAAATTGCGATACATGCGAACCGCACTACAGGGTCCGAAAGTTCTCCTAGTCTTGCGACGGGACAACATCCTTGCTGTATCTGACAGCAAAGATACCCTCAGTGGCCTCACGTTTCTCCAACTTCGCAGCGGGGGCCTTGCTGTCAATGACGTCCTTCTTGTAGCTGACAGCAAAGAGACTCGGTGGCTGGGAGCGCTTCAGCGCGGTGTTGATCACGTCCTTGCTGTACTTTGTAGGGAATCCTACGTTTTCCGAGCGCTTCTTGGAATCCTGGGCCACGTCACTGCTATAGCGCACAGGGAAGATGGAGTCGGCAGGCTCCGCGCGCTTTTGGGGGTCGCTGATGAGGTCTTTCCTGTATCTGACGGCAAAGAGACTGTTTGGGCTGGTGGTGGAGCCACGAGTGGTCACCCCAGCTGCGGCGGGAGCTATCAAGACTATCAGTCCTCGACTTTTCAGATCGCAGTTGATGGCTTACCTGGAGCGGCCAAGGGCAGAGCCAAAGCGGTGGGTAGGAGCACGGAAAGGATGGCGGTGATCTTCATTTTGACGGGAGGCGGAAGTACAATAGAAGAGACGGTTTATCTGAGCTTTAGGCAAGAAACGCGTAAAATTCGGTTTTCTGATGTTCACTGCTGCCTCCGATCCCTGGGTGACAACTGATCGGCAAGCTCTTGGGTGTAAACAGGTCGGCCCAGTTTACTAACTCCCGAGTTCAACAGGAAAATCCCTTTGTCCTCGTTTCTTCTGGTGGCACTGTGGCTGATTGACTGTATTTGGATGAGGTTTCTCGTCACTGTAACGAAGACTTGAGAGTTTTAATTCCCAGTAAAGTGGGAAATCCTCCAGCTTTATGCCACGCGCTTGACACATGATAGTGCTTGTACTACAGTGAATACTGAATTATGCCTTGACGGCGTCCGCCCCATGTTGGCGGTACAAATACGGCAAGTGGCTTCCGTAGGCGCTACCCTAATGATAGACCGGCGCGTTCGCGTTGTAACGGCCAATATTGATCCAACAGCTGGTCCAGGCTCAAACGGCTGCCACTATACTACTTGGATTCTACTGCTATCTCGGATGTTGAGCTGATCGGTGGCCGGATCGTTGTGGCTCATCTTTTGAATGTAAGCGCTCGTAAACGGCAATTTCGTATCTGAGGCCGAGGCGTTGCGTGTCAGTGTGCAGAAACTATAAACGTAGCCGTGGGATGACGGCGAGCTGGACGAGGTGGTAAGCGTTAGTGCGATGGCGTACCTCACCCGATTATATGATCATTCTGGCCCCGCGAAAGTCAAGGAAAACACGTACCTGAGGATTGATCCAAGATTGCGTTACTACCATTAGCCGAATACGATTTGGGGCTGATCTTCAAACGGTCGGCTGTGGTCCGTGTATCGAGCATTGCAACCTCTTTTACTCCATTCCTTCACAATCATCCAGGACAGGTACATGAACGATGACAACTTATACCGCCATACCTTCAAAAGAGCCTGATGCTGAGATATCATCGTATTCCATCGATTTGGCATCGGAGTCAGGCCTCACCTCGGATTCATCAGGAGTGCGTCCAAGTGCATCGAAGTGGTTACCGTGGTGCCTGCATCTGTTTGTTTTTGCTCTATCAATCTCAGTAGGGCTTCTCGTGCGGCCAGCAAGCAAATGTTTCTCTTTCAAGAGTATGTCGACAATCTCGACAACAAAAATGACTGCCAATAACACCATTGTAGAAGAACTTGTTGGCGAGCATCCATGGGACCTAACGGTGAGGTTCGATGGTTCTCTCAGCCGCGATTCATCTCCATTCAAAGGCCCGCCTTCGGCTAAGGTCGACCAGCTCTGGGAAGATCTCGTACCTCGTAAGTCTATCGTGACGCCATTCAAGAGAACGCCACAGTGACAGTACAGCAGAACGCATGATGGTCATTTCCGAGGACGTCTTCCAAACTATCAACGCCTCAATGCATTCAGTAAAAGCCCCATCTAATCTAGGCAAAGGTCGACTTGCAGCATTCGAGGGCTTCCACTACATCCATTGCTTACACAATCTCTGGAAAACACATTACCCTGAGTATTATACCGAGGAAGCCAAGTTCGCAACAGAGAACCGCGAAGAATGGCTAGAGCACGTCGATCACTGTGTAGACATGCTGCGCCAGAAGCTTGTATGTGATGCCGATCCAGGTTTGATCACGTACAACTGGTTGGAAAATCACTACAACCCCCACCCCAACTTCAACGTCCAACACAAATGCCGTGACTACAACAGGCTTCTGGACGCGTCAGCACGATATGGCGTGGAGATGAGTGTTCTTCCTGAAGAGGGCATAAGGCGAACAGAAGGAGAAAAGGTGGTCGACTTTGTGGAGCCTCCGTTCGATCCATTAGCCGAGGAATAAATGTATATTGTTGACTCAAGAGGAAAAAGGCGAATGACAGTAAGCGCCGCAGAAAGGCGTTTTCATATGGCGCTTGAACACCTTGATGGTCTAGAGTATTCATCGTTGCCACGTGAACGGACCAAGTGCTATCCGCCACACACGCCTGCAACGCGCCAGTGTTGGTGTTGATCGCCTGCATCAAATGGCAGCTCGTATCCCGCGTGTAGGATTCATCCTGCAGACGCTAGCCGACTCTTACGATTCGTGCACTGGAGCGAGACTCGCAAGCCTCGGGTAGCTGAATTGCATTTCATTGGCATACAAAGCGGTACCTTTCTGCCTGGCTTGATCTTCCGGACTAACGGCGGCTTTAGCAGAAGTTTGCGACTGACGTCTACGTCGAGCCGCCGCTCAATGTCGTTCACCGTAGCGCGCTTACCACTAAGCCGAAGCCGGCTAGACACCCATTACACGAGGGCGCTTATTTAGTGATCCCCGAGAAGGTGCAAGGCGAACGAATGAGAACATTTACTCTTCTACACGGTAAGCGAAAGTCTACCCCGGTCCTCTTCTCATCTTATCATACGGCGCCACCGGCTGCCACCAACGCTCATAACACGCGATAGCGACAGCCGGTCAGCAGGACCGCGTCGCAGCACTGGCTCGATATTCCGCGAAACCCAGCCGTCGCTAGCATTACCAACAATGCGCTGCGTCGTTCGGTTTCCATCGCGCATCCTGCAAGGGTACAATGGCAACTCACTCACTTGTTGGCTCCACTCTTCATCTGTTGGGCTTCGCCGCCTTCATTTGGCATCCGAGACGTCTACTTTCCCATGGTGATCGCCTCCAACCCTCATCTCGTCAACAATGCATACACTCCAACTCCATGAGGTCATTGTAAGTTTGCGCCTTTTTTTTGTAATCCGTTGCCTTGCTTTTTGCTGATCGAAGATGGCGCAGACAACTGCGTGGTCGCTGACCGTAATCGCACTCTTGACGACGCTTGGTCGGTTCGCCATCCATTGGCATCGCCGCCAACGCATCGCATGGGATGACTTCTTCAATGGGCTGGCAATGGCCTTTCTGCTGGCTTTCACCGGCACGTATCAGGTGTACGGTCCGACAGACTACACCAAACAGCTCTATGCCATGGGCCTCATCAAAGAAGACGAAGTCGTCCACAGCGACGAAAAAAGAAATGCAAAGTACAATGCCGCGAATGCGCTTCTCTTCTGGTGTGTTGTCTATGCTGCAAAAGCGAGCTTTCTGGCCTTGTATTGGCATATCTTTGCCTTTTCGACAAAGTTCCGGATCGCATGGGCCGTGACAACGGCCTACATCCCCACGAGCTTTGCGATTACCTTCATGTGGTCATTCTTTCTGTGCGGCAATCCGAAGTACTTTCCAGACATTCAACGTAAGTTTCAATCAACAAGTGCGAGACTTCGTACTCATGATCTATAGCTCAATGTCATGACAACGCCCCCGCCATGGTCGTCCCAATGCTATCAGCTTGGTGCGCATTAGATTTGATAGGAGATCTTCTCCGTAAGCCAAGTCCTCACCCGGAAATAGAGCCTTATGTTAATTCCCAAAAAGTGGTCGTACTCCCCTTGGCCATGCTCCGGCCACTCCTAATGCGCACAGCGCAAAAGCTCGAGCTCGCCATCATCTTCCTGCTCGTAGCCGTCAACATGGTGCTCACGATTCTCCGCACCGTGTACAGCATCGATGTGGACCTGGCAAGATTTCCCGATCAAAATGTGCTGTGGTGCTTTCTGCAGGCGAGCGGCGCCGTCATTGTCTGCGCGCTGCCGTGTTACCGTGGAATTTTGACGAGGAAGAAACCTGACTCGCTGAGCAGTGATGGCTTGAACACCAGCGAATCTGAGTTCGCGGATATTTGGCAGAGGTATCTGATTAGTATTGGAGAGCACAAGGAGGGCAGCAGGACGGAGAGGGAGAAGGATCTCGAAGCTGGTGTCACGAAGGGGTCATCAGGGACGCAGACGCATATATCTGAGATAGCCCGAGCTTGAGAAAGCTCCTGTGTGGTCTAACGAATTTACGAATATTATAGACTATAAGATACGCTTCTCCAAGGATCGATGAAACGGTACGTGAGGACGGGGTCGAACCTCGAAATCGCATCTCACACAGGGCCCAACGCAAGAAGCGATTTCTTTTAGGCTGAGCTCAAACCACCATGCCAGACTCCATCGCCTCAAATTGGAAATATCCTCTACACCCTCGGACCCTACAGTGACCCATTACACCATTGCCAAGACCATGGATCGCTACCAACACCACGGGTGCGCGCGTGAAATGCGATAAGGTTCCGGTAACCTGGAGAGCAGTCGCACAAGAGCCGTTGTATCTGTGCACAGTGATCTTGCATATGTCGGAGTTTGACCGCCAGGTACGATAGGTACATGTCAGCTCGGTGCTTATACCCCTGGCCCGCCCTCCTGACCTGGTACTAACATCCCCGACGTACACAAATGCGTACCTATGTTTCTTTTACCACGCCTGCATGCCTAAAATATTGAAGATTTAACTGGTCATTGTTTCAACAGGACGTCCTAGCTCGTGTCCCTAGGCACCTGCTGTCATGTTACTTCCCTCCAGGTCTACATTCCAAGATGTCGGATCGAGATCTCGTCAAGAGTCTTCGTTGGCCAACGACTCCGCTCCATTCCAGCCATCGATCCCGTCCCTCCGCCCCTTCCCTCTCCACCCCACCTACAAGCATCATCCCCCACCTCTTCCACTTCTCCCCTGCCTTCCCATCATCCCCTCCATCATCTCCGATTTCCCCGTCCCCTCCCTCTCGCTCCACCCACTCACTCTCCCTCTCCACACCTCCCCCATAAAATGGCCCATTCACAGTAATAACCTCCCCGTCCATCCCCACGCCCGCCCCCATCAGCATCAACCCCTGCGGATTCGCCTCCGCCACCAATACACATCGGCCTTGACCGCACACCTCACCACGCCATGTCGCCGCACTCCCTCCCACACCCGGCGATACCGCCGAATCGCCGCCAGTCTCCTGACAGAACACCTTCCCGAGCAACGCCTCGTCCTCGGCATGCTACCCCGGGTCCACACGGCTGTCCACGCCCGCCGCGTCGAGCAGCGCGTGCCCGGCCTGCTCCCACGTACGCGGCTGCCCGGTCCGCGAGAGGAAGCGCAGCCCGTTGGAGGACTCTGCGTGGTGCCGCCGCGTGAAGGCGTCGCCGTGGGCGGAGGGGAGTGCGCAGCGGCAGATGGTGTGTGGGTCGGAGAGGGCGAGTATGAGGTTGTAGCAGGTTATGTGTGGGTGGGTTGCGTAGGGGCGGAGGAGAAGAGAGGGCGCTAGATAGGTATACTGGATTTAGTGCGGGCTTCGAGGGAGGAGCGGGTGGGGTGGGATGGCGCGGCGGTGTTGGTGTCATCTGCGTGTGTGAGTTGAAGGGTCTTGGGCGTGCCTTTTGGCTTGAGGAGCTTGTGAAGGAACTTCATGGTCGTCAGGGCGCTGGCTTTAGAGGCTGGGAGGAGTGTTTCGAGGCGAGTTTGCTTGAGCGAGATCTCGCTGAGTGTTGAGTGAGAGGGGGGCTGCAGGTTAGTGGTCGTTGGACGTCACGAGCAGCGTTTACAGAGAGGCGGTATGAGCAGACGCAAGCGTATGTGAATGGTCCATACTCTGTTGGCTAGTGTGTCGCTCGAAGTGGTATGGCACGATCTATGCTGCCGTGTCCATTCTTGAGTCGATTGAGTACCTGTGATATATCCCGATGCTTCGAACACGCGCGTACTGTAAGTTCAGAATGTACTCTACCCTTCACGCCATGATTTGATTCTTTCACAGCTTCGTAGAACTCGACCTGCAGCGTACGAAGCTCCTGGAGTACGGGGAACCGAGTGAGGAGTGCGAGAGACAATTGTTATGTAAGCTCAGACTGCGTACATAGGCGACGAGTCGGACCCACCTAGCAGCGGCTAAAGGCGCACTTGCCGCCAACATGGTAGCAGGCAACATCCAGATGTCTGGGGAATACGGCATCATAATAAGCACCAGTGTCCCAGTGAGGAAGCAAAGCTTGAATGGAAGGAGAGTAATGTCACGGAAAGCCGGACACGAACATGTTGACGCGTGCTCTGCAAAGTCCACGTGAATGCTAGCCTCGCCATGAGCGAGCCCCACTGAAGTGAGTCTGTTGACGAGAGGATTGTCGCGTAACGGGGATCTCGAAGTTTGCTCCTTGTCCGTGCTACTGATGGCATTCCCAGTGTCTGTGTGCCTGGGTGATGTAGTATCAAGCTATATTGGTATGTTTGTTGCTGGGTAGGCCGGATGGACGTGTCAGCTATCCCTCACCTCTATGTGCCATACTTTGCTCCACGCCCTCAACTCGCCTCAAGCCTCACTCCCCGCAGACGACGGCGCTCTCCCGCCCCGCACCTCAGCCCTATCCTTGTCCCCCAACACCACCCTCTCGCACCACGAGCACCAACTCCTGAGCCGCCCCGAGACCTCGCGCTCCAGCCAGCGAATCGACTTGTCGCGCTCGTCCTCGTACACCTTGACGCACTCGCCCACGCGCACCTGCTTCTTGAGCTTCATCTTGACGACGCCGCCGATGCCCTCGATCTCCTGCGCGTAGTAGCTGGTCCCCGTCCAGCGCTCGCCCGTCTCGGGGCTGCCGCTGTAGGCGGGATCGGACGCATTGCAGTCGACTTCGTGTTCGACGACGCGCGCGGCGAGACACTGCGCGCCCCGTCCGCACTCGACGCCCTCGTTGCCCTCGCCTGCACCTGTCCCCACGCCCCCGAGGTAGTGAGAATAGCGTGTCCGCCACGTCCACGCGCGCACGTACATGGTGTCGGCGTTCTTGAGGTGCTGGCCGCACGGCTGGCACAGCCAGACAGTGTCGGCGCAGATGCACGGGGTTCTCTCGAAGGCGGGCGCTGTGAAGGCGCGGGGCGCATCGGCGGCGTCGTCGAGCAGCGCAGGCCGCGGGGAGTCTGGGGTGCCTGGCAGCGAGGATTCAGACGACGCGCGCGGGCGGGGGGCTGCCGTCAGGAAGGCGAGGGGCGCCCGCGTGCAGGTCCTGCATAGACGGCGGTGTCTTGCTCGCAGCGTAGGCGCCGGCGGGGGCTTTATGGTGCAGTTCTGGCACGTTCAGCGGGGCTCGTCTGGCGGCTTTCTTCCAAGCAGGCTGGAGGGGCAGACGTACCCTGCAGACGACAGCGGCGCATCGCTGGCACTCGGCGACCATGTCGCGGGCGCAGCGCGCGACGCGCCCGCTGGTGAGCAGCCGTGAGCCAGTTGGGCGTGGGATGGCTTCATCTTCGACGTCAAAGTCGCAGTGCAATGTGTGACGAATGAGCTGGTCGCGGTACTCGAGCAGGTTCGCGCGGAACTGTCTGCAGGTGCGCGACAGATCGTGCAGCGAGTTGAGGTCGAGCTGGCGCGCGAGCTGGCGGGCGATGCTGTATCATGTGCGTGGTCAGCAATCCGCGCTGGTGCGGACACAAACGTAGTCCTGCGCGAGGTGCAGGCTCACGGATAACAGCTCAGGGCAGCTGAAAATCCATTGACGTTGGGATTGGGCCGCCCGTCATCAGCCGCTGCAGCCGGCCCGGGCGTGAAGCCGTCGTCGTCTGGGTCGTCGAGGTCAACGAGGACCACCATGGCGGAAAGCTGCGGCGCGTGTGGGTGACATGCACGCTGTATTGTAACACGCGTGTATATGACGCCAGAGGTGCAATGCGCGGCGATATCGGATGCACCAGGTGTCTTGGCGGCATCTGCTAGCATTCACTCCCAATTCGATGCCAGTTTACCGACACCAGACGCTAGAAACCATCCAAATGCCAGCGTCCGCTCTCAGAAAAAGATTCGTAATTCATACATCATCCTACTAATACGTACCCCGCATTCGAAAAGCCCCAAACCCCCATATTGGCATTATCCATAGCGCATACAAGTCGTACAGATACACAAATGCCGCCCATGTACCTAACGCCAGTCCAGAAAAGCAAAACCCAGTGGTATATCGCACCCCAAACGCCCTTCAAAGAAGCCCCATTCTGATCCGTATCCCTGGCTTATCGCCAAAAAAAGATAAGAAATCGCACACCGCACAAATGACAAAAGTCAACCCTCTCCTAAGCAACAATCCTCTTCAGCCCGCCAAAGAACCCCTTGATACTATTGTCCTCCTTCTTCTTACTACTCCTGCTCCGCTCCGTCTCACTGCGTCGGGGTCTCGCCCGCTCCTCGCCCGCGCCCCTGGTCCGCGGCCTATCGCTCTCCGTGCGCCTGCTCGCCGGTCTCTCCCTGTCTGTGACCGAGATGCGCCGACTCTTCGGACGCTCATGCTCCTGCTCGAGAATCGACACGTGACGGGTGGCTCGTCGGCGCTCTCGGCGCTCATTCGAAGACGTTGACGCGACGCCAACGACGGCTGCGGCATCGTCGACGAGCGGAGACGGCGGACCGTCTTCCATGTTTCGTTGAGATTCTAGGGCCGCAGCTGGCTCTGGGGGCTCAGGTGGTGGGGCATCGTCGACGGTCGCGCTTAAGGAGACGCCTCCGTCGCGAGCACCTGACATTTCAAGCTCCTGTTCTTTGGCCCGCCGCCGCTCCTCCTTTCGAGCACGATACTCAGCCTCTTCTTCCGCCGAGTTGAACCGGCGGTGTGCGTGTGAGTGGCGCCGACTGCGGTGCGGTCGCTCCCCTCTCTCCCGGCTCTCGTTGGAAGAATGTTGGCTACTTGCTCGGCCCTCTTTTTCCTTCCGCAAGGCCTCTACAGGGCTAGGTGGTGCCTCTGCAGGATCGGTACGGACGCGAGCCATTGGCTTTATTGACTTGGCACTAGGCACAACAGGGTCCGTTTTCGATCGGCCAAAGAGACCACCAAGTATACTGTTTCTGCGTGGAGGAGGCGGAGCATCTCGGCGACGGTCGCCTGTGTGTCTACGAGTAGGTTCACGGGGAGTGATGGGAGGTTCTGGAACGAATTCGTCTTCTTCTTCTTCAGCAGCACGACGAGCCGCGTCGCGAGGTTCGATAGGATCGATCTCAGCACCCTTGGTGGCCAACTTCCCCTTTCGGCGCAACCTTCTCTCTTCCTCTGTGTGATTGGCCTTCTCGCGTTCTAGACGTTTAGCCTCTTTCTCAGCCTCGTACTTCAGCCTCCGCTTCTCATGCCTCATCCGTCTCTCCTCCTCTTCTCGAGCATGCTTTTCTCCAGCTTCTCGAGCAAGCCGCCCCTCCTCTTCTTTGCGTAGTCGCTCCTGTTCTGCTCGTCTCGCATGGCGCTCCTCACGATGCTTCCGTCTCCGCTCTTCCTCTTCTGCTGCCTCTCTGACCGCATCCTCCTGGGCTATTCTTTCTTTCTCTGCACGTCGAGCTTCCCGACGCTGCCTTCGCTCAGCATCAGCTTCAACCTCCTCGACAGTGCGACGCTTGCTTTCTTTGTCGTCGCGACTGTCGCGGTGATGTCTGTGTGACCTGTGTTCGCGATGTGACCTTTCCTTGCTGCTGCTGCTCGCTTTCTCGGTCTCTCGCAACCTTTCTTTGTGTCTGCCATACTCGCGGTCCGTTAGGCTATCCCTTCGTTTGCTCTTGGCAGATCCAGCGAGCTTTGCAGCAGCTAACAACGCCATGGGATTCAACGTAGGCCGCTCACTAGCGCTCGCGTTGCTCTCGCGTCGGCGATGTGAGTGTCTGCTATCCCGGTGGGTATGGGAGTGTCGACGACGGTGCTTGTCCCTCGGTGTTGTGTCGGGCGTGGGTTCGTCAACCAATGCTGACTCGTTTGGCGGCGTCCGTGGCTGCTTATCTTCGGGTAGACCAGTAGGATCAAGGCTTTCTTCTATTGCGGGCGGAACTGCTTCTCGAGAGCTTTCGGGCATATCCACTCCCCTATCCTGCTCCCGGGGTTCATGGGTTTGTGCACTTTCTTCCACAAATGCTACCTGGGGAGGCTCTTCAGTCACCGGCTGTGTTACAGGATCTTGCGATGGCTCAACAGGTGCCTCCTCGCCGATTTCAGGGACTTCAGCGGCAACAGTGGTAGACTCTTTTGACGGCTCCGGCTCTGGTGCTGGCTCTGAATCTATTTTTTGACTAGGATCAGGCTCTTGAGCTTGTTCCGTTGCTCCGCCTGCTCCCTCTTCCGTTGTTCCCGAGGATCCAAGATCGATATTTCTTGTACTTGGTTCTCCGGCGTTCTTCTGGTCAGGAGAAATTCCAGCATCTTCAGTAGGCACTTCCATAGACGTTTCTTCAAGTTCTACCGGAGGTGTGGTTGGTTGCACCTCATCCATCTCTTCATCGAGTGGCGCATGTGGAGCATCTTCGGATTCTTTTTGTGTAGCCTCTTGGGGCTGATCGCCAGATTCGGCAGCCTTCGCCTCATTGGATGCACTCACAACAGCTTCACCATCGGCGACCTCCTGTTGATTTGTGTGGACAGGTACAGCTTTATCAACACTACAAGTGTCGTCAACAGCAGGCTTTGCAGTAGTCTCTTCAGGAGGTGGTGCAGCCGTTTCTTGCGGCAGCTCCTGGGCAGTATCATCCGGAACGATAGGCTCAACGTTTACCTCTTCACCGACGGGCGGTGCATCTTGGTCGTCAGCGCAATCATGTGATTTGTTCCCGGTTGGCTCTTCTGCTACGGGGCTTGACTCTTGGTTATTCAATTCGGGCTGCTCAGTAGCTGGCTGTTCCGCTTGTGTGGAAGCATCTTGTGCGTCATTGGTTTCTGGTTGTTCTGTGTTGCCTTCATTCTGTTCATCCTCCTTTCCACTCGAAGGCCCCTCTTGCGCGTCGACCCCATCGGCACTTTCTGCTACTGCCTCGCTCGCAACGGTATTATCAGTAGCTGCTGCGTCGGCTTCGCTTTGGGCCGGCTCGACAATAGCATCCGGGGAGGGACATTCCTGCTCCGGTGTGACATCGATTTTGGCCAAAGGTTCTGCATCCCCGGCAATAGAAGCTTCGTCCAACTCTTGACTGGACTCTTGGTTCAGAACCACCTCACGCTCCTCAATTACATCTGGAGCGGGGAAACTCTCACTGTTGACTTCTTCGGCATCAGGTTGTGCGGGAGGCCCAGGCATGGCGTCTTGAGACACCGGCTCGACCACCAAATCCTCCTGAGGCTTCAAGACCGGCACCTCCTCCACTACCGCATCTTCGAGCACTGGGGTCTCGACAATCTGTGCAGCTGCTTCCGTTGGATGCGGGTCGGTCGCAGCCTGAGACTCCACCGTCATAGCTTCATTTACTTCATTCGGTGGGGAGGGCTCAATGCCGCTTGGCTCGCTCTCTTGCTCTTCTGCATCCGGCATGGGACTTCTCGAGATAGATTCATCGACAATGCAGGCAGCGCTTGCATCAGCAGGCGGTTCAATGGAGACTGGACTCTCGATGTCAGAGTTTGCCGTGTCCGTCGAGTCCTCAACCAAAGGCTCTTGCGAAGTCGTATCCTCATCGGTCGTAACAGGATCAACTAGATGTTCAGAGCTGTCGGTAGGGCTCTGCCCCTCGATCGCATCAATTTGCACATTGGTAATCTCAGTGCTGACATCGTCTGGAGTTCCTGGATCGGGTTTTTCAGGTTGTGCTTCTGCTTCGGTATCCGAGCCTTGAGGATGACTGCGTCCGATATCGCCGCCCGCCGGCTCATCAACGACGTCGTTCACGCTGCCACCAGTAGGGACTTCAGGCGTCGCATGCACGTCGTTAGGTTCATCGTTCGAATCTGATGCGTTTGAAGCTTGCTCGGTCGGCTCGTCGTTAGCAGGCGCATCAGACGGGACTTGGAGGTCGGAAACGGTGGCGCTATCCTCTTCTTGGCCAACTACATGCGGATCAGCACTCGGATCATGACTGGAGTCCACAACTGCCTCAACAGGTTCGGCGGCCTCCTCTTCGACGACAGAGGTAGTCCTATTTCCAGTGGGAAGGGTTTCGTCATCGCTGCCAGAAATTGCGGTACTGGTCGTTTCCTCTACACCATCGCCGTCATCCCCACGATCGTCCTGGTTGGTCTGATTGTCGTCGGGCATTGCACTGTCGTCGCTCTGAGGATCTGCGTTCGCAGCAATAAGTGAAAGATCTTCGGCTCCAACCGAGTCTTCGTCAGGGTGATCGGTTTGCTCATTGGGGCCGTCGCCATGTGTCTCATCTGCTTTCAAATTTAACACTTCACAAATATTGTCAAGCTCGGTAGTGTCTGATGTTTCGTTGTCAATGGGACCATCGTGGAAGATCTGTCTCTCCCCTTCACTATCACCTGGCTGATCGGGATCCAATGTAGCAACGGCAGTGGATGTGTCCCTAGTCGCGCTGGTGTCCAGGGAGATGACGGTGGCCACCGGAGACGAATTTCCATCGTTTTTCTCGACATTGGCGATTTCTGTTCCTTGATCCCCGGCGAGCTCTTCGCTAGACGTTTCGCTGCTTGCTTCAGCGACGATAGTTTTACTCTCTGCAGTGTCAACCGCAGCTATTGTGGCAATCGCGGAATCGGTCGTATCGTTGGATTCGGCAATAAGATCTGTCTCCAAAAGCTGGTCTTCTTTAGGTGATTGAGCTTCGCCTTCAACGTGTACTTCGGGATCTTCACAAGTTTGCGGAGCACCTTTAGCGTCGTCTTGGCCGGCATCGGTGTCACACACAAGAGTTGTCGCCACACTAGTATCTTGCTGGTTCTCCTCGTTTGATGTTGCGCTTTGGTCGGCTTCTGCCATAGCGGTCGCGGTAACAGGAATGTTTCCTTCGTCATCCACGCTCGATGCCACAGAATGGGCCTTCAGGACCCTTTCGACTATGGCAACATCGAGAGGGTTTGGCTCGCTATCTTCGACATGTGGACAATCTGATGCGACCTCGCCCTGTACCGCAAGCTCGTCTTGTGTTGTGGGTTCAGGCTCCAGTACCGCATTGCTCACATTGGTAGGTTCGGGTGGCTTCTCATCCATAGAATGAGTCTCTTCGGGCGATTGGCTTGTGGGGGCAAATTCATCATCCGGTAAAGAGGTGAGACCAATTGAGGCTTCGGAGCCTACCGAAACATCCGTGCCCGCTGCAGGCTCCGTCTCTGGATCAGTTCCTAGAGTGCTTGATTCTTGAGATAGCGGTTCACTTGCTGCAGCCTGGTTCTTATCCGTGATAGGTTGGCTCTCGTTGGACTCATCGCCCGCTGTCGATCCGGGCTCGGCGGAGGTTCCACTCTCCTCTACCAGATCATCGACGTCACGGGGCTCTGCAATCACGGCAGGATCTTCAACTGGGCTAGCGCCCGTTTCACTGATAGAGTCCTCCCCTTCATGATGTGATACAACCACCGATTCTCCATCCATCGTAGGCTCCGCAGCGTTGTCGTTCTCATCCACGGATATTGCAGCTGGGGGTAGGTTTTCCTGTGCCTGCATGTCCTCCGGCGCATTTTGCTCTGTAGTCGTTCCGTCGATTGCATGCTTGGTTTCACTATCGTCGTTCCCGTCAGGACTCTGCGTCTCGACGTTCCCGTCAGCTGCTGGGTCAATACCCTCATTTTCGACCGTTGCGGGACTCTCGCTTGAAGCCTGTGGGTCTTTATTTCCGGCTTCGCTTTGCTGCTCCGTTGATTCGTCTTCCTCTGGATGCTCTTTCATGTCATCAACAGGATCTTCTTGTGTCTGTGGTGTCTCAACAACGGCTTCAATGAGCGTGTCGCTTGGTGACTCTGGTTTGGGCTCAAGCATGTCTGGCTCCGAGCTGACTTGCACCTCGTCTGGTTGGTCATCACCTTGCTCCGTTTCTTGGATTGAAAGAACTGGTTCCGCTTCTGCATCAGGATCTTTACTTGTATCCTCTCCATCCTCAAGAGCAGCCTCCTCTGAGCCTGGATTTTCCTCAGATGGGCTATGTTCAGATTCGATCGCGTTGTGCTGGCTTTGTTGAGGTTCAGGCTGATTTCCTGCAGGCTGGCTGTCTGCAACGACGCTGTCGTCAGCCAGCTCGCCTTCGAGCTTGGCGTCTTCAGAAGATATGTCCTCAGGCGCATCAGCTGTAGGCTGATTCTCTTCGGGGCCTGGCATGTCAGATGGCAAGGCATCGGGTGCGCTGTCGGGCTGGTCATCCGGTGTCGTAGCCTTTTCTGAACTCTCGTTGTCTTCTGCAGCCTGGATGTTCTCGATGACTTCTGAGATTTCTAGAGTCTGAACATCTTGTGCAGGCTGAGAGTCCTCTGCAGTCGATGTATCCTCTGGAATCGATGTATCCTCTGCAGATGGTGTGCCCTCTATAGTTGGTGTGCCCTCTGTAGCTGGTGTACGCTCTGAAACCTGGGTTTCCTCTGCAGCTGCACTCTGATCCACAGGCGCAACGTCTACCACAGGCTCGCGCTCCTCTGCTGACGTGCAATCCTCTGCAGCAGTAGCCTCAACTGTAGCAGCGATCTCCTCTATGACAGCACCCTCGTCGGCAGAGGCAGAGTCTTGTACAGAAGCACCATCTTCTGCAGGAGCAACTTCTACCGCAGGAGCAACTTCTACCGCAGGAGCAACTTCTACCGCAGG